TCAGCAGCAGGGGCCTCCTCTATAGGAGGAGCTTCTTCAGCGGCAGCGGTAGCTTCCTCAGCTGCGGAAGCCTCTTCAATAGCTAGGACTTCTTCAGCGGCGGGAGCTTCTTCCGCGGCGGGGGCTTCTTCAGCGGTAGGAGCTTCTTCAGCGGCAGCGGTAGCTTCCTCAGGTGCGGAAGCCTCTTCAATAGCTAGGACTTCTTCCGCGGCAGGGGCTTCTTCAGCGGCATGCGCTTCGTCGGTAGCAGCGGCGGCCTCATCAACCGGAGCCTCGTCAGTAGGCTTATCTTCCGCAATAGGCGTGTCTTCCGCATCAGGAGTCACTTCAACAGCGGGAGGCTCTTCTGCCGTAGGTGTTTCTTCCATAGCCGGGGGAGTTTCCTCGGTCACCGGTGCCTCATCAGTAGCAGGAGTCTCATTAGCAACGGCATCTTCCGTAGCAGGAGGTTCCTCTGGAGGCTGGTCGCCTACAGCATCTTCGAAAGGAGCTTCTTCATCGGGCGTCTTCTCCTCAGCTGGGGCTTCTTCAGATGGAGCAGATGTATCTTCAGTTGCTGCTGCTTCAGTATTGGTGCCTTCTTCAGTCGTAGCTTCGGTGACCTCTGTTGTGTTTTCAACAGGGTCCTGAGTATCAGATGTATTTCCCTCGGTAGGTTCGGTCGAAGGTTCTTCTGTGACCTCTCCCGTAGGAGTATTTGGCTGATCCTCAGCAGGTGTTGCAGCGTCTGCACTGACTTCCACAGTATTTGCGCCCTTTGCACCATCTTCCTCGTCTTCCTCGTCTTTAATCTCGCCATCTGTGGTGTTTTCTGTAGTGGGCGGAGAATCACCTTCGGCAGTTGGCCCAGGCTCTACAGCAGCCTCTGCATCGGCAGAATTTTCCTCGGCAGGGCTCTCCCCCTCATCTGGAGTGCTATCAGCTTGCTTTTCTGTGGCTTCATCGGGAGCCGGTGCCGGAGTCTCAGCATCCGCTTCCGCCGTTGAGGGAGGGTCGCTTTCGACGGGGTCCTTTTCAGTGGTTTCCTCCTTTGTCTCTGTTTCCACAATAACTGCGTCACCAGATTCATATCCAGTTTCTGCTGGTGGTGGTTCCTCGTTTGGTTCATCTCTTGGAGTATCACCAGATGGTTGATCCTTAGTTTCCTCTTCTGCCGAAGCTTCAGCTGAACCTCCTCCTGGTGAGGCTTCAGGCGTAGCTTCAGGTACAGGTTCTTGATCATTTGAGGGGAATTCTTCTTCATTTGCTGCAGGTGATTCCTCGGCGGTATTCTCAAGAGTATCATCACCTTGTCCCGCTTCTTCTGGGATAGTTTCTGGTTCCGGAGGAGAATCCTCTGCCTTCTCCGCTACGTCGGTTGTGGCGGGTGGATCGTCCGCAGGTGCTGGCTCGCTGGACTCCGCACTTGAGGTACCCTCACCCACTTCTGCTGGTACATAGGAGTCAGAACCGGCACCCACATCTGACATTGCTTTTTCAAGGACCGATTGAACCTCGTCAGGAGAAGCGTCCTCTTGTTGCAGCTTTTCGACCTGTTCGAGGACAGTTTCAGACTCTGGCTGGTCTTCTTTTGCAGACTCGCTGGCTGGGGGTTCCTCAGTATCACCATGCTTGGCTTCGTCACTGGATTCAACAGCAGGTGGTTGGGTTGATGTTTCCTCTGGTTCAGCCTGTTGCTCTGCCTGTGCTGGGTCTTCTTCTGGCGGGCTTGTTTCTCCCTCACCAGTGACGCCTGATTCTGCTTCTGTAGGTTCTTTGTGCCCATCCGGTTCATTGGAAGCTTCCTCTGCCTTCTCGTCTGGAGACGGCTCTTCTACTAGCCACATATATTAGCCCTGTACAACGGTTGCCATAGCAATAACGACTTACCTTTATCTTCTGAAGCGTCTGTCGCTTCGGGTGATGGAGGGCCTTCTTCGGGCCTTTCTTCTGCAGGAGGTACAGCTGCCTCCTCACCAAGATGTTTGTCGTCGAGAATTACGATGTCTATAAAAACGTTAGTTAACAGCCAGAACACCTTATCCTTATTAGCTTACCTTCCATGTCGTCGAACACGGAGTCATCCGCCGGATGCTCGTTAGGTCTGTCGTCGATCACGGGTGGAGGTAGATCGTTGGACTTGAAACGATCGTCAGCATATGAGTAGCTGGGATAGAGTCGTTCAGGTGGTATTATAGGATGAGCAGAAAAGGTGAGAGTGTTCAGATCATATGTCCTCCATTGAAACACTGGGAGTTGTGCATACTGGTGCTGGTAGTAGTATTGCTGTGCCATCTGTGGCCTCGGCTGATTTGGTGCCATCGTCGGCCCAAGGGTTGAATTCAACGTTCTTCTTATTCTTTCTCTTCTTGTTCTTGTTCTTGTTGTTGCCCATAGCAGAGATGGGTGGTTAGATGGGAGGGGTTAAAAAGCTGGGTTCGTGAGTGGCCCTATGCAAGGTGCTTCTCGTCACACCTTTGGGCGAATATCACGAATGTAGCAGAGGAATCGGAAGTCAAAGAAAAATGAGATGACGTGACTCTGCTGCTGAGATGGTGGTCGGAGGGATGCGGGCAAGAGACAAAAAGAGACGAGTGCAGGTTCAACCTAGGTAGAAGGTTTAAAGGGAAGGGGAATGGCTGTGCCTGCTTGACTCGTCGCGAAATGATGGGCAAATAATGACACATATGAGAGGTTGATGAGTGGACTTGTCCATTGAGAAAGGTTGAGGCATCGTGCTATCAGCAATCCCACAAGAAGCTGGCCAATTGCCCAGTAGACGGTTTCGCAATTGGACCACGTTAGCGATGACAAGTTTTAATCTCGCTCCGAATAAGGAACGCGGGAAAAACCAGGAAGGCGAAATTTAGGAGCGAGGTGTTTTACCGATGACAGAGCCAGGGATAAAAAGTAATGCAAGAGGTAGCGTGGCTCGACAACCACCACGGGGTAAGTCGTCTGAGTCTGAATCGAAGCAGGGTCAGACAATCTGCAATCGACACTGGCATTCTACAAGGTGAATTGCCGCAATTGGACGAAATGTGCATGATGAGATACCATGATTGGATCGTGGCAAAACGGAAGTGGTACTTAGGTTGATGCCCAATGTACCATGACTGGACAGCCAGACACAGTAATTGCAGAAAGAAAAACGAAGTAATGCAGGCTGTGTCTTCGTTAGGCTTCCGAAGGCCACCGTAGTCGGTGTCTGCGATAGTTTCTTCTCAAAAGTGGAGTGACAGGCCTCTTATCAGATCATATCATTGACTGGATGAGTGGAACAACCATTTTGGCTAAGTCATAACCGTTTCGACCAGTTCGTTGTAAGACGTGGAGGTGTTCATTGAACAGCCCAATCCCTGTACATGGCATCATGCTCTCATTCGTTCTGGCCCTGGGCATCAACTGCACGGCGTAGAGAGAGAAAGACAGAGAGAGCATGTGCTAGAATCAGTCGTGTGGCACAAATCTAGTCTTACCTGCCAGATGCGGGAGTGGTATTGGACGCAGACATTGCTAGGACCTTGGAAAAGAGAAAAGGAAGTTTTCTCTCTTGCATCCCAAGGTTGGGCTCTTTCCCGTATCATGTCATCGGGATCCTTGTTTTTCCGTGGGCCGGATCGAGCCGAAAGGGCAAGGGGCAGCCAGACGCCCAAAAATGGAAAGCACGACCTTGGAAATCCGGAGTCAATCGGCCTTGGCGTTTATGTTTGGTTGTCTCCTCAGAAGAGGTCCTTTGAACCGTCGCCTCACTTTGAATCCGGGCGACCAGATGGCCGCAGCTAAGCGGACCGGTTTAGGAATTGGTGTTCTTCGTCAGACTGAGCCGTATTGCGACGGAGATACTTGGCCATGGTGGCTACGCTGCCGCCTTCAGTTGGTATTCCAGTCTGTCTGTTGGCATTACTTTCATCAACGGCGACTGGACGCTTCATCTTCGTCGTTCCAGAATGGTGCTTCAAGGGAAACTGCCACAGTGCTGGTTGAATGTCGTTGTCACTGATCCAACGACAAGTGGCTGATCTGCAGTCCGCATATACTCCGCCCCAGACCAGGTACTTTCTACCGGAGAAATATCACAAATGAGCATCCATCATGATCTACATCCCATCTCTCTCTGACTCACTGACTGAGCGACCTCAGCAAAGATCTCGGTCCATCTTTTCTCGCCACTGCGGCCCGAAACGCTTCATAGCCCAAATGACCGACGCGCTGGAAAATGTCCAAATTCCAAGAATAGTAAAAAGCCAACCGTTGCCAATTGAAGCGATTAATGGTGCTCCAACAATGCCACCAATACACGACAAGATGTTTCGACATAGATTATTCAAAGCCACCCCGGATGAAGACCTTCCAGGCATGAACTCGGTAAGCATCGTGGTGGCCATTGCAAAAATAAGCATTGAACCAACCCCGTAGAAGAAATTCGCAATCATCTGTGCAAGGAAAACACGTGTCAGCATCTGGTACCTTGCATAGACCCGTTTTTGCGCCCGACAGGTGACTCACAGGTACAATCCAGAACACTCCCTTTTCTACTGTCCATCCATACCAGATGAACGCTGCTGGGTACAGACAGGCACCAAGCCACGCGTTCTCTCGCATGCGATCCTCTGGATGATAGATCAGTTTGCCTCGTTCATCAATACGGTTGGCCTTCAATGCCTCTCGCTTCATGATATTGTCCATCCATCGGCCTCCAAGGAGGCTGGCAAGGAGGTACCCGAGCGAATTTGGTATGTACAGGAGGCCAATGATAATGGTTTGATACGCATACGGTTCCCTTTCGAATGTGTACTGTATGCTGACGTTCAAGACATAGAGTGAGCCAAATGTCACTGCAGAATAGTACACCGTCAATAGAACAGGCATGAACCTGAGGTACATGATAACCCTCAGTGGATCTAAAAACATAATTCGGGCGGCCTTTAGATATTTCTTGGACTTTTGTTGGGCCACTTCTCTAGTGGAGGTTCTGCTCAACGGAGGCCTGGAACCGCCCTGCAACGACGAGGCATTGTCCGCCTCTGCGATTTCGACAACACTTTTAGTCTCCGGCAGAGTCTCTGGCAAAGCAAAGAAGACCAACACCCAGGTTAGGACTAAGTCGAAGGAATTAGTAAGCTTTCGTCACAAGATCGCGGCGAAATTCCGGCGATCCAACATCTCCACCGAGCAGGGTATTGATTCTCACCTCCGTAAATCACCAGAGCCCATTGAGTGGCCCTCCAGTTCCAATGCTGTCCGAGGATACCACCCAGGATCGGAGCCAGAAAAGGACCACATAAAGGTCCGAGATAGAAGATTCCCATCGCTCGACCCCTCTCCTCACTGAGCCAGATGTCCGCGATAGTTCCGGCGCCCACGGCTTGGACAGAAGCTGCAGCGCCGCCAGCAAGTAGTCGTACAACGATGAGCATGGATATGGAATGAGCAACAGCGCTCAGAACAGAAAACACTATAAACAATGCAAATGAGGTGAGGTAAATACTTCGTCGACCGGACGTCTCGGAGAAAGCGGACCACCATAACGGAAATATAGCCATGCTTAGCATGTACAAAGCGACAGCTAGGTTGGTCGTGGTGGGTGTAGTATTGAGATCGGAGGATACCTGGTCAAGGGTTGCTATACTGCCTGTTAGGGAATGTCACTGGATCGATGGGTTCGAAATTGAACCTACGGAAGATGATGGCGCTCCCAACTGGAGCAGCAGCGCCTGCGATAGCCACGATAAACGTGATGAACCATTTCACGTTGTTTGGGTAATCATATGGATTGGTGACTTCGGCGACCAAAGCAAAACGGGAGAACAATCCTCGTCGTCTGGCCCGAGGGACCTTGACCGTAGGCTGTTTTGGAGTAACCGTCCGGTGGAGGGCGTCGGTCTGAATTTCCACATCCTGGGATTGTCGAGTGGTGGATTGTGTATGCACAGAACGTATAGATTGGCCGTCGATATTTTCGAATTTCTGTTCGATTTCTTTGCTGAAGTCTTCAGCTAGCGGTGATGGTCGCTGGTGGATGGCATCTGGTGGCGAGACGGCCTGTATTTGGGGTCGTTCATCATCGGCGCGAGACATCTCAGATTCTTGTTGAAGATAGGACTAATCCGCTACGGAGATGGTCGAATACTACTCGCGGTGTATCGGCTTCCCAACTCATCATTCAAGGCATTCGATCTGCTGTCTTATGCCGAAGGAAATAAATTGTAGTATGTCCAGAAAGTTAGTGGTTGTGATCGGGAGTTGCAAGATGGACTCGTGAAAGCGCGGCAACTGGCAGCGGTAAACTGCACATCATCCAAGGTACAGGCTAGGCTAGGCTGGCTGGATGTTACATGGCAAGGATAAACATTTATCTCTTTGGGAAGTTGAAAGCAGTAACAAGTTCGCAGTTTGCTCACCTTCGTGGGTGGAGGCCCTCGAAAGCGCCCAGGTAAATTGGCCTCTTCCCAAACCATTTTTCCCAACCCTAGTATCTGGTGCAAATTCCCCACGAAGCGGAAGGATGATGGAGGCGAGAAAGAGCCAATGATGACAAAACCGCGGAGGGGTTTGTCTTCATCATTGGTGAGATGGACCGGTAGAAGATCTCGACGCTCGCTCTCTCGCGTGCCGACTTTGCCGCGACGCCGTAACGTCATTGGGTGGGTTGTTTTCAGAATTGGAGAACGTCGACCGAAGGGCTCATGCATACTTGTATTTTTTGGTGTCGTACATCGGTGGTCCAAAGCCCAGACAAGCATGGTTGATAGCGATAAATGCTGCTTGCCACAGGAGGGGAAATGCGGTCGATTACCGTTCACAATCCCCGTGTAACCTGGGATAATGCAAGGTCCGCATTACAATCTGATCGCACGAAGTGCATGTTGGAGATCTCTGATTATCTGGCTCAGTAGGCATAGGCTTGGTTCGAAGCCACCAGCCAGGGTGATGAAACCGGCCTTGGTGGGGAGCTTTATGTACGATGCCGAGGCTCAACGGCCAGAAGAGTCAACCTACATACTTAGAGAGCACGGCCCTTGGCCCTTGAACGCGCGGAATAAGCAGGCTTCGTGGCGCCAGGAGAGCTTTGGAAGCTTGTTGGCCGTGATTCCGATTCCCTGCAGCTCACTCTGTCGATAGTAAACATGTGATGCTCACGTACCCTTTTTAGTTTCATGCCCGTGATCGACCCTGCATGGATCTCATGAAGACAACAGCTACCTATGCCGACCTCAGCATTGCTCTGGAGTGAGCTTCGCTTCTCGGGACGGCCGCAGGGTGATGCCGCAATGTGTACGATTGACGAACACGATGCTACAGGAGCGGACAAAGACATTCAACGTGGATATTAGCATTTTGGTGTTCACGGTTGTTGGAATAACCAGGTGGTAGCACAAGTCTCCAAGACGGCTGGAACTCGCATGCAGGAGCACAGGCACATACGATTGCACTCGCACGAGGTATTTAGTCACCCTCGCACAGCAGAAAGGTCTCCAATCGCAAGACACCCGTGGGATAGAGCGCGTTTAGCCTGATGAAAATCAAACTTGCATCTGGTAGGAATCAGTTACAGAGGATATTGCGTCCCCATTCATCGCGAAGGAAGTACATTGATTTGCGTAGATACGAGGGCGCCAGTAAGTTTATAGAACAGGCGAGAGGCTGGCGAGGCAAGAGAATGATTTGACAACCCTCCCCACCGACAGCAAGCCGCCCTGTAGCCCCTTTCAGCCTTATCAATCCCTCAGCCTTGGGGGCTAGATACGGAGCCCAATGTTACGAGCCCAATGTTATACCATTGGGATCGCGTCATTGCCACAGGAGGGACTGGCCTATTGCCACCCTTGAACTACTATAGTTAGTGCAGTTGCTGAAGCGATTAGTTTTGGTATCAAGCGGGCCAAATTACTCCATGATAAGATCTGGGACTGGTGAGACCGGTAAAGTATTGAGTAAGATTTTCGTGCCCTTGGCGGCTCCCATTTCGCCTTCACTTTTCTCGATGCTGACTAGTAAATTGAACACCGTAATTTCCTAGGCTGTCAAAGGATTTTTGATTACGGAATTTGGGGCCCGGCTTTCATGAGCACTATCTCGTTTTGAGCTCCCGTGCAAACAATCAAGCCACGTTCACGAACGGGGAGCGAATACGGAAGAGGGATGGAAATGCGATTCATCCTGCTGGTGTTCCACCCGGCCTGGTTGGTAGTGCATGGGGAAAGACTGGATCGGGGGAAACAGTAACTCGTAGACCTCCCTTGGTATCATCTGACTTGTCGCTGTAGACCAGTCTATCATGCAGGTACCGGGATGGAAGCCGCATCTTGACCATCGCCATGATATACCTGTGGCTCAATGCCGATCTTGACATTCTGAACATTCGTGCTTCCTTCCATTCATTCGCTAAACATTCATTTAATATACAGATTTTTTCCTTCATCAAGATATCCACGTTCGTTTCAAATCAGCCTAACTCATACACTCATTTAACATGTCTCGACTCACCGAGCACATTGATCATGGACCAGAAGTTGTCCGACAATCCTACCATCCAACTGAAGTCGTTAACCATGCGGGTACACCTCCACACCCTCCTCGTCTACCCTTCGCAGGTGAAGAATCGAGAGATACATTTTTAAGCGCCGATAATCTTGCCGGCTCAATATCAACTTTGGAACTTCTTCAAGATAAGGAAAGTCGAGAGCCTCCGGGGGTGAATCGTGAGCTCTTCCGGTTAAGCAGCTTTGCCTTCGGAGTCGTCATTGCTTTGATCACAGCAATTGTGGTTGGGGGCGCCGTGGGAGGAGGACTTGGTGCTGTGGTTGCGATGAGAAATAATGAATTGATGTGGGCCTCCCGATGAGTTTGTTGCCGATATACCAAGAAAGTAACTAACCGCTCGAAGGGAAGTCAACGAAGCCCTTGTTGTTGCGCAATCAACCATAGAAGGTCTGAAAGCCTCAAACAACACACAAGGTGTGAGCCCCACTCAGACTTCACATACCACACAACTCTCCAACGAAACGGAAAGTTCAACGAGTTGTACTTCGACAAATGGGACAGATGTGATAACCAAGGTCAATCTTTCAAACTATACGGTCGAACCCGCTCTCAACGTCGAGCTCCTATTCCTGGACTGCCCGAATATCGCCTCGGACATATTCACCACATCGAAAGATGAGAGATTCTCGCTCTTCTGCCGACATGCATTCATGTCTGGAACACCGGCCAGAGAGGGAGGAGTGGTAGCCGACATGGTGCATATTAGGGCGTATTCAGCCGAGGATTGTATGGAGGCCTGTTCTGGCTTCAATTTTGAGCAACAGCGATGGAACGGAACGACAAGATGCCGAGCAATGACTTTCCGAGCCAACATGGCGGCGAAGGTCAACCAAATTGGAGGCAATTGTTGGTTGAAGAATGACACACTTTGGGATGTCAACACGGCAGAAATAGCGGATGGAGTTATCAGTGGCTACATCCTCGTTTAATGATGCGTGGATTCGCTTGCTCATCAACTTCTCCAGTAGCATAAATGATCTCCTGGGATTTATCAGGAATCATGAGAATTCCGAGTTACTCTCCACAACAATACCTGCTAGCATGCAAGGAGACTGATCACTTGATGCCGTGGCTTCTACCCTGTCAGTCGCTCAATATCTTGCCTTGAAGATTGTCACCACGGTGGCATCGTTAAAGCGACGCTGGCCTTGATTCAAGCTCCATTGCTGTGGGACTTAAATTCCCCTTGTGAGAGGTCTGTCGCGAGCCTTGCCGCTTTTCATGACCTCATTTGAAGATGTCGGGGATAAAAAGCAAGCACAATCCCGTACGGAAAGGTCATCTTTGAAGCAAGAGCCCGCAAGGACAATGACCGCTTGGCAGCGATTGCTGACACGTGACAGAACGAACCAGCTTTGCGTAGGCTGGTATATGCTCCACCGTGACGCCGCGAGGATGCCGTGTCCTGGGTGTGAAGCAAACTCAGTCTCTCTTTATTGATGTCAGGTTGGCAGACTGCATGCAAACCCGTAGGCCTTGATTCTCAGGCCTTTACCAACGACACTTCCCAGAAAGAGTCGATAACTACTCTGTCTAAGCCGCCGCCATTCGGTTGCTGTCCTTCCAGCCTCGGCACGAAATGCAACTAGTGAAACCGATAATGGGGGCGAAAAGGCTGAGTTGGATTAGTTTCGTCAGGCAGACACACTAGCCACTCGATAACCTCACCGTCACAATCAACAGACGACCTCTGCATCTACCGAGCAATCAGTGCTTTGCTTATGACATCGCTAAGAACAATGTCTCTTCACTGAGAGGTGCGTGATCAACATATCGACTTGGGCCAAACTCGTCAGTTGTGCTCTCCTGTTGATGTTGACCGCCAGCTACCAGAAGGGTGGCAGAGTCTAACTACAGAGACACCAAGCGTAACCCAGGATGCCATCCAATCAAAGTAAACCATGGATCGACTATTCGAGTCGAAAATCAATCTAATAAGGAGAATCTCAACCTTTGGATCAAAATCAAGAACATCCAGCTTATCAGAGCTTGCTTCTTTAAGCAGTGTGCAGACAAGCCAAGAAACCCAGTTCCCCAGCGGTGTCAAAGTTCTTTATGAACCGCAGGATCCAGTTGTTGATGTTGTATTCGTCCATGGCTTGACAGGAGACCGTGAACGGACTTGGACGCATCCAGGGAATGGCGTCTGCTGGCCAAGGGATATCTTACCTCAAAATTTGCCTGATGCCCGCATTCTCACGTTTGGGTATGATGCATACGTTGTCCGTGCTCGCGATCAAGTGGCTAGCATTGATATCGCCCACCATGCTAACGATTTCTTGAATTGTTTGGCAAATGAAAGAATGGACTCGCAATCCGCTAAGCGTCCTCTAATCTTGGTGGCTCATAGTCTTGGTGGTCTTCTTTGCAAAGATGCTATGAGGCTGTCGCAGAATAACGCCGAAGCACGTCTTGGTGCGATATTTGAACACGTCCAGGGAATTATCTTCATTGCTACTCCTCATGGCGGAAGCTGGCTAGCTAAGTGGGCGAAGACGTCTGCTAGCTTGCTAGGCGTCCTCAAAATAGCAGATGTCAGTCTTCTGTCTCTTCTTAAAACTGATTCTGAGGTATTGAACCGCATCAATGACGATTTTCTCTCGATGCTTATCAGAAGACAAGCCGACCACCGCTCCATCAGGATTGCATGTTTTTATGAAGTCTTACCCCTTCGAGGCCGAATAAAAATCGTTGATAAGGATTCGGCCACAATATCTGGATACAATAATGTTTCCATTCATGCAGATCATCGAAATATAGCGAGATTCAAGAGTCAGGATGATCCTGGCTATAAGCACATCACAGGTACTCTTGGTATGTGGGTAAATGAAAGTTCAGATGTTTCAAGCAGTGCTGAAATTGATGGACTTCTCGAATCCCTATCTTCTCCTGAGATGGGTGTAAGGATGGCTGCTATCGAACCCGCCGAGAAAGGTACCTGCGAATGGCTGGGAAACCACCCTACTTACAAAGATTGGGCTTCACACCGACGGTTGGAAGAGTCTCACGGACTTCTCTGGATAAAAGGCAAGGTTGGGTGCGGCAAGTCCACCATAGTGAAGCATATTTTTCTTCGCCCTTCCTCCAAAGCATGTCGAATTGCATTTTTCTTCAACGCTCGAGGGGGTCCAGAGGAAAAGAACGCGTATGGTCTCTTCAAAGCACTCCTCCACCAAGTGGTTGGCAACTATCCGCATTTGAGTACTGTCCTCATCAAGCGATACAAGCTCAAAAAGCGACAGTCTGGAAAAGCAGATGTTTTATGGAGTCTTCCAGAACTTCGCGAACTCCTCCACGACGTGATTTTGAATGCAGGCAAAACACCCATTGAGATCTTCGTTGATGCTCTTGATGAATGCAACGAGACTGAGATCCGATCAGTCGTTACTTTCTTTAGTTGGTGCTCCTCAGATGCAATTGCCCATAATACGACACTTCGAATCTGTTGGTCCAGTCGTCATTATCGCCATGTCAGTGTTCAACATCATTTTCAAATCTTGGTTGAAAACATGAATTCGGCTGACATAACACTGTGGGTGCAACGCCATCTTGCTGGAGGTGATCATCTTTGGGAGCATTTTGGAGCTCAAATTGTGGCAAAAGCCAATGGAATCTTCCTCTGGAGTGTTCTTGTCGTCAACAAGATCAGGAAGCTAGCTGATAAAGGTCTTCCAAACTCGAAGATTAGCAGGGTGATCGATGATATGCCGAGCGAGTTGAATGAGCTCTACAGAAATGTTCTCGAGACCTTGGATCCAGATCTCACTGAGGATGCCATCGCAATGATCTCCTGTGTTCTGTTCGCATTTGAACCTTTGGAAGTTGACTCTATTCGATTTATCATGGAATTTATGGGCAAAAAGCCTCCCAAAATGCTCAAGCATCTCGAAGGATTTGCTATGGAAAAGTCCAAGTTCGCCTTGTACGTCACTGAGGTTTCTGGCGGTCTTCTTGAGGTAATCACGACCGAATCAGGTCGACCTTCCACCTTGGAGGCGGCGCTCAGCCAGAAAAGTTTGAGAAGATCCATTGTTCAACCTATCCACGAGTCAGCCTCTAATTTCCTCCTTAACCAGGGACTTCTCCGCCTTTTGAAAGTCAATGAAGATTGGAACGTTCGGCAGAATGCCCACTTGCAAATTTATCAAGCATGTGCACGAATCCTCTCAACACGAGAGATGCGATGCGTATTACTTCGACCGAAGAGGTTTTTCTCGCACACTCCTAAATTGGTTGAATCAGGCCGCCAGTGGCTTGGAACTCCACTTTTGAACTATGTGATGAAGCGTATATTCAAGCACCTAGAAGAGGGGTGCGCCTCCATTTCAAGTGGCTTCTATGCAGTTCGAAATACCAGCGGTGTATTGATTGCAAGAAGTAGTGTTATCGACACGATGCGCAATTGGATGTCGGTGAATGCAGTAATGTTCATGAGCCGACGCCGTCTCGACCGTCTCGCAGAAGCACTGTCTATGGAATGGGAGATGAATGAATTGGATTTTTGCGCGCTTGACGATCATTCCGGACTTTGTGCGCTCTTGCAACATGGCGAGCATCCGAATGACAATGAGCTTGATAAAGTAATTATTGCTCTTGCCCACCATGGTCTTGATGAACAGATTGTGGGGTACATCAAACGGCAACGAGAGGCCAATGAAACCCCTCCTTTCTCTCGATTTTCAGGCATAGCCTTGGAGTCCGCTATAAAGGGGCACCATTACTCAACTGTTAAACTTTTGATGGAGAATGGTGAAATTCAACGTCCAATTCATTTGATTTTGGCAATCCAACAAGGGCAAGTGGATATCGTGCATCACCTGTTGAAGAATGGTGGAAGTGCAAATCAGTCAGCGATGGGGAAAATTCCCCTCATTGAAGCAATATCGGTTGGGCGTATTGATATTGTCAACAAATTGTTTGATTACGGTGCAGAGATTAACCGTGAGTACAAAGGGAATTATGCAATTTGTGAGGCTGTCAACCGTGGGCGGGGCGATATTGTTCAGACACTCCTTGACCATGGTGCAGCGGCAACTTATGCTGGTTCAAACAAAATTCCAATCAATCAAGCAGTATCTTTAGGATTTGAGGCTATTGCTGAATTACTTCTGAAGCATGGTGCATCAGTGAGTATGTACGACGATGAAGGAGAGACAGCATTGATGAAAGCTGAAAAGTCCAGTCGTGAGACAATGATCCAACTTGTCAGACATGCCAAAGCACTACAAGACGCAGCGCAGAACAGAGACCTTGAGATCTCCTCGTTGGTTGCAGAACAAACCAAAGCCAACCATGAGGAGGACCGGAATTGATATCAAGCTTGATTGTCTGTCATGACCTGATGGACTCTTTTCTTGCCTTCTAGACTCCAGAGAGGGGGATCATTCTTTCCTCCCAAGGTCTCAAATTGCCTGACACCTTCTGGGATGACGATCCATGGATGCTTGCTTCTAATAAAGAAATGAGCATCTGGTACGATCCTGTCACTTTCTTTCAAAGTGCCGGCTCGTAGAAAGATGATCTTGTCGCTGAAGAAAGGATGTGTTCCCCATAACAAACTCCCACATTTCGGATTTGGACACCGTACTCCTCCTCCACTTTTGGGTTGCTCGTTCTTCTGTGCTGCTGGACGTTCATCTTCAGTCGTGCTCTTGGGCCGAGAAGTCGAGGTGATTTCGACATTGCTGGCTTCAATCATGATGTTCAGTGCAAATGCGGATCCGGATAGCTGCTGACAGTTCCGGCAGTGGCAGCAATTGACGAAGATAGGAGATGCCTTCATCGTGTAGGTGATTGTGCCGCAATAGCAGCCACCGGTCAATGGCTCGACAATAGTTGAATTGGAGGTGATCACTGAAGCCATACTGCAGCACTGTTCTCTTGCTGAGGTGGTTTGGGATGGACTCGTTCTTATTCGAAAGAGACCGTTGTTGAAACAGATGAACAAAGCAAAGGTGATAGCAGTTTTTATAGCCTGGAAGGCGTTGATTCAGAGTTCACGATGTATGCGGACAGGTCAGGCAACACTACACCAAGCTAGGTTTGATTGGACGGCCCCTACCGTGTGGCTGAAGCTGCCTGATGGCTCGAAGCCCTTCATTTCTGTCAAGGTTAACGATGGATCGACAGTGGGTTGAAGGAGCTGTTGGTCCCCTTAAGCAACTTAGTATGAACTTATCGATGGCTCTAGATCGGTTTTCAGGAGCGCGGTCTCCTGGCTGCCACATGGGAACGATCAGTCCACCTAAAGCAGCATGTTATCGTTCACTTCACGATACTATCTCGGCGTTTTTCACTCACAATTCACACTTCATTCACAAGGCGACGCCCCTAAATAACTTTAGCTTAAAAGCGGCGAGGCTTTTCTACCTCACTCCCTTCCCACCACCACTCACCACTACCACTTCCCACCACCACAGCCCTCCTCCCATCATGGCTTCCCAGGCCTCAACTGGGCTTATTGTCGTGGAGAGCAGCGTCACAGTCGAGGAGGTTGCTCGGGACCAGAGCGCCTCAAACCGGCATGCTCTCTTTGGAGATGCAAGCCAACTCTACTCGGCAACTGTCTCCGCTTCCTCCCAGTTTGCCAGAAACCTATTCTCAACCACAACCCTTCATAACTCGAACCCAGACCTCTCAGAAACCCCAGCTCGAAACAAGAGATGGATCGCAATTGCTCTGCTCCTCGCTCTGATCAATCTGATCTGTACAATTGCTGACACAATGATGTCAGTCATGCTACCCGCAATCATGGTCGACTTGGACATTGAAGGCTTTACGTGGGCTCTGGCCGGTCCAGCTGTCGGATCAGCAGCGACTGTTCTCATTGCTGGCCAGCTCTATGGCGTTTACCGCTTTAAATATGTCTATCTCTTGTTCTCAATTCTCATACTGACCGGCATCCTCCTTTCCGCAATCACACCAAGCATGATCTTGTTATTCAATGCTAGAATCGTGCTAGGTATTGGTATCGCGGGCCAACACCTTGGAGTCATGATATTCCTCGATCATGATGGAACATTCGCAGACAAAACACGTCGAGACTTTTTTATCTCTGTCAGTGCTGGTATAGGTCTTATTCTGGGGCCAATTTGTGGTGGTGCCTCGGCGCACAGAGACAAAGGCTGGACAGCCGTCTTCTTCGTTGCATTTGTCATGCTTTTGCTCCTTATTGTGGCCTTGATGTATGTCCTACCGAGCCAGATAGGTCTTCCTCCTTTGACAAGAGACTGGTCCTCGCCAGATACTCTGCGATCACGCTTCTCACGGATTCTACGAATTGATATCATTGGCTGCGCCCTCAGTTCTATTGGGATTCTCCAATTTCTCATCACATTCAACCTTGCGGGAACGCGCATCTCTTGGTCGGACATGTACGTGTACATCCCTTTCACCATCAGTGGGCTTGCCATTTGTATGTTTATTGTTCAACAAGCTATAAAATTCTGCACTCATCCTGGTCTGCGCGTTTTTCCCGCCACCTATCTACGACATTTCAAGACGACAATCTTATTCGGCCTTACATTCCTTATCTCAGGTATTCTGAATACAACACTTCCCTATGTTGCACTCTACCAGATGCTCACACGTCCAGAACCCTCAGCGCTCGGCACAGGGACCTTCTTTCTGTGCTCCTTCGGCGGTCCACATCTTATCCCCACAATACTTGTCCCGGTCTACATTGGCAGCGGCCTAGTAACTTCATATCCTCTACTTCCAAGCTACACCCTCTGGAGTACAGTTACATCTACGTTCCTCATGGCCGGAACAATCCTACTCTTTGTCAATGCTCCTAGTTTCTTTCCGGGTCAAGAAGGTCTCCCAAGTATCTTGATACAATTTGCCCTTGCTTGCATCGGTTGGTGGTGTGCAGTAACATTACCTATGGCTCACCAGATCATTGATCTCCTGCAACCAAGAAATTCTGGGAATGAAGGGGTGCAACATCCATATCACAACCGATGCTTCATCCTCTTCGCCTCATATCTAGGTTCTGCCATCGCCTTGACGAGTACAGGAAGCATTTTTATGCATCTGGGACCTCGATGGACCCTTCAATTACTCCAGGATCAATTGAAAGATCCTTTTATCCATGATGCTGTGTTAAATCCCACCAGAGAAGATTCGCTCATTGCCCTACTTGGCTACGCCTTTATCCGCAGTGGAACATCGGCGGAACTCTTGCACGCCACCATCGCCGCGATTCGAAATACCTTCTCCTGGAGTTTTGTGGTCATTCTTGGATTCGCAACACTTGCGTTCATCCTCAGCGTGATCATGTTAATGTACAAGATCTGGAAAGGCTACTTTGAATTGGAGGACGGCGTGGGTGCCGGTGTTCCAGATGCGTGGAGACTTACCGCTGTGGCATCACAGAGTGGAGGAACTGAGACCAGACGTGGGAATTCGATGGAATTAGAGGATAGGGACACCAATCAATCTACTGCAGTTGGCAATACCGAGAGAGGAGATTCGTATTCTAGCACTAACGAGGACGACAGAATTGAAGCTGTCGATTCTGACCGCGGAATTTCCCCAACTAACATTACTGACAAAGATGAAGATCAAGGTGACACTACCGAGAGAGCACGAGTTGAAACTGACATGATTGGGAATCACTCTACTGGAGAAGTCGACATCGAACGGGGTAGAACTGACGTTGCCACTGTCTTGAGAGGTAGGGCGTTGACTAGGAGTGGACCAGCGCACGGTCTTCGACTGGCAAATGAAATGTCTGGCAATGTGATATGGAACCCTCAATTCACGTGGAGGTAATGAGGGGAAAGATGAAAGTCTCATGTGATTTTACACTGCAGTATGCTAAGGTTGCCAAATTCTAGAGGTGTGATTCGCTTGGATGGAATGAGCAGTAAAAGAAACTGAGAGAGAGGGATAGTCATTCTCAGCACTATCAGAACCAGCTCAAAGTTTGGCTTCCGTTAAGATAGGGTGTTACGGGCACGACGACCGGTCTCAGATTGAGCACCAGAAATGACAATGACAATGAAATGAAATCAAAATGAAGCCCAGTAGCATCCGTTGACCCCGGGAAGAAAGCCCTAAGCAGGTGTTGCTGTCTATACTATGAGAGAAGAGGGATTACGTGCCAAACAACTCGATATCCCACGCCTGCCCTTGGCCCCTCGGATTATTGGTGAATTACCGTCCCACCCTTCAGGGCATTTACAACGACTGCCTCGCCGAGGCGAAAGCAAAGAACGAGGTTCGAACGCCATTGAACGAAGGTTTGATTCAGGAGCATCTAGAAGGGAAACATGTCGAGTGAAATTAAGATGATGTGTTTGTCAGGGGCCTTGAAACAAAAATAGTCTTTCCAGGTCTCACCAGCAGCTGAAACAAATGATATATAGCCTGGACATGTAGCCCTACGGTGGAGAGACAATCTGGGAGTACAAACTTGGCAAGGGGCAAACCTCGGAAGATAGTATGCAGGGTAACAAATGGAGAGGGAGCCAGGGGCGAAGGATCAGAAGTTCCAGCCTTGCACTTGTTCGACTCGGGCTGCGTCCGTGTGCTCGTCACTATTCTACCGGAGCCATCCCAGTGAGGGGCTCTTTACACGGAAGAAGCCTCTCCTGGAATTCCACCGGAGAGGATACAAACATGCGACATAGAAAATAGCAATGTGGTGACACTGGCAAAGCATGACTGATCCCAAAGGAGGTCAGCCAGGGAGATTCCTACTGCTGTACGGTCGTGGTTCAAGCCCTCCTCTCCCATCCTGCATAACAACCAGAATCCAAGCCATCAAAGTTAGTCGATCAGGCAACCAACAACGTCGTCAAGCGCGGGCACCCTGAAACAAATGTCGATCCGCTCAACTACTGTACAAGCGCAAAATCAAGTCCTCTCGCCCGACAACAGGAACGGGAATATGCAAATCAACACTAACAATCCGTACTGATCCGCATGGAATACGGCTCAGTACTCGGTACCGGGGACCAAAAATAGTAGGGAAAGACATACGCAGTACGTATGTACTGGGTACATTCCATTCCCACTATCATGGCTCGAATGGCATCAAAGGATGGGCTCGAGCCTTGGGATTCGCTTGGGTTTCGGCATATGTATAACTACGGAGTACCTAAATTGCGCTTTTCCAAGTCGGGTACTTGGGTAGTGAAATCTGAGTCGTTAGGGGAGGACAACGGTGAGCCCACTTCCTTGAGCTTGGTTGTCTTCAACGCCGTCGCCGTCGCCGTCGTCATGATCATCGTCCAGGCAGAGGAATCCCCCGAGTTAGGGGTGCACATCGCAAGGGGCAGATCCAGGCAGGAAAGCATGGGCATTGACCAGCAGCGTGGATCCCTCCATGATGGCCACCCCCGGCTTTGTTTCAGCCTTAGCCTTGCCGCTTGTTATACTCGGGATGGTCTCCCCGGCTAGACCTTCCGCGGCAGTGACGGAAGGACCTCGAGCAATTCCCAGGTAATCTCTGAAGAGGGACTCCGTCCGGAGTAGGGAGTACTCGGTAAGAAGAGCACAGGCACAGAGAGAATGCACAAGTTTACTCAGTATTAGCAAGTTTGTTCAGGACTCATCACACGACAACGGGGTACATACATATGATGATGATACAAAGCCACATCTCGCAAGGCCAGACCTCGTTCCGCCCTTTATCCTCGCAAACGTACAGCCTGCTGGTGCCCGGCCAACTTACTTTCATCCTCCTGTGTCGATCCTCGCCAAATAATTGACGAACTAATCACTAGTCGTCTGCCGTTAGACGCGAGTTCATCGCTTACCTGCTGACTATCATAGTGGCTAGCGCACGAATCCCCATCCCAACAGATCAACCACCCTGGCCCTGGACCAGTGGTTCAACCTCTAACACTGACCGTTAGAGAACGGGTATAAACCAGTCTAGAAAAGCGCAGAAGTATACTGCGGGCTCCACCTGCCTTGACGTCCTCCGTTCCTTAACGAGGATAGGTTCCTGGGTTTCTTTCTTTCGATCTCGCGCTTTCCAGATACCTCCGTGTCGAAATCCCATAGCGTCGCCAGAAACCCCAGGAGTCTTCCGGGTACGGAGTCTACAGAGGGCTCCGGTCCGCCAAGGTACTAAGCTAGTGCCGAGTCCCACTGGCACAACCCTGGGTACACTTCAACTGCCTTGCCGGGGATGTAAATATGTTCATACATCAGGCAAGCAGATAGGCAGGCCCGGGAGACCACACCGAGCACTAGCACTGACCAACTCTTGTGCCCGAGTACCGAGTATTACCCTATTTCGCTCCGGGGGTGGAACCATGTGGGAGTTCGTCTGCCTGCTTGTGCGTTGCAGCTGAAACCACTCCCCAACCTACAGGGTAGTTGACTTACTCTTGCATGAACCGGGGGAGTGGGTTTTAAGGCGAGATAGAATGGGATCTTGGGCTCCTCCGCGCGCAAGAGTCAAAGTCCTTAGGCCGTCGATGGTGAAGTTGCGAGCTGGTCTGAGGCCTTTGCGATCCGTCACCAAAAAGGATGAGTAAGTTGGCAACGGAGGGAGCAGAAGTATAAGTTCCAATTCGATTTCCTCGTCTTCAGATAGAGGTTTCTCCAGTCAGTCAGTCAGTCACTCACTCCAAGAAAAGTCTTTCGTTTTTGATTTCAGTCATTTGTGCTGCTTGTCCTCTCGTTTCAGCCTGGTGCTACTCCCTTCATATTGTTCTATATATCGACATATAAAAAGTTATCCGCCCTTCCCACGATCTCTCCCAGAAACAATGAAGGCCGGCCTTCTTTTCACCACCACTTTGGCGATCGCCACCACAGCCTTGGCTGCTCCGACATTCTCAGCCCGTCGAGCTCGATCGCTCTTCTCCAATACCCATGGACGCCGACAAATCTCGCCTGAATGCGACCTGAACGGGCTCGACAGTGTTGTCATGCCAGTTGCAAACCCTGCCCTTCCCGGTCCAGGTGAAGATCTCTTCCTCGCATCCATCGTCATCGGCCGTGGCGTCCAGAACTATACCTGCGGCAACGATTCTACTGCTGCTCCGGTCGCCACTGGTGCCGTTGCGATTCTGTACGAAGCTTCTTGCATTGCAATGGATGATCCCGATTTGCTGGCTTCTCTGCCGGGCCAGGCTCTTGCCCTTTCACTACCGGCCGATCCAGAGGAGGATCTCGTTTGCGGCGCCCAGCCTCTCGAGCGAAGTGGCCATCACTTCTTCAATTCGGCCAAAATTCCCACTTTCGACTTCACTGAGGCAGCCGATGAAGCTTTGGGGCTGGGTTTAGTCACTGTTGGTTCCCGTTCGCCCGCACCAGACGCAGCCACTGCTGTTCCGTGGTTGCAGCTGACTCGCGTTGATGGCAGCGTGGGACCCATTCAATCCATCTATCGACTCAACACTGCAGGTGGCGTTGCCCCTGCTACATGCGCAGGTCAGCCAGCCAGCATCAGTGTCGAATATGCCGCGCAATACTGGGTCTTCTCGTCCGATGCCTAGAAATAGGATGTGGCCAAAAGCAAAGAAAGTGATGCCGGCCTGGGAAGCACGAGTGGCCATGAGCCATGATCGCCCAATGAATGTATACTAGTTTCCTTTACTCCACTGCTCAACCCATCCCGTGCACGGGGTGTTCTTTCTCGGTTCGAGTTCTGTGCATTACATATTGTTTTTTTTTTTTTTTTGGTTTGAGTTTTAGTGGTGGAACATGACAGTGGATACGAAATAAATGGATGTCTTCTTCAATGTGGTCTCGTGAAACCAGCGTACGGCCCAGGGCGTGCTTGAACCCCGACATTGTTGCTTTCTATGCTTGATTCGAGTTCCATCGGCTAAGGGTGCCAATTTGCAGTACGATATAAAAACGACGGTCTTGCTGATATTGCTCTCATGAAGGATATTTATCTAGAGCGCGCTCATCTTGCGGCCCAAAGTATTCTATCGTACTTCGAGACCAATTGAGATTCTCGGATCGCATCGCAAGTCGTAAGCTGAGTGAGGAGGAACTGAATAATTTTTGAGTATGGAGCGGAGAGATTCCAGGTGCAGTATTAACAGACGCACTCGGTAGTGAGCTTGACATGTTGTGAGAGAGTCCGCGACGTCCCTAAGTAGCATCTCCCTCGGGCTGTGTAGCATTATATGACTAGCGTTTCAATTCATGGTCAAATGGCTAGGGTGTCGGTCCGAGCCAATATCTCATTCCATCAGTCAAGATCATCATCGTCATCTGTCGGTGGGTCCGGCATGGAAGCGTCCGGGTCTTTCTCTGAATTAGCCTCACCCAATTCCTTCCTGACCTGTTGCAACTCTTCTCCGAAAAGAAGAGTAAACATGATCACTGCGTAGATCTCTTCGGTAGACTTGTTTTTCAAAGTATAGCGGAGCTCATGTGTCTTTGAATCAACGTATTTGATCACGTTCAGACTAAACCCTGGAAGCTTGAGGGAGAAGTCGTTGAAGTCGAGGTATGGATTGCCAAAATCTGACTGATAAAGCCGACCAGCCTCGAAAAGAAAAGCGTCACGGTTGGCAGGCGTCAAGAAGTGCTTTTTCCTGCCAGCTGAATCAGTGGGCATTCCTGACTTATCCCTGACTTGTTCCCCAGAGCCATCTGCTCCCTCTTCCACAACGACTTCATGAAAGGAGGTGGCATTGGGGATCTTCCATGCATTTTTGTCTTGTAATTCATCTTCTTCGATAACTTGGTCGCCAATTCTCAGAATATTCCAACTGCTCAACGCTGGTCCAAACAGAGATGGCTTGTCGGCGTAGACATCTCCTTCGAGACCGGGATCAACCCACCACTTGACGATTCTGAAGGCTTGATTGAAGCCAGGTGGCAATCTGTCTCTTATCGGGCGGTCGAAATCATTTCCGAATATCAAATCGCCGCCAGGAATGTCAACTTTGGGTATGAACGAGAAAGCTATCGAGTATTGATCGTACTGATGAAGCTCATGGTCGAAGTAAGGAGAGGTTGTAGGGGAATCATTCGGGTAGCCGGTGAAATGTCGTATGCGCACAGCAAGGGATAGGATCATATGTTCATTCTCGAACGTCAAGGTCTCGGAAGCATTGACAGGAACGAGCTTGTGGGTAGAAGGATCATGCTCGGGACCAGCAGTTACACGTAGACGATACTGAGTGTGATTAGCTGCTTGATCGACTTGCTCGGAGGAGTCTGAGGAGAGAGGAGTGTCGGACATATTGGTCCAAGAGATTTGCGTGCTCAGGCAGGTCTATGTGTAGGATGATCTATTTGTTGTAGTAGCTTGTTGGCAGGTTGAACTGGTCGGGGGCTTTTGCTTCGGGGGAAAAAAAGAGAAACAGTTGCGGGCGAAAATGCGCAGTTGTTGGAATGACGTCAAGCCATATTGGGAAGAAGGGCACCCGGAAGGGATGCTCCCGCAATTCCCGGCTGATAAAATAACAATATAACAATCATACCAGTTGATCTTTCACAAGTGGAAACTTCAAGACGCTCCTGTGTTGTGATCTGCAAACGACTGGCTGAGAGAATACCTGGGACACCTGAAATGTCTGGTACTCAGTATATGGGATGGGATATGGCGCATATTGATGGTCACGTGAGCAGCAAGACGGTCATTGTACAATAGTTCAACAGATGGACGCTTGTTATTCGGACTGCATACTATAGTACTCGTGTCGTCAGGCTCGAGGTTGAAAGGTCATATCGCATCTTGCTGATCCCTTCCATTTCCATGCTTCTTCCTCCTTGGCCCAAGACATTTCAGCAAGGTGGGTGAGATGAACAATCAATACAGAAGTATTGACAGCCCCAAAAAGGCACAGCAAGGTCTCCGCCCAATGTAAATTTAGATCTCATCCATCCGAGTCATGCAGGAACAGTCCATTCAACGCCGATATCGTGATCGAACATGCAGGAAAATCCGGAGTAGGTAGAAGCCACAGGTGCTGCAGCCTAATCCCCGGCCAATCGGATATTCGGCCTCGAGCTCTCGTGCAACGATGGGCTGTTTCTGACGGATCTGAATGGTTCATTCTACACAATGAGGTCTTTCCGGACAAGCGAGCTCTACGCGGCCAACGATATCCAATGATTCCGGGAAGTTTGAACGAAGTCGAGACGCGCCGGCACGCGTTGGAGGCAGCTTGGCGCGTTAGAGGATACGCTATGCTGTTTTGGGAAAATTGTATATTCTTACCCTATTTGGTGTCATTGTTTATATGCGACCGCCTTCCCGACCACAATCTCATAAATCATCAAAACAACAACTCCCGCTGCTGTTGTGGACCAGGAAAATCTTGTAGATAGTTACAGCATCAGCAGTGATATATCTGCCCACATGGCCGACTCCATCTTCAAAGAGACTGTTCCAGTTCGACGGTACAAGCGTCCGAGCAGTGCTATTTCACCCTGCAAGACTGCACAGGATCCCGTCCAGCCTGAGACAAAGACACCTTCAAGAAAGCGACCTATGAAGAAAGCTAGATTCTCTGATTCTGCTTTACTTAGCAATTCTTCCGTTCCCGGAACAACTGGCCTCACTCCTTGGGTCGGCAAGACTTCCATCAAAACTCCGAGGAGGAGAGTTTCAACGCCAGCACCAACTCGACATCGAGATTATGAGGAAATCCAATTCACACCAATTCGGGAACAGCTTGAACCTCGTACGATTCGACGCATTCGACGTCATGGTCTCAGCGAAGAAATGAATCGGTGTCATGAAGAACAAAAAAGCCTAGCAGAACTGCAACGTCAACTCGACCTCAAAGAGGAAGAGGTACAGCGCCTGAAAGTCGAGTTGGATAAGGCCAAGAATGCAACGACCGATACAATCTCTAGTCAAGAGCGAGTGGCTGAAGCTGAAGCAGAACTTGCACAGCTGAGACAGAGCTTCAGTGTAAATGCCGAGCCAATTTCTTGGGACCATGTACCTACAGGTGCCGGACTTGGACCTGCAAGTGATGGTGGGGATACATTCCGTATCTATGAAGACGAAAACCCGGATCATATCAACGGAAATTCGATATCGATGCCAGACAACGAAGACGCCATTGCCATGGGACTTGAACTTGAGTCGGCTCGTCAAGCCAAAGAAGCACTCTTTCGGGCCAGCCAGACTTCGTTCACAAACAACATACATTTTGCAGACTCTCCAGTTCGTGCTGCCTCGACTAACTTGAACATTCCACCAACGCCAAACACATTCTACCATGATTTATCGAAGCAGTTGAAGGCAGCAGTTAGCCGAGCGGAGGGTGCTGAAGTTGCTCTTCAAGCAATGAATTTGGAAGTACAGAGTTTGGGATTCGGTCTTGTTGATGATGATGCCAGTACCTGTATCTCCAACGTCAAGGATCAATTCCGCCAAATGCGTCTAGAACTTGAACGGGCTGTTCCAGGTGAGACAGTAGGGTCATTCGACAACGCCACATTGCTGCCAGAGATCGCATCCAAGTTGAAACTAGTGGCAAGAAGACTTCAAGACCGTGAAGCGGAACTAAAGTCGATGAGAAATCAACAACGTACCCTTAAAGGCAATTTCGATCATGCCATTGTTGCAGCCGAGAAGGCCAATCTTCGAGTCAAAGAGCTTGAAGACACAATCGACAAGAATGCTGAGGAGATGTTGGAGATTCGAATGCGGGCGCAGGCTGTTGCACGAGAGGCCGAAGAGCATGCATCGAACAATCGATCTCTGATCACAGCGATTGAGAAATACCGGGAAGAAGTCACGCGGCTCGAGCAGCTGGTAGAGCTGATAGAGTCAGAACAAGCAGCCAGACTTCAAGATGTCAGAACTGCCACACTCGAAGAATTGTCTCAGAAAATCTCGGATATCGACGCTAAAGCTGCCTCGGAAACTCGCGGTCGAAGAGCAGCCGAGGAGTCTGCTGTGGATCGATTGAGAAAGATCAATGAATTGGAATCGGCTCTTTCTACAGCTCGACAGCACTCTGAAGACGTCAAACAACAGCTGAAGTTACTTGAAAAGCAACTTGTTACTTCCAAAGGCAGCCATGAACAAGAAGTCGGCGGGCTCAACTCGAGAATATCTGGACTTTCAACAGCTCTGTCATCTGCAAATGCGGAAGTCGAAAAGTTGAAGAAGATCAATGGTAAACTCGAAGAGCGATACAAGAATGAGGTTGAACAAGGTGCACAAACCCTGGAGAGGATTCAAAACGAATACATTCGGTCCGTTGCCAAGATCAACGAAGAACGCAAGAGTCATATCCGCAGTTCCAAAGTCCGATATGCCAATTGGAATCTGCTCAGCGATGAACTTACCTCGGATGATGTAGCACCCATGACACCCGCCAGCTTGGTTCGTTTTGTCGACCCGGACCATTCGGAGGACCACATTCAAGGTAGTGTTGAGATGTCGAGAGGCAAGAAATCTCGACGCAGCTCAGGTCACTGTCTTGGTATCAGGAAGCGTGGTCGAAGACGCTACGACAGTGGCATTGGGATGGATTCCTTGAGTGAAGCTGAAGACAGCATGGCTTCAGACCCGATTACTCCAGACTTGAACTCTGAGGCAGAAATTGAAACCGATACTGGAATGGATACCGCAGTACGAATGACGGGATAATTGGTGTACATGTCAATCGTGTCTTTTTGGAGAAAGACGTGTTTTGTTTGAGTCTCTTGCATCTGTACGCAAGCAAGCAAGCAAGCGTGGTGTTCTTGGATTTCCTTTGTTTTGTGGGCGGCGGCCGAGGCAACCTCACAACTTAGCAGCATTTGCATACAATAGTTGCGTCTAGATGCTGCAACTTTGTGGTTGTGTCCGAGTATATAGACAACCTGTGCATACGCATGCCATTGGAACTTTGGATCAGTGATTCTACTACTTGAATGCTAATAGACCCTGTCTCACCCTGGTGATATTTCGATAAGTCGTCTGGTGCCTGATCAACCCGTGTGCACGGAAAAGCTTAGCATTCGCTTAAGTCAATGTCAAAGCATATTCCGTTCCACATGCCCTCGTATTTTGGGTCGTTTACCCGACCAACTCGACCGCTCTCGGAACCCACGGACGCTGACGCACGCGCACGGTGCCCTCCCAACACCGATCAAGCTGGCGTCAATAATAAATAATAATGATGAGCAAGCATATCCAGATCTGGCTCCTAACTAAGGAGGGGTCCAAGGTGACGCAACCCCTTCATCCCCTCATCCGATTAGCTTTTTTGTGCGGACCATGGCTGAGGAATGATTTTACCAGCGTCTCCCTACTCCTGATATACATGAGATCAAGGGCTCGCTCGCCTCGTATCTAGGACCTCCAGCCTGACAATTTACTAGTACATCAAGCAGTTGGGTACCCCTGGTTCATAACGCCGTCTGCTCGAGCGTTCTACCAGAATCGTGTTTCCCTCCATCAATACCTATTCTCCGCGTTCATTCTCAACAGTCAAGTTCCTCAACTTCTTAACATCCAATTAATCATTTCGCGCTTCACTCTTCCTTCTCCAGTGTCATAAACATGTGCCGGTGGTTCGCATACCTCTCGCCGGACGAGGAGTGCCTCCTGGAAGACGTTCTCATCACGCCGGACCACAGTCTCGCGAAACAGGTGCACGACCATTACCTACCTCGACTCATCTCCCACCTACCAGGGCAACAAACGACCAAACATGAGATAACACTGCGCAACCGACTCTTCAACATTGACGGCTTCGGCGTGGCATGGTACACTCCCGTCCGGTCATCGTTCGTCAGCGACACGCCGGGAGGACTCCGCCCGGCACTGTTCAAAACGACCTCGCCGCCCATGAACGACGCCAACTTCCACTCCATCTGCACCAACACATCGACCACGGCGGTATTCGCACACATCCGCGCGGCGACGGGGTCGACGTCTGTGGCGTCCATCAACAACCACCCGTTCACCTTCGGCCGACACACGCTGATGCACAACGGGATCATCTCGAACTTCTCGGACATCCGGCGGGCGCTGCTCCCGCTGCTCTCCAAGGCCACATTTGAGAACGTCCACGGCACCACGGACTCAGAGCACCTCGCCGCGCTGTACATGACGTACCTGACGCGGGGCGGCGATCGCGCGACCTGGGAGCTGCAGTACAGCGTCGCCGAGATGCGAGACGCATTGACCGCCGCGCACCGGAAGATCATCGCGCTGCAGCAGCAGGTGCTCGGGCCCGAAAACGTGCAAGCCAACAGTCTGAACGTGTGCGTCACCGACGGCGCGCAGCTGGTCGCCGTCAGGCTCCGGAACCATGCCGTCGAGCAGCCGCCCTCGCTGTACTGGTCCACCAGCGCCGGCACCACGCTGAACCGGAAATACCCGGACCTGCCCTCGGGCGGCGCCAATCCGCATGCGACGAGGAACGCCGCTGACCATGGCAGACATGTCATTGTCGCGAGTGAGCCGACCACGTACCGCGTGGAGGATTGGAGCCTCATTGAGAAAAACCACGCGCTGTTGGTCGATGCCCAGGGAAATTGTGTGGTTGAGGACATCGAGCCGCCACAGCAGTTGCTCGCATTGGCTGCGACTGGAGAGCATTTCTAAAGAGTTTGCAAGGATCTAGGGTTTCGAGGAGTTAGATCGAGAGCATCAAGCTGGCCCCTTAACGTCTTTCTCGTACCGCAATCTTAGCTTGCACTTTACCATCCACAAAAGAATTCAACGTTCGAGTCAGGCATAAAAAGCTCTCAAAATTATATCCTGTATTATAGCTACGCTATGTAAAGTGACGGCAGTCTTTCAGGCACATGGTCTATTCTTTCCAGCTTAGAGAGATTTGACGCACATAGTTGCAAACGGAATCACCACCCAGAGTTGCACTTCTTTGCCCCGTTCATTCCTCCCCCGCAAATGATGCTGTCGAGGCTGCTAATCCCAAGCCGTGCAACACCCTATAATCTCAATTCTGGATCAAATACCGTAGTCTGCTAACCGCAAAAGAAATGATACGCCCTTCTTGGTTGGTCTGACCCTCAACCAGCAAATTCAACCCCTGCAACGGAGCGCTGCTATGCTCGCCATCTATACATCGGTCTTCTCATCAATCTTCTGTACCATAGCATCACCATTCCGCAGAACTTCCAGTTGCCCCGCCTTTGCTGCATTAAGCGTTTCGCTAGCTTTGTCTAGTGCTGCTTTCTCTTCTTCAAGATCCTTCCTCAGCTTCCCGTAATGGTGGAGAAGGCGGTCGTTCCAAGCCTCTCTCAGAGTTCCAACAACTGCAGTCCCTCCCACCCGAAATTGCTTGACTTTTGCACGGATTGCATCCTCTTCTTCCCCGAAGCGATACATTACATCCTGTCAATGCTTAGCAAGGATCTTTGACGAATTTTAACTACGGACCTTTGTGATTTGTGACATAGAATCCATCAGTCCGTGCTGAGACTTGCGAATTCCGGCAGCCGGGGCTGTATGATTGTCTACTAAACCCTTTGGTTGTCTTTTGGGTGATGGCGAATCTTCGACTGGCGTCAAGTCACTAGACGCTGATCGCTGCTGTCGGCTACGTCGAGATGGAGAGAATGGGTTTCGTCGTTTGAACGTCGAGTTCTCAGCCACCAGAGTAATAATGGTATTGCCTGAGGCATAGGTTGTATCTTGAGTGACAGGTACCCTTGCTTCTTCAGGGGTATTCTGCATGCCACCAAGGCTTATATTCTCGGCTTCTAAGCGGGTACAAAAGGAGGCTGGAGTAGCAGGAGGGCGTTCAGGTTCTGTATGCTGCAATGGGACTGCATCTAAAAGGCTCTTTTTGATTCGGACTGGACCAGTCGTGGAAGTTTCGACACCTTGTCCTTGGGGAAGCGAAGGGTCATGTCGTTTTTTCTCCGGGGCCGTGAATTTAAGAGATTCCAGGTTGTTTGAACGTGGAAGGCGAATATTACCCCGGAGCTGAGGAGGCATAGTCGGAGTTTCACACATTATAGGAGATCCTGCCGGAATGTTATTCTCAAAGGTGGTATCTGCCTGGTCATCAATAGGGTCTTTCGCGGAGGGTAACATTGCTTGATTCTCGGGTCCACCAGGTCCAAAATGTATGATTTGCGGCTTCCTCAGCGCCGATCATTCTCGGAGGGGATTGAGAACTCCTTGGTGCTTGAGGCTGGACACTGAGTATTGTCGACTGGCTTGTATTTCTTGCGTTCTGGACCCGGGGCGACCATGTCGCGGAGTTTTGAGTCAACGCTAAGATCTGCAGCATCAAGAGCAGCTTGGGTGGCCGAATGATTGAGTCTGTGGGAATCCTCGACGGCCTCAGCATTCTCCTGATCCTCTTTGTTCTCATTGATGGCGTCTTCTCTGTCATGGGACTTGTCTTGAGCCTCCTGGCCACTGTCATCTGCCTCCTCGACAGATACCGAAGACTTTGCAGCACGTTTTGGCATTGACTGAGTTGCTGCCACGTTTGTCTCCTTTTGGGGTTTGGAAGACGTGGTGACGTTGACATCGTCCACTTTCCTCCCTGCTTGCTTCTCCTTAGCCACAGTGGACTTGCCCTTCTTCTTGGTTGCCTTCTTGACTTCTTGCGGGTCAGTCTGTGGCTTCGCTCGTTTTACGGGAGGTTCCAGAAGCGTCTCGGAGGGAGGTAGGTCAAAGCCATCCGACGTGAATGTGGATCCTAGTCGAGTTTGTGGTGAAATGACAGCCAAGGGTCCATGGGGAGTGCGTCTCTTAAGTCTAGACTGGTTTGTGGAACTCATTTTGTCGTTCCGCAAAGCTCTACTAGTCGAGCTTGGTGCCTTAATGTAATGTAGCTTGAGACTGGTAATTTGGCCAAAGTATTGTTGATCTCTGGCATCGAAGCACCAGTTGAGGGGAGTGACCAAATATTTGGGCTTGGTTTTGTGCGGTCGGGTGGTTGTGTAAATAGGAAGGAGTGATGCAAGGGAATGCACTTGCCCAACTGAATGGCTTTCTTCCACACTGGCGCCCTGTATCACCTCGAGATTCTGCACGTCGACTGAGCCACGGCCTGAGCTCGATCTTCAGGGATCCGGCGAATGCCAATGACAGCCAAGATCATATCTGAGAATATGTTCCGTGGGAGAGATGCAGTTTGACATGGACCGTTGCGAGAAACTCTAGAACACCGTCAAGAGCCGTGCAGAAGGTCGGTTTCATCCCCTCTATCTCATTCTTCTTCTGGTACATAGTCATTTAGTTATAGACGCCCACGTATCTGCGGACAGGAGGGACGCGAAGCAGTATGAGTGGTTTTCAAAGATACAGGCGGTGGAAACAAGCAGCAAAAACATAGTAAGTTGCAACGTCGAGAGAGCACGCATTCTGAACCATCCTCACGTAGGTGGCGGCACCCAGTGGCAATGTTCCTCCCAATCATACGTGGAAAGATAGATTGAGTTTAACTTGTGTATTGTGAGCTCTAGACCAAGCTTTTATCTCGCCTGAGTAATGGGGCTTTCTCATCTGAGCCATCTCCAGCTTGATCGTGATCCGAATCCCCAATCGTCCGTTCTCCGTCACCGAAGGTCCTCTTGAAAAACTTATCGTAACTTGCCCAGGTCGATGTAAATATGATTTGGACAAGTTTTGCCATCCACGGAGGGTACGTACCATCTGGCCGAAGGAAGATCTTCGAGCCTTGAAGGGCGAAGAGGATGAATGGACCCCAGATGGACAGGAATATGAACTGTCCGAGCCTTTGTCTGTTGGTGGTCAGGTGGAATGGCCGAATCTGGTTCAGGAAGTCTTGATATTCTTGCGGTAGAGCATGCTCTGTGGCTCCATCCGTAATCAGTTTGAGATACCGAGGACTAGGTTGTGCATATGAATGTTCCCTTCTTGATAGTCCTGTCGGGTCATATAGTGTGTGCGCCTTGAAATAAGGCCCAGATGGATTAGATGGAACAGTCTCATTCAGCGTGCCATTCAAGGCGAAGCAATCGACCAGGACATCTTGATAGCCTGACCCTCCTCCTTCAGTGGCAATAATATTGATGTAGTCCGCTCTTGTAACTTCGTAGACAACACCGACCAATCCTTTATGCCATCGATCCTTGTGGTAGTCATCTCCCGCCACATCGCCGCCCATTTGCGTGTCTCGGTATCGTACATTGCCAAAGCATGGTTCGGTGTAAGGGAGGCCCGGCAGATCGAACGTCAGGGACAATGCAGGCACCACCACATTAACCTGTGAGAGTGGGTTGATGTTTCGCTTTCCCTGGAAGGTTTCTGCGCATAGGTTCGAGCCATATCCAAGGTAAAGAACAGTGTCCTTGGGCTCTTTCTCGGCAGCTTTGCTGGATAGCTGGGATATCTCGATGGGCAGGTCGCTGAGAGAACGCGCTCGTCGTTCGGGGGTGGTTATCGGTGTAGGCCCGGTAATGGCTGATGCATTATTTGCAGGCAAATGCTGGTCAACAGCTTGTCGTAGACGCGTAATTGCTGGACATGTGGTCGCCATCGCTTCGTGCCTGCTCAGCTCTTTCTCATCAAGTTGATGAATGAAAGTTCAATGGAGCAAACGCGACGTTGGTGTGCAGGAAAGCCTCGGGAATGGGGGATTGATTACAAATAGAGATAATGCGTGATCTAGCTTGATTGGTAGCAGCACGATATTATGCAACGCCGTACATCGGTATCTAGAAATCGAATGTAAGAGGGTTGGTATCACCCAATGGCTGCCTACCTAAGATATCTATATATGTGTGGATGCCATTAGTTACAGTATAATTACTTGTTGGATATATATCTGAAAGGATGTGCAGTGTACCAACGAGCAGAGACAAATACCTGACGGCTTGACTATCTCGCCAGCACGCTTCCTCTTAGGACATGACAATAGGAACAGGGTCAAAGCTAAATCACTCAAACTGCCAGATGGCCTTCTACGACCATTCGTGAACGTCAAGCATAGTATTTATTTACACAGCTGTGGCCTCAAAATTCACTCCAAAGGCGAATCGAGGATTGCTCAATTGGTCGCATGTTCGTGTATATTTCCGCCCGCTTTCCGAGCACCAACAAAACCCAGTTAAAATGCCATTGCCTTTTTGATTTCCGCGATCGCTTTGGCAGGATTGAGGCCTTTGGGGCAGGTTCTCGAGCAATTCAGAATAGTATGACATCTGTAAAGACTCATGCTGTTGTCGAGGGCTTCCTTCCGTTCGGCCTTGCGTTCGTCTCGGGAATCGGCCAGCCAACGGTATGATTGAAGCAGGATTGCAGGTCCTAGGTACTCATCACTGTTCCACCAGTATGAGGGGCAAGATGTGGAGCAGCAAGCACACAAGATGCACTCATAAAGACCATCCAGTTTCTTGCGATCCGCAGGCGATTGCCGGAATTCCTTGCCCTGTTGGAAGACGTTAACACTTGTCTGGTTATTACATCTATCAAAAATACTCACATCTGGGGACTTGGTGTCTCGCTGGAGGAAAGGTTTGATGGATTTGTATTGCTTGTAGAATTGGGTCAAGTCGGGTACAAGATCCTTGACCACATATGTATGTGGCAGTGGATAGATCCGAGACTGCTTTGCTGTGTCGGTTGGGATTCTGCCTGTTTCGTCATGTTAGTCAGAGCTTCCAAGCGCCACTTGGACCAGATGGCATACATAGACAAGCCAATGTGTTGACACCATCAATATTCATAGCACAACTACCACAAATTCCTTCTCTGCAGCTTCGTCGGAATGTAAGTGTCGGGTCCACCTCGTTCTTGATTCGGATTAACGCATCCAGCATCATGGGCCCGGTCTTGTTCAGATCCAGCGTGTAGCTCTGCATCCTCGGCTTGGAGGTAGGCTCATCGGGATTCCATCGATAGATCTGGAAGGTCTTGATCTTCGCATCTTTGCTGGGGACGGGCTCTTCTACAGTCGTCGTCTTGGATGCCGGGATTGGCGGTCTGCTAGCGGAGGTATCATATGTCGACTTTTCGGTCACGGTGGCATACGATCTTCCGGCGAACGACGACCGCAGGACAGACCTAGAGGGAGCAACAAAGCGTGTTGCAGAGCGTAAAGCGGCCATTGTGAGGTTTTCGAACTTGCAGGCAATACTGGCTGACCGCGAACAGCGTATTGCGACCTTCAAGGAGAACGGAGTGGAGAGATTGAAGAGTGGTCGTGGATTGAAATCGGAAAGGTAGAGGGAGCACCGCCTGTGGCGTTTGGAATCTCGATGATGCTTTGAACCTCGGATCCAATCAGCGCAGCCGCAAATAATCCATAGCACGTGCCGACACTGCCAAGACCGTTCACCTTCCGAGCAGTTTTCCCGTTTATCTTCCGATTGTTTCTCTTCTTCCGATCACGCCTGGGAATGGAATGGTATGTACGGGACTGCCTAGGCATGCATCTCAACACCCATCCTTACTGAGAGGGACTGCCCTCAACATCCTGCAGCCTATGAATCGCATATATACATCTATTCGCACCACCGAGTTCTACTTGAACATTTTATGACCGGTCCTTCTGTTTTGACCGAACAAGATCACGTGACGTGATTGCCCTTTTCAGGGGTTTGAGAGCCTCGCATTTCGAGTGGTGTACGGAGTATGTTCCAGATTATCACGGAATATTAAGGTACTTATGTTCATTGCATACAGGTTAAGTGATTCCCTATGAATGACCAACACCTGAAGGCGATTCTCCGTTTCACAGACATTAACACTTCATCAAGCCTACAGGTAATGGTTCAGTCCTCTTAGCATCTACGGTTCAATTTAATCTAGCAGGTAATGTGAGCTACGATTGGTGTTAATGTCACATGTAGACGAAAGAATGCTGTGCAGTGAATGAAAGCCGCCAAGATCAGCACTGTTTGCCCACAAATATCTACGCAGCCTTGCATTCCTCCCTCCCTCCCTCACTCTCTCTTTCTTCAAGAAACCCACCTAGTCCAGTTGAGACAGCGTCTCGATCGGCCTCCGGGTTTCTGGGCTGAGTCGTAGCTCTTCCCGAAAATATTCTCCAAACAAGCAATGAGCTCTTCATTGAGGTTCATTGAACTGGACAGCTAGTCTAGTCGGTGCTCCTGGGTTGATCGGTGCGTCGTGCCTTTCAGCCATTGAATGCCACTGGATGCGTTTCTTCAACAATCCTCATGCGCAGGCGCAGCGCGCCAAAGCAAGGCCTTTTCTCTCACCCCTCAATGTTCAACCAACCGCAAGATCAACCAATCCAGCGGCCGCAGCAGCCGAGCCAACAACAGAGTCGACGAAGCACTCCGCCAGATCCTAAATAGATCCTCAAAAATGACCTGATGTGAGCAACACCCTATCGGCCTTTTGCTCCGTGATACGGGTTTTGGGGTCGAGCCTTAGCTCTTCCCTCCGAGCCCACTCCAACTACGAGCTCATGGTTGAGTGTCACAAAGCTTGAGCACTTGATCGAATCCAATGTTTAACCGGTATCTGGTGGAAGAGATCTTGCACCATTAACTGAACCGGGCAGCGTCTGGATCTTCTGAGATCGGTGGAAACGGACCCAGTCTGGTCGAGTCGCTAGAAGCATCGCCTCGATCAGAGTCCAAGGTGGAGGGTTTGTCCTGGTGGCACTGGTGGCACTCCATCAAAGTCCAAAAGAATTGAATTCGATGTCAGAACGGCGGTTTTCGGCAGAGGTGCCTGCGGATACCGGGTTTGGATGTTTTGGGTTCACAAAATGGGACAATGTCTACATGAGACAGTGTCTTGATTAGCCTCTGAGCTTTGCTTTACAATGGAACCGTGTACTTGTGTACATAGAACCCTCAAAAAATCATTGAAACCCGCATATTTCTTCCTCATTGCTCCTCGTGCGATTGAAATCTGATGGCCTAATTTGGGCTCGGTCCGCGAGAGAACACAGCTTGCGGTAGGTCACTCGACCATGAGCCTGTTTTGTCGTTTGCGTTTTCGGGCATCGCCTCCTCCGGTTGGTCACTGCTTTCCGTACAAGCAATTATTACGATAGGAAAGGAATCCCCATTAATCATTCCCCTTTGCTCCAGAATTTGCGAGACAACCTGTCCCGATGCCTACCGCATTCGTTCCATAGATTCCAACATGCCGAAGCAAGTTACAACACCTCAAACTCTGGATTTGTCACGCGTGCTTTCATTCTCGGTTCTGTGTGAAATTGTTCACTTGGTCCGCCCTGAATTATTTGCCATCGCCACCTTCTGCTCTTGAACCTTCATACCAATGCTCGTAAGGGGAAAGTCGAATGGAATGGTGTCATCGCCTGATCATACATCCTCTGGATTCGCTGTTCAGTGTCCATGGTAGGCTTAGGCATGCATCGCTCTGTCGCTGGTACACGGTTCCTGATAAACCTATGACGGCGCTTGGTGTTTCTCTTGGGTGCGGACGGATATCATGCTGACCACCTCTTCACTATCTTCAACATCGTCGCAATCATTATGTAGCTGACTCGAATGTCCGGGGCTACTAGCGTGAGCTTCGACTGGAGTATTGTCATGGTCGGAGTGGCTGTCCATATCCACATCGCCGATCAAACCCTCAGAGAGGCGGTAAGGATTTACCTGTCGAGATCTGTTGGGGTCAAAGGTGCCTGTTTCACCTTCCGAGTCTGTTGTGCTAATTCGATTACTGTCGGTAATCTTTAGCCCGCTGCTGTAGTTTGCGTCTCAATGGAAATTCTCCTGTGGATGTTGATCTTCCTCCTCTTTGTCTTCAGGTCCATTATGCGGCCCCGTCTCTAGTGCGTTTTCGTTGGCTTCACTCGGCTGAGCATGCTTTCAGTGTACCGCGTGGTTCAAGGTGACAATATGTTGCACGTTCTTTTTCATTTCGATTATGTCGACGCGCTGTTTCTTCAAGGTTGTCTGCAGGTCCTCTATCTCACCGCATTTCACAGCCAGCTCTCCCTCGAGTGACCTCGACGCTTCCAGAAGTGCTTCGTATCTTAGCGTCAATTCTTGGAATTTCTCTTCGACAGGTTGGTGGATTTCGCGTGTCAGTTCCATGACTTTCTCACCCAAATCACCCTGCCAGTCAGTTTGCAAATCCTCCGCTTTAACTGGTCCAGACTTTCCAATACCAGTTATTCAGCAGCCTGTTCCATGGCACCTGTCACCTCTGGTAAGTGGGCTCCATTGAACTGCCTCCGTAATTTCTCCCTCCTCGATAATTTGGTCGGTCAAAGTATCAATCCGCCTCCTGAAGTTGGCATACTCTTCCACTTCCTGCGAGACTTTGGGCCCACGAGGATCTCGTCTGTTCCTATTGTTCATTTGATTGGGTTTGGTTTCGAGCGAAGAGCTACAGCTCAACGCCAACAAATGGGTATTCTGTTCGCTGAACAAGATACCGGAGAATTCTGCTATAATGCTCGAGAGGAGAAAGAAAGAAAGAAAGAAAAGATGGAGACGAGTGGCGATAGGGAAATATTGATTGCCTCCCATGGCATCCAGGGAAAGAGCGATATTAACGGGTAATATCAACAAGGCAAGTGCCACGTCTCCCTGCTCCACACCTTCGTGAGAGCTTGTGCTGTATCATTTTTCCCTCTTCAGTCAATGTGATTCATTGTGCTCTTTTCTTATCATCACCGTCCTGCATCTTACCGTACATGGTCACTTCCCTTCCTGTTCTTCCGTGGGATCATGTGGCAGAAAGTATGTAAACGACCATTTGTGTTCTGCATCCTATTCCACATGTATCTGTGTTTTGTACGATGCTAAAATGCTCTTACTTTCAATGAATGACCACAACCAGCACGTTGACCATCACGACCACGAGCATGACATCGACCACTCAATTACCACGACCACCCCGACCGCGACCAACGCCTCGACCACCACCACGGCCACCACGAGCAGTTGCGTGAGAGCACCACGTGCAACTTGGGCCAAATCCATGGAATCGATCAAATGCTGACGTCGAGCGTGGAGGGCTAAGATAGACTTGTTCTCATCCTCTCGTATGTCTCCGTGTCACTCGGAGTGACCACAAAGCCCTCCTTCATGGCTAGATCCAAGACAGTCTTCAATTCAGGCTAATTCTTGAGCTTCTCGAGGGCTTTAAGTAGTCCATCAAGGTTTCCCAGCATGATAAGGCGAACTTCTGGCGAGAGCTGGCCACGTTCGCAGGGCGGAGTCTCGCACATGGGGGCTGATGTACGGAAACGCGTCCCAAGCTCTGGTGTCGACGGTCTCATATTGATCGTTGAAATCTTTGACACAACATGCACCGAAACTGACAATGGATATGTCCACCTCGCGCCCTTGAGAGGAGTGAACGGTATCGTAGACGATCTGGGACATGTCTGGTATATGTGCCTTGGTCCAATTTTCCTCATTCGCAATGATCGGCATCCTGCGTTTTATTTCGTGCTTGATTATATTGATATGTGCCTTGTACATGCAGATCACACCAATTCGCGCTGGGCTTCAATTCTGGGTTGTGGGCCAGAAGTGAACATATGATGTGTGCGGCCATACTGGCCTCCATGGAATTGACAGATGAAGGCGAGTGTTGATCCTTGTAAGAGATCGAGTCCTGCATATTGACGAATACCACCTCGGGATAAACTATGGTGTCGTCTTTCTCCTCACCATGGAAGAATCGCTTGATGAAAGTCTAAACCATGGGAGTAACGGACCCGGTTTCGTCATGACATCGGCCGTTACGATTTTGCCACCGTAAAAGTCCGAATTGGTCAGCACATTGCATGTTGGTGTCATGCGATGCTGGATCGTGAGACGATAGACTGGGACACCACACTCGCGCAATCGCTCGAAGGCCGAGGAAGTCTGTTTCAGTACACTGCGCTGTTTCATCCACGAAACATACCTCTGGTTTAAAGTGTTCTGCTAAGATATTGTTGGCAGACTTACCGCATGTCGTGATGACGATAATTATGGTTAGTGCGGTATACCTCGATGCGGGCAAGCCTCATAGCTTCGTTGAATCTCTTAGCAGAAGCCTGTTTCTCCTTACCACCGGGCATGGCATTAAATTCAGTACCGATGCTGAGGAGGGTGTTACTGGCGTCGAGAAGCCCCTTATCTTCCGGCAACAGACCGGAAGGGTGTCGCGGACTACCGTAAATTTCTGTCTTCCTGACGGCTAAAGCGCGAACGTACGCAGCAGTTGACATGCTCCGAGCGTGGAAGTGTTTCGGATGAAGTTTGTCAGTGTCATTCAACGCCGCTTCTGTCAACTCGTTTGTGTTGATATTCTCGGCCAACATGCTTTCAAGTTGTTCAATTACCAGCATCTCGGCATCTCCCTTGGACTTTGGAACGAATTGCTTTTCGTCTTCCTCTGAAAGTAGGGCAAACTCATGTTCTGCTCCCACAATATGCTCACGGAGTATGTGACGTTCCCATGACAAAGGTAACATTTTTTGGATCATAAGAGCAATGCCATCGACCGCCGGATTGCTCGGAGTGCACATAAGCACTTTGTCATCCGCTACATTGACATGCACAATGGCGGCAGCAGCAAGAGTCATTCTCTTGCCTGTACCCGGGGGACCTTGGACAATGTTGACCAAATTTTGTTTGGTACCTAGAAGAACTGCCTCTCGTTGTGGCTTGTCAAGGTTCCACTTGCAATTCGTATTGAGGGAATCGAACTCCAGCTTGAACTTGTCATACGCCGCAATTTCGATCTCTGTTCTGGGGATTGCTTTCTTCCCATCATGGCTTGCTTTAGGCAAGACGTTTGGATAAGTTGTTGGATCCTCAGGAGTAGGATAGTTCTCAGACACACAGCCAGTAAGCAAGTAAGCACCTTGGCAAAACGTTTGAACCACTGTGTGCCTAATCCGCATTGGCAAGCATGGCATAATGCAGAGGCTTGTCATTCGGTTTCGCATGCAGTGATGCCTTCATACCAAAACGAGTTTGCTTCAATGCCTCTTCAATCGAATCGAAAGATCGTACGACTTGACTGTCCACTGGACGGTAGGCTAGAAGGACGAAATCAAACGACATGTTTTCGGCCATGAAGGGATTTTCTGGATTTACTAATCGCATATATTTCCCCACCCAGCGATGATGATCGGGAGCGCTCGCAAACCCCTTTCAAGTAGAAGTTGATCGTAAAAGTCCGTCCTTGCTGGAAAACCGAATCGTGGCCCAGACCCTTGCAGATTTTAGCATCTAACTGGACGTACACCTTGAGATATCCGCGGTTTCGGATTTTTTCAGCCCGGTCATCAGCCTCTTGGGGGCTTGCATCGGCCATCTCGACATCTTTGCCATTGCTGTCCTTGGTGGTCTTGTCGTCGGCTGGGAATGCGGAAATCATGCGAACAGCGTAGGTAGTGACATTGACATTGACAAATGGCTCCTAGTTAGAGTCAGGAGTGCTGAAGACCTGCTGGTCAATGACTGCTTGTACTATCAGGTAGTTAAGGATTGAGTTATACTTGGCAATTGGTCGAAACTTGGCAATAACAGTTGATAATGCGTCCTCCTCTTCGCCACGCCTAAGCATGCCGCCACCAACATGGAATGCATCAGGAATCCTTCTGAGGCCCAAATCACCTGTGGCATTGTGGTAGTGATAAAACCACGGAAGATAGCTCTTCACTGCATAAACGAAAGAGCTGATCCCTTGATCATAGTAAATATGTCTCCTGTTTTTCATAATCTCGTTGTCCGGGAAGCGCCAGTAGTATGCGAGAGGGACATGCGCAACTAGGAAGTTCTGGAGGTATTTGACAAGCTTCTTGATGAATCCCGGCAAGTTCGTCCACGGGCTCGTCTGAAGGAGCCTCGGTCGTCTCTCTCTTATCGTCAGGATTTGTAGCATCATCTGCCTTGCCCTGACTTGGATCGTTGGCGGCGGCCAAGGCTGCTACTTTGCCCATGGCTTCCTTTTTTTGAGCTTTCAACTTCAATTCCGTTGACAATGCATTGCTGGCGCCTCTAATGACATTGGGGATTACAGCTAGCTTTTTTGGCTTGTCGCGGAGCTTTCACTGTTCCCATCGACGTCCATGCCTGTGAAAGCCTTGATGGCTTCGTCAAATTCGTTGGCGTATCTGCCTTCGACCTCTCGAAGATCTTCTGGCGACGAGTAATAGATGTCACAGTCCTTGAAGGATCGAGCAGGAACACTTTTGCCGTCCATGTCGATACGGCCTGGAACAAATGTGATCGAAGCCTCACCAAACGCCTTAGGCAGCTTTTGGTGCATCGTATGACCAAATTTCACTTTATGGTCCTTGTGAACGGCGACAGCGAACTTGACACACAATGCGCCCATGTGAACAAAGTCCCATCTGACGGTGGAGGCGTAATTGCCGTTGGGAAAGCGAGAAAGACTTGAGAAATATAAGGTATTATTTGGTTGAGCACCTTGATCTGATCGAATGATTAATTGATTGAGTGTGGGATTTCAAGCATGCTTGTCACAGGCAGTTTCTGGACCATGACAGATCTCTTGAAAACGACCAGTGTATGGTTGTACATGTCGATCAAGGAGTGCTTTACGCATCACTCCATGTGCGGTGTGAGGGTTGATGACACGATCATTACTGAGGGTGGCTGTCTCAGTTAATGTCCGGGAGTCGTCGAAGGCCTCGTCTCCCCGTGACTTGCAGAATTGGACATGACGTGCTTTTTGGCCCGAGAAGCAGCACCGGTTTCTGCCAGCTTCCGCTTGCTTCCAGGCATTATATCCTCCAGGAGTTGTTCGATGTCTTCGAAGTCGAGGACCTCATCATCAAGGACCTCATCGTGAGGTTCAACGGTCTCCTTGCCGGGTTTTCACCAGAGATTCTAGACATTGCGCCGGATTCGACTAGATAAAGATTGACGAAGAAACAAAAAGGAAAGAGAAAGAGAGGAGAACTGAAGGTTGGGCAAATATTTGTGGGCAAGCAGTGTTGGTCTCGGACTCTCGGCGGCTCTCATTCATTGCGCAGGATTCTTGTAGCGGCATGTGACATCAATCATAGTTTATGTGACCTGTCGCGTTGGGTAGTCGCAGTGTCGTTGATCTCAAGACATTCTACCGTCGTTCGTCCTCATTCTGTTCACCTACACTTTTTTCTTCAACGCTCTTGGATATGGCACCCTGACAAAGAGGAGGGGGAAGTACTGCATTGAGGTCTGTGCGTGGGCCACACACACATGTCATGCTTGATCCGAGAATAGTACATTGCCAGGACAAAAGCTCAGCACCGAAGCATTGGACACAAAAGAATTCGAGATGTCGACTTAAGCTTCAACGAATCCTTGTCAGCGTTGAGTTGGCGGCTTCGGGTAAGCTCTCCGATTGAAGTCCCTACAGCGGCACAGACTCGAATTGGCTGCAGGATCTACGAGTCCCTTGTGATGTAAGTTCAACTGAAGGGGCGGGGCACTTGTGCAGGAATAATACCATATAATTGTTTTGGAAGATCTGATTTCGTGCTTGGCTAGAGATTCTCACCTAAATAGAATGGTGGTAATATCTTGGTAAGCAGCGTGGAAGCATGGGAAGTTTTCCGTGTACGGCAGATGCTTGCCATACATTAAATCAAGTGGGTTTGCTGTTGGCACACATCAACTTCGGTTCCAAGGAGAGGCCATACATTTATTTGACCAGGGACAGCGCATGTCCTTTCACAGGACAGGAAGAGTGAGGGAGTGGCAGGCCAGGAATTGGGAATAGGCTCTAGAACGAGTGCTGGTCTCGGTGGGTTTGTGGTTGGGAACTGACCACCAAAGCGGCAATTTGGAACAGTCAGGACTCGAGGTAACAAACGTGTTGGGATGCCACCCACCCTTGGTTTGGCACAATTCCTATCACGGATATGGTACAACATCGAACGCTTGATGGCTGCGCCGACGGGAAGAAAATGGAATATCAACATGTATTGGACATAGCAAAACGCCGTGGTCTAGAAGTTACCGATGTTTCATACGCAATTCGGAATGATTGAATTGATCAACGCCAAAGAGTGTGTTTGGCATCTCTAAAAAAGGTATATTGCGACAGGCCAGATGAGGTATTTTTTGGATTCCTTCAGGATTATACCTATGTATCCACGCCTAAGTCAAAAAGAGAGGGAATGCTCGAGGACAGAATTCCAACAGTCCCACCTCATTTACTCCCCTTCAGAGACCCTCTCGTCATAGAATTCGAGCAATCAAGGCCGCATATATGTTCATGCTATTGGACCGTCCTTCCCAGCTCTTTTCTTCCTGTCCAATTGCTCGAACATCTCTAGCTGCCCCCCTCAGCCGGCTATGCTCCTCTTTCGAGAATATTACCTGCCGTCTCAACCCTCGAAAAGCTCGAGCTTCAGGTCCACTCAGTCTTGAAAGCACTTGAAAATCATTGTCAGACTCGAACGCGAAGCCGTCTATGTTATTTTCAACTTGGGAGTTGTCGTCTTCCAGATCGCTGGCATTATTCGGAGGCTGATTTCCGTCCCCAAAACCTCCTCCCGTGTCAGCTTCGGAGTCGCTAGAGTCGTTCAGATTGCCGTTAACAGTTCTGGAGGATGGTGTCATCTCTATGTAGGTCATCCTCTCATCCGTTTTGTTGACGAATGCAGCTCTTCCTCCTCCTCTTAATGTTGATCATCCAACTCTGTTTTTTGTGCCTTGTTGATGGCATTCTGGATATCCTTTGTCGAGAGGAGCCGATTCTTGAATCTGAAAGGTATCGAACAGGCTGATCTGTTATCCAATGCTTCACGAAGCAATCCTACACCATCTTCCATGGAAGAAAGCCTTGACAGCCGGGCAAGTAGCTCCCGGGTTTCCCTGCTCCACTTGGATGGTTGGCAGTCACTCACCAGTTTTGAAGGCTCATATCCCCAATTTTCGTGCAGCACTCCCAACACTGGCAACCGTTGCCAACCGTTGCCGGCATTTCACCCGCGCCACTGTTGCTATGGACATTATTGATATGATCATTAAGGAGTGTCTAAGAACGAAACCCGAGAACAAGACCGAAATCTTGGGTCCAAGAAAGCACCCCGCCGGGAATCTCAGACATGAACAAGGAGAACAGGGGAAGAAAGATGGAGAAAACATTGTGCGAGGAAGTAGGAGTCCAGCTGCACGCGCCAAGGCTTGAATCACCTGCCCAGGGCGACCATACCTAATGTATTATGTACTTATGCCTACCGAGAACAGTCCTATTCATTTGTCTTTGCCGTCCAAATAGCCATGCTGCGTGCATGATGTTCCACGAGTATCTTCCCACTTTGCTGAGGAGATGGACCTTACTTAGTCGTCGACCCAATCACCTGTTCTCTTCCACAGGCAATGATCTCGTCCTTCCTTTGTTGTGTTGGATTCTCGTAACTTATGCATTCGCAGCCTCACCAGTTGAGGGATACAGAAGCTTTCCCCCCATTCCGTTGGGCAGAGGGACAATCAATTCATTTAACCTGCTAAAGGTCGTGCTGCATTGTGGGCACTGCTGCACTAGGGTTGTGTTCACTCAAACTTCGAGGTTTTGATTTCTTCTCGAAGAATGTATTGCTCATCTTGTGCATCAAGGATCGTTACTCTCCTCGAAGTTAGTTTGAGAAAACTCATGGCTCAGCAATGAAAAAAGAGTACGAAAGGAGTTCCATTGGACTTGAACTCTGGAATGTAATTAGTGCTTGTCACAGATTATCGTTACGGTCGATCGGTTTCAAGTCGTAGCGCAGAATGGTCACGTGGTAAGGCTAGTCTGGAAATGTCCATAGTGTCCTGGGTGCCTAGCCCCTTCAAATGTAACCCTCTCCTCGAGTTCACCGCTGGTTATGTAACGGTCGCTGCGGGCCAGATAGATATACATCTTACTTCACTCTATCAATCTACAGTTACGGTATCAATCGTACGCAATACGGCAAGTGACGTGAAATTACCACGCTTTACTGGGTATGAGCTGGCTCTCCATCATTGGTTCAGTCCTGCTATCTTTTCTCTTCATGAAAATGGGTCAAGGCAATGCCAGTGGCTGATAAATCAACTACTGCCTCACGCGACATCTTGCTCATGAATCGCGGTGACTCTTTGAGCAGCGAATCGGTGCAGCAGTAAGTCCCTTTTTTTTTTTTTTTTGAGCAGCTCTCAGTGATGCATGACGAGAAGGCTGAATCTCCATGCGAAACTTATGACAGGCTGATTGGAAGTTTGTTCATCCTCGGCTTTGAAGGAACAGAAATCACGCCTCAAATTCGAAGCGTAATTGAGCAAAACTATGTGGGGAGTATATGTATTTCTGCCAAAAATCTAGTAGGTGCGTTATCGCTTGCCAGACCTCTCGCCCCGGTATCCACCTTTCGGTGCCGCGAACTTGTCACTGATGTCGCTTAGACGCACGTCAGGCTACAGAGGTAGTGTCATATCACGTATGAAAGCTCCATTCAAGGAAGACTTACAATTCATTTAGCTCATTGTGTCTTTGCAAAAATTGGCTTATGATGCGGGCCATCGGCAACCCCTGCTCATTTCCCTGGACCAGGAAAATGGCCTGGTCAACTCAATATTCGACTCCGATCATATCACCCAGTTTCCATCGGCTATGGCCATTGCTGCTTCAAGATCACCCCGATTGGCAAGGACAGTCGCTACTGCAACAGCGAAAGAACTGTCATGCTTAGGTGTGAATTTGATCCTAGGACCAGTACTCGACGTTCATGCACGTGGTCAAGCACAGCAAATGGGTGTGCGGTCATTGGGAGAAGACGACCATGTTGTTTCTGATCTGGGCCTGGAGTACGTCAAGGGCTATCACTCAGGGGGCCTGTTGAGTTGTGGAAAGCATTTCCCTGGTTACGGGAATCTCATGTTTCCAGGAAATCTCTCCGACATTCCCAGTGTACCTGGGACGCTGGATCAACTGTACTACTCATCGCTCGCTCCGTTCCAGGCAGCAGCCGATAATGAGGTGGATTCAATGCTAGTGGGAGCGTGCGCCATGCCCGATGTGGAATATGAGAACGTCCTGCATGCCTGCCTTTCGCGACACGTTGTCACAAACCTTCTGCGGGAACGTATCGGGTTCAAAAGGGTGGTGATATGTGAATGTCTTGAAATTGAGTCCATGTACGAGAGCTTCGGAGTGGGGCAAGCATCAGTGATGGCAGTTGATGCTGGTTGCGACTTGCTCATGGTATGCAACTCTTATGCTAACCAACGAGAAGCCGTGTTAGCGATTCAAGCTGCAGTTGCATCCAACGTCATATCTATCGACAGGATATTGGAATCTGTCAGCAGAATTTCGGATATGAAACGCAAGCTCCTCACGTGGGATCGAGCTTTGAATCCGCCGGGAGTGAAAGGACTCGGACTGCTCAAGAAGGAGCATGAAGCATTGTCGCGTGAGGCATACGAGAACTCTATCACCTTGATAAGGGACCGACCAAAAGTCATTCCTCTATCTGCGAAAGCGGACCCAACAGCAAAGCTTTTGTTATTGACGCCCCTCGTGGAAACTTTCCATGGAGCTCAGTCTCCAACATCAATGGAAGACGATACGTTGCTCCTTGTGAGGACTTCACATGCGGGCAGATCTAGACCTCACACGACTGGTCATCTCGACGGAGAGGCGGCCTTTCAGTCTTTTGGACGCTTGGTAGCTAAAATGTGGCCTGGGAAGGTCGTTCACACCTCTTACACTGCTAGCGGAGTCAGTCCACTTCATGAAAAGCTCGTATCCGAAGCAACGGCAGTGGTTCTGCTCACAGCGGATGGCTTTCGAAATACTTACCAATATGGTTTCACCAAATACGTTCTAGCTTTGTGCAAAAGCCAATCTTTCAGTCCTAGCGGTCACAAACCTTGTGTCGTGGTGGCAGTCAGTTCACCGTACGACTTTTATAATGACACAGCGGTTTCCACCTACCTGTGCACGTACGACTGCACCGATGAGGCGCTAACGTGTCTTAGTCGAGCGCTTTTTGGTACGCTCACTCCAGCTTCCGCGTCTGATCCTTCGTCGAATTTGCAGCCAATCCCGGACAGCGGGAGAGCACCTGTGCAGCGCCAATTATGGCTTGTTGAAGACTTTGCATCATCTCGAGATCTAGATGGCCTTCAGGAGCTCCTAGACAGGACTCTCAACACTTCCTCAGACCGTGCTGAAATGGTCGAAGCACACTTCCCGTCTTGTTGTTTCAAAACTTCCTCATATATAGCGGACTTTGATCCTATGATCAAGTCACACCATTTTGTGGTTAGAAATAGCAGCACAAGAGTAGTGTACGGGTTTTGTGCGACATACTATGTTCCTTCTCTAGGCGTGGCATCTGTCGGTTTGATACTGGTCGATATCGAGAAGAGACAGAAAGGCATTGGTTTCTCCTTGCATCAACGAGCCTTGTCATACCTTCGTTGTTTGCCAGGAATAAAACATCTGCAACTCGGTACCACTCTTCCATCAGTATACCCCGGGATTCCCAATCGTCTGAATTCCACTCACGTCGTGCTCAGAAAATGGGTCAAGGCTAAGTATGACTCCACTCGATTTTGAAAGGTGTCATCGGAAAGGTTCTAACTGTATTTTCATAGAGGGTGGTTATTCCAGGATTGGAACAGAACCGCTGTGTTCATGATACGATCATTCTCTTTGGATTTGTGGAGGCCTCCTATCGAGATCCAAGAGAAACTCTTTGCCAGACATGTCGCCGCGCATGCGCAAGGACCGTCGAATCTAGAAAGTTTACAGCGACATCTTTCAAAGGCTCAGCCATATGCTGCACCAGGGCGATCTGTGGCTCAAACACCAATTATGGCATATCTTTACGAACAGGCTCAGGATGACATCCAGAAAGCTACAATAGTAGTTGTGAAAGAGCATGAGACTGGGGAGGTGGTAGGATCGGCAATACTTTATCACCCCGATTCCATACTAGGAAGGCTGTTTCCTCTCGAAAACGGCCGGATGGGTGGCGTGACAGGTATGATGATATCGGATAATCGACAACCAGAGCTTATCGCCCAGGCGCTTCTTGTTGGTGCTGCTGAGCAATTGAAGGAACGAGAATTTGCAGGGTGCTGCGTGTTTCTTGTAAGTGTTATCGATGCGAGGCAGGGAAGCTGAGCGTGTTTCCCCGTGATGCTAACAATTCCACAGGCCGACCAAGAACCTTTACGCAAAATGCTTACCGAACTAGGCTTTCAAAAGGTATACGAATTCCTTGGGATGGAGCAACAAGTTTGAGTAGACAGCTGGCATATGTATATGTCCATGATCGGTCTTGGTACAAAGTACTACGTATGTTGCACGTAGCGTAACGCGCCGTAAAATCTTGTAATTCTGCCTGCTTGGAACATATTCGGACGAGGAGGTATTTTGGTTGGTTTTGGGCCGAACGGGATCACATACTGTGTCTGGCAAGAGTGCCCGGACCAGAGGATGTGGCACAGCTGTATAATGGTGATATAGTGTGAGACAATCGACAAAAGATATGCATTATCTTTTGGGCGCTGACCCTTGGTGGTACGTGACAATCAGAGGAATGACCTGGATAGAAGATCTCGGTAGGTCCCGACCTAATACCAGTTCAGTTGCATTCACTCCATCGCTTTCCCTGCTCGGCTCGGTGGGGTACGCTGTTCACCATACGCCCGCTAATATTATCTCGGGGACATTCTATCTCGCTTAAAGCCATTAGTTCAAGCCTATCTCTTGCTAAAGATACGGGGTATTCTGGACCGCACACGACTTCATTCCTCCCACTGCAACCACGCGACCTTTACGTTATGAAGGTCTACGTCTTCACGACATAGTCGTGCTCCCATATGGCGGTCTCAGCATTCCTCGACGATGACAATCTTTGCAATCTCCTGGATCGCAACGTCAGTCCCGCTCAGTATGAGAACATTTTCGACAACTGTAGTAACATCCCAATATCGAATTTTGAAGATGATTACTCACTGTTCTTGTGAGTTCTGTCTAAACTATCTTTAAAGCCTCCTATTAGCTGACGGTCTCGTAGTAATGACTTGAATGACTCCATCTTTGGCTATCAGGAACCAGGTCTCGGGCTTCGACAAGGAACGACCCCACTGGCAAATGGGACGCACGCTGCCCGTGGAGAAAATCATGAACAGCAGCCTGCTATTTCGAATCCGATACAGGATCCAACCTCACATATCGAACCTATACTCGCATTTCAAAATTGCTTGAGAAACGATGGTGAGGACCCGAAAGCCCGAGTTGATCCCAATCGCCTGAGGATCGAGGCTCAGATTGGCGGTCGCATCAAGATACCGGAACAGACCCCTGGTCCAGCTGCCTCTGAAGTAGGCGAACTCACATTCTACCGAAGGAATCTGTTCAAAGTCAGTGCCAGACTCTATCTTCCTCAAGAAGGAGTGTCAACTCTTCTTCAGCAGGGAGTTTTCAGGCTAGTGGCCAGGTTGGATGCGATTGAAAGCATAGAAGGGGAGACTGTAAAACTCATCAAGTTGCCGATCAAAAATGACGTGCCAGCTGAAGAGTCAACATCCGCCAAGGTGGAACCAGTGCAACCTGTGCTGCTAGATCACCGAGCAGCAGATTCAACGGGCCAAGCGAGTCTTGCTATGTGCTGGGATCGACTTCAGTTCCGACGGGCAACTACCAAGACTCGAGGAAGTGTCGCACAACGGTATCAACTACGAGTAACGATTCTCGCAACCACCATCAGCGATCAATCTGAGAAGACACTCGCCCAAGTAGCAAGCAAACCCATAGTGGTGCGGGGACGAAGCCCAAAGAATTACCCTGACCAGGCCAAGGGTCAAGACTTCTCGGTCAAAATTGCGAAAACTGACCGCTCTGCATCAGTACGCCGAGAATCCGTTACACATACGGTTTCACCGGAATTTCAGGGGGGTGTGATTGAGCCGGCGGCCATCCTGACGGCCACAGGAGGCCGGCCAGATACGCAATTTTCAAGCAGGAGGCCGACAGAAGAATTACAGCTCAAAGCAGCGGCCGACCAACGACGAAACATGACGGCCGGAAATATCGAGACTACAGATTTGGATTTATACTCTGACGGGAGTGAGGGTTCGAGCCCACCCGAGATACCGTCCGCCACCTTTGCGCCTCGCAATATCTTGCCACCGAATGGGGATGCACGTATCCCATTACTGGGCCACAAATCAACAATTGCACAGGATTGGTTGAAGCCACGAAAGGCTGAACCGCCTCCCGGAGCAATTCTCCTCCCTTCACTTCGCAGACAGTCATCCAAAGCTACCGCCCACGACTCGGCACCTCCTGCCGCTGTTGACACAGACGTCGATTCGTATGAGTATATCCCGCTGTCTATCAATGATTGGTCTGCTCCAGTAGACCCTGTGTATGTAAGTACTACGAAACATCGCCCAGTATTTCAAAGCAGCCAACGAAAGCTAATTTTCTTTTCTTGTTGCAGAGACCGCATGGGGTGCACCATAAGGCAGTCAAGGATCAGTATGGCCGATCGGCTGCCAAGAAGCGATACTTTATCGACGTCAAGTAGGAGAGGAGATTCAACAGGATAATTCGTTGGCCGAGGTGTCTCCGGAGTGGATTCTGATGGGCTCATGGAGATTTTCCTGCCCAGGCTTCCTTGTGCGTTGAAAGCGAACATTGTATCGTAGCAATTCGCCCAGATGTAGAATGGAAACGCCGCGGGCTAGTGGACTATGCTATCATCGTGCCTTATTCTAGTGTATAACATCATGAATGCAAGACCTATAGATTACGCTAGACCTTGTATGTCCGTATGTACGGGTACTGTAGATATGTGTGCTCAAAGAAAGGGCATGGTAATCAGACTGTGCCTCTAAGCAGGAACAATTGACGGATCTTATCTAATCGATCTCAACTATCCCTCCATCATCATCATCAGGTATGATGGTAGGCTGGGCCCGCCGCCGCTTTTGACGTCTATAAGAACCCCGTCTCCCATCCCATCCCATCCTCCTTCCCCCCCTCCCTCCAACCTGTTTTTTCTTTTCTCACCTCTGTCGCGCTGATGCGACTGTCCTACTTCGCCCGACCGCGCCTGGCTCTGCCCCCTTGCTATGTTTGACCCCTAGTTGAGATTTTGTCCCATTCCTCTAACCGCAACCTTCGAAATCTGGCTTGGGTGATCGAGTGTCACTCGATCACCCACCTAATCCTTGAGCCTTGCAGCCTCTACACCGTTGACGCAACCTTTTTCGGCTCTCTTCGAGTCTCCCCCTCTATGGCACGTTTAGCTTTATCGGCCGCATAAATTGCTGGCTCAGCTGAACCCCTCTATTATCTACGCCCCGGTAAGGGTCTTGAGGGAGTTAGCAGGGGTGCGTCTCCTCATACCGTCTTACCATAGGCGCGAACTGTAAAGTCGGCACAGCCTAGTTGATTTTTGGGTGCGGCCGTCACAGGAAGTCGCGCCATCACCTGATGCGCCGCCTAATCGTGTGATGTCGAAGATGGAGCGCGAGACGCGTATTCAATTTGGGCGGCCAAGGGTAGGAAGCAGACTTACTGTATCCCAGTCTGCCGGCAGCGACGGGTATGGCACATCGTCGAAGGAAGCTAAGTCAGGGGGAAGTTCCTGCGCAGGAATGACAGGGTCTGTCGGTGGTAGAGTTGTTATTGGAGAATCTGCGGTAGATACTGGAGCCTCTGGCGCTCCAGCGGAAGGTGTCGACATAGGGGCAACGAACAGCAACCCCACGATTAGTCTGGATGTCCAAGGGGTCATGTTGGGTATGCTACTTTGTCTTTTGGCCCGAAAGCAGTATGAGTCAAACAGCCGTGTTTGCCAACTAACTATATGATTGATGCTAAGGATAGTTGAGGATGGAGCTCAACATGTTGCCCATTAGAGTACTCTTATTGAGATACCATACTCGGGAGCATCTTCAGTCAGCAGTGATTCCCATGAATAGGCTGAAACTGCCACCGCGCCTAAAGGATGTCTGATGTGTACCGCCTAGCGATGACGAGATACTGCAAATAGTTGTCTCCATTGTCTCAGCGAATTACATGCCTATATAGACAGTCCAATATAGGTCGAGGCCACTATCATTTCGCTCAGTAAACTTCAATTTAAACCTCTAGATATAGGAGGAAAGGGATTGAAGTGGTCTAGGGTCACACGACCTAGTATAGGCGAAGCATTTAGCTTGAAGAATGGTGGTCGACCATTATCTAGGTAGTTTTCTCATTGCCGCGCGTTGAACTCAAACGCAACCTTGGGACGAAAGGCCGATATGGCCAAGCAACCTAAACATGAATAGGCCTAACGGTGCTCACGTTATCACCCTTTCTAGGGGGCGGAGTGGGCGGCTCTAGGTCCGGCTCGCTATTACGGTATAGAACTTTACTCACCTAATTCAGCTACTTAATATGGTAGTATTTCAGCCGTTAAAGCACTATCATAGTGAAGCAATTAATCAGGCTGTACGACATAGCGATCTTCATTTTCGTCGAAGTGAATTCCTTACGAACCTTCATTGTATTCGTATAGAAGCTATTCGACCTAAAACCATTCGATCATTATTCAAAAAACAGGCTCAATACCACTTAATCCACAAGAGCTTTATTAAGTTCTATCAAATCACCTAGATAATATCCTAGCTAGTTTATCCGAAAGCGAAGCGGAGAGCTTTTCGATCTATACCACTCCACGAAAAAGCCTATTCGACTTTGATCGATATGCCGATATTCTACACGGGAATATTCAAGATATTAGTGATGAAACCGCTCTTATAGCAGGAAAGTTTACTAAGGCGGCGTAGGAACTGGCCTAGGCTGGCGCCTAGGCAATAGAGCATCTAGCATTAACATAGGCCGCGGAAAAGGCTCGTACAGTACGAGCTAATCGATCGCGACGAGTAGTTAGTCGAAAAGGCGTGATCTCTATTAATACTACACGAAAAAGGCTTAAAACCCGTGATGAAAGGGAAGAGCTGGCCTATCAAAAAAGAAAGCCCGCAAAGGCTGTACGAAGAGTTCTTAAAGAGCCTTTTTAGCAGCCGCGTAGAAAGGCGCACGTCGCCATCAGCTACGGGAGCGGTATAGAGAGGCTGCTAAGAATGCCGCCCTAAAGGCACGCCGCCAGGCGATCCTTAGGCGATCAATACAACGTGCTTTAATATCATTCAACCTAATTAATAACCGGAAATATTGGGCGTCAGCGAGGTTGATGCGGCAACGGAGTGTTGGATGTTCTTTTACTGTATACTATGGGATCAAATAGGCATTTATCTATCAACTCACATCATTTATAGTGTATTTACATCAATTTTGGCATTTTGGCATCAATTCCTGGGAAGGGCACAATTTTCGCGACCGTATCGGTGAGGTGCATTAGTCTGTACAGACTAGTGCCGCGAAGTGCGATTAGAAGGTATTGCAGTAGTTATGGGAAGGCGCAGAGCACAAAAGGCAAGTTGCGCCAGTGTCAACATGGTTGACCGAGATTCTACCATTTACGAGGTAGAAAATCAAATTTCGCTAGGGCATCGGGAAGACACTGAATACACCATAGAATACTGTGGTCAAAATTCTCCTTTGCCTAACGGTTCTCCTTACAGCGAAAATAATACCTAGAAGAGGGCCCATTCCGGCGCTACCATAATCTGTGGTTCTGGCTCACGTCGTCGGACCTAAATGTTTCTCGATGCCTCCCTTTTGGGCTCTACCATTCCATACACTTCCACAAAAAATGGTATTATACTATTTAAAGCTGCGGATTGGCTATTGCCTCCCAAATTAGTGACCTATATAAGAGAAGGTAATGGCCTATCTCTGGTCCCCTCCGAAAGAGAGGATATCAGGGACACAATAAATCTTTGATACCTACGGGACGATCGCCGCCGTCCATGCGAAATATATCTCCTAAACTTACGTCGCCCATGAGTGATGATGTCTTTAGTATCCGCAGCTTATGCGAGCCCGTAGGGTTTTAAAAAGCGAGATAGGAGAGAAGGAAGCACCCAAAAAATGAGTGGTGGGCGAAGAGCGAACGAGAATTTCGAAAAACGTAAACGTAGCCTCCTTAGAAAATACAATGAGACTGTTAAATTATATAACGTAGACCTATATATCGTTGTCCGTCGGAAGGGGAAGTGTACGGTATATTCGAGTTGTTTCGTTTCCACCCTCCTCATCAAGAAGATATGGTGAGCTTTTACCCTCTACCTCCTACGGCTCTAACTAAGTACGTTATAGGAAACTTACTATCCGGTTCCAGTTGTGATGACGCCGAAAGATTTTGGCAGAGACACCACCAAGGACAAGGAAGCCAGTAGTTTTGGTGAGAAAAGTGGCTTTTCTGACGACCCGACCTTATCTGGCCACGTCGTCTGTGGATGGGATACCGGACTGGGACTCAAAGGGCTGTCAGGCGTAGCTAGGATGGGGGATGGCCAGGCTTGAGAGTTTGGATGATTGCCAGTTGCAATCGGGTTTCTTGAGAATATTCGATACACATACAATTTATTACGCCCGGCGGCGAAGCCGAAAGGGCAAACTAAAGCTGGTCTACTAATACATTTCTTAAAGATATGCCCTAGTCTCCTTGAAGCCCATACAAGGTAAATCCCCTTTTCGCTGTACAGTTCCATTCACTTGCTACGTCTTTGCGGAGTCTCGTGTGTTAGTAATGTTAGCAGCCTGGCTTGAAGGCGACTCTTCAATTGTTCAGCGTCTTATCCTCAGCAACTGAAGCGCGCCTGCTTTTCCCGGCACGAGTTGGAATAGGGGGGGATCGGAGATGATGGTGAGAGGGTGATTATAGATTCGTCAGGTGGTGTTGTCAAGTCGTCCTGTTGCTATTGCAAACCGTATCGTTGCTCGGGCTGCGGTCAGGTCCGGAGTCCAGGACTTGTCCAAAGAATCATAGGTATATTTGCCGTGTCCTATCTAGACGATACCCTAGTTTTCGGCCTCGTGCCTCAACGGCTCTTGGGGTGGACGAGGCCCCTCACGTCTAGGTGGCTCTCTGTTTGCTTCTTCAGCATCAGGATCTGCTTCCTTTTTATGAGTTTCGAGGGTCTTTCTCCTTTTGGAGGGTCGTTTGCTTAACGGCTCATCCTCTTCGACTTCCTCAAACTTTCGGCATTTCCTCGACTTAGGCGTAAACCACAATCCACAAGCACAGCTAAAGCAAGTTAGTTGATCATAGAAATTGGGTATTGAATATCTTTACCAGGCTTTGCCTCCTCCTTCAGTATCTTTACATTCCATCGCTCCACATCCAGGATCTGGACAGCTTTCCATCTCAGATTGATCAGCCGAAGACATCGGTCGGTATAAGGCAATAGCCATTCTTAGACTCATTCCGGGAATGAGACCAGTGAAACCGTCTGAAGTAACGAGCTCTTGGTAGTTCTTAGCATTCACGATCTCGTAATTTCCTGATTGGACGCTGGTCGAACCAGGGCCCGACTTGGGTTGCTCTACAATGACGGCTTGCATCATACCGTACGAGTACTCAGAGGGAATGACAAGGTAGCGTCGCAAAGGGTCTTCTAGACGCACAGGTGGTTGCAGCCATGTATGACGAAGGTCAGGGCAGGGTAGTTGTGTCTCACACTTGATGATTATGTTGGAAATTTGAAGATTCGACTTCCAGATTTGATTTGCGATGTCGACGAGGTTCTTCAATTGTGTGACAATATCGCCAGCAACTAGATCATAAAAGTTTGGCCAGCATTGACGTCATGCTTTGTACCACCGTCTCTTGAGACACTTGTCTCTTTTGTAGCTGCACCGCCGTGGTTTGGACATCTGCAAGGTTCTTCTCTTGGCTAGTGTTGTGTGTCTTGGTCTCTTCGAAGAGGATTATGGTCGATGTCCTGGGGGTTTTCAGAGGAGTGCTGGAGTCCTCAGAGTTGACTCACAGTCCTAATGTTAGAAGCCGCATCTGAAGGCTTCCCACATGCGCCGCAATAATGACCCTCAGCTTCTGCACTTCCTTGTCCATACTCGAACCCCATTGTATCTTCCTCCCCACTACTGAACTGGGCTAAACACTGAAATGTTTTTATCACTTTCGTGGCTGTGATCGGCGGCTTGCTTATCCACGATACTGGGCACGAGACCAAGAGAAGAGAATTAATGATTTTGCCATAAATAATGCTAACGCATACCAAGATTCTAATGAGTATCGCATCTCGAAGGTCGGAGACGTGAGGAACAAGCGTTGCGCGCTCTTGAAAATGTCTTAGCAGAGTTACAGAAACTGAATGGGCAAGGACAACGACAGATTTGTCTGTCGCCTTCGAAAACCATGAGTTGCCAAATGCACTTTATTTAGATCTCTTGCGGGAAGAGGTTTTGGACGAATTTATAATGCCCTCGAGAACGAACTCTAGGATACGCAACTCTATGATCCAGACTTATAACTGGATTTACGATTGTGCTGAGATTGGCGAGTAGCGTCGGCGGATGCCACTTCCATCTTTGACCACGGCTGTTTAGCTGCTCTAGAGCACAGTCCTTCCGGAAACTTTGGATCAAGTTAAGTTACGAAAGCCATGGTTAATCCGTACATTTCCGCGACATTTCCGACGCGTGTTAAAGTGAAAATATGCTCGCGCATAAGTCAGTTCGCTTATCGCTTCTCACGAGACTCTATTCGGATCGAGATCACATGTTTGAGTTGTGAGATGAAAACATAATATATAATAATTGCGCTTGCTAGGCTTCAAGGGTTCTTCTAGAGGGTTACTAAAGCTCAACAGTGATCACCAAACCAAGAATCATAACTAAATCTTCCAGAAACCGTTTCGAAAAACTTAAAAAATAAATATTCCTTGAAGTCGCCTTTTGGTATTGGTTCACCAGTTCCATCCTCAGAAGTATCAGCGTTGGTCTCATTTCAAAAGTGTGAGATGCTCAATTATTATTAGAAATACTTATGTCGAGCAAGGGGTGGACAAGGGAAAAGATATGGGAGCAAGATCTTCCTACATGCCATTCGACCCATGTCAAACATCAAGCTGGATGTCCAGTCTTAGAGAGGGGGCCCTCATCACGAGCTCTGAAATCAATTTTGATGAAGAAGACCCATTTGGGGATAATGAAGGATATTCTAGCTCAGAAGAGGTCAATTTAAACAAGTCAAGCAATTCGAGCATATACGACAAGGAAGATGAGTCCTATGAATATGAGAAAAGTAGAGTGCTAAAATGTACCAACTTGACCAGCTTCGATGAGGGTGGGTAGCCATGTACGGCTAGAACATATTCGGGGAATCCCTCTTCACCCTGCATTAATCGTACATTTAGCGCACGCAATACTAATTATCACTATCAGGCTTAGTAATACTCTTGCACGAAGCTCCCTTTTCTGCCCTTATCTTAGCTCCGGCTGGTGGGAGAGATGAGTGTCAGACATAGGTTGAGGCGCGTCCACAGGAATAGAAAGAGACAAGCATACGCACAGCACAGTACAGTATGACTAAATAAACATACGTAATGCAGTTGTCACGATTTCAAGAAAAAGAGCGAAGGCTCGCCGTAGAAAGATTCATTAAATTCAGTTCAGGGTGCGTATCTATCGAGCAGATCGATTGTCTAATTGTTAAATGTTTATTGCTGCAGTTGGTGATACAGTTCGACCCCCTACTTTCTTTAAGAGACAACTATTTCTAGACGCTTCGAGACTCTGCTTACATCTTCCTAAAAATCTTGTGGCTGCCGTGCCGAAAAGGAAACCTTTAAAAACGGCTAAGAGCTGTGCTATTATGTGCTAATAGCAGCTCTACATGTTTCGGCCCGCCTCGAGTTTGAATCTATCGCAGGTCATTTCGGAATCCTAGGATATCGAATCACATCGTAAAATTACAATTACATGAAGCCTTTTGGCCCTAGTTTCTCTTTCGATGAACACTCCTCTTGACTAAAGCAGCACTCGCTTCATTTGCACATGTCATGATTCGCTATTTTGCTTTGTCTACATAGTAGGTAATGAGGTAGAACAGTCATTCGGTAGGTGCACGAGCGAAATCCCCGTAGCTGTTTGGGGACTTGTCCATTTAATGGACAACTGAAACACTCAAACAAGACTTTTAAACCAGTTGGAACTAATTAATACTTGCCGATCTAGTTTCATCGGCAATCGTTCCCAAAAACTTTCGAATGGGAGTCCCCCCTGCGCCGTATACTCCGCCACCAGATTCCACATCCTCGGCTAACCCGAAAGCCCGGCGGCCTGTGAGGGAGGCTGGGTCCACGGCATACTTCTGCGCAAAACTCCTGTGGTTTGCGCGAAAATTGGCCAGAATCCGGATACATTGGTTGTAGATATCAGCCAAGTCGGTTTGGTGGACGACGAAGCCCTTTAGAGTACGCGAAAGTCGGCCTCTTTGAAGCGAGGTTTTTAATAGCCCTCTTTGATAGGCTTCTATGGTGCTTTAACTTTATGAATAGTACGCCCTTGTAAAGCTATCACAAACTCGTGTATTAAGATCCATGCACCAAGCGTAACAGGTTTCCGACCATTACGCCTAACAGTTGGAAAAATAATGTCGATTTTGTACCACCAGGAGTCGCCTGGCTTACGTGTTTGGCCATTAATTGCGAAGTATCGGTGTATTTGCTTCCATGAATTTCGACTCATACATCGACGTAGTTTGTGTTGGTGTAGTATGCCATGGTATCTGACAAAGAGCCTGTGTTGCTGAAGGAAGCTCTTTTGGCCCATCGATCACGAAATGGATGTTGTCGTATGCTTGCTGGATCGCAACATTGGTGCGGTGCATTGGCCAGGGTTCGGCCCTGGCCAGCCGTCAAGTAGATAGCCTGGAAAGGGGAAACCTAGTTCAATTTCCACTTGCTCATAAACTGTCTTCAGGTTCGCGGAGAATGCTGCGAATATAGAACGACCACAGGAACAAGATAAGTGCTGTTCTGAGGCATCTTTGCGTACTTCTTCGCAAGAGAGCTGAATCAAGAGACTCAATCTCTTCAGAGCTTGTCGTATCTGGTTGTAAGGGTCTGATACGCTCCATCGGAAGGATTCTTTCGGTTTCAAAAGCGTTGTAAGCGCCCCTGTAATAATCTCGATGGTACCTTTTGACAGCAACAGCCTGATCGGAATGCATTCCTTATCTAAAATCCGCTCGTTGCTCGGACGCCGGAAGTCTCACTTGTTCCGGAGAGGTAGAGGTCGAGTGTATCTCCTCCCATTGTCGATTGAACTGCATCGCGTACACCCTCAGCTGCCTATTGCGAGTCAGCAAGGTACGCCTTGGCAACACATCTAACCTACTTGCACATATCGTTGATAGATACATCGCCATTATCCATGAATCGTGCCCCTGCTGAGTGAAATGAAAGCGCCGGAGTCGCTCAGTGTGGATTGACTTCGTCGGTTATGATGTCCACGTGATAAAGAAACATCAAAAGCATGCATGTTTTGTCGTAACCAATCAAAGAAACTGAAAATGCAAGAGGCTGGCACCCTACCAGGGAGGTCTAAGAGTCTTACTTTGTGGATGGGTGAGAAAACACCTAACTGGTGTGAAATGCCTCGCCGGTTAGAATGATGATTATGGACGACAACGATACCTGTGATGAAAATCTCACTAGGATTTCTCGTCGCTTCCCATCGTTATCAGAAAGGTTCGTACTGTTGTGACTAAACGAGGATCTGCTTTCTAACTGCGCACTACGCAAACTAGTGGACCAATTCAAACACCTTACTTCCACTTACCGACGCTGCTCTTTCCACAGAACACATCAAATTTATATACGACATGGCAAGGTCTGTGTCTGGACGAGAACGCAAGAATAATAATTATACTATGTTCTGGAAATGGGCGGCGGCCTTAGAGCTAGGCTGCCCCTGGGGGACCGGTGTAGGGAGATTTCTGTTAAAAGGATGTGCTTCAGTAGCAGATGATCATGCTTCCCCCAGGGGACGGCAAGCTTCCCTTAAAGATTCCCCTAGAGGACATTTAGCTTCTCCTAGGGGACGGTGGATTCCCTCAGAGGATGGATGTGTTGCCCCTAGAGGACGATGGAGCTTCCCCCGGGGGACGCTTTTACACGCAGGAATGTCAGCCACCATGGTCGATAAGAATGCTTCATTTATATTGAGGCTGGACCGTTCACATAAGAGCTTCTCAATTTTCTAATAGAAGTTGATATTATGTGAGACAAGACGTCCTGGTTGACCCACCTGCCTGATCGGGACGCCGCAGGATCAGTTAATCATAATACCATTTACCGCGGTGTATACCTAGTCATTATTAGTAAATTTCGGGAGTTCCACAGCTAGTTATAAATAGGATGATGAAAAAGTTAATGACGAATCAGGAGAGCTTGATCAATCCTGATATCTACTAGGCTGAAATATTTAGATTGCAAACATTTAGCAGTTAAGAGTGACTCTATATACAACACTCCCTGAATTAAAACTTTATAAAGTAGGCCTTTTCGCCTTCAGATCAGAAAATTCTACGTTATAAGATTCAAGATCTACAAGCAGGATAAACCATTTCATCCGGTATGTTTATAGTTTTCTAATTAGTGACTAATCAGAGAACTACAGAAAATGTTCTAATAAAACAAAACTAACATTACGATTCTAGATTTTTCAGCAATTCTACGAATCCTTGAAAGCAAAATGCTTGCCCTTCATCCTCTACACCTAATCCCTCTCAGTATTATTTCCTCTATTCCAATTGCTGCGGCCTGCGGAATACCTGGCCTCGTCGGTGGCCAGTGCGTCACTGTTTTCAAGAGCCAGCAGTGTGACTACGGTTGGGCCAACAGTAACGTGATTACGGAATTCCAGCCTAACTGCCGCGGTGATTGTTTTCGATACGACAGTTTTGGTAGTATTAGAGTGCAGGGCAATGGGTTCAGCGGCGTCAACTGTGAATATTTTTCTGATGTCAACTGTCAGAGCAAACTTGGGGAGACCGGAAACGAGGTATCTTATGGGGGGGCGAATCGATGTTCCTGGGGTCACTTTAAGTCACTGAAGTGCTGGTTTGCTTGTTAGGGCTGGGGCCTGTGCTTTATTCCTTGTCTTGTGCGTCGAGCTCTTTCCGGTGCTTTGGATCGAAATCTTTCTGGCGAGTCTACAAGCCCAATACTATATTTAGCACTTCACGGTTGATTGACCTGCCTGTTACTTTACCTTGTTTGTTGTGGAGCCTCCTCCTGAGCATAAGTAAGATGCTATCTAATGCACCACCTACCTTCTTTTGCAGCCGCTGTCTCTCTAGTGTAGGTCATGATGTGACACTATTCCTCTGGCAGGGAAAGTTCTAGGGGGAATCGATAGCTCTCTTATAGAGCTATGCAGAGCTAGTAGAGCCGCTAGCATTATATATATATGTTCCTTGACCTAGATAGAGTAGATTATAGTTAACTTCGTTAGTAATCCTATACCTATATTTAGGATATAGTCTAATAAAAGTATTCCCCTTATTATTACTATATTATACTGTATAGAGGTTGAATCGGCATGTACTCTCGCCTATCCTATAGGTTGGATAAAGGGGTAGGGCTGCGTTGCTAGGGGTTCTCTCTCTTCCAGGACCGTAGGATAGAACCAACTAACACCAAAACGAACACTGTAGTAGCCACGACTAGAATGAAACTCTTTACTCACCTGCGTCAGTGAGGGAACCGTAACACTGTAGATCTCTATAGTCTTGAGCCCGCCAAAGGACTGTACTTTCAAGACTTCTCGCAATAGACGTGCACAAAGCTGTAATGGCCTTATTCGTAAAGGTCACTGCCACTGAAACTTAGGCTGTATAGTTGTACAGTCGAACTCGTAGAAGGAAAATGCTATCAATTCTGCAAACTATGCTCTCATGGCTGCTGTTTGATACTCAACGTATGCTCTCATGCGTTGAGTTGCTTGTCTTTCCTTGCGCCTCCTTGCTTGCTTGCCTAGCTCCTTACATTGTCTGTTTTCCTCCTTACTTGCTTGTTCTTCCATGCCAAGGCCTCTTTTCTCTTCTTTCATGACTAAGCGCCTCGAGCCCTAATGCAATACCTCTCTAATTACCTATTCTATTAAGGAACCCTACCTTAGTTAGAACTTATTAGGCTAAGAGAGAATTCTTAGGCTCAATTCCGGCTGAGTAATATATTACGTTTATACTTCTAACACAACCCCTTGAAACGGAATGTCATCTAGCTAAGTGATTCAGTAGGTAATCCTACTTTCCCTAGTTCTATTATAGTTCTGTTTTTCGAGCTGTGAGGTCTCTGGAGACGCTAAAGCCTAATTGGGTAAGGCCATTTAGAGGAAGCAACAGGAGATGAAACGCTGTTCCAGTCTATTGAATGTAGGCCAGACAGCGCCCTCTCTCTCTACGGCAGTAAGGAAACCCAGAGGGACTGGCCCTCCAGGTCCTCGAGGCGCCATGGCCGGAGTAGTGCAGTCAAAGGCACCCGTCGTTTTCGAAGACTTAAACGGATCCTTTTCTGAAGGGGGGCTGTTTCTGGTCCTCAGAGATGGTTGCAAGCTTGCAAGCTTGCGTGGCGCATTGGAGGGCAGGAAAATCTGGAAGACCACCGAGCTTGGGGGCTGATGTGGACTAGGGCTGGGATCTTGGCATTTGCGGAAGAAACCCTCCAAAAGCGGCGCTGCTGACCGTCAAATTCGGAGAGAAATTTCCTTGTAAATGCCACAATGATGTCCCACACTTGGCGAAACAACCCCACCATCACGTCCATCATCCGCCAGCCCCAGATTGTGGGGCAGTTTTTGGTGCTTGGAATCTGTCCAACTCCGCTGGAACAATTTCGGTCGCTGTTCGTCAGCGTCCGTTGCCCGACGGGAGAATGCTGAGGTGAGAGTGCGGAACTGCCACCGGGCTCGTTTGAAGGCCGTTGAACCGATTCTCCTCTAGGATTTCTACCGATGTGATGGGATGGGGGAGAGATAATATCATCAAATTCAATCTCCAATGGCAAATGGCTGAAGTCGAGGCAGTGTTTTGGATCGAGGGGGGTATTCCCGGCCTCCAGGGTTGCCTATACAGATCAACTTGGTCTTGTAGCTGTGGTGTGAATCTACTCGTACGTGCTCAGTTGAGGCCTAAATAGCCATTGCAGTCGAGAGGCTCTACTCCCCGGCCTTTCGCGGCCTTCGAATCTGGTGCTGAAATTGCCCCAGAATGTCGTACCCCGTTGAAACGGGTTACAGGGTCTACTCGGTTCTGAGCAACGGCTGTCAATCAAGGACCGAGACTTGGCTCTTTGCAATGTAGTGTCATCGTAGCCAGGGACAAAGCACATCCATCGCTGGTTCCGCATATGTAGATGGGGCGAAGGCCGCTGCCACCGAAGGGATTAAAACGGAGTCAATATCCTGATGTCTACGACTATCTGCTGAGACCTTGTGGGGTAATAATACTAGTACCTACATCTACATCGCGGCATCGCCTCAGCTTTACCATTTCCATCCCCAAGTGACTAGGATCTCGAACAAAAGGAGGAGCCCACCAATCCCAAGCCATCCCTAAGACCCTTCGGCATATTCATTTTCTCTGATTCTACAGCCGCCAGAACCTGGTCCTGGGATTCCGGCTGTCTGGCAGTCTGACCACTTTCCACATCTACTCGATCTGGTCTGCTCCTTCTCCGCGAGGAAATATATCATCCACGTCATCGCCTGCCACTCGACCATTGTGCACTGCGACCTTTTGACAAACTGCGATATAGGGCGACGACAAGCTGCACCGCAAAATTGCTCCCTGATTCCTGGATCCCGGCATTGAACCCACCAAGCCAGGTTCTCCAAGGAATTCATCCGCTCGGAGCCATTTCTGTGCCCGAAATTTTTGCGGATTATCACCAAACCGCTGTGGTTCTCCACGACCACGATACCCAGGCGTGTGCCCCTCCAGACAGTGGTTTTGGGCACTTGAATATTGTGAAACACTTGACTCAGCTTGATTTGATTTGAGAAGTCCCCAGCACACCATAATTCTGCAAAGCCTTCCCATATTTCCGGGGAACTCGCCACCATGAACGCCCTTGATGACCTGAAGCACAATATCACCGAGGAGAAGGTCGAGCGTGAAAAGGTATTATTCCCTGCCCACAGGCGCCTGTTCCATCTACGGCGTTTCTATCAAAGCTAACAGTCGTACCCCTAGCCATCCAATGGCGTGATCTCGCGAGGCCCATCACCAAATCGAGGTGCATCGGTTCCAGACACCAAAGCCATTCCAGATCAAGCATCCAAAAGCGAATGGCAGAAGAAGCGAGGGATCGATCCCTCGCTACAGGTTCGCATCGTCAAGCTCAGTCACATGCGGTATCAGCATCCCGATCTGAATAAGATCACCACTTTCTTGAGAGGTGAGTTCTCGGGGGATTTTGCTCCCAAGGGCAAGGGAATCAGTTTAATAGCGGTGGATTTCTCCCGACCTGATTCCCCAAAGCCCTCACATACCGAGTTTCGAGCGCCATGGCTGACATTTTCACTTTTACAATCTAGATTTCGGCATGCACGTTACAAAAAAGGGCGAAACCGAGCGATGGTACCGTGGCTACGGTCCGGACCAGTACGTCTACTACGCCAAACAAGGACCTAAGAAATTCCTCGGAGGAACATTCGAAGTCGAATCGAAAGCTGAGCTCGAGAAAGTCCTCAAGATTCCAGGCGCCAAGCCGCTGACCAACGGCATCGAAGAAATGACCGATGCGCCAGGCGGTGGGTATATCGTGTCGATCGAGGACCCTCAGGGGTTTCCTGTCAATTTCATCACCGGCCAGGCTGAGGTCAAGGAGCAGAGGAAGGTTCCGGAGAAGTTGGTGGTGAATTTCGAAGTGGACAAGCCCCGGGCAAAGAGTTTCCAGCGCTTCGAGCCTGGCCCGGCGGAGGTGCACAAGGTATGACATCCAACTATGAGAAAATGCCATTTGGGTGCTAACAATCTCCGAACAGCTCGGCCACTTCGGCCTCAACGTGGAAGACTTCCCGGCCGCGATGGACTGGTACACACGGCACTTCAACATCGTGCCCAGCGACATCCTGTACGTGCCGCTTGAGCACATCGACCCAGAGACAAACGCGCCCGCACGCAAGGAAGTTGCACTGTTCGCACACATCGACCGCGGGCAAGACCTCGTCGACCACCACACGATGTTCCTGACGACCCTAACGCCGGGGCTCGAGAAACACGTGCACCACTGCTCGTTCGAGGTCCACGACTTCGACACTCAGGCGCTCGGCCACCAGTGGCTGGAAGAGAAAAAGTACGAGCCCGTCTGGGGTGTCGGCCGCCACATCCTTGGCTCCCAGATCTTCGACTACTGGTGGGATATCAACGGCTTCATGGTCGAACACTACGCCGATGGTGACCTCGTCAACAAGGACACCCCCATGGGCTACGGCCCCGCTGGCCACGAGGGTCTCGCTGTCTGGGGCCCTGAGGTCCCGAAGGAATTCTTGGAATGAAGACGTTGAAAAGGAACCAAGACTGATTGACCGATCGAGGCATGGTCGTGATATGTATGTAGTGTAACGTGAGAGACAAAGTCTCTTGAGCGACGCGGCTGCTGAAGTAATGTGGCGGAGGCCACGAAACCCTCGAACGGAGAGCGAATGCGGACAACGAGTGATGCAAGTAGTAGCATTGGAATCCCATTGTACTCGGTGGGCGTTCGTTATCGATTTTGCATTGAATATCTATGGGAAGCATGTTCCATGCTTTGAAGGAACCGAGTTATCTAGTTAGGACGCACTTCCTAGGTCGCGATTTTGTTGGTATTTTGGACATTGGATATCCTCTCCAATCTGGCTCTCTTCTCTCCATTGGTAATATTGCACAGGCGCCGAGAGGACTGGCGGGGCAAGACCAAGGCTGCATGCAGAGCCGCTGGCTGATCCATCTAAATCATGCTCCAATGAATCTACTACTGTGGCAGAATTAATGAGGTAGGTAACAGTCCATTCAAAAAGTCTAGATCCTGGTCTTGTATCTATGGCTCTTCGCGGCTCCAACCGGCCATGCATGACTTCAGTGTAAAGTCAGTCACATATTGTCCAGATTTCGCGGGCATTGGTTTTGATGGAATACCCTCTTGGTCCCGTCCCTCCCTCCTCCTTCCACCATCCGACAAGGATGCGCTCTACCACTCCTCATATCGCACTTTGTTCACCAACGTACCAATCTTCTCGATCGCAACTCTGATGTCTCCTCCGTCCTCGAGCACGACGCGGGGTTGACGGAAAAAGCCAATGCCCGCAGGTGTGCCGGTCAAGAAGATGGTGCCGGCTTCTAGCGTGGTGCCTTGAGATAGGTAGCTGATCTGCTTCTTGATATTGAAGATCATATCCCTGTCGGTTGAGTATTGTGGTTAGCCTTATAGGTTCTAAATAGATATATATCTCAACAAATGGAGAAAACAGGATTAACGTACTTAGTGTTGCCATCTTGGACGGTTTGACCGTTGTAAATGGCTTTGATGCTCAAGACCTGGGGGTCGGGGATGGCGTCCTTGGTAACTAGTACGGGGCCGAGAGGGCAGCTTCCATCGAGACCTTTGCTGAAACTCCATTGTGTAGTGGTCATTTGTAGTGTTCGTGCGCTGACATCGTTGCTAGCGGTATAACCCAGTACGTAGTCTAGCGCTTGATCCTCAGGAATGTCACGACCAGTCTTGCCGATAATGAGGGCCAGCTCGGCTTCGTAGTCAGAAGTACCATCCTGTGCTGCTTTGGGAACGGGAATGGCAGCTGGATATGGGTCGGCAAGCGCTGTGCGAGGCTTCGTGAAAAGAATTGGGGCTTTAGGCAGGTCGAGTTTAGCCTCCTATCAAAGAGAATCAGTTTCCAAACTTTCTCAAAACGTGATGGGAATCTGATAATCATACAGCGGCGTGGTCCTTATAGTTCAAACCTAAGCAGCGAATGTAGTTTGTCTCCTCCTTTGCAATGGGCGAGAGGAGTGTCTTCACAGTGTAAACATGACTGGTGACTTCAGGTTGAAATATCGAGCCGTTTATCAGGTATGCTTTGATCTCCTTGCCTGCAAAACTGTCCAGGCCAACGTCACGCGATGTGTCTACCAGTTGGCCTAGATGAATTCTGTTGTCTTCATTGGCAATAAACCGGATGATATGTGTTGCTTTGGTCATTTTCGCTCTCGTGATTTAGTGGGTGATACTTCTTGCCGTGTTCAGAGTCAGATGGATCTGCGGTAGAAAGGGTGAAAGAGCAGGGAGAGCACGGAGGACAGAGAAATGCCAGCGTTCACCTTGTTGATAATATTGATTTCAACTTTTTAGCAAAGTTGAACCAGGTCGAGAAAGCCCCACGGCGTTAAGGTCATGGTGCCCACGCCCGCGTCCCGAAGTCGCGCGAACGAAATTGCGTCAATTGCCTCTTCTGGGACGAGCATTGGCAATCGGGGGGTTGTCCTATTCCCCCACTTGTGGTCGACCTCACGGGAAATCATTAATTAGAGCGAGCGAGGGCGGCGGAATGCATGCCTCGGTGTGGATGGGTTGAGGTTGAGGTGAGGATGGGATTTGTGGAAGGGAGAGGGACGGTGCTTGTCGAAGTGCCGACGGGGCCAATGCGGGAGGGAAGGAGGGGTTGTGAGTCCGAGGGAAGGCACGCACCCCAGGCACGCTCTCAGGCAGGGGCCAATCACAGGACACGTGAGAGGGGTAATTCGATCGATAGAGACATCGGGTTTGGGGGAAGACCGGCAGGGGAGCTTCGAAACGCCGACTTCGCCGTCCCCACCAAATACAGTTCCCGGCCGCTGCCCTCGGGGGTGCTCACAGTCTTCCACGGTCCAATGAAGCCTCCTATCTGACCCGAGCCTTGTCCCTTCAACAAGAGCGTAGTCTGCGGTTGGGCCGACGACTTCTTTACCCGTCATGCACGAATCACACACAATGGTATTCATAGTATTGCTGTCCGCGTCTCAATTGATCTTCGCTTTGGTAGCTTATCAAGACATCTCGTGTTCGAGTGTAAGTGCATCACCAGCATCCTCAGAGACATGTCCTCAGGAATGCCCTTCGATGGATCTTGCTTCATACAACTCCTCAAGGTATTTCTCCTCTTCCGCTGTCAATTCTTTGCCCCTGATCTCCAGTGCCTCGTCCATTCTCTCCACTGAACTGAAACCAATGATCGGACTCGCAATTCTCTTATTGATCCACGCGAGCGCTACATGGCTCATCTTCCACCCACGCTTTTCTGCAACCTCTTGGACGCGCTTGACAATTTGCTTGTCGACATCACTGTAGCCCGTCTTGGATCGATCCTGAGATGAACGCTCAGTCTTATCTGCAGAGGGTGGCCGAGCCAGAATCCCTCGGCAAAGTGGTGCCCCTAACGCACCAAGATTAGGTACTCACGGCTGCAAAATCGGAATCTGGTCAAAACGCACAAGGTATCAATCCTACTCCTGTCAAATCGCAGAATTTGTTCATCTCACGCTCCTCTTCACGGTACAAGAGGTTGTAATGATTCTGCATGGAGACAAATTTGGTCCAGCCATGGATTTCAGCAGAGTGCTGCATCATCGCAAACTGTTCGAGTTAGACAAGGAAAACAGGCACCATCGGGATTTCCTTTTTACCTGATACGCAAACATCTGTGACGCATTGTCAGCATAATCTTCGTCCCTACGAAAGAGAGACATCTGAACTTACCGAGCTTGCACCGATATACCTCACTTTACCAGATCGAACCAAGTCATGCAAAGCCTCCATGGTTTCTTCAATTGGCACGTCATTATCAAACCGATGGATCTGCAGCAAGTCAATGTACGGTGTGTCAAGTCGTTTCAAGCTTGCGTCGACAGCTTGGAAGATGGCTTGTCGAGAGAGACCACCATGATTGACATAGTCTTTCGTCTTTGGCATTTCGGCTTCATTCTGGTACGACTTTTGATGGTTTCAGTACCCGATACCCGCAGATGGAATATAGACTCACATATTCCTCTCCGATGTATGCAAAGCATTTGGTCAGTATCACCACCTTATCGCGAGGGATTTTATACGTCTTCAGAGCTTTGGCGATGATCTCTTCAGATTTCCCGTTGCTGTAAATATTTGCGGTGTCCCAGGTATTCAGCCCTCGGTCATACGCTGCTTTGAGAAGCGGGAGTCCCTGGCTGAGGAGTTGGCATAGACAATGTGAACTTGAGAAGTGCATACCTTTTCTTCATCAAGGATCCAAGATTGCCAACCTGGATCACCAAAACTCATCGCGCCACTGGTGGCCATGTTAATGGGTGTCATACAGATGAAGACCACGACACTCACAGAATAGGCACCGAAACACGCAACCCGCATTTTCCAAGTTTCTTGTACTCGGATTTTGTGGATTCCAACGAGGCTTGAAGCGCTGCTTTATGAGACATATCGCAGTAAGAGTGACTGTGCTGATAACGGGCAAGTCACGGGGAAGGCCTGCCAGTGGAATACCAAAACTTGTTAAAAGTACGAACGGCAACCACAACTCGAGGAATCTGTACAATTTCAATGAGTCACACGAAGGTTCAGACAATTTAGGCTGTTAGGAAAACTGCGATCCATAGTCAACGGGCAATTGCCATGGCCCATTGATACGAACGCGGATCTTACACATCACGAGTTGCGGGGACGGAATCCGCCCGGCCTCAAAAGCCGTATCGCCATCTAAGTCCAATATTGGGACCAAATACAAGAGAAAGCAAAGAAACCGAGTTGTCACTTTGCCAAAATCAATCATTGACTCTTAGCTCCATTAAGAATGTAAAATAATATCGCAATCGCGCAAGGGGTGGTTCCGACACTTGTGCTTTCACAGTTTACCTGATCGAAACCCAAAAGGCACGAAGCTAGGGGCAGAGCCATGCTCGCAGAAGCAGTCTTCAAGTCAGCTTGAGGAGGTCATATAGACTTCTTACGAACTTGCATTGATGTAGGTAGCCTGGATCGCCGTACGATCAAGTCGAAGGCAGTGGTCAGCGGTATCCGTGCGCGTGCTGTCAATATCTCGCTATATTATCCCGAATCTGGTAGTCTTGAGCGAGATAGGTCACCTGACCAGCTCAATGACATCAATGCAAATACAAGTGGAATGATTGGCGAAGCGGACATCCATCATCGATGCATTGACCGCCTCAGCCTCTTTTGGAGGGGCAAACATGCCCGAAACTCCTTAGGTTGATGGTGACATCAGCATATTCAACGTGTAATGATCAGCAATATGGAGCAATGTTTCGATTTGGACGTGACTGTGGCCAGACCACACCCAGCAGATCGTTGAAGGTCTCCGCAATCCGGCTCATTCAGCGTTTGATTTGCTGGGCATTCGAATAAGGTAGTCAGAGAGCCCTGCATCACTGGCCAATTCTATTTTTCTAACGTCATGTACTTTTCCTGTGGTCCATCGATCCAAACCCCATGTCAAAGAAAGTTTTATGGCTCCATCAAAGCTGGTGGAACTATCCATGTCATGCTGCTTGAATATCGTAAAACCTCTCAATTTCAAACTCCCGTTCCTCCCATGACTTTCTCTGTTGCCTCCTCAGGTTCACATATATACTCCTGAAGTTAATGGAATCTGTCCAGAAGATCTTGCAAGTCCCTCTCAATACAATCAAGTCTACAATCATGGCACCATCACAAGATACATCCTTCTCTGCCCATGTGGCAAATCAGTTCACCTCCTACGAGAAAGACCGCCAATCGACTTCCAAAGATGTCCTATATGCTGCCAGCAATGGCATGCCCACTGCACACCCATACGAGACACAGAGAGCTGGCGAGAATGGTCCTCTCTTACTTCAAGACTTTCATCTGATTGATTTATTGTCACACTTCGACCGAGAACGTATTCCAGAGCGTGTCGTCCACGCTAAGGGCAGCGGTGCTCATGGCTTCTTTGAATGCACAAACCCTGCGGACGATCTCACAATCGCTGATATCTTCAGCGCAAAGGGTAAGAAGTGTCCCGTCACCGTTCGCTTTTCTACAGTGGGTGGCGAGTCTGGCTCTCACGATTGTGCTCGCGATCCTAGAGGATTCTCCGTGAAGTTTAGAACTGAGGAAGGTAATTGGGACCTGGTTGCCAATAACACACCCGTATTCTTTCTCCGAGACCCTGCCAAGTTTCCTCACTTCATCCATACTCAAAAGCGAGACCCTCAGACGCATCTCACCCACGCCGACGATTCTACGATGTTTTGGGATTATTTGTCTCAAAACCCTGAGTCCATTCATCAAGTTATGATTCTCATGGGCGATCGAGGCATCCCTGATGGGTACCGCTTCATGCATGGTTACTCTGGCCATTCTCTCAAGTTCATCAACAAGTCTGGAGACTGGGTTTATACTCAAGTTCACTTCAAGTCTCAACAGGGTACCAAGTTCTTGACCCAAGAGGAATCGGGCACAAAATCTCCAGATTACTCGCAGAAGGATTTGTTTGAGGCGATCCAACAAGGCGATTATCCTAAGTGGTCTGTCGAGGTGCAAACCATGACACCCAAGGAAGCCGAAGACTTGTGGGAGAAGCAAGGCATCAATGTCTTTGACTTGACTCACGTTTGGCCACAGAAGCAGTTTCCTCTCCGCAAGATTGGAGAATTTACTTTGAATGAGAATGCTGTCAATTACTTTGCCGAGGTGGAGCAAGTAGCATTCAATCCTGCTCACATGCTCCCTGGAATTGAGCCATCTGCCGATCCTGTTCTTCAATCCCGTCTCTTCTCCTATCCAGACACACATCGCCACCGCATCGGCGTCAACTATCAACAACTGCCTGTCAATGCTCCTCGGACTGGCTATCAACTCGGCAACTTTCAGCGTGATGGTTCCATGGCATTCTACAACCAAGGTGCCCGACCAAACTATCTCTCATCCATCGACCCTATTCAATTCCGTCCTCGCCCTGTCGACCTTGACAAGACTCACGGCCATTTTCAAGGAAACGCCGTGACATTCTTGTCCATGATCAGGCCTGAGGACTTCGTTGCACCTCGCGCACTATGGGAGAAAGTTTTCGATGATGGAGCCAAGGAACGTTTCATCAACAACGTCGCCGGCAAGATGGAGATGTGCAAGGGCCAAGAGATCCTCAAGCGACAGATCGCCATCTTCCGCGAGGTTTCTCCCGATATTGCCCAGAGGTTGGAAAAGGCTACTGGTATTAAAGGATATGCCGGAATCAAAGACATGAAGTTCAATGGTACTCACAATGGTTTCAGCAGTGATGCCTCCATCAAATACGCAAATGGTATTTCTGCGACTGGCAACTCTTCCGGAAATAAGAATGGCGCTCCAATAAAAGGAAGTCACAGTGGCATCGCAGTCGCTTAGAGCGCAGGAAGTCTTTACAGCTTTACTACACCCGTCAATCATGATGGATTGGAACAACATTCTAGTGAGATATGAGCGAGCATTTAATAAGGGTTTTTGTGAACTAAATGTAATAGTTTAGAGTAGTGGTCACAGTCTTCTCTACACAACTATCTTCCGTCTTCTATCTTATTCCCCGCAAATGTTGAGTGATTGGCCCCAATCTTGGACAGTTATTATGCCTCATAACTCGTGCAGTTGAGGACCAGTATAATTGCGACTTTTCACACGCGATTCGACGCGAGGCAGACACTGGTATGCACGTGTTCATATGTCAGATATCAGTACGCTGAAGATGATCATCCCAAATTGCAACTATTTTCAAACAACACTTCAGTTTGACGGATACCCGAAAGGATCTAGCTCGCTCCACGACTCGTAATAATGTACTGTGACACATCACGAGGCTAGACCTCGTATTGCCAGGCGTAATCGTAATCGGAATAGTCACACGCACCAGACCTTTAGCCATACCTGGAAGCTGCGACACTTGAGCTGCATCCAAAGCAATTCGCTCACGCTGGGCAATGTTTGATGTATGGCTGTGACCTGGACGTGTTCCGATAATGCACGTCGCATGAAGTCCAAATCCTTCCCTCACTCCACCGCAACCGTGTCTCTTGAGCCTTAATGAGACCCCTACTGAGACCCTTAATGATTCCATTTTATTCTAGATCATTAGTGCCGTGGTTCACACAGAGCTGCGACGCAAGGAATCTTGAGCCCATTGCGAGGAATGGGCAGCTGCTTCTCAAGCCCAGCGTCGGCTCCAACAACCAGTCCAGCGGCGGATCCAGCGAAGGATTCCAAAGTCTGAGACTTCATCAGCCAATGCCACTAAGAAGTGGTGAAGTTTCACCGTGGATCTCTTACAAAGCAGCTCTCGAGCACGGTATTTCCGACCAAGAATTCGTATGTCGAAGGACAAAGAAGAGTCCACTTTTCAGGCGGATGCATCGCTTTGTCAAGAATATTACCAGCTTAAGATCCACCAATCCAAGCCTGTAGTGACAAAGAGATGGTTGGAACACCCCGCAAGGCTTAAGAGATGATCCATGACAGATGGAGGCGAAGATTACTCATTTTTCAAAGATACTTGCAAAATGCCGGCACAACGCCCACGTGGGGCCTTTTTTGAACACTCACCAGTCTCAGGGTATACAGGCTCGACCATAAAACTGCTTTTTCCTTAGCGGTGATAGTTTTCGGGTTCGGCCAATGCTACTGTTCAATAGCTCGTCCGATCCACCGGCCGGACTTACGCGTTCGATCATCGCCGAAGACATGATTCATGACACCTTGGAATCGTACAACGTGGAGCCTTCCTACATCCTGGAGATGCCAATTGTATTCGCTCAAAGATTGGGTCTTCAGGGTTGCTTTCATGGACCGAGTCTTGCGGATCGATACCAGACATGTACGGGCTCTAGATTTCCATCCCGGAGACACTCTGTGGAACGCACGCGTGCACCTTTAGTGTGAACACTTGTATGAGTATGTCTAAGCCGGCAACTGGGTTTGGATACATAGTCATATAATTAGCTTGATGAGGGTCGAAGGCCCGGATCTTGCCTTCAGTAGTCCAAGCTCAGTAAGGCTGCGGACGATCAATACATCCCGACCAATCGTCCCTACCATGTTCTGGCTGAGGTAGGATCAAATGAGCCGAGGGTGAAGGTTTCCTCTCGACGATCGAAAACTGGTGTTCTCTCTATGTCTCTTAAGATATGTCTGAGTGAGGAACCCTTCCTAAAGGGCAGAGATAAAGTGATACTTCTATCCATAAGCCTCGTTCGATGTACGGAGTACGATGTCTGCAACTGCTTACCTAGTAGAGCATTTTTGAGTATAGTGACACACAAATTACAGCACGAAACATTTGCTACTGGGCAGCCAAATAGCTTTCGGAGCATTCCACAGCACCCTGGAACGTTCCTTATCATGCTTCTATCCGTCCCCTAAATTCCTACAAGCACCTCCGTGATTTTCATGTGGCGAGCAAATTAGAAGAAGAATATATTTGGAATTAAGCTTGCGGTTCCTGACCTGCTCAGAGCACCACAAATCAAAGTCCCACGAGGCAGATTATTCCGTGTATCCAGCCTTTCTTCTGTTTCCTAGACCTTGGCCACCCCAAACCATTGGGTCATGTATGTACGTTGCTCCAGCCACTCCATACTAGCTTTAAGAGTACTTTGGACGTTGCAACCAGATCTCGGGAATGGGAGTTTCAAGCTCTGGCGGGACTCGGATCTTGACTTCGTCAGGCTTTACTTGGACCTCACCCCGGACCTCACTCCGATTCTGACCCCGACTTTGAATGTCATTCATTTGACTCCAACTTGGACCCCGTTGGCTCGAGGGTTGCGTCAGCGTTACAGCCTGTTGTAGAACCGTGACGAGACAAGAGTCTTCGAGCTTGTATGCAGACTTGGAGCGAATCCTACGGAAGGCTTTCTGGAAAGAGCCGATGCCCTGACGGCTACATCTGGCAGGCCAAACCGCCCACTTGAGGGAGGCCAAATCCAGAGCGCCACGCAATACCCTTTTGATCCCCATGTCAAAAAATATACAACACGATCTTATTATTTGACGTGAACTATCATCTCACCCCCCCCCCCCCCCCGTGACGCTCGATCTAAATGGGGCAAGGTTGAACAAGCCTTCCTTGTCGCCGAATTCGCCTTCAAACTCGATATTCTAGGATGTCGGGCAGAAATACTTGTATCGCAACGTGTCCATAATACACGTCAATCACAAGTGTGACACCATGAGTCGGCGTGTTAACCAATTCATCAGGGTCCGCAAGTCGATCTTCGTTATGATACTTAGAACAGCCAATATTCACCCGTATCGTACGTCTAGAGGTTCTGTTTTAATTTTGAAAACCGATCCTAAGGTAGGCGCGCGTCCAGCCGCCGCATGATGGGGTTCTTAAATTCTGGGCAATACGTACAAAGCTGAACCGATGACCTGTTGTGGAAGCATAAAAGTAGCGCAAACCCTTATTAATGATGTTGTCGCATTTTCCAAAACCAAGGAAAGACATTCCCAGCTTCTAGAGTTGACGCATTACCCGCAAAATCAAGACGGTGAGGCGAAGTACAGCGCCAGCTCATCAGAAGCACATGAACAGCCGCCATGTCAGTATCATAAAAGCTCGGAGTCTGCTCCAATTAGCAATATGAACATCTCCCCATTTCTGAGATACCGCTAGTTGCTTCGCCCATGGCCCAGTTTCATGACTTGACTTCTGCGACCCGAGGGTCTTTGGATGGGACGCTAATTTCCTTCTTGAGAAGCCCACCGCCCACTTCGACTTCTCCGTCCAGTACTGCTTTCAAGTCTGGGACATCAGAATGCTTCTCGCCTTCAAAGACCTTGTCCACTTCCTCTAGCGTGAGACCCCTGGTCTCGACCCAGTACCAAATGACACCCACCAGCATCAAGACATCTGCACTTGCATTTATGATATAAGTTTTCCACCCAATCGCAGCCATGGAAAATGGAAATGCCATTGTGACCAAAAGACCGGATAGTTTAGTTGTTAGAGTGTAGATCGACATTCCGATGGCACGACATTCTAGGGACAGCACTTCGGGGGGATAGAGGACTGTGAGTGGAGTGATCCCATAGGCATAGGAAGCATTGTAAAGGAAGATGAAGGCTAACGTGCCGTAGATGCCAGATTTGTTCCCAGATTCGCCATAAAGAGCAGTAAGCCCGGCAAGGATATAAAATGTGATGATCTGCCCGGCTAGGCTAATCGAGCACAACGTCTTCCTACCAAGCGCGTCGGCGAACCACGCTCCTGCAAGAGATACAACTAAGGTCCATGATGTGAGGATGATATTGATCTCAAGCTGTGTGGTTGGATCATCAATTCCAGCCTGGGACTGCTCAAAGTCAGCGAGCCAAACAATAGATGCCGGGGGACCACCACTCACCAGCATGTCCCCAAAGTAAAAAGTGATTATGTTGGTTCCAGGAAGCATGACAATGATGGAAAAAGTAGACGTGATGAGTATCCGCTTGCGATTCGCTTTGGTGCTGAGTGTTTGTAGCAAGGATAATTGCCGACTCTTTTCCCATGCGATGGTGTCACTGATCTCGCGATACTGGAGAAGTACAATAGGTGAGTCAATGTCGCCGTGAGCATCTACCGCGGCAAGGACCTCCAGCGCCTCTTCGTGTCGATCCTGAGCAATGAGCCAACGCGGACTCTCAGGTAAAAATAGGAGAACGATAAGGCACAGAGTACTGGGCACTATTTGAACGAGGCTTGGTGTCCGCCATGCCCAGGTTGATGAATAATGCTGAGTCTAAATCATGATCAGTTGAGGTGGGTGCTCTGCTCGAACTTCCTCATACGTACAGAATAGCAAACGCCAGAAGCTATCAGTGTACCAACGCCCCAACAGGCATAATACAGACCTAGCGCCAAAGGACGATGTTTGAATGGGACAGTTTCGGCGACGTATGTTGGGCAAGATGTCTGTGCGATGCCCATGCCAAAGCCTGTAAAGGTGTTAAAACCATGCTGATAGCCATTCGCGGCAGTAGAACTTACCAACGATGAACCTCCCAGCAATGAACATGCCAATATTTTGTGCAGCAGCTTGAATAACAGCTCCAACCAATGTCACATATGCCGAGATGTAGATGCATTTCTTTCGGCCTAGATAGTCCACCAGGAAACCCGCGAAGAGAGCCGAACAAGAACCTCCGACATACGAGATCGCGGTATTGAGAGACTTTGTTGTGGTAGTCAAAGTGAAATAATCCTGGTATGTGGGCATCACATTCAACGACCCCATCAGGGAAGAGTCATATCCAAGCAGAACGGAATCCACGACGGACACGGCAATAAGCGCAACCAATAAGGCTCGCTGGGATCGTGGAACAAAGCGAGGCAAATGCCGTCTCTGTGGCTCCGATGTCGCCATTCTGTTAGGTGCCAGATTTCTCAAGCACCGGGCCTTGGTTTTCGATCCTCAATACGTAATTCCTAGGAGTGAGTCCCGTATTCAATTTCTCGTGTCGGCCTTTGAGGTTGGCGTAATATCCCCCACTTATATAGACTAGGCCCTCGATGGGATGTAACCTTGCGTATCAATCTCCAACATGAGAGCGCTTATCTATTACACCCTAAGACCAAAGGTAATCCCCTCTTTATCATGTTGAAAGCAGTGTTGATCTCCGCATTGGCGAAGGATTTCAGTGGGGGACGCAGAGATCAACCCTAGAAATGAGGAGACCGCGAGTAGTTATCGCAATTTATTTTGAGACTAAGGTTGTAGAGGATGACTCCAATGCTTTAGGCGAACGAATAGGTTGTGTTTGGATTGTCGCGTCCAACGATAGCGGCTATCAAATCACAAAGGAGGTGGGAGCAGAAAAACATTAGATCTGAAAATATACTAGTGATATGATTATCTGTTGACGTGGGTGCATTGAAATTTTTTTTGACGTGCTCGTTATTCATCGTAGTAATGCTATGAACTGCCAGATATGCACTCTGGTTGAGTACGCAGTTGAATATCTGGGTAACTTGGCTGATCAAGCACCTCGGCCCCTTTGCAATAACCTGGTCTGACCCCTCAAGGTTGCGATCTTGGCATGCAGGGGACGCCTTATCGTGCGAATCGTAAATTCTCTTTTTGAACCTATTCTAGTTGAACTCACCCACGAACCATATTGCCAGATTCTATGAGTGAACAAATGTTTAGCCTACAGTCGACTTAGCGTTCGGTGATGGCTCGCAGGAGGAGAGGAGGAGGATGCTGGACTTGCCGCCTTCGCCGAAAGAAGTGCGATGAGGCTAGGCCCCAGTGTAGGAACTGCACCTCTTTGGAGATATCTTGCCACAGTGGTTCCACGAAGCCGATATGGATGGATGGGGGGACCAAACAGAAGAGAATGACGGAGACAGTCAAAACCCAGATCAAGAAGCGCGCGGATACCCGTCGAGAGAGGCAAACCGCCCAGGTCACGACTGTCGAGACCGGTGACCGAAACTTCATATTTGAATCAGGCCAAGCCTTCATGCAGAAGGCCCGTGTCGAGGACTCAGACCAACCAACCAAAATCACTGGCTCCCCGCAGACATCAAACTTGGGAGCAATACAAAATGTAAATCCAATATCTTCGACGGAGCTTGATAGGATGCAGTGGATGGGATCCGTGTTGGGATTTCTGGACGATTACGAAGAATTTCACGACCACCTCCCGCTTTTGTCTCACGGTCGGGATTTCGAGATTGATTTCCTGATGAAGTACATGGATTATGTCTTTCCCCATCTTTTCCCATTTTACCAACCAGGCATCCACGAAACCGGCCGTAGCTGGATACTGGCACTACTCAGGCGGAGTAGAGTTGCTTTCCACTCGGCAATGAGCCTGAGTGCTTACTTTTTCATATTCACCCTGATCGATGGATACCCGGGGCAACATGAGCTGTGCAAAAGTCAGCTTTGGGCGGCAGTTGAGAGACAGGCAGATATGTGTTTTGATATGATCCAACACGACATTCAGGATCTAAGTCTCCGTACGTCGCAATCTACGCTACTTGAGAAGGCACGAGTGATGGAGAGCATTACTCAATTTCTGATTTTTGAGGTGGCGCTCCAGCGAGACGCCAATTGGAATTTACATTTGACACCTGCTCTGGCACTCTTTGAAGAAATTTGGCGAAGTATTGTCGCAGAGGGACCTGAATCGAAACTACTTTCCATACTGGATGGCATGACTCAGCATCTCCGGTTTGGTCTGGATGATGGGGGCTACGTTTGGAGTCCAGAGCAGGCCGGCTTTCGCTTCGTCACAGGTCTCCTAATCTTGATCGACATCGTTGCCAGCGTCTCGCTAGAGCAGCAACCTCGGTTAGCTAAGTATCATCCACATATTCTTGCCGATATTGACCATGGTGAGCCTGACTTTGGTACAATTCCCCTCCATCTATCCACCCATTTTGGTTGTCAGAACTGGGTGCTGCTCTCAATTAGCCGGACAATTGTTCTAGAGGCGTGGAAAAAAGATATGAAAAAGGCGGCGAGATTGTCAATGATTGAACTTGTGAACCGAGCCAGCAGTATATCTCGCCTGCTGAATGATGGGTTTGCTCGTCTCGACAACTACACGTCAACTTGTCAAAAAGATAACACTCTCTCCTTTCAATCTTACTTGAATGGTCGGCTTTCCAGATCATCGACGTCATCTGCAATCCCTACAAAGGTCTGGGCTCTCGCTTCTCAGATATATCTTGCCGTCGTCGTATCTGGTTGGCAGCCGTCCAATGCGGAGATACGTTCCAACGTTTCTCAAATGCTTGAGTTATTATGGAACCTCGATCGGTCTACTCACTTGCGAGCGCTGGCCTGGCCACTGTGTGTTGCAGGCTGTATGTCTGCGCCAGGGGCCCAAGAGCAGGAATTCCGCAGGTTGCTCAAAGATATGGACGAGCTAAGCATGGTTGGTGCCTTAAGCGAAGCTCAAAAAATCATGGTAAAAGTGTGGGAGAGTCGCGAAAGTTTAGATCCTGATACATGGGATCTTGCCGCTTGTTTTCGTATCCTAGGCACACCTGTATTACTGTTTTAGCGGTAAAGCTGAGCGGTAGTCCATAATTAGGGGGTCATGCAACTTGGACCGAGCCACCGAGTATGGGAATAAGTGTTAAAATGCTCAGAGAATGAGAGCATTTATATTGAAAGCTTATTTTCCATGCTAAATTCGGACGAGGCGCTCCAAATTTCAAACAACCATTTCATCAATCCCATTTTTCAACAGCGGGGCTTTCGCACTTCAATGTTGTTGGTTGATATGTCACTTGCCAACCCAGTTCTGAAGCATGTCTCTAACCGTGGTCGTTTTTATCTCTGGGAATTCCTTGTTCAGGGTCTTCTCCTCTGGAAAATCGAACAAACCTATCGTGACATACAATGCAAACATGCTAAAATACTGCTGGAAGATTTGCTTGGGGAAGAAAGGGTAGATCGCCGGATGCGAGGGCAGTTCAGTCATGTCACCTCTTTCGAGCTTCTCAACACTGTCATATGTCACAGTGAACTTCGAACCTGGGGGGTTCCACCTCTATCAGCAACTTGCGGGTTATTGGAGAGTCGGACTGCATTCTGACTGACCTCTCACTTCTTCCGCAATGCGCAGAAACTCGTTCCACGTCGCCTTGTCTCCATAACAGAACAAGGCCTCATCCCATTTGGGAAGATCGAGCGCCGCAACGACGAACTTGGCCACATCCGTAGTGTACGTGAAAGCCATTTTATCATTGCCCGTTCCTGGTATGGCGGCCGCCTTGTTAGCCATGTCGATACCAAAGGCAAGTGGCACCAAATAGCTTGCAACATGGGGAATGCCGAAATAATCTAGGAAGAAGCCATTGTGGACTCTTGTCCACTCTAGATCTGTCTTCCGCAACTCGTCCAAGACAGCAAGGCGGCCCTCGTGCTGGGGCAACTGAAGGTGCCTATGTCATTAGTGAAAGATTGGTTAGTACCTATGGATGGTTCATTGGTGGCGTCAGCCTGGCACTGTAGAGACTTACTTTTCGGTGGGGGCCAGGGTACCGTATTCACTCGCAATAAAACGTCTCGTCGCCGCTGACTTTACTGCAGCCTTGACTAGGTCGATCTCTACCGCACCCTCCTGAGGGCCTCGAACGCTGATGGCAGAGATCACTGTATGGACATTGTTCGTCTCCAGGATACGAGAGACTGCCTCGACATCGCTATAATCGACCGCAAGGACAGGGACACCGATATCGGCTTCCTGTGGGTAATCTTGGTAAGGAACCACACAAAAACTCAGCAGGCATTTCCCCACTACTTACTTTGCGCGCAAGCACAATCACTTCGTGCTTTGGGCTCTCCTTCAACGCATCTACTATAGTACGGCCAACGCTACCGGTACCTCCAGCGACTGCGACTTTAACCATATTGATTCTGTTGGTAGAAGTGTACTGGACAAGATATATCTTGTAAGGTCAGGATGAACGATGCTCAAAATGATGCTGGGAATTGATGTGGTTCTGCTCCCGTCTTCGTGGGAGCTCATCCCAATATTTATATCCTGTTTTTCGGCGTTATCGGATAGTTGTAGCCTGCACGGAGTAACATAAAAATGATTTATTTGTAAAATATAAAACTGGGGCTCAGACACGCAACAGTTGATGTGAAAGCAAGCCGCGCGAGATGAATAGGTGACGCTTAAACTAGGCGTCCAGCTCTCTCGCTAGCATTCATTACTGGCCCGTTTACTGTTTGGACTAAGCTGGAACTGGAATACAGCGCGCGCAACTCCAAAAGCAGTTATTTGCCCCCAGATGAATCAGGATGGTTTAATCCCTCTTATTTCATCGCCGACCAATGAAACTGAGGCCTGGCACTGTATTCATAGTTCGCCTGGGGCAGATCGCCATCATTGGCTAAGTACAACTCCATCTCAAAAAGATGAAGCCTGTTAAGGATCTATCCGACGGGAACACTGTAGCTCCATCTCCGAGTCTTTTATATTATGCTGACTCTGTACCTAGAACTGTGAAGTTCCTAGAGTCGTCCATCGCCACAAACCACAGAAACCGCGGAAACACAGTATCATTTAATTACACAATATTTAACAACAACCTTGACAAAATCGCCCAATGTCTAAGAGAACAGTACTTCTTACAGGGTGTTCTGATGACAGTATGGGAAGTGCATTGGCAATAGCCTTCCATGAGGCTGGCTTTCGCGTGATTGCATCTGCACGAAATCCAGTCAAGATGGCTGAGGTCAAACGCCACGATATAGAAACAGTCATCTTGGATGTCCAATCCGAAGAATCACTACAGTCGGCGGTGCTTGAAGTCTCATCCCTTACTGGGGGATCTCTTGATATTCTGATCAACAATGCTGGCTCTGGATACAGCATACCTCTGTCAGACGCCTTAATTTCCAAGTCAAAAGATATTTTCGACCTCAATGTATGGGGTTTACTTTGCACCACTCAATCCTTCCTCCCGCTCTTGCTCAAGTCAAAGAGCGGCGGCATGGTCGTCAACAATACTGGAATCGATTCTGTGGTCTCGGCTCCATTCCAGGGAGTGTACAATGCCTCCAAAGCCGCGGCAGCCATGATTTCCGCCAATCTTCGTTTGGAGCTTGCACCATTTGGAATCAAGGTGATAGATTTGAAAACAGGTGGCGTCAAGAGCAACTTTTGGGTCAACGCCGGCAAGATTAACTCACAACTACCTCCAAATTCACTTTACACCGTCGCTCGTGATGGAATCGAAAATGCCATGAAAGGGGGACCGTACGAACCTAAGAGTGTTGACAGGCACGTATGGGCCAAAGCTACCGTCAAAGACCTCTCCAAAGCCAACCCTCGCCTGATGATTTGGCGAGGCGACTCTGCTTTCATAATCTGGATTGGCACTTTCCTCCCTCTGAATGCATTTGACAGCATTCTGAAGAAGATGACTGGAATATCCGATCTTGAAGGAGAGATACGAAGTCAGGGCAAAGAGAAAGTCGTGAATGACTCTGGGTTTATAGCGAAGACGTTGAGACGTTGAGGATCTCGCGACAGTTGTCTGATTAGAAAGTACGAGTTACTATAATATGGCGTCTGGTCCTGAAGTGCGTGGGTCTCGACATTTAAGACAGCGGTAGGCTCTGAACTTATAAGTCCACCAGAGTGATTGTTCAAAATATGATTCCAAACTCCTTTTGGCTGAAACCTCGATGAACCCCTTGCTAAATCCACAATTGTTCTGTTGAGCGGTCAGCCCGCTAAAGAGGAGAGGAAAAAGAGATCAGGGGCTAAATCTGCATTGTAATGTTCCCGGCCCGTGATAATTTAGTATTGTTCTTCATCCTCCTCATTTCCCCCATAGCCATGTTCATCTTCGTTTCCCTGCTCCTCGTCTCCATGGAACGACTCCCACACGTCCGACGCCAATTGAACTAAGGCTTCACTTATCCCCTCGCCTAAACTCTCAAAGTCTCCCTCATAGTCAGGGTTCGACTCCATTTCGTTTTGAAGCTCCTCGACCAATGCTGCTAAGCTGTGCAGTACTTGCGGGTCCAAAGCCAGAATCTGTTGAATGCTGCGCTGGTTGACTGATTCGTCGGGGTCTGCCCACGAGCTCTGGTTATGGTCGTGGCCTTGGTTTTGACAATCTTGGTGTCTCGACATCGCGTCGAAGGTTTGAATGCTGGAGTTCGATATATATATCAGGAGTAGAGTTGCAGTCGTTGTTCACTTTTGGAAAAAATCTTCATAACACGTCGTATGTAGGTACAAAATAAATAATCTGGAAGGATTATCAAGGCATGCCACCAGTGCCATACGTTGGGTTTCTGCTCTTAAGTACTTTATCATAGAAACGAATTCATTCCCTCTCACGGACGAGAGTTGTTGGAACATAAGGCGCCCGAATCCCAAACACTACTAGCTCTGAGCACACCCTCTAATATTTCGGTATTGAGGCCGCTTGTAGTTAGTGCCGATGACATGGCTTGGGGCCGATTTTTTTTTGGAGAGCGCATCGCCCCTTCAAGGTAACGTACGTGTCATGTGTAAGATAAGTAGGGCGATTTCCGATCTGGTCATACTTCCCAGGGGAGGGACCTGCCTCGCCCTCCCAGATAATCAGTATCAGATCAGTAAGGTTCCATGGGTGAAAAGCATTAGCCTTGGGCACAGATTCGTTTGCGGCAGGGAGCATGGCCGGCCTAAATTCTAATTATGGGAGTGCGGATTGGCTCTTCTTGGCTCTTTCTAATTGCGACCTTCTTCCAGCTTGGCGCTGAGCAGTCTGCGATCTTGAAATACCCCGATGCCGACCGAATATGGCTACGGTGCCATAGAAGCGCCTCAGGTAATGATGGTCGCATTTATTGGCAGCGGCAGTGCTCGTCAGACGGTTTGCTTGGCGGCATCAACATCATTGATTCTAGCCGAGTTGGGCCAACAGCACTCCTAGCGGACGATGGTTCGCAATTTTCTCCAGGATCTTAATTATAATGAATGAACATGGAAGGAATTTGTTCTGGATAACGTTGAACAGCGCCTTAACACCTCGTTGCACTCTTGTACTGAACTGAAGCATCCGAGCTGATTTCATTGTGCCGATCCTGCAGGATGATCGGGATGATTATGAAATACACAACTCAAAGAAGGGAGTGCAACACGACCACACATCAAATGGGGCAACAGCATGGCCATCATAGACATTGGTAGTAAGGTGAGTGCAATGTATATGTGTACTCCATGGTTGAAAGAGCAGTTGCAAAGTTGCATTATCAGATTTTTCTTGATTATAGGGATCATTCTTTGAGTATGACCACTAGATGATATCCACAAGTCAGACTTTAAATATCGAATGCCAACAGTGCAAGACGCATTGCATTTCAGAGTATACCCAGCCATCAATTTGATACATGTGGGTAGTCAAAATACCACTGCCATTCACCACATAAAGGTACATTCTCTTTCATTAAGCGGTTGCGCCAACCACTGGACATCTTGCTCCCTGTGCGGCATTGGCCACACTCGGGTGAGCGTGAACTTTGCCCTTATGATGTCCTAGTTGCGCATTTGTCACGGGACAAACGTCACCTTCCTTTGCATTCTCCGTTGGTGGATGGTTCGGGGGAAGGACGCTGGAGACAGTCCCAACGACAGGGCAGATGGCTTCATCCATGGCCTGTTGCTCGGGCCGACTCACAATTTTCGTGAGAGCGGGACATTGTTCGGCGTTCGAAAGATCTGAGGCATTGTCAAATACTCCCGGGTGTTTGTGAAGATTGTGATGATGATCGGTGGAGGCTTTGGTGACAGGGCAGACGAGTCCTGGCTGGTTCATATCAAAGTCAGGGTGTTTGGGAGGCAGGAATGTATTTGTTGTCCCAACAATGGGGCAGACTTCGTCTTTAGTAGCCATATTGTAGACTCCTCGAGTGATATCGATCGAGGTAATGATAGTCAAGCTGTTGTGATTGTTTCAGACACTGAGAGGATGAACAGGCAGTCGAGAGAGACAAAGGGGGGGCGTGACCTTGACAACACGATGCCCATGACGTAGTGACCGCTGGTACCCGCATTCCATATCTCAACCGGGGGTAAGACATCGGCCAATCATCATCGGTTCGTTGCTGATTAGATGATAGCCTGACGAGTCACGTGACTAAGCGTAGCTTGCCGCTGCTTCACAATTTCCCTCCTCCGCTGACCTAGATAGGATTAACCTTCTCACATTCGCCTTGCTGCTTTAACGACGCTAGAGCTCCTTGACCACCTCGCTCTGCTTCACTATTTTGACTGGTAAAGTTGTTGCAGGGAATTCACCTCTGGTTGAGGGGACAAGCTTGGCGCGTCGCCGCTTCTGACCTTGCTATGGCCTTGACGCGCTTAGTGAAGTCACGTCTAGTCACGTCTTGTCACGTGGTACCATGAAGGTTGGACGTCCACCTCAGCCTGATGACTGATGACCACCAGGTCCCTCAAAAGAAACTTTCGTTGTCATGAATCAATCCACTTCCTTCTTTCGTCTTATCAGAACAAATATTTCCATTTATGGTCTTTTGAAGAGTAAGTTTCTTTGATGAGACTCCTCCTCTGACCAGACTTCAACGCCGTAACAAGGTGTCAGGACGGTTGATCCATTTTCCGCCTTTGGAGCTGCTGTCAATCTCTTGCAATGCATCGAAGTCGGCTCAAAGTTAGTACGGGAAGCGGCAGAATACTCGGCATGTTGAGGAAGCCACGAGCACAACGCGGTCCGAATGATGACCCAACAGCTCATCGTTTCCAACTCGCATCTTCAGAATTATCTCGAGGCATGTGGTCCCACTAAACCAACCCCTGGCCCGAACTATGCACTCTACCTCGCAAATAAGGAATGTTTCAGAGTGTCAAGGGAGTTTTCAGACCTTTTATGGGAGCTGAAATTCACCCGATACGTGAGTACGCGGAAAAATGGTACGTTTGATTTATATTAAATCTCTCCTTGTGAAATTCCTTCTGGTTCGCCCTGTTCCAGAATGGTATAATACTGCCTCCTGCATGTTGGATTGCACTGTGGCAGACCTTGGCTCTACATGAAGATTGCTATTAGTAAGAACGGGCTTCAGGAACCTGAGATTGGGGCCAGGATTGTGGCTTTGTAAGACCAGCTTAATCACGTCCGGAGCAACCTGGTGATCTGGTTCGTCGTTTTCATGACTATGAAAAGAGACGGAGATGCCGTGTCAATGGTGCCCCCTCCTCGTGTTGAGATTGATAGCACTGCAGCGAGCCCTTCGCTAGAAGCCAGCATGGCGAGGGAGGTGCGCGAGATACTCACTACTGTCTCTGACAAGACAGTCAAGCGAGACCTTTTCAGCTCCCATCCTACAGATTTTCGGGACGACAACATTGCGACGGATGTGGAGAAATTGATACACCAGATTGCCAATGACGACGAGGGACCGGAAAGTGTTTCCAATACCATCAATGCCATTGGCCATGGCCACAGACAGCAGCTCTGAAGGATTTCAGAAAGGTTGGAAAGGCCCTCCACAGTGCATACAACGACCTGAAAGCATTGTCCCACCAGATCAACACCCTTCCAGAGGCAATGAAGTACGAGACCAAGCCCCTGCGGAAAGTGCTAGATAGTTTGTACTGTGCACAGATGGACGAGAGACGCAATCGGGTCAACAGGCCACATTCTCAAACGTTTCAGTGGATCTTCTGTCCGAAAGCGGAGGACGACACGTTCCGGGATGACTTCGTGGACTGGCTTTGCTCGCCCACTACGCGCGCCGTCTATTGGATCCGCGGAAAGGCAGGGTGTGGAAGTCTACACTTATACGTGAACTTGACCAGAAAGTTTCAAAAGAGCAGTACGACCTCCACGACTCGGCCCGGGAACGTGAAACTCTACACGTCTCGTCCTATCTGTGGGACGCTGGGTCCGTCACTCAAAAATCATTGACAGGACTTCTGCTTACTCTAGTTTACCAGCTTTTTTGGCAACGAGCGGATCTTATAGAACTTTCGGTTTCATCTCACCGGTGGCAAACGGCTCTAGAACAAGCGGCAAATATGAGAACTTGGACAAAAAGTGAATTGCAGGACGTTTTGAGGACCTTCGTTTGCCAGACTTGCCCGGATGCCAAGCTTCTTTTATTAGTGGATGGTCTCGATGAGTATGACGGCTCAGACGAGCAGCGCATGGACATGATCGATTTCTTTCAGGGACTAACTACGATCGATGGTGTCAAGGTTTGTGTTTCCAGCAGGCCCAGGGTGATTTACCAGGACGCGTTCAAGTGTTGTCCGCAACTGCGCTCGGAACAGCTTACAAAGGAAGACTTCAATCCATACGTCCACGACCAGCTATTGGACAGCAATCTGTTCCGGGTGCAACAACGGCGCTACCCGAACCTCCTGACAAATATATCGCACGAAATCATTCTCAAAAGGCAGACGGCGTATTTCTCTGGGTCCGACTGGTGGTTCGAGAGCTCTTGAAAAGAGTCAGGGACGGTGAGTCTGCCTCTGAACTCCTGGATCAACTTCACGCGATCCCGCCGGATCTCGACAACTGTTTCATGCGCATGATGGAAACAATAGAGCCGAGGTATCGACAAGCCGCTTCGACCATGCTCCAGATTGCTTTTTGCAGGATGGATTTTACACTCGACCAACCCAGCCTCAACGTCAGGCCAACAGCGGGCCCCGCTTTGTTGCTCTTGCATCTCCAGTATCTCGATGAGGTAGATGCCCCCAATTTTGTCAACTGTCCGGACTTCAGACCTCTCATGTACGACGATGAAGACGAAGTCTCGTACTGGGTAGAGACGCTTGACCGAAGACTTACGAGTGGCTGCATGGGCCTCCTCGAGGCGGGGAAAATATTGCCGGGACAAAGCCTGTGGGAAATCAAAGTCGACTTTCTCGACCAAACTGCGAGAGACTTTATGTGCACGCGCGAGGCGCAGAGTATATTTCACAGGTACACCGATGGCCCGTGCGATGCCCATATGTACCACTGCAATTTCCTGGTCGCAGATATCATGAGCCTCCACCAACTCCCTAGCTCATAGACAGTCTAAGTTGCGAACTTAATCAATGTCGTGAGCTTTTTGGGCCAAATTCAAAATCGGACTTGTGTGGATTTGTCGACCTCTGCCCTTTATGAAAAGCTCATGATCTATGTTGAGACGATACTGCAGGACTCAACTATAGAAGGTGGCATTTTCTCCTTCGAGCCTTGATTTGATGAGATAGCGGAAGAACTATTGTCCAATTATAAAGCTTGGGGAGATCCGGCGATTAACATGGCCATAAGAATTGGCTGGAAGGATTACGTCGAGTCAAGGAAACTGAGGAGACAGCAAGAATTGGAATAGCTGGCGGATAGTGCGTACAGTTTACCTTTGGGGACTGCACACTCGTCTAGGTTCATGGAGGCTTTCTTCAGCGCTAGAAGCAGTCTGCGTTAACGAAATGGATGCCGTCGGAACGAAAAGGATCGAATGTAAGGTGATAATCTGTTCTAGCTTCGGTCTAGTCTTCTTCCTGTGCTTGTGATTTTCTTCTCCCATTAGTACTGTTCGATTTTTCGAGTCAACGGTCTCTTGCATAATACCGGGATCAGTGATACATATCTTCAAACGATCCAAGAGCAGAAGATGAGATGTATTGCTCCTCGCGGGGAGAAATTCTCCAAAAGCACCGACGTTGAGCTGTGAATGCACTACCATTGCGATCACCCTTTGCTGAAAAGGACGATACCGTATCTAATAATACTCATGAGACCAAAGAGGGCTTCAATATTGTCTCCCAGTCTCTTTTTGACACAGACAGCTCTCAAGTTCTTGTCCTGGGTGAGCAGACTGTTTATTATGAACGCGATGGGTAAAAAATGGCCACTTCAGAGAAATCTTCGCACGCCCAGACTCGGGCGGAAGTGATCAAAGAGCTGCCTCCAGCATATTCTACCAACATAGAAAACGACGACCGTGAGGATGATGAATTGATTCACTTCCGGACCCAAGGAGGGTACCCCGTCCCTTGGTGATTCCACGTGAGCACCTGAAGAATTGGGGAACCCTGAGTTTGCTCCAGTGCGTCTGACTCTTCGTTAGAAACGACCGAGATGCCTTCTCCAGTCCCTTTATTTAAGCCTCCGCCGACATGTTCCACTAGCAGAACTGCACCTCAACATTATAACCACCAAGAAAATGATGGCTAAGGTGGGCCCTCCTGAAAGGAAACTGGAGCTAGGCCCACTCGATTTCGACAACGATAATGTCAAGGGCAATCTATATCTGAAGCCCGAGAACCTGGCTCAAAACCTTCAAGGTCCGCACCAGAAGAGGATCCAAGAATGCCCAACTGAGGGCATTGGAGGGCTACGTGGAACCCATCACGCTCGATGTTCCTCATGCCGAGATGTCCGACACTAGCAATTTCCTCAAGAAGATGGGAGCTGCCCAAGCCGCCAAATTCGACCGGAATCAAAATAAGAAACAGAATAAATGGCAATTGAAACATCATGAGGATTACTTCAAGGAGGGACGCAAGGCCGAGAAGGGGCAGGCTACGGCAGACGCAAAGATCAGCCGTTTGCAGGCCGGGCTAGTGAAGAATAAAGAAAGACTCGAGCTTGGCCTCGGCAAAATGCCTTCAGGTAAAGATAAGAAGGAATGCAAAGAACTTGAGAAGGAACATCGGAAGCTGAACAAAAGCTTGGGTAAGATCGCCGCCAAAACAGATGAGAAGGTCGGCAAACAAATGGAAAGGGCGGGCAAAGCGGAGCAAAAGATGCTCAAGAAGGAAATAGAATGGCGAATAAGCCTAGATAGGTTGTGATTTCAAATTGGGAGGCTGACGGCCAAGGGTCGGATCTCGACTCCTTACCCGCTTCTGAAGATGAGGATCTTGGAGAGGAGAGTGTTAAGAAAGTGGTATGTCAGGCTGAGATGGCCAGATAGACCAACGATGTTGAGGTCGCCGATACACATGTCATTCTCCTATCAAATATCGTGCCCGCTTTATTCTACCCTGATCGATCACCTTGTACACTAAGGCAGCTGGCCTCGTTGGTTGTGGGGGCGCGGAGAAGAATGAAGGAAGTGAGCCGCAGTCGCTCCTGATTGTCCGTGAAGATCGATGTGTCCGAAACCCAGAGCTATTGGAGGACAAAGATATACGTCGTCGATGTCCATTAATGGCTTTTTCCTGTACGGACGTGTCGAGACCGTATCCTATACTTAAAGTACTCATCAATTTGCTACCACGGATTAGCCGCTCCTCTGAAGAATGACCGCAATTCTGTTCTTACGTCGCAGACCTCCTCCATGACGTAGGCATATAAACTCTTCTCGCCCGATCCTTTATACAACATCCACCATACACCGTAACATATACCCAAGGCGCCTCTCTTTCAGACTTTAGAATCAACGTAGATTCTGTTTAGTGCACGCTCCCTTACCGTGTCCAATTCTTCATCACTCTCGGAATGTTTTCGTCCGTCACCCTTTTCCACAGTTCATTCTTCTACTAATAGTGGTGGCAGATGTGAATCTATTACTAGTAAGGAGGATTGGAAGCTCGGGAGCGGAATTCCTCGAGGAAAGCAAAACGACAAGACTCTCATCATCTAGTCTAGTCCAGACGCCAGAGTTTGGTAGAGACACTAGAATATAGGAGGCGACATGGATTTAGGGGCGCGGAATGAGTCGATTTGATGAAGGACGCACAAAACCCCCTCTGGGACATTGACGGAATCCAGAGACCGTTCCACAGGAGCCTCATGCGCCATGGCCATGGTAGCGCGGGCTCTAGGGGATCCATCGTGTTCGTGAAGTTGGACGGATCCCCTTTATGTTTCCGAAGGTAGACTGTTGCATGGCTGCATGATGCGTGAGCAGGCAGATCTGGAATACGTGACAAAGGGAGAACAGGGCCTCGCAGAGTAGGGGCCGACGCGGGAGAGAACCGGGGTGTGGATCCGATAGGGCGACACTGATCGCCAGATCTGGCGGAAAACTTCCTGCAACCCGCGTTGAGCTTCAATGGATAGACTGAATATGCACGTATGAAAAACTGGGCATGAGCTCTGTATCAAGTGGTAAACCGCTTCCAAATCGTCCGCCACGTGGATCTGGCAAACAATGTACAACTTAAGGCGAGAGGGGTCGACCACATGGTCCTTGGCCTACTTTCAAGTCGAATCCTGCGAACACGACGTATATTATTCCCGGATTTAACCGCCATTGTGGATTGTCGTCGTCCATGCTTGAAAACTTTGGTATCGTGGCCCATAACAGTTGACGGGTGAGACCGGACGGATTTTATCCTTGTGACCTAAGAAGAATGTGCCGAGCTAATGAACTAAGCTGCCATGTCTAGTAAGACATTGCTGACCTAAGACGTGTCAGGAGGTTCCGCTTCGCGCTCAGGCCTTTCATGAGACCTTCTTACTCTACTCGCTGGACCGGAAATAGCTGGCTACTCTCCTGGAGGGTTCGTTGCAGTCCTGTCTTGTGCGCATGTCGGGCTCAATGGGGCAAGCCATCAATATTTCCTGCGTGGTACGATGTACACTCTCCTCTGAATTCCTGCATCCTCCGACATAAGGGCTTTTATACTTGCCAATGGCTCAAAGTGTGGAGAGACTACGTCTATCTGTTTTCTGGCGCTAACATAATGATCAATATCTTCATGACTAACAGTCGCTGATGGTAGACTTTGTACGCAATTGCCGTGATTTTACGGGTTGTGAGTAGCGTTTCTGCAAGAAACCGAAGTAATAGCCAGTCTGGATAAGAACTTTGAGTGAGCATTGGAGAGGAAAGGCAAGAACGGTAGTCACATTGACTCCATAAAAGTGTGAAAGGTATCTCTTGGTTCGTCTCAATATCTATCTGAACCTGATAGACTAATGCGGTCTCTCTGAGGTACGCTGTCATAAATCGTCGTCGTCAGGTGGTCCCTTGAACGCACAGGACCCTTGAAACAACTATTTCTCAAATACTATCTCGAAGCTTATTACACGTTGATTGTACTGAAAATGGTAGACTCAGGTGCACCAAGAGTCCACCAATAACCTCCGCGATGCACCGACATTGAGTAGGCCAAAGACTTGAGCGCATTCAAGCTGAGAGGATTTTCGAATCGGGTTCCGGCCGAAACGAGGACTGTTTCCTTCCTGGATTCGTCCGCTTCTAGGAATAATGATCCGATAAGTCATTAATAGACCTTTGATCTCGAAGAATACCTGGTACTCGAGGTATTTATATGGTCTCCCCTCAGGTGCTGAGTTAATTATCTAGAAAGCGGCGCAATCCTCCTCCGTAAGTTGTACTTTAAGTACGCCGCAGCGACGAATGTCTTTGTTGTGTGGATGATCGATCCAAAGTCCGTCTTCCGACAGGCGATCAGAATAGAAGACCGACTCTTCAAGAACCCAGCCAGAGTCTGTCTTTTCGTCTAAGAATAGACCACGCCAACAACCTTCGGGACCAGGCGCCTCATGATAATGGCCTATTCGCTCACCTATCCTGATCAGAAATCTTGTCACATTAATACAACGCTCCTTGCCATCGTGGGGATCGCGCCGGACCCTCAAGTCTATTGATTCGATCCCCTGGCTTGCTCTCCGCATCCACTTGCACGGCATATCCTCGTTTGATAACCTTTTCAGTTACGAAATGGCTATCCATCATCAATAATATTGCTCCCTGTGCGATGCAAGTTTCAGCGCTCATCCCATTCCTATCCGTCGCTCGGACAGTCACACAGTATGGCCTTGTTGCCGTTTGGTCGTAACTATAGCGCTCGCGAAGCTTTTGCTTGAGATATGGAGAGGCACTGCTCCCTCCCACAAGGAGAATCTCGGCGATCTTAGGTCCTATCCCGTGTAATAGTGGATGTTTTGTGTGGAATCTCTGAAACATTGCATCTAACATGTTCATGACAGGTTTGATAGACGAGTCGAAAGTTTCGGCAACATCTTCTCTTGTCGAGTTCTCGGAGACATCGAAAACCTCGGCGTCGATGAATCGTCTGGAACACTTGCGCGCTTGGGAGCGGATCATGTCGGCGACCTTTGAGGAGGCAATAGAAATACGTTTGAAACATGCTCTTAGTCCTCTGAAATATAACTATACCTTTCCAGCGAAAGGGCAGGCTTTCCAAGGCGAAAAGATGGAGGCTGTATACTCAGAGAATGAAAGCTATCAAGGTGGGCAAGTTCGGCTTTGCCTAAGCCCTCTCATCGAAATCTGGAACGAGGTCATGGCACCTGAATCATATACCATAGTATCTAAAGCAAGAGTTCTTGCTAGTAGAGTGGACTAATGCTTTAATGTACTGGAAGCCCTATGCCCAGCTAGGTATGCAAAGTTACAGAATTGAACACATCACGGGCTTGACTCGTGAGGAATTGTAGCGTTCCCTTACCGCTGAAACGGGCATTCACGTGTTAGTAATGAATGCTTTTACATAGATTTGTTGTCAAAGCCCTTCACGAAGTGTGGTGTACAGCGTGATCGAGTAGATGCACAAGGTGGTGAGAGCCTCCATTGAGGGCACCCGTAAATGGGAGCAACAGACGCTGTCTGTCAATTTCATACAGCATCCCAGAACCACGCACGCCTTGAGTGGCACCCCATTCCTGGGGTGCATTTTTAGAATAAATAAGGATGTGATCGTTCATCATTCCTCATAAATCTTGGGATCTGACTCTAGTAAACTGACCTGTAGACCAGAACTTGCGCTCATCATTCCGTGGCAGGAATATAGGCTCTCCATTCTCCACAGATTCTATCTTCTCACGCATCTAGTCGCTCTGTCGGAGCTCGAGAAGCACCCTCCGAACCTGTCCTGGAGCAACAAGATCAGCGAAGTGAGGCTCCACAGGGCGTTATCTCAATGAAGCTGTAACCCTTAGACGCATACGCGTGACTGAATTGAAAAGCTGTACTGAGACGTTCAGCCACCTCCGCCTGGCATTTTGCTGCTCCCTACTTCCGCACGTCGGTAAATGCCTTGGAGCCAGCTTTACTGCTTACTGTCTGCAATCTTGAGAACCCACTGCTTCCCTCCGCGATACGTCTTTCTCTGTAGAGTAGCTGTCACAGCTCCAGACAGGAAGCACTGTCCACAATGAAAGGTATGGAATTACGGTTTACCCAGTCATAAAGATCCACCCAGTCAACACTGCACTTGTGGTCTAGATCCTCCTATTCACCTGATGCAAGTCCTTAATTTTCAGGACACGATATGCGGGTGGCCCTCTACCCCGATTCACCGTCATTCGAACTAAATCAAGATACTTGAAGTGGCAACTTTGCAGTTATCTCTCCTCCAGGTCACCCGGGTCACAGGCCCATTGGTCTTTAATCGGTCCGAACCCTTGCATTCGAACACGGCCCCTTGCAAATCAATGACTTGAGAGTCTGAGCGGTGTGATGCAATCTCCATACCCTGTACTACCCTTCTAGGCATCTAACTACTCATGGGAATGGAGGATAATATATGCACAGTCCAGCCAGCGCTTTGAGACCAGTGGTTGAACGGACAATGGGAGATCAAACCCGGCCATTCTCGCTATCTTATTACAGATTCAACGCTATCACTCCAGTCATCGTTCTTCCAACAGACCAAGGCTACACACTGAAGCATCCTTCCCCGGCCAGGCTTTCCGTGGAAGCTAGCTTCGGAAAGGCAGAAACGATCGGATCTGAAAGTCGGCACCACGAAGCATTTCCCATCATGGCAAGTGGGGATCCAACCTTGGGGAGGTCCAACGAGAAATCAACCAAGGTGGATAAATGCAAAGGTGAGGCGGCAAGAAGAGTGCTGCTCCACATTATCACAATCTCACAATTCCTGTACTGAATCAAGCTTCTATCATACTTTTCAGATTGTGCCGACGTCAGTAGCTCCGAGTGGCAACGACAAGACCAGATTACAACCGCTGCGCCCATCAGAGATGTGCCACTGCGAGCGGATATGCGGACAGAGGAGCAGAATGCGGAGTCTATTCAAATTGGGGGACGGCACAGCACGAGATTCCGAGCAAGAATCGTGATACAGACATGGACAAGGTGCTTACTGAAGTAGGAGCTCTTTTCAGTCGCCAGCCCCAACATCAGTGATATGCAGCCTACATATGAAATCACAACCACCCATTCCGAGGAAAGTTTGGCAGGCAAAGGAGAAGGAGAGGAGGAAAGAGGATTATAATCACACCTTTGCAGGCAGCATAGCGTCCTGAGGCTCGACAACACTTGCATGATGAGTCTGTGTCCTTCTCGACGTGATATACCCAATTAATTCGATTGTCATCGGTCCCATAAATTAGGCGGCGCTTATATAAATGCTCCAGTAATCCCGTTGGGACTACTTCCACTCGTGACAATGGATCTTTTCGCACCACGCTCGCCTGGATTCGGAGCTCCAACAATGAAATTTAGCCAAACGGAGTTCCCATCGGCCCTGGGGTCGGGAAAAATTAGTACCGCTGGGGATAGTTATTCGAATCCCGGCGACATTGTTATGGGTCCCTCCGCCACCGAACACAGACTCTTAGGCTATAGCTCTAGAAATAGCTTACGGGGCTCCGCATAGCCTGCCTTAGGCGATTTAAAAGTCGGAAGAAGAACATTATTTGAGCTTGTCGCACAGGATGGACGGTCCGGAGGTCGCCATTAAACTGTCGCGGACTATGCCCGGTCCCTGGATAGATCGCCCAAGTTGTGTGGCAATATCTACACTGCAAGTGATATGAAAGTAGAGCGATTTACGACCGGCATCCACGACGCGGCCACAGTGTGGCTTATGCATTGTTACTCGTGACATGGTTATTCCTGATAATCTGTCATATTTGACGAATCGACGTATACTAATACCAACAAAAGTTGTTTCCAACCAGGTCCTTGAGGCGCGTGGAAGCAAGGCTGTGGCAGTAAGTAGATCGAATGTTCATCGGCCCAAAATGAGATAGAGCAAGCCTTAAATATGCTCTTGTCCGGAGGTGGATGAGAGTGTGAGGCCGCTTCATGAAAGAAATGTTGAGGTCAAATCTACGCGTGAGGTAACGACGACGGCCCAGCCTGTAGGATATCAACTCCTGTGCCTCAGAATTGAAGGTCCTTGATGTGGCGAGCGTGTGGGTGGTACTGCTAAGATCGGGCATGATTGTTACAAGGTCATCAAATGGGGCGAGCCCTTTGGTACCTACATCATTGACGTGTAGCAATTATTGCTCAAGACATCCTTGCGATCAACGAAGTTTACCTTTGGCTTGAAAGCCTCTACATTGCCTACAGCTTCGTACTACTTGTCCGGGAATGAGGAACTTCACCAGGTTCGGAGGCACTGCTCTGCCCATCCCAGCCAGAGATCAAATCCTCGACCACTGCTGTCTCGTCCTGACCCCAGACGATATCACCCGTCAGCCTCCACCCCTTATCCCCACTTCCGATCTTCCGCCTGAACACTCTGTAGCTCGGAACGCCGCATATTCCAGTGTCCTTTGCCTCCTTCGTCCTAGCCCTCAGGTTCTGCTTAATCTCTGAGCTATTGGCCTGAATCATGATCCGGTTTGCATCATAGCCAGCTTCGGCAATGACAGAGCGAAGAATGTCGTCTGAAGACATATCTTTATTTTGTTCCCAGCATGCTCTGACTGCGCCGCTGTTAGCCACCCACTTGTCCACTCTAGGTCAGGATTGGGAAACCTACATAGTATGTCAACTAGCCTTGGCTCCACGAGAACAACCCTCAGCACCGTGGGTGTGCGAATAGGAAAGATATCCGCCCAGTAAAAATCGATGTTCTTATCCGGGCGTCCGTTTTGGTGATTAATATCGTTCCACCATCGACACCAGTCCACATGGTCGAGCTGTGTGTACTTGCGCTTGGCTTCGGAAACAGCAGCCATGGGCAAGTTTGGTGCCCCAATTCTAGAGAGCAGTTAGCTTAATTTCACAGCATAGAATTGAAATACATGCTCCCGAAATAAAATCCCTAGCAGGAATGGCTTCATGTCAATCCTTAGCCTTGGCCCAAAGATCCGCTGTAGCCTTGCGAGCTGGGTCCAGCCGAGGAATGCCCAAGGACTACTAAAGTCGTACCAAAATTCCAGCTTCATCTCTTCACCCTCCGGTATCTGCCTTCGGTCTAGTGGAGCATATCGTGGTACTAACGCCTCAAGCACCGGCTCTTGACGTTCCTCCTCCATCGCAAATAGAGCCTTATCCACAAACTGCAGCCGATCTTGACCCCAATACAACCTACCCTCCTCCTGCACCCAGAACGCCGGAACGCCAAAGGCGCCTCTTTGCAGCGCCAAGTCGGTCGTCTCCTCGAGCGCCTTTCTTTGCTCCGTGGCTTCAAACCTTCCGGTCTGGAGCAGATCCAGGAGTCTCGTCTTGGTTCCAGGACCTAAGCCTTGACATTCTTGTACTAAGCTCCCTAGCTCTTTTAAATCGCTTACATCCCGTCCGTCAACCCAGTAGGCCCGATACAAGCTCCCCGTCAACGCAGCCCTCTCTGGACCCTCTAAACAGTAGAGCAAACGCAACGCCTTCGTCGTTTTCAGCGGATGTCTCGGTGGCTGTTTATACTCGACTCCCAGCCGACGAAGCGTCCGTGTGAAGCCAGCGGACGTGACCGCGCGTTTAGTCGCATTGAAAACGTCGGAGGCAGAGCCTGCGGCGCCCTGTGGAGCGGAAGTCGCGCGATAGAGTGCGCCGAGGAGGACAGGGCGGTAATTGATCGCAAGATTGGGATGGCGACGCTGGAAGGCAGGGAGGCGCAGGGACGCTATGTATGCGAAGGGGCATGAGATGTCGTAATGGAAGTCTAGGTGGAGGGCTGGGGCCATGCTGATAGACCTGTGCCGCAAGACCGAGACGAGACGGATGGGGAGGGGAATCGATGGGAACAACGTAGTCGATGCTATGGGAGGAGGTGGGTATACATATTTGCGTTGTCTACAACAGATAGAACTTCGAGTATAGGGATGTCGTGCAGCTCATCCAACCATGAATGAGGATTCACGGAGCCGAAAAAGACCGAGGTTATTCTTCATTGTCAGTATAGCCGATCAAAGAGGGTGGGTTCACAGGTGCTATCCACTGAAGGCTTCCAGAATTGCAAATACGAAGGCTGACGTCCCACTGTCCACAGTGCTCAATGAACTGCGGATAAAGCATACGCTCGCACATTGATTCCTTGAAGCGAGGTACCCCCAGGATGTATCGCAAGAAGTCACTTTTCGCATCAAGAAGGCTGGTTTAGCAAAGATCTAGATGCGGGGTAGCTCTTCTTGTCACGTGCCCGTATACCCCGCACAAGGCTCTAATATCCCTTTTACAGGGTTCGGCGCCTGTGCCGTACTTTCCTTGAGAGCTCCTCTAGCCAACCCAATCTGACAACATCACAGATACATTTCGCCCTCGTGGCCGTATTCAAGGTATGACTAGACACCTGGGTTCTTCACCCGACAGAACCCTGGGGTAACTCGTCAATCTGACCTGAGGTGTGTTAGTGACAGAAAATAATTGGAACCAACTTTGTAGTCGGGTACTTGGCGTACGGATTTCCAAACTCGGTGCCACCATACCTCTCCAGGATAAGTCGGCCAAAGAATTCTGTCCACCTCTTGTAGACGGTTGTCGACGGGGCGGATGTTCCGACGTGAAACTACTCGATCTTGGACATGGATATCCTGTAGCTCTTTTTCTGTGCCAATTCCAGGCGTTGTAGGAAGTGGTCCCAGTACTGTTGCAGGCGGACGTATATGGAGGAACCGACGATGGACTTGATGCTACCCAGGCGGATACATTCACAGACTGCCTCGGGGTCAAAATTTGGCGGTGTGAACTCGACGCAGCCTCACCAAGAATAGTCGGGATGGTGTTCAGCACGAGACCGGTCGCGTGATGTGTCGGCAACATTTGAAGAATCGTGTACCCTTGCCTGATGTCGGTTTTCCAAATTTGCAACAGCGAACGGACCATGATATTGTAGCGTCGAATGGTTACCCCTTTTGCTTGCTCGTGCTTCACGAGGTGAAGATTAAGCAACCGGGTTTATTCAAGCCCCTGACATTGCGCAAAGAAACCTCATTTCTCTCAGCTCCAGCGGCATCCGCGTGGTCAACAGCTCCATTGGCACTGGCCGATACTCTATCACAACACCAGGTTGGCCTCTCAGTTGGTCGGCCAGAGGTTGAAAGGCCAGTGAACACACGAAGGCATGCGCTCGGTTTGTGCTCACAAAAGTGAATGGCTTCGTCCAGTGTGATATGAGGACCTGATCCAGTTAGCATTTTCAATTCTGTTCCCGTTCATCGTCGTCGCTGCATACTCGTCGGTACCGCGATTCCTCCGAGCGCCAAAATCGCAAAATAGGCGACAACAAATTCATAGCCACGCGCCAAAATACGAGTGCGGCCTCTTGATCCGCCTGTAGCATGGAAATGGTCAGTGGGTGTAGCTGTTCGAGAAGTACCATTTCAAAGCAATGACATCGCTGAGTAGCTTCTGGTATGTGACTTCCTGACCCAGATAGCCTTCACTCACGGCCACTGAGTCTTGGTGACAGGCCAGATAGTGCAGCCTGTGAGAGATCACGTCGTGAGGCAAAGTATCTGGATCATCATTGACTTCTACCAAATCTGTGCGATCTATGCTCGACGGATCGAGGTAAGCGTCATGTCGTGCCATGTCTACCAGCGTATATCAAGCGGTTCACCGTCCGAATCGAACGCCCCGACATTTGAAATCCGCTCAATCATATGGCAAGCACTCGTGCCAACCTGAACATGCAGCTCCAAATACAGGTATCGAATACTCTAGTGTTAGCCACTCAGTAAAGCGCGAATGACCTCGAGAGCGCGGATCAACCAACATAGCCAGCGGCCTGGGCAAACCACGGGTCGGATTTGGAATTCGCCGAGGTGTTGAACTACAACAGCGGCAAGTCGATTTAAAGCAGAGACATGCAGCTAAGTTATGTCTACTAAAGCTCCGTCGAAAGACGCAGTTAGCTTTGGGGCGAACTCGGCAAATTACGATAAGTATCTGTTTGAGTTGCGCGGTCGTCGAAGATGTTCGCACAGTTTGACTGCACCTTAATGTTGAATACTCAAGCCTCTTTGTCATTGCCTCCTTCCGATTATTCCACGCGTCGTAGGCTGCGAGGAGCAATCGCTCTGATGTGCCTGACGCAACCCAAGGGTCGAATCTACATGGGTAGTCTAAGGCTGATCAAGGTTCGAAATGATATTATGATCAAAAGCCCGATCCCGGCTTAGGGACGAAAGCATGAAGGACCCGCCTCTCTTCGGCTTACTGGATTTTTATGAATGACTCATAGATCTCATACACAAGATCAATTGTGCACGAGACTGCAAATACGGAACAGTACGGGGTGAATTTTCCGTTGGAAGTTCAAAGAAACTGAATCGCGGCCTCCGGGTCATTATAGTATACACGTTACAGCATCCGCCAGGGACGCTTGGATTGTTGTCGAGCATATTCAGCCACTGCAGAAGATTCAAATCCCAATCTCAGAACTTAGACACGCCGAAACCCTAATCAAGGTCACTCATTCAGGCGTTCTTCACACTGATCTGCACTTTTGGGAAGGCTATTATGACCTGGGAGGAGGCCAAAGAATGACGGTCGCGGATCGTGGTGTCAAGCTACCGCGAGCTATGGGACATGAGGTTCTAGGCACGATAGCGAAGCTGGGTCCGGATGCTCACGGTCTGGTACTGGGCGATCGTCGCATCGTTTTTCCCTGGCTTGGATATGGCGACTACAGACTATGCGGGGCAGGCGACGGGAATCTGTGCGACCGTCCTCAAAGTGCGGGTATCTTCCGTGATGGAGGAATGGCCAGCTTTGTCGTCGTCAGGGATGCTCGATATTTGGTCGACCCCGGCGCCCTCGACTTTGCTGTCGCCTGCAGCTATGGTTGCTCTGGTACTACGGCGCTCAACGCCATCCGCAAGCTAAGCCCATCGATCCCCGCCCAGTCTGTTGTAGTCATCGGTGGTCTCGGCCTTGCCGCAATTTCAATTCTCCGGGCCTTGCCTCACACCAATATCTTCTGTATCGACATCAAGGCCGAGGGTTCGCAAGCTGCCACCGAGGCGAGAGTAATGGCCGCCTTGATGGGGGGGCAAAAAACGTGCGCGAACAACGATTTTCCGTGACCAGGGAACCGGTTTCTTCAACTGTCGACTGCGTCAACAACTCCAAGACGGCGGTACTCTCATTCTGCATTCTGGTGAAAGGAGGGAAGATGGTTGAGGTTGGATTGCTGGGTGGACTACTCAATCTCTCACTCGTTGGTCTTGTTGCGCGGGCGGCCACCATCATGGGCCGCAACACGGGAACCATCCAAGATCTGGAGGTACTTGTTCAGCTCGCAAACAAAAGGGCTCTAGCACCCATGCCAATTGCCACAATGCCGCGAGCACACACCCAAGAAGCTTTGATGCCACTGCGAGAGAGAAAGGTCATGGGGAGATTGGTTTTGGTACAAGGGTAAGAGTCCCTATATCTGTCACTTTCGAGTCACGCGTCACTAGGTCTCGAACGTCTCGCAGGTTGGCAAGGTTTTTTGTGCTGCGTGAGTATATTTGGACGGCAGGCCAATAGTGTTAAAAATGATGCACAAGTGACTATATGTGTCTCTTCACTGAAGTAATAAACGGTTCATCTATTAGTACCTGAAAGATGAGTCCGTTGATCAAGGATATGAAAAATGCCTAGACGTATCTTCTGAACTCACGATGTAGCAGTGCTGTAGGCATTTGCCTATTCATTATTGGATATTTCTCAAGACAGGTGGTCGTAGGATGAGTCCCGTCATACATATAGTCGCCCTGGGTATTCTCCTAACAAAGATTCTCACCCTTACTTCACCTGTTGAAAACCTCCGTGAAGATAAATGAGGGCATCCTATTTGCCCCAAGTTGTCCAAAAACTCGGGGGTAGACAGCGCGACAGCATCTATAGTTCTATGCCATAAGTCTCCGTACGACCCCTTGTGCTTGGCAACCCCGCGATCCTACCCACCTCATAGAAATTAGTACTGTACGCCTAGGATTTAGCGGAATTAAGTGATATTTAGCTCATTCTATTGCCAAAGAGTAGGCCTATCTAATGAGACTAATGAGGCACCGCTTTCTGATACGCTAAAAGCGTGTATACCACCCTTCCGCCTAAATTACCGTATTCACTCGAGTTGTCATAGACCTTATTAGTGAGTCGATTTTATCCTGGTCTAGAGCACGCCAGCACTCACGAATTGCATCCTTGAATGCCTCGATAGCGAATGCACTAGATCCAGTGCCTAGTAGGTGAGGATATCGCTCTAATATCATCTACTTTAGCATCGCCTAGACGTGCTCAATTGGGTTAAGATCTAGTGAGTACGGCGGCCACTCAAGTAGAGATATCTTATGCTCTTTTAGCCAGGACTCGATAAAACCTGCTCTGTAAATAGGCGCGTTATCCTGCATAAATAGCGTAGTCTGAAACTACTCTTCCGAGAGCTCCTGCTCTAGGCATTTTAGGTAGGACTTTGCTGTATATCCGTTTTTGCGTGAGGTCTCGTCTCGCTCCATTATAACGATATCTGAGCGTCCGCCAATCCAGATAGCGCCCCAAATCATGATAGAAATGTCTTTTCCTTTGGTTTGAGGGTCTATCATATTCCTATTCTACTTCTGATTAGGCGTACGAAAGACCTAAACTCGCGCTACGCCTACGCCTCTTTCAAGAGAGCATTCATCACTAAAAATAATCTGCTCCCCGTCTACTTCATTATAATCCTTATATTTAGTGACGAAATATAGTCTCTACTGAGCATGAACCTCAAGTAAAAGAGGCCTTTTAGCTACTAGCCACTTGCGTATTCCTTCTTTTACAAGGATCCGCTGAATAGTCCTTTGCTTGAATACTCCTCCCATTTCGATAACTAATTTGCGGTACGTTATCTTTGGGTTATGACGAGCTATACGGAGGAGCTTTCGTCTATCTCTATCGCCGTACGTAATAGGGCGTCCAGGGCGTGGTTAGGAGGCATTTATAGAACGCATAATAACTGTATCGATAGTATATTGTACTGTAGACTTGGGTAATTCATAGGTCTTGGCGATATCGCCTAGGGAGGCACCAACTTCATATGCACCTTAGATTTTCGCGCGTAATTGAGGAGTTAACTCATGATTGTACCTCCTATTGCCGTCGATTTCGCCTAGTATGCGGCGTGGAGTGGCCATCAGAGGTATGAAGAAAAAGAATACCTAGGACGCGTTACGCTTGACACGTTAAAACGCGCCAAGAGTACGGAGACTTATGACATAGTTCTGTAAGATCGCAAGACGAAACCAGTGGTCTAATTCAAGAAATATTTCAACTTCATATGTAGGTTGAGCCGGATTTGCCGAGTTTTCTTGTGCAGAAGAAGGCCGCTCGCAGGCTATGGATCGGGTTTGGCCGAGGTGCGGTCGTGGAAGAGGGAAGAATTCTAGCCACATGACAGAGGCAGGATTACGCTGTAAGTGTCATGCGAGGTAAAGCTTTGGTACTTTGGCCAGGGTCTAACTTTGACAATCCGCCATTAGGGGCCTTAAGTCATTCGCCAACACCGTAGACGTATTCGTTAGGAGAAGTACCAAGACTTTGCCATGGGGTGGATCCTGCGACGGGCGAGAGGCTCTGGGAGAACCCCATTGCCACTCCCGAGGACCTCCATGATGCTATTCGTGTAGCTCGTCGTGCCCTCGAGTCGTGGTCGGTCTTGCCATTCCAAGAGCGAAGGGTGCTTCGCGCCGAATTGCCAACTCTATGAACAACACCTGTAGTTCTTTGACGATCTCATCAGGATATTCTGGAAGACTAGTGGGTATCGCGAGCACAGGCTGTTCCACTCCTCTGTTCCAAGGCAGGCCTGATAAGACACCTATTCTGACCAGGAATCGGTTTGACAGAAGAACAACGACGAACTTCTCTCGGGATCTAATTTCTACATGCACCATGGTCTGCTGATTCAGTTTCTGAAAGACAGGGTCGCCACCCGACGTTGATTAATGGGCCTGAGTTTGCCCGAGAAACAATCGATGGTGGTCAGCGCATGACTATCTAGTCTATGAACCGTGTTGCTCACTATTAAGGCCATTCGCTCCTTACTCGCTTCTTAAGCTTGTCGAACTGGCGCACCAAGTTCTGCCTCCCGAGGTCTTGCTGATTCTGGGAGGAGACGACTCTTTGGCTCGTGGACAACCAGAGATCCCGACATCCAATAGATACTTCACTGGGTCAATTGCGACAGGAAAGAAATTCATGCAAGCATGTTCGAAGGCGCTGAAACGGGTGACATTCAAGCTGTAGGTTGATATCAATGCATTTTGATGGGGACGCTTCTCAGCTACGACATATGAGAGTCGGGGAAAAGACGCTTGTATCCTTTGCCCGGCCGTTGATGTTGCGAATTCGGGCAAGGTGAGCATGGACTAAGACCGGTCGACCACAGGGGCTCGAAGATATTGTGCGACTGGTGATGTGCTCCAGGTCTGTACAGCAACAAAACGAACCTTCTTCCACGAATACGTCTATGCCGAGTCTTTACAGGCGATGGTTCGGCACACTCAAACAATGAAAACTGGCTCCAGTATCATTGATAAAGATGTGAAGCTAGGCCCCGTGTAGAACGAACTGTAGTTCTTCAAATTTCAGTAATATTTCGACGATTGCTCCACATCTGTAACATAGTCTAAAGACTCATCGAAGGCTGTAACGATGGATTCCTCACTTATTTAATAGCGACTTGCTAAAGCTAGAGGAGACCTTGGCACGATGGGCTGCCCGATGGATATCGGACCGAGATACAACTCATTACTCTAATAGGCAATTTGCCGAGCCGCGGCGAACTTACTTTGCCAACTACCTATGGATAGGACAGCCTAATCGCCTGTAGATCCAAGTCAGGAGCGACCACATTGGCTCCATTGGTTAGTTCACGCTAATACTCAATCTTATTCGGCAACCATTTCAAGGATCTCAAGAACGTTTTTCTTACGACCCAAGAGAACGGGATTCGTTTTGGCACACATATCCGAGAGAGTGTACTCGGCGTCCAAGTCGAACACATCACGCCCAATTTCCAGCTCTTTCAGGGTCCGGGGAAGCTCCATCGCTCGGATTAGTAATTCCAGGAGCTCCGCAAGGCTTTCCTTTCCGTCCTGCGCGAGGTCCGTGAGTTCAGGGTACGAAAGCAACTCCCGAGCCAGACGCTGTTGTCGCTGGACATTAGCGGCTCCGGAGGCATTGAACACACAAGCTGCAGGAAGCAGAATGCAACTTGTCTCTCCATGAGACACGCCCAGTGGCCCGAGCTGGTGACCGATGGCGCCGAAATCGCTCGGGTCCCGTTTATATTTCAAAAGCGCGGGGACCAACAATTTCAATCCTGCGACAGCGGCACGGTCGCCCGTTTCATTAGATTGCAGCGAGTATGCTGTCTCCACACAGTGATCAATAGCCCGGACACTGGTTCCCAGTAACAGACGGCTGGGTGTGTATGCAGTAATTCCCGGGTCCAGGACAACGATCCCCGGATCTCTGGACCGGAGGCGTAAACACCGCATTTGCTTGTCCAAGGTGAAGTGCGGGGGATTCGGACCCTGCATTCGCTGCGAAAGATGCATACTCTACTCGTCCCCCGGCAAGGTCGTCGGCACGGCAATGTGTTTAATAGTTGGTAATCGGAGACTCGGGTAGCTGGAAGACTGGCGATCCGTGAGCTTCTCCAAGGTGCTTTCGGAGTGCACGTCGTTGGCCAAAGCCCAAACAATGGCTTTCGCGGCGTCAGTCAAGCTTCCTGCACTGGCGGCGATGATGCAGCCGAGATCCAGTGCTTGGGCATCATTGACAATCTCGAGGACTTCGGAACAATATGTATGGGCCTCATGCTCACCCAGGTGCCGATGGTTTTGCTGCCTAGAGCTTTTCGGAAACGGTCGGGAATTTCCCGCCAGCGAAGTGGATAGCAACAGATACAACCTCTTACTTTTGAAAGTGGACTCGACATGGAAGCGACATGCTTCGGGATATGAAAGCCCCGAACTAATGATTGGGGCAGCCTGTCCTTCGAAGAACGGTTTGTGCGTCGGCTCTGCTGGTGACGGCGTCTTCAGGGATTCGCGGTTGGCGAAAAACACCTTCCGCTAATTGTGACATGATAGTGAGAATGGAACTTTTTAGAAGTCCGGACCATGGCAGAAGAATAGTTATATTGACTCAACCCTCAGCACGCGCATCGGCCCAGATTGTTCAAAGCCTCGGTGCATTAGGAGCCTAGTACTGTTAGGTATTCATCGTTCTCGGGACAAGGCGGGCCAGCGAAATCAGGGCAATGGCCAGCTCCACCGCACGCAGCGTTGGCAGATATACCATTTTGGGAGGGTTTTCAAAGTTTCAACCAAGATTATATTCCTTGTCTCTAGGGAGTGCTCGACTGGTGATTGGGGCGAGTGGTGCGTCATCGTGTGCATGATTAATATCCAATCTTTTGGTTGCAGCCCCTTGAAGTTGTATGTACAAAATAGCGTGGATTTCGCCCCGATTCAATCCTGGAGCGTTGCTACTACCTTTATCATAATCTACTACGTCAATTTGCTATTCAATGGCCGCCCAGGAGAACTTGACTACACCTTTTGGGCTCTTTTCGACGAAAGACAGCGCACGGGATCGACCACAGATTTCGTCTTATGGACAGCAGGGACATGCTCGATTGACAAACAACAACATCAATCTAGGAGTCCATCATAGATCCTCGTAGATTCTCGTAGCTCACAGAATCGCCAGCTCAGAGGGTATAGCGAAACCATTCCAAGCCCTCGATGACCATCTTGCCTTCGTTGGGCTTCTTGTTGCACCACGCGAAATAACCGGCAATGGATGCCGTGATTACAACGATCAAAACATCGCAGATCATACAAGTGATGAGCCCAGGCAGGTAGGTCGGCGAATCTTGACCACGGAACACCGTGCCGCCCATGATCCCTCCACATCCTGCGAAGAAGACATTCAAGGCCGAGACAAAGGCCCGCTTCCACTGCCCACGCACATTGTTGGCTTGCCAGGTCAAACTGGCCGGCACATTAGCGTTAGCGCCGATGGCGACGAGGAAAGCGCCAAGCTACCTTATCCCAACGATCTTGCTCCAATCTAACAGGCCGCACCCTATCAAGGCCATGAATCCGTTGACAAGGATCAACGGGTAGCTAAGCCTCCATTGGTCGCTGTATTATGCGAATGCCATGATTACAATGATTGCGGCGATCTGAGGAGGCGCGGTCAAGCATAGTGCCTGGGCCACGTTGAATCTCATACTGTACCTCAGAATGATGGGCAGCCAGAGGATATGCGGGACCCACAGACACCATGGCAATGAAGGGAAAGCCCCACAACTTGACATCCAACGCATTCCTCATACAGCCTTTGACTGTGAATCTAAGAAGTCATGTCAGCACACTAGAACGCCAAAAGTCGCGGTCAGAGTCCTCGATCTTGCTCCTCCAATGTCACATCCTCCCGGTCTTTCTTCACTCGGGAAACCATTAATTGAATCTCACGCTGAGTGAGGAAGGTCATACAATAGTCCTGGTTCAGGGTCATCTCTGGAGAATCCACGGTGAGGGCATACGCCGCCGCGGTTATCACCACCGTCAAAATGCCTTGCATAATGAAGATCCAACGCCATCCAGTCAGTCCCCCCTCGGTACAGCTGGGAGTGTCTGAATCATTGGGTATCGGACCGTAGTGCAATTCTAGCCATGTTGGCCCAGAGCCCAGGCCGTTCATCTGAGCAAAGCCGTAGGACATGATCCCGGAGAAAGCCGATGCCAGGATGCCTATGCCGTCGAAGAGGGAGTTCCGATATTGGAGGCTCATGCCCCACCTACTATCAAGGCATCAGATAAACGCAGCGGGGCATTAATCCTCCTTCCAGTAAGCCCCAGGACCACTCGGAGAGGGAGGAGCTGGTAACAATGTTGTACACAGCCGAATCCCAGCAGAAGTGTGCCCCAGAGCAACACAGTGGTAAGAACAAAGGTGCGCGGGCCGATCTTGCGGCAGACTGCCACAGCGATTGGTTGGACAGTCACACAGGTGATGAAGAATAGTAGGACGATCAAGTTGTATTGGTTGCCGATAAGGTAGAGATCGTTAATCATGCCGGTGATGGCTGCGTTGCCCAGATTGTTGCGATCCAAGAGGCTGACACAATAACAAAGGCCCAAGATCACCACCAGCTGCAGGCCCACCTTTCGTTTCAGCGCTCTGGCTTCGTTCTCCGAAAAAGAGTTGATGATGGCATCCCATGTCGACGCAATAGGCAAGGATTTCACCCCGAATTCAATCTGTTGCTCCTCGGCGCCGCTTCGGCCTTTCTGCATGTTTAGCGTGGACGGCTCTTGAACAATGTGAATGCGGCAATTGTTTTGACAAAAGTTGGGCGACATGAGCAAGCCCTTTCAGCAAACTACTAATTAGATAGATCATTCTTTCGCTCTGGGGAATACATGTCAAGCTATATGTCCTGGCTCCCAAGTTCTGTCAAACTTTCTGTCGGTCATAAAAGCAAATCCAACACAAACATTAATAAATTGGTCGACACCGCGGTAGTCACTGATTTTTGGTAAAACACCTCGGGGATGGGTTGAGTTGCTCTGGGCATATTTTGTGAGTATTTTGGCCCAGGTGGATTCATCCTCCAATGAGAATCGCGCAGGAGACTCTAAATAGCACTCCATATTAAAAGCAGTAGAGTAGAGACCACAGCAATCAGAATCCATCTCGCAATGCAGCAGCTCTGAGTTTGCGAGACTGAGAACCCCATGCGGCACACAAGCACGCAACCTTTCCCACGAACACGACTTGATGATGTGGGCCCATTGAAACCTTGGTTGCAAGGTACTAAACATTTAGAGTTAATGACATTGTGTGGTTATGTAGTAGCTTGCTTATAAGCCTAATCCCTTATTGAGATCCGAACAACCTTTCTTGAGCGAATGCCCTTGTATCTGGATGCATTTCCATGGCCCAAATGTGCTACTTGGACGGCTTAAATGACGAGGCTGCTGGATGTGTGACCGGCAATGAACCGCTAATCCGACATTTACCACGCCAGCAATCAATCTACACATTCAGTGCTTCCCCATCATGGAAATGCCGAGGTGATCTTCAACCTAGCCCAGCTCAGAACACTTAGGCGGGAAATTTGACCTCGGAGAAATTGTTCCGTTTAGACAGCGCAAGAGCTCTCAGGTTATAGGTGTTGGTCGGCCCACACAGAGACTGATAGCGTTGTAAACCACCTGGCCTTCATGAGACGTATTTCACTTTTGACCGCCACAAGCCATTCCAGTTCCTAAAGCCAGATTCCATACGGTATAGCTCTAGCTCCAGGTGCGATGTGGCGTTATCACCGGCGACCGCACGTATTTCAATCCGTCCGAATGACGTCCACGCACGCCTCCTCTCACAGCGAGAACTGGAGGCAAGGCACATCCGGTACGTAAGTTCGACATTCTCCTTGCCCGCGGCTGCGGAAGAATGGTCATTTCGCTCATGAGAAAATTTTCCGAGATAGCCAACAAAGTCGTGTTCTGCACTGGAGGGTCGAGCACAATCTGCTCGGGTCAAGTGCGCGCATTGGTGGCTCTTGGTGCGAATGCTTGTATTGTCGGACGAAACGTCACCAAGGTTGAAAAGGTCGCGGCTGAGATCGCGGCTGCCAGGGTCCAGCAGCGTGGTTCTCGGCATTGGAGATGTAGAAGTGCGTGATCCCGAGAAGGTGAATGCGGCGGTCGAACAGTGCGTCGGGGAGCTGGGTGGCATTGACTACCTGATGTGAGTTATTATTCACTTGGTGGCCATCCCGACTCTCTCTCCGCAGGATGAGTATGGTGTGGTATCAGACCCAGGCCAGTGGATAATGTTTGACATATTTTGGTCTGTCTAGAGCTGGCGCGGCTGGGAACTTTCAATATTTCCGAATTGTCGCTCAACGCGTTCAAAGTGGTCATTGACATTAACCTCATCGGTTCGTGGATCACCGTCAAGGCAACTCTACCGTACTTACTTCGTTCGGCGGAGAAGTACAGGAATGACGGAAAATCAGGTATGTATTTTTTGGAGAGCTCTCGCAAAAGAAAGGCCAGGCTGACACTCCTACGCACAGCACAGACCAACGGTACCGGAGGTCGTATAATTTTCGTCAGCTCGACGAGCTATCATTGTGCCAGGGTTGCCCAGGCCCACGCGTGCGCTGCAAAGGCTGGCGTCAATGCCCTTTCTAATATCTTATCTCTGGAATCCCGACCCCTTGGAATGACTTCCAACATTATCGCACCCGGGCTAATCGACGGGACAGAAGGTTTGCAGCGCCTGTCTTCGCCCACATCACGCGAAGCAGCCGTCCGTGCTGTTCCTCTGCAACGCTTCGGCCTCGTCAAGGATGTTGCTGATGCGACTGCTTTCCTCTTTGGGGATACTGGAAATTTCGTCAATGGCACGTGTCTGGACGTTGACGGAGGAGCATGGCGTGTGCAAGGAGCGCAGATGGGCGGCCGTCCTTACCCGGATTCCTTGCAACCCTCCATAGAAACAACTCTGAAGTCGTCGAGCAGACTCTAGACACATGTTCGACAGACAACGCAAAGAATTCCTTAGAGTGGTGTACTGATTGCCCAATGTTCTTTTCACAGGCCAGATTTATGTGTCAACAGGCCTGAGGACCCATTCCTGTGAACTAAGATGAAACCTTCAAATCCAAAGTGACCAAAACGGATGGCCGTCATTGCACGGGCTCCACGGTAGAAATACGAGAGGCCGAAGAACTCTCTGTCGGCATCCCAAAAGACCAGCTGAAGTCTACCTAATCCCTACTCAATAAAGCTAACTGCATAAGAGGAGGTCTACTCAGATGTGCTCTAGCATGCGGGATAGTATTAAAAAGAGTGCACTTGGGGAGTGACTGTTGATGTGCTCTCCGTGCTTTTGTCTAAGTCTTTTGTAACTCTCCTTTTCCCTTAGAGACATACCTAGATAGCACTGGAGTGGATCACATTTTACCTACACTATGATCCTTGGGTGGGACGGTGGACCATACTGAATAAATTCAAAAGCTGCCCCTATACAATGACTTTGAATGTCAATAATATGAGTACTGAACCTCTCTTGTCCCACCACTGTGGTCACAGGTCGCGTTTACTCATGGTAGAAGTACTTCCCAGCTCTGAGGCGTACCCCCTCCACATATCCCTCATCAGTGTTACGGACAATACAGCGGCCCAAAGTGGATATGCCGCTACACTTACTCGCTCTGAAACTCCTATCCACGATGCCGATATATTTGCCGCAAGCTTTGGAGTGTCCATCGCCGCCAAGCATCCGCCGAAACTGAGAAGTGCAATTGTTACCAACGAATACACCCGGAATGTAATTCCAAATGCGCTGGCCCCGGCGCCTACAGCGAGCAGTATGAATGGAAATCCCACAAGTGTGAGTGGCCCATGCAACGTAACCGTAGAACTTGTTTTGACGGCTCTCAAGTGCATCAGAGAGAATAATGTCACGACTGTCCCAACGACCTCTTTTCCTAGGAGTCCGATGGCTGCGCGGCGTAAGGGCAAGTTTCCCCCAGCTGTGCTGATAATCCCAATCCCAAAGACAATGGTGAGTAGACTGCAGGCGACAAACAACGGGCCAACCAGGGCTCTGGTGAGAGAATCAAGGGCATTCAGCTCGCTAATGGTTCGCCAAGTACGGCCGTAGCTCTTCCACCCTGTAACTGGAACCACTACTGGCACCATGTAGATTACAGTTGACAAGAATCCACATAGTAGCATCCCACAACATGCGACCTTTTGCTCCTTCATTGACGAGCCAAAGCATCCTTTCGAAATGCCAAAAGCAATCGCGGCCCATAGCACGATAGCCAGCACAAAGTATGATATGGCCAGGTGGATACCTGTCGCTGAGGGCGCGAGGGCCAACGGCAAACTGGCTGTAAGACTTGCGTGCATTACCATTACAGCGCCAAGGCTAGCTGTTCGCTCGTATATACAGACCATGAGGATCCTGTATCCCGGCAACACGGCAACGTAGAAAAGGATTTGTGGCAGGAACGCAGTCACAGAGAAGCGACCTGATGCGTCATCCATACCACTTCCCCAGACTGCTACAATCAAATGCCAAGCTCCCCATAGACCTCCAACTATGAGTCCGGTTGCAAGGATGCTGTGCCTGGATCTCAGCTCCCTCACTGCGAACGCAGTCCACCCGAGTTCCTCGAAGAAGCCGGCGGCAAGTGCATAGGCGAAAGCCAGGACAAGAGTGCTAGCTTTATCATCAGAAGTGAAGATGACTGGCCGGAACATCGAGTCGACCAATGACAATACCGTGAGAACGGTAGCAATCGACAGTGGAGCAAGCAGAAACGCTACAGCCCACCAGCCGACCCCTGAATGACCTCGGGGTACAAGGCTGGAAACCAGCCTTTGAAATCCGACTTTCCCGTAAACGAGATATATCATTAACACCCCGATCAAACTGGGACCTGCCAGCATAACCAGAACAACCCACGGGAGTAACAAGCTGACTTGTTCTTGTGTGCCGGGAAACCCTTCCCATCCGACAACGGCAAGTATACCACCCCAAGAAATCGCAAATGTGGACACGAAATATGTCACTGTTGAATGCCTGTAGATGGAGCTCGACTGGGCCATTTGCCACTTTCCGCCTCCTCGGTTGCACTGAGATAAATCTGTTTAGTCTCCTATATAAGTAAATAGAATTAAGGGAAGCCTTACCTGAGTAGTCATTAGATTGTCCGTCGATGCGGCGACTAGGCCGGAGTGACTACAGAATCTTTCCGTCGTCAAGATAATTTTTGCGTTACTTACTCTATTCACCTCAAATTAAAATATCTCAGCAGCATATAATGAAGAAGGAGAAGCCAACGATGCGCTAATAAATCAACACATGATGAGCCACGGGGTGGTGTGACTTTCAGCCCAAGCTTGGCGGTGTCGCTTGAATGTGACAAGCCTGCCACCCTGTTAGAAATATCGCGCGACATCACGAAAGATAGTTCGACGCTCACGATATCAACATTTAGAACACGTTAGGTGGACAATGTACAAACCCTTTTAAGATTTCTGTCATAAAGAAGAATGAGTAACGTAGAGTTCCAACATACTGCGCTCTACCACCGATGCCACGCTCCTGCGCACCCCGCGGGTGCAGGACAACGTGCCAATTGAATGGCTACCACTCGGTTTCCATATCCCGGCCAGCAGGCTCCCTCTGACCTTCAAAAAACTCAATTGGTCACTTATCGGTATATATGACTCGCCGCGGGAGAGATCCGACCGGACGCCAATGAAAAACATTAGGTTCCATCTGCGTGGGGGACCACAATGATGAACATGTCATCCTTCTTCTTGGCTGTGTGATCATGCCAAGTTCTCTTGTCTGCGATGACTCTAATTTCCTATCTAGGGAATGTAAAGGAGAGCCGCGGTGTAGATCGTCGCACCCATGCTTTTGAGCTTTAATTGCTGACGAATGTCACGGGGTATGTCTTGCTGATTATTTACAAAGATATCGCAGAATTAGGTGGCAAGACGGTGGCCTCCGAGAAGAAGGGGAAGATGTTCTCAGGACCTGGGTGCTGACCATGGCCATCAATGAAATTACACAGCGTCAAGCATGGCGCAGAACCGATCACTATAATGCAGGCACGCCAAACCTAAATCTTGTCACTGAAGACCTACCATTGCCGTTGAATCCAACAGCCGCTTTGATCTAGGTTCACGCTGCGTCTCTAAATTAGAGGGACGCAAACATCTCAAATAGAGGTAACCCATGGCCAGTTATTCCCAATGGCATCATTTGCAACGATGCGGCTGGCGAGATTATAGCTATAGGCGATAAGGTTAAACGCCTCAAAGCTGGGGATCACGTCGCCCCAATAACTGACACAGAGTATGTTACGCATCGCTCAACGGGTCGATCTTGGCTTGCTGCAAACGAAGATTGCGTACTAGCCACCTATATCGTGTATGATGAAGAAGATCTTAGTAGGTTGCTATCCTATCAACCTTGGGAAAGCGCTTACTTGACGCCCTGTACTGGTGTTACAGCTTGGGCCGCACTAAGAGATGTTGGTATCGGGAAGAGCGTTTTAATTCAAGGTGAGTATATAATGCTCTGGATAATACTTTAGTTAATTATAACTAGGGACTGGTGGTGTGAGTAGTTGGGCGCTTACACCTACTCGAGCTTCAGGTCTTAGAGTGATTTTGACTTCGTCGAGCGATGCCAAACCAGACAATATGAAGGCACCTTTTTGTGACCAGATTGCAACGATCAATTATAGAACCACTCCAACCAGGGGCGAGGAAGTCCTGGAGATAACCGATGGTATTGATGTTGACCTTGCCGTAGAAAATAGTGGATCTTCGTCTTTGGCCAAGAGTCTGAGGTGTACGCGAAGAGGCGGCATCATCAGCCAAGTAGGATACCTCGGTAAGTAGAGACCGGAAGATCTTGTGGACCTCATACCGACTAATTTCGATCGAAGAGTGATAGTGAGGTAAGTGATCTCATTCTTCTATGGTGATAGTAGAGTTCTAACCTCTATATTAGAGGCATCAACGCTGGCCCTTTGTCTGATATGGAGGATCTGTACTCCGCTTTGGAAGCCACAAGAATGCAACTTGACGACATTGTACAGAATGTTTACCCATTTCATGAGGCTGAGGAGGCGGTACAGTCTCTTTGGGAGGGTAAGATGATTGGAAAGATTGTACTTCGTCTGTAGGGCTGAGTACGTACTCCCATTTAGGCTTCAATACTAAGGTATCATTAGAAAAGGTGACACGTTATCACTCTAGATAACCTGAAAATATACCTATAGAGTAATATATACAACTTGTATGAGATCTCGAAACAATGACCGAGCAGTTAGGCTCCTGAATCTGTGCAGGAAGAATCACTCAGGAGGACATAACACCATCAGGTTCTTGCTCTGACCTTCAATACTGCAGTTACAGATATAAATTTCATGGATCGGCAAGTAGATTCACTCAGCTTTGAAATCAATATAAGCCCTTGAGGTGCTTGGGATAAATATATTTTAGCTCCATCTCGGACTTCTCATATACTATTCTGCGCTGATTATCTGTAAAACAGGAAGCGCATAGCTCAATGGGTCCTGAACGTTTGATGAGTTCCCCGGACCTTACTTCTCACCATACAGGGCCTCCTCTGATTCTGCAGGATTGTCAATGTGATTGTTGAGATCCTTGACGGGGTCGATAAGAAATAATGAGCCTGCTCCCCCGCGTTAGCCAGCAATTCGGTGCATTAGGTTAGCGAACATCCCTATGAGACCGCAGGCAGATAAACAAGAGGCAGCAATCCAGACCGACTTGAAAGACCCCAAATATGCTTCCTGAAAAGCACGAGCGGCTGCACTGATTATCCCAGGTGTTATACCAGGGACTGCAGCAAGCTGGTCTGGATCACCGCTCGATAAGCCCAGAATTAGCGCTGGCACAGAAGATCCGGGCAATCCGTTTTCCAAAGATGCTGCAGAGACCTTGCTTGCTAAAAGGTTGGTTATTCTGGAGTGGAAGATGGCGGTGTCTAAACAATTGTTAAGGGAAGAGACTTGAGAGCAATCTGGGCAAGGGATCGGACTTACAAATAGCCACACCAAGAGTCACACCAAGCGACCTGATTCCTGCTACGAGACCGCTAGTGATTGAACTTGAATCTCGTTAGACTATTTCTGAGTCTCCCAAAATTTGCGTGCTTTCACTTACATCAATTCTGGGGGCGCACTTAGTTGAGCGCTTGCAACAACAGCGTTGAGGATGAAAGCGAGTGCTACACCGAGAATGGCTTGGTAGCCCCAGACGGCACTGGTACTACCCAGAGATGTAGTTGCCATGCAGATGGCCCATGTAAGTAGGAAAACGAATCCCATCACGTTGAGACTACGGAGATTTCTGAATTTGTAGCATATTAGAGCGGTTATAGGACTGAAAACCACGTAGCAGATTAAGCATATCGTAAACCTTCAACTAGGTGTCAGCGTGTGTACAGTAAACAGAGTACAAAAGCTTACACCAAGGAAACTCCTAGCGAAGTCGGTTCATATAGTACTGCAGTTTGCGTCGGGACATAGATATTAGCAGCCTGTCCGAGTTAGTTTGCAAAAAGGACATCAACAAGCTTTGCACCACGCATACCGCAAAAACTATATCGCGGTTAGCCTTTCAAACTTGCTCTTCAGATTCAAAACCCGTACCTAGGCCTTCACAGAAGATTGAGAACAGGGATATAGCAAGGTTCCTATCCCGGCTTCGAAATATAAGCTTCCATGTAGTTGATATATAGCAGAGAATGGGATTTCACTTACGAAAATAACGCGTGGGGTATGAAGCTGTCCTTTTTGATTTTCCAACAATAGATTGCAAGCAACACGAACATGGCGACACCAAGAAGGAAGGGTGCGAGAACATGTGCATCGCTCCAAGGATCTGTCACGATCAGTATTGGATCATCTCTTGGCAATGATTGTGCGTACATGGATTGTTGGCCCAAGAGAGGCCCATGGAAAATAGCACCACTGCACACATTGTGATCGCATAACCACACCAATCCAGCTGCAGTAGGGTTGATTGTTAGCTACTGAGCTTTATGGAACTGCCGAAGTAGTAACTTACTCGACGCAACTTCTGACTGGTATTAAGAGATTTCTGAAGCTCAAGTACTGGCGGTCGATAGAGTGCGTAGCAGACGAAAGCAGCGATCGCAAATATTCCCGCCTGTTTAAAGGTTAGGAGCAAATTCATCCGCAGAAGCGAGCTCATTTTACATTTATATAGTAAAGCTATTTCACTTAGTTCAGTAACTCGATAGAACCAGGAATTATCGAACTCACATATCTGAAGCCTTGAAGGCCATAAACATCCACAAACTTTGCGCCTGCCAGAAGTGCAAATATTGACCCAGTTCCACCAGCCTTGGATTTGGTTACTTCAAGCTGTAGAAATGGAAGTTAGTAAACTTACTGCGTTGATACTGGCTTGCCCGGCCAGTCTCTGCCTGCGAGGCAAGACTTCTGAGGCTACTGCAAATTGCAGCGGCTACACTTCGAATCAGCATTCTCATAAGCTCAAGGTGCTGTAGAATTTTCTTACTGTAGCCGCAAATGCAGCACCCACGAACACCTCACCCGTAATTGCCATGCCCATCTATTTTTAGGTTCAGTAGAGAATGCATAGGAAGACATTTCGATGAACAACATTGAACCTACCGAATTCGCTCGCGACGTGATGATAGTCCCGACACATCCGAGGAATGACAGAATTATCAAAAGCCATCTTCGGCCCCAGTAGTCTGCTGCCTGACTAACAGGAGGTGCGAGCACGACAAAAGTTATCGTTAATGATGAAAGCATCCAGCTGGAGTTCGCTCCGCCTCCTACGGCTAAGGCCACAGTGCCAGCGAACTTCGATCTGATCAGCGTTACATCCGCGCCTGCTCCTGGGGTATCATACTACACCTGTTGCAACCAACTGGATGAGCTGAGCAAAAGAGAGAAAGGAAACGGCCTGTGATAGGTTAATTCTCAACCATGAAGGACAAGCATTTTGAGTCAGACACTTACAGCGACAATTAAGAATGTCTTGAGATGCAGGTGAGGTGCTGGTTCGTCTTCAACATGTTCTAAAGTGACCGTATCCTCAGATAGTTCACCCTTATCCTTGTTCTGAGTCTCTTTGGGAGAGATCTCATCTATTGCTTTGTCTTCTTGCATGGTGCTACAATATGGCCGTTCAAAAAAGTATCCTGATGAAAAAGTCCTGACAATAAGACGACCAAGGGGCATAAGCGCGAGGATTTATCACTTTATTACTAGCCGCAACAGACTCCGCCCTGCCCTTGTTCAACCCCATCTTCTGCCCCAGATTTCAAGGGGCGGAGGAGACCGGGGTAGGCTTCGGTAGAGTGGTCCCGGTCAGCAGATAAACCCGAGAGGACCACCGGGTCCTAATGAGCCAGTCTAGATTAGACGAAAAATGGAAGAAAATTTTATGCATAAGTTGCCTAAGAAATTTGAATTATGCAATACTTCGAGGCAGGAGCAGAGAATTGAGCCTGGTTCTTCAATATAGGATGCGCAGTCGGTCAGAAAAGTTTTCCCCTTTGGAGTGCTGCCTGCTTTGGGTCCTCAAGGCTTACATCAAGTTGATAAGGTTCGTCATCATCTGTAAGATTCCCCTCAGCTTCCTTATCTTTGGTCTATGTATGATTGCTTTGCGAGTTGATTGCAAACTTCAGACATGCGGTGCTGGTACACTCACCGCTTGGTAGGTGGCTGGACAGGTCTAACATGAAAGTTGCGACAAGCAGGCTCTAGGACTCCAAAGTCAAGCTGCCTCATGTCTTCAGGCTGGATGTTTGGATCAGGAACGATGTCGTATAACTGATAAAGACGGGATACCGTGAGAAACAGGCCCATCTCCGCTAAGTGACGTCCAACGCAATTTCTTGGTCCATAGCTAAATGGCCGAGACATCTGCCTCATTTCTTCAGTCGCATCTTCCCAACGTGAGGGCTGGAATTCCAACGGTTCAGGGAAGACTTTTGGGTCTCGTGCCGTGACATAGCTGTTAGTCTCGACCGTGATGCCCTCTGGTACCCATTTACTTCCGATCAACTTCCCCGGCGACACTCGAGGAGCCCCACTATTGAGCGGCCCACGCAGGCGAAGAACTTCTTCAATTACACAACCTAGATATTTCTGACCTTTGTTAACTATGTTCGAGCAGACTACAGTATATAGACAGTACTTACCAACTTCGAGGCTTCTTCGTAAGATGGTCTCACTGAAGGATCTGGAAACCGTTCTCTGATTTCTTCAATAAGTCTTTTCCTGACCTCAGGGTGTCTTCCACACTCCCAGATAAGATATATCGTCGTCGCAGCCGTGGTTCCAGAGCCAGCTGTGAGAAATATGATGGCGTTCTCCACGAGCTCCTGTTGTGTCAGCTTTGTTCCAGTCTCCGCGTCTATCGACAGCGCAAGATTCTGTAAAAATCTCCCTTTAGGCCCGAAGTCAGGTTTCTCCGAAGAACGGGCCATATAAGCTGCCACATGAGCTCGACTAAACTCTTGAAGTCTGCCGAGGCCCTTTAAACCTTCTCGGAATGACTTGATTGGAAGATACCGAAGAATAGGAGCAAATGACATTGCTGGCACCACTGTAAAAAATGCCTGAACATCATGATGCGCCGTAGGGGTTTTGCCACTGAGACAATCGAAAGACTCCCCAAAACTCAATTGGCTCACAATATCCAAAAACAACTCATATGTCCTTTCCAGAATATCCACACTTTGCCCATCTCTGTCTCCAAAAACGGAGACGTACTCGTCGATTTTGTCTCTTAGGAAGTCTTCTGTTTCGAGAAGACTTTTCACTGAGAAGCTGTGAGATATCAAGCGACGCAGACGTGAGTGCTGGTGGCGATCTGTCGCATTTAAAACATTGATTTCCCCTGTAGCTGACAATCCATCGTATGCACCTGGATCTTTCAGGCAAGGCCTTGAGCTCTGACCATAGATTTGCGCAAAGGTTTCCATGTCCGAGAACACCAGATTGTTTGTACCCATACGGATCGGGCTACCATATTTTTGTAGAAGCTCATATTGTTTGAAAGTCCTCTCTCGTCTGAAAACGGCGAGAACAGTTGGTAGGTCAGTAAATTTCCCCAACCACGGTCCTGGATAGTTCGACAGAGGATGGAAAAAACATCGTCGAACAATGACTGCAACGAAAAGCAAAAGAGCGAGACTAGCGAAGATGGCAGCGAGCTGATGCCGCGGAGCAGCTTCCTCCATAATGATGACTATGCCGAATTGCCTGAATTCAATAAGCCTGTGGGTATTTGCCTTGAACGAAACGAGGCTTAATTACCCTGTCATTTTAGTACAGAATTTTCCTCGTCCAGGGAAGGACTTTGAGGGTTGGATTTTTGCGGTTCTCGGAAGCCCGCCGGAAAGACTGTGGCCGACCCGAGGCGTTCTCGGAAGTCCCTACGAACTTGGACTGGCGTGATGAGTGGAATTGGATTGTTCTGGCATTTTCTAATGACACAAGAGCAAAGGAATCCACAACATTTTGGCTACCATTGTTGTTGTGTGCGATTACTAGGCTAGATTCTGAGGATAGAGAGCAGTATGTTAAAATTCAAGCAGGCAGTCTGCAAATCCCAAGCCCTTGGGCATATTGTTCGAGATCCCAATTAGCAGGAGTGCATCACCAGATCGCCCCACATTCACCCTGTCGAGTCGATCGCCCCAAGCAGGTCAGCAGGTCAGCGTCCGCAACATTTCTTCCAGGGTCAAAGTCCATCTCGAACGTGTGATCCGAGTAATCGGGTGGAAATTGGTAGGCCATTCAGTAACAGATTATCCATCCAGTCGTGGGCTCCTGATATTTAACAGAGACTACAGAGCCAAGGCGGACAAGGCTTCGAGCGATCGACAACAGTGCGTGACGCCAGGTTATCTTAATGCCAGCCCAGAATCTTTCTTGTTAGTGATCTTCCATTACATTATACTGGCAGAACATACCAACGATGATCTCTCGTCCCGTCATAGATGAATTTCTGGCGGCGAAGAGGAAGGCATCGGCGCAATCTTCTAAATTGGTCTCCGAGGGTCATCAGAGTGTTGCAAGCGGGGAGATTGGTTCGAAGATACACACCTCCTGTTTTAATACCGCTTGATCTTTACTCATTTGCAATTGCTCTTCACTGAATTTTAAACCCTTGGCGATTGTCAATATGAGCAGCCTAGTGTTCAAGGAAGTTAAAATTGGCTCACCCATTCGGTCAAGAGGAGTCCTGGCAGAATGGCATTCACTCGGATCTTTGGACCTTGAGTGTACGCTAAACATCTCACAAGTTGAAGACCAGCAGCTTTCGTGACTGCATATCCCATACTGCTCCCCCCCAGTGCGATCCCCTGCGCGTGTGAGTGGTACTGATTTGTGAAGTATTACTTTCTTACCGCGACTGAAGAAGTGACGAGGAGAACCCCACCGTCATCGTTTGTATTGAATATTGGAGAAGCTTGCTGCATAAGCACTAAATGAGACATGACGTTGACCTGCCAACACTGCGAAAGTCAGAGATATTGGCATAATCGACAGGTCAAAGCTGCTACCTTCAACCATTCTTCGTGAGTTAGGGCTTCAAGATCGTTGAAGTCTGTGAATTTGGTCCAGCCGGCGTTGTTGACGATGATATCGAGGCCTCCAAGTGTTTTTATAGTCTCATTGACGAGGCGTATGCAGTCCGCTACTATTCCTATATCCTTTGGTGATGGTGTTAGTGCGAGTGTCTGTTGTTCTGCAACTATGTTCAGTGCCACGCTTATTTTCACTTACCCCTTTGATGGCTGTAGCCTTTACTCCGAAGCACCTCTCACATTTTTCCACCATTTCCTGCGCTCTTGTCTCACTGCTCACATAATTTACCGCAACGTTTGATCCTTCTGCAGAGAATTTTTCACAGATCAAAGCTCCAAGTCCTCTCCATAATAGTTAGATAGGGTCGTGTAAATTTGGAGGATGAAACATGCCTCGATCCCCCTGTCACCAAAACGTTCCGGCCTTTCAGGCTGTAGGGCATGTTGAAAGATCAAGATATTTCCGTCTGTCAATACTCACCCACGACTAGTGACGAAAAACTAGGTCAGAAGGCCCGGGTGTTGGAGGGGAGGGCGGGAGTGAAGGTCGACTGCGATTTTAAAGCTATACACCGCCGCCATTTTACGCAGAGATCTACCCTTCTTCTGGTCGGTTCGGCAGCTTCTACCCTCCACTTATTGCTCGGTATCGCCCACGACTTCCTAAGACTCTGTGCATGTATCCTTCATGTACACACGGGTGGATGACGGACCTCACTCCGCTTAAAGCCGGTATGACCTGACACCAACTTCCCCCAGCTCACTCGCCACAGTCCACACCAAAGATATACAGATGAGGCATCCGTGCACTTTTGGTCGTTCACCTACAGGAGAACAATAGTTATGGCGAAAGCCGGTCCGATCCGTTGGACTACACTACGTAAGGGCGGACGTCGCAATCGTTGTCCGCTTAGCGAAGGCTGAGTCTACAAGCTTAAAGTACGGGCCCGTAAGCTCATTAGAATATAGATATAGACAATAAATGTACTCCTGGTTTAACGTTGTGCTCGAGCACAAGAAGCTGCGTTCGCTCCTTTCTAAATCTTTCTATTCTGGCCTACTCAACCATGACTGTCAGATATGTTACTTTCGTCGAATTGCTTGTCTAGCACTAATAGCAGGACAACGAGCCCTTCTCGTCCTGGTGCCCCTTTTTTCTCTTTAGGTACTCGCTGCCACACCCGGAATATTTCCGTATTCCTCTTTGAGCTCTATGGATCCTATTTTCAGAGGCTGTGCTTCTTGCAAAATAAACACCATTCGAGCCCACTTGTCACGGCTTGGATTCTTCCAGGCATGGTTGGTTAAACGTTGGATCACGATATCTCCAACCTTCAGCGACCTCTTTTCACCCGAGTCCAACCAGCATTCCATTTCACCAGCAGTAACTATACCATAGTCAATACTAATCGTGCGATGCATAGGTTGAGCCTCCGCATCTCCGACAGGTGCAAAGTCACAGATACGGAGGACCGAACCTCCCTTGTTTATCAAGCCAGGCTTGGGACCCTCGAGGAAAGTTCGATATTTCGCAATGTCGTCTTCGTTGTCCAGCTCAGCCGGAAAGTTGGAGGTGGTATACATTAGATAAAAATCCACAACGTCTGTGATCGGTTGACGTAACACCTCTGGGGACGTTTCGGTATAGAAACAGGACTTCCCATCATTTGTGTGCGTGGTGATATGGCGTTTGGGAGAAGGCAGGTCGTATAGCTCGTACTTGCTCTGCAGACTAGATGGAGTGTCTGACATCGTGGCTGACGTTGTGCGGAACGCTGAATGAATGGCAACTTTGACCCTAGAACTGGGAATTGATTTTTGCATAAAGGGTCAGCAAAGGTTGATGTTTCTGAATATCGAAGGCTCCCCTTAGTCGGACAGATAGGTCCCGCTAAATCTGCAATCTAGTTTGAATCAATAGGATACAAGCATAAAGTACTATCTTCTTCCGGTAGGGAGGCCAAACCGGGCTCCGGAAAGCGTTGGGGTAACCTCCAGAGCTTACAAGCCGAAGTTTCGGTTTACTCCACCTCCCGTGATCATTTTCTTTCCTCTTCCTGGCTGGCAACAGCAAATTTTACGCCATTGTCATACATTTATCTCCCAAACTCAAAATGCAGAATGATAGAGTATACCGATGCCAAACGAGACATGAACCTTTCTTTACCCCCAGTCCAGCCTCGTTGTCAAGCGGTCACTATGTAGAGGAAGAGGACAAACGGTCATGCTGGTTGCTTAGTAGTCCAAGGGAATAGATCATTGCCCTGATGCCCAACTTAAATATCTCCTACACAGAATCCGATCCAAAAATTGCAAGTCCTCCCTGCTTATCTCCAGTGTCTGTAGAGCTTAAGGACGATATAAGAGGTCCCGACCACCACTCCAGTGAACAACGGCAGGACTAGAAGGATAAATCCAGTCAGCATACCCTGAGCAAAGAAGTTTTTGTCCCCTTCTTTTGGTTGACCTGTTGGCTTGAGTGGCTGTAAAGAGTCATTATACAGTGTCTGGCTCATTTTTAATCCTTCTCGAACGAGTCCCTGCAGGTCAAGCTCGCCAGAAAGCCTAGTCACGAACTTCGGACTTGGAGTTTCCATCATATGCCGGCGGTATCTAGCGATCGGAGATACAGGATAATCAATCGGGGCAGCGGGACCGACTAGAGTGTGTCATTAATCTCCCCAAATACTTACCAACTAAGAGACTTACCAAGAAGGTTGGCAGGAATATGATTCACAAAACTGACGTTGGAGCGAACGAATTGGGTCAAGTATTTAGCCACCCGAGGTCCAGCGAAAACATACAATGCCAACAAGGGGTTCTGATCGTCCTTGTTTAAGGCATCAATAGCATCATCTTGACTGCTAGTTGCCAAAAGGTGGATTACATTAGCTCGCCTAGAACCGTGGACCTGCAAATAGTCTCTAAGATTCATTAGCCTCTGCAGAAATTAATGTCGATGAAACTACCTTCCAAGAACCTTGATAACTCTGAAACCATTCGCATTAAGAAGCAATTCCTGTGGTATGGTCTCACTAGCTCTCTTGGGTACCATTTCGTTGACCACATTTGTATCTTTTCTCTTCTCGATAGCAACATGGCCGTTGACAGTCGATAATTGTTCGCGAAACAACCGAACAAAATCGTCTTCCACATATTCATTGACCAGAATACAACTTGGAGCATATGGACCACCGCTGGAGAAGAAGGTTCTTGAGCAAAGAATTTCTTTGGTGGCGAGCTCCAGATTTGCTGTGCGGTCTATAACTGCCACTGTCCCCAGCTGAGGTTGAGATCTGAGGGTACGTCTTCCCGTTAGCGACGGTAGAACACCAATTTGATCAATTACAAGACAACGATTCAAGATTTCACTCGGTGGACGAGTGCTCGTGACTCCATAGGCAGTCATATCCAGTGATTCTATCAGGCATTGACGAGTGACGCTGCTCGAGTGCATGAAATCGGTTGGCAACTGCTCACCAAAAATTCCGTTAGCGATGACTAGATACCAATTCGAGGCCTTGCTCTGTTATACATACTTCAATGACACAACAGGACCCAGCAGCAATGCAGGTGCACATGGCACACATAACGCTGTAAAAGAACGTAAATGCCTCAGGCAGGATATAGACCAAGTCTTCCGATGAACTTCCGCCTCCATTGTTGCGGCCATTCTTGACGCTGTATTCCCCATCTAGGGTTTTTTTCAGATCTAATTCCTCATATTGTTCTCTAAGTTCTCGAAGAGTTAGAGAAACCATGAGCTGCGCTTCAAGCTTCGAGAGGTTATCGTCTTTACAAGCCGCAGTCTCAATATCGATTCGATGACTTGTAATCCATTTGTGGAGGGAGATAAACTGTCTCTGTCGGTATCTCAAATCGCGAGTTCTTCCATCAGCCGCGGTAGATATCACGGTCTGGATCTCAATCGATGTCATCCTCGGATTGGGCACTGACTATGGAATAGGAAAGGATGCAAAGGGAGCAAGAACCAAAGAGGTCGGGAACAAACGAATTGATTAGCTGGTCTTAGTTTTTCACTCAATGAAATTCTCCTTGTCGTGGACCATGGACGGGAAAAGCCCCTTGCATTTCATGATCATGAAGTTTCAACGCAGATTGGGTCTGAGCCCGGGTTATGCGAGCGGGTGTCCCGACGTCCTGATCTACACCCGACGATGGTCCCGTGCCACTAGAGAATCCAGGCAATCCCACAGAAAACCTGGATTCTGTGAACCAAACCCATTAATCCTCAATCAACCTCGTCCTGGAAAAAAAAAATCTCCAGTTCTCTTAAATATATAGTATACGTATTTTACAAGGAAAGGGCGTCAAAGTCGAGATTCGAAACAAAGACTCGTTAAGCACTTAATTGTTGGGTTCGAGATGTCAACCGCAACCATAACCACAAATCGACAGGAGATGGAGAGAGCAACGAGAATATGTGCAAGAAACACCGCAGGCGACCTAAGTTCGAACGAGTCTGTGCAAAATTCACTTTTTGAAAGCCATAACGAGACTCGACAGCCGGTCAACAATCCCGCATGGTGGCCTACGAATCACCGCCGAATTCCAGACTACCTTCCAGCTCGTTATCACCCTGAATGGCACGAGCTCACGGACAACAGTGCTATAATGCCTTTTGTCATTCTGGTGTTGTTTGGTGGATGTCATTTAATCTCAGTAGGTGAACCGCCTGAGAGTCCGAGAACACTATCCTAGCTAACTAGTTTAAGTTGGCCGACTGGCTTCCAAGACAGCTTGGCTTTGAGCGCACTTATTTCACACGTCGGATAGCTGGTGAATGGTAGAGAAGGGAATAGTGACCTTACATTCCTTCGGATTGATGAAGAAAGTGGTTCCTCAAAGCCAAAGACTGTATCAACCATAGAGCACTCTACCTTCGTGGCCTGTTATGGTCCTACATAAGGCTGGGTGGGCGGGGCCGAACGCTCTGATCTAAGCGTATAGGTGCATCCTTTATCACCCATTTATCCATATCAGAGTCAATTGCATCCTTTCTAAGATTAGGTTGCTCTGCCACAGTCGTAACTATGTAAAGAACCTCCTGGGTCGAGCAAACAATCAAATTTGAATAAAACATTTCAGTTTCATACCCTCCAGGACATGTCTGACTAGTTATGGTTCCCGAAGGTAAAGAGGAACAGTATTAGAAGGCAGGGTCTGCGGGAGAGCCGATGAATAGGGACCGACCACCGGCACTTAAAGTCGCTTTTAAGTCACTCTAGAGCCACCACACCATTCATAGTCACTGGCCTGTAAGCGTCCTTCTAGATTTCTTGTTGCTACAACAATCCTGGATAACAGGCTTATCCCTTTGTTCTACGAGCCAGTAGTCAGCCTTTCTCATCACCAGCGGCGCAATGCCTCCGAAACTCGAGACCTCATCGAGACAGCCGCCAGTGTTACTTCTATCTCATGGTACTACGATGCTTACGGGCGAGCGATCACATATTCGAGACTACTGGAAATTGCAGGGCGACAAGGCCCTTGATTATGGGATCAAAGGTGTTGTCATTATGGTACGTTGAGCTACAGATTCTTGATTTCTTCAAGATGCAATCGTGACAGCTATATCTCCAGGGGGCTCACTGGAATGTCTCGGGAAGAAAAGTCCACGTGGCAACCAACGCCAATGTAATTCCGGAGCCAGTTGGGTTGGTAAAAAAGTCGGAATGGGCACACTACAAGCCCAATCCGGACCTCGAGACGGGAGCTCGATGCGTGGAGATGCTTAAGCAAGCTGGATTCGATGCTATCGCTGACCCAGACTTCAACTGGCTCATTGATACTTTTCCATTACTGACACGTATGTTCCCTGATGGCTGTCCCCCAGTCACCATTATATCTCAAAATGAGTACTTCGAGCCGTACTTCCATGTGGAGATAGGCCGAGTGTTGCGACCGTTAAGGAAGGAAGGCTACCTCTTTATCGGTTCTGGTGGCGGCGTTCACAACCTCTACCGCGTGCACTGGAAGTATAATTGGAAATATCGCGATACGTTTGCGCAGGAAGTACCACCGGACAGTGGGAATCTTGAATTCCGACAAGCGTTAGAGGATGCGCTCTGCAAGAACGGTGGCGGTCCAGGATTGAAGCGTGCTGTGGTTCGACTAATGAAACATCCTGATTACCGCGCTGCTCACGGTACAGACGATCACTATATGCCGACATGCTTTATAGCAGGTGTGGTTGGTGAGGAGGAGGATCGCAATGATTCAGTAGTTCTTGGCGCTGAAGTTTGGGAATTGGTAAGTGTCAGAGGAAACAGTCCTTTCTTTTAAATCCCTGTCCTCTGAATACCTCTCCCCGATAACCTTCAGCCACACCCTTTACGACGACTTACTAATTTGGTGATGCAGGTGAATCAGTGTGAGACTCAGTTTTCTATTGGAGAATGGCCCTCTAGCGGACTTGTGGGAGGTTAACTTCTTGGGAAACTAAGTAGGAATCTGGTGTGGTGCGTATCACATGTGTTGGACATATCTTCAAGGCAAGGTTGCTGTAGACTTCACTACATAACTTATCAATCTGATAAAGCGAACAGTTGAGGAATAAATTACGACCGCAACCGGATCGCCACGTTCTGGTTTATGTCTGTAGGGTGTTGTCGGGTGCCCCTCGGGCCAGAATCTCGAGGCGTGATTGAGAGCGGCCCATCCTCCACATGATTGCCATATTTCAGTCCTTTCGGTGCCTGAACACCTCATACTCGGGCTACCCATGCGATATATATGTTCTGATTCTGTGCTCTATGCTACTCACATTATAAGTACTATATGTTGCCCAAAGCCAAGTGAATTCGCAACCCTTCGCAAAAATCATGATCCGCATCCTTGTTTTCGGCACTGGGAGCGTTGGCTCCGTGTATACCTGTATTTTATGTCGGGCTGGTGTACATGTTACATGTGTGTGCAGATCTAATTATGATGCTGTCAAATCTGTTGGTCTGCGAGTCAGGTCAACCATATTTGGAGAAATGCAGGCGAACCCGATTGTTGTGCAAAGCGTAACGGAAGCCATGTCGCTGTCAGAGAGGCCCTACGATTTCGTCTTGGTTTGCACCAAAGCAACTCCCCAGTCCAGTTCGGCTGCTATTGAGTCAATCAGGCTAGCAATCACACCGAGGTTGACCACAATTGTCCTCATCCAGAATGGCTTGGGTGTTGAGAGGGTTTTCTACGATGCATTCCCAGAAACTACGATTTTCTCTGGAGTGGCGTACCTTCCAACGACACAAATTACACCGGCAGTCTTCTCTCACTCGGAGGTTGACCTACTCTATCTTGGCATATCTAATATATCACTGGGCTTGTCCAATCCGATGGCGCAGTTGCTCTCCTTTGCCGAGTATTTGAAAGAAGGTGGAGCTACTGTCGTCCTCAGCGAGGATATCCAAGCCGAAAGATGGAAAAAAGTTCTCGCTAACGGGGCCATCAATCCAATTTGTGCACTCTCACGGTGCCGAGATCGTCAACTTATTGAGCTCTCGCCCCTAGCAGCTCCTTTGATCCGACAAGTTATGTTCGAGATCGCTGCAGTGGCCGCATCGGCCGGATATGGCCATGTTGTAACTACTGAAACCGTCGAAAAGCAATTTGCAAGGTCATTGACCAGACCATACCCAGGAGTGGAGCCTAGTATGATGGCTGACGCGATAGCATCACGCCCAATGGAGGTGCAAGCGATTCTTGGGGAGATCATTCAGACCGCACAGGACAACAGTGTCAAGGTACCCAGGTTGACGATGTTACTTGTTCTACTAGAAGGGCTAGATTTGGCATTGCAAGGAGAAAGAAACAGACTTGCTGAAGCGGAAACATAGTATCTTGACAGGATCAACGGACAGATATGTCAAGGAGAGATACGTCCTTATACGTGATACCTCTACTGGCATTTTCCTTTGTCTCTATGTAACCCGTTAGATTCATTGATCCACGATGAACCCATCTTTGTGTGCCCTCATCCTGATAGGCTGTACAAGAGGAGGTCGAATCGTCTGCGCATTATCTAGCAAGTTGACCCCCAAACCCGGTCCCCGAGGAATTTCTACGAACCCCTCGACCACGGCTGGACAGTGGTCTACTATATTGCTTCCAAGATGTTCTAATGTTGACTCGAAAACGCCAGCCTCGAAACCGGTGGCGTACTCCTGGATGGCAAAATTCGGGATTGCCGCAGCCACCTGCAAACAAGCAGCCAGCCCTATAGGGGAGAGGGGATTATGTGGGACGATATTCACATTGAAGGCTTCTGCTAACGCGGCGACCTTCTTTGCTCCAGTAATTCCTCCGCAGACAGCAACGTCTACTCTAGCGTATTCTACCGCCTCCCGACTCAGAAGAGCTTGGAATTCGTAGATGGTGCAGAAGCGTTCCCCAGTTGCAATTGGTACTGATAATCTGGAAGCCACGCGGGCCATCGCATCAGCACTCTCCGGGCGAATGGGATCTTCGACGAACATTGGACATGTGTCCTTGATGCTATTACAGAAGGTGATTGCCTCAGCCGGGGTCAAACGGCGGTGCAGCTCTATGAGCAGGTCGACTTTGTCGCCGACAACAGCGCGCATCTTGCGCACATTTTCTTTGGCGTCCTGCATTTTCTGTATGTGAGTCTTGAAATAGAGCTTATCAGTGCCTTCGTCAAGAAACGGATTGATGTGTCCGAAGGCCGTGAACCCTAATGCCATCTTCCGTTTGCATTCCTCCAATACCTTTTCGATCGTAGTCTCGTAGATATGGCCGTACACACGGGCCTTGGTCCGGCAAGCACCCCCCAGCAGTTGGTATATAGGTACACCAAGAGCCTTGCCTTTGATGTCCCAGAGAGCGATGTCGATCGCGCTTATAGCAGCATTGATAGCCAGTCCTTGGAAGTAGCTGAAACGGTGCATCACATTCCAATGGTGCTCAATATCGAATGCCTGTTTCCCCATCAGGTATTCCGCAAAGCGAAGAATTGCTGTCTCTGCTGTCGTGATGTGCCCCCAGATACCAGCCTCGCCATATCCAATGATGCCCTGGTTTGTAGTGATGCGTACAAACATAAATTGTCCAACATGAAGCGGCTCAACAGCCTTGATGATTTGGTTTGTCTGTGCCATAGCACCTTGTGGTTTGAAAAATCGATATCGTTCAGCATAACATACGCTACTGCGAGCTGAGCAATTACTTTGAGGCACAGCTTATTAGCCCGTGGCAGACTCGCCAAGTCCTGGGATAGGGTGCACCAATTGGTCCCTATCCATATTCCTAGTAACCCAGAAGAGATTGAACAGCACAAGCACGACCAATGCACAGAGACCTCGGCAAGTGGTCCTCCCGGCGTGGACCACCCGAGCCGAAGGGCAAATACACACAAGGTCCCTTGCACGGGCTGCACCTTGTGTCACGCTTGGGATAATGAGTCACTGTCGTGGTGAAGCCTTGTCTGCTTGACCCCGCCCAGACGAGCTTTCATCAGGAGGGTGCGGCGAATTTAATACGAAACAAGCATAAAAACCAATACTTCATTCATCCCTGACATCGTGACAACCACTGGGGGTCCCCATGGGGTGTCTTCTAAATACCTTTAAATGGGTCGTGTATACGAACTGCTCGAGATATCAACTTGCCCTGAGAGTGTGGAGATGGGCGAATGAGAGAGTTGAGGCAGGCGTAAAAGTTGGCCAGGCTTTTGTAGAATATGAAGTCGGACGTGCCTAAACATGAGTTACCTAGGTAATTGAAGGCAACATAGCTTAGCGAGCCCAGGAAGCATCGCCAGTAGACCACCCTAAGGGCTAGATTTTCTCCTTCCCCGTAATAAAGCTGCTGGGCATGTGGGGTTCGGGAAACGCTAAGCTGGTGGCATGTCCAGCCATGTCTTGAACTTCATCAGCATCGACATCGACATTCAGTATCCTGTTGACGCATCCCCTCTGTCAAAGATGTCCTCTGGAACAGAACCTGCCGTTGCGATGTACCAGTGTGGGTTTTGCAAGGCGGAGTATGTTCGTGCTGACCACCTTGTTCGCCACGTGCGAGGCCACACCAAGCAGCGTCCGTTCATCTGCACTATGTGCGGAAAAGGCTTTGCAAGACAAGACTTGTTGAAACGTCATGCTTCGACGCATAATGGCGAATACGTCGCCAGCTCAAATGCAGAAGTCACTAATCTAGCTCAGCTGAGACGATACAACCATCGAGTCCACCAAGCCTGCCGCTCATGCGCCTCGAAAAAGGTGAAATGTACCGATCAGAAACCCTGCAAAAGATGTCGAGAAAGTGGAATTGCCTGCGATTACGAACAAGGACTTGGCTCACCCATCCAAGATCATGAGAGCCGTGAAAAAGGAATGCCCGAAGCTGAGGCCCATGATCAGTCGCTGATGCTTGTGGATTCTACCTCACTGGAGCATGGCTTAGAAAACGACTTGAACTTTGGACACTTTCACGACAACAACGTCGCCGCCAACGTGGTGAGCCAATCTTCTACTGTGGATATACCACCAATCAACTCTACACCGTCTCAAATTGATGTCATGCAAGATATTCTAGGCAGTACTTTGACTCTCCCCGACTTTGGAGATTTCATCGAGATTGATCCAAATCCTATTCTAGACGACATGGACTTTTCATTCTTGAATAATACCGCTTTAAACACTTCTCAGCCATCTCCTGCTTATCTGGAACCCTCCCTGGCCTCAGATTCAAGTCCAAACTCGTCCACAATGGGGGCAGGTGCCGAGGCATACCGCAGGTCCCGTGTCCACAGGGGCTGGGAGCCTGGACTGGAGGAAAATCACGAGTTGGAACATCAAAATCTGGTATTACCTCACAACATGCAACCTGGGTGCTTGAATTCTACGTCTGAGATGACTTCAATGACCAAAAAGCCCTTGTCGCTGTCAATGAGGGATCGCATACTGGCTATGATACTTCGGACGGCGTCAGCCCAAGCCGTTGAACGCACTGTTGCATCATTTCCCGCGGTTGAAGTATTGAGGGATCTGATTCATCTTGCTTTTGTACGTATGAGGAATCTTCAAGCCATCCCTGTGATCCATGTGCCCTCTTTCGACCTGAATGGACAGCGGCCAGAACTACTGGCAGCATTAATTGCTTACGGCTCCATTTACTCCCCTTCTCCGTCTGTGCGGAGATTTGGTTACGCAATTCAAGAGACTGTTCGGATTGCCGTGAATCAATTGGTAAGTCCTACAGCCATCTCCATGCTCACCAGCGAACTCACCGTCGTAGGTTGAACAGCAACATGCAACGCTGCGGGAACATGACGTCTGTCAGGCATTCTACATGCAATTATACCTGGCATACTACAGTGGCATAAGTCGGAAGATTGAGATGGCCGAGTGCATCTCGATGCTCGGCGTCACTGTTCTACGTCGAGGTAAAATGCTTCAGACCCAGAATTATGTCCCTCCGGAGGAATTTCTGAACCTTCCAGGACTCTCTCTGCATGAAAAGTGGCTCAAGTGGGTTGACCAAGAATCCCGAACACGTCTTGTCTACTTTGCCTTCACGCTGGACGCCCATATCTCTGCATCACGCAACATCAGCGTTCTATTCCCATATTCGGAGCTGGAGGCACCTCTACCGACAGCAAAAAGGTTGTGGGAGGCTGGCTCTGCCACGAAGTGGAGGGACGTTCTCCAACACGACGTCGATCTTCGGGGCAACCTGCCGCCCTCACTCAGTGCGATATTGCGCCACCCTTCTCTGAGTATCAGGCACAAATCGATTGCGGACATGACATGTACTGCCCTTGCTTTCCTGGCAGGCTTCTGGGCCTTGGTCCACGAGTATCAGCAGATGAATACCATTCTGTCGTCGGGTCAGTCATGGAATGACTTTGTGCTCAACTCAAGATATTCAGAAATGAACTCGACACTAGAACAGTTCAGAGCCGAACTCGCCGATCTGGATGATGTTCGTCCAGAAGTGTTGATTGTCCAAGAATTCATGGGGCTTCACCTTAACGTGTCATTTTATGAGCTTTCCAAATATGCCGGAATTGGCACCGACGAGGATGCTCAACTGGCCTTTCCATACGTCCAAAGGTGGTTTGAGAGTCCTCAATCTCGCGCTGCGCTTTGGCATGCTGGACAAATATTCCGGGCGACCAGGTTGCTCCCAACTGGCAGTCTGACAGATGTGTACGTGATCGCACTGTACCATGCTGCCATCACCCTCTGGGTCTGGGGCATGCTTTTCCGAGGTCAGGGCTCGACACTGGGTGTCAATTCGCAGAAAGTCTCTCTGGATGGTGAGGAGAGCCCTGCAGTCTTCAGATATCTGAAAGCATCGCGCGCTCTACCAGGTTTGACTGCTAGCTCCGGCGACTTTTTGTCTCTGGACAATTTAACCACCGCGCCTGATCTCGCCAATGATATTGTCATGGCAAACTGGTGCTTAGAACCGCTGCCATTGACAGCGGAAGAAGTTTCTCGACTGATGCAGGGCATTTCAACGATTTGTCGACAAAGATTCAAGGCGGTTCTTGGATGAGAGGCATTCGGCTCGAGGATACTGTACCATGGCTTCATCAGGCGTGGGATGTCATCTTAATCAGGCCGAAACCACCAGTTAATGGGCTACAGATTTGTGCAGGACACTCAGGTTTCGGAATTGGGACCTCGGGAAAGAAAGTTACCCACATCCCGGATGTCGGTGAATGGTTGCTCCTACACGACTTCGCCTTCGGGATCACCTCTTTGAGTGATCGCAACCATATGGTCTATCCTTCAGCCCGTATATATGGGAAAAGGTGATCCCGGAATTTTGAAAACTAAATCATCCTTTCATTGGGTACCTCCTCGCTGCCCTTCTCGATTTCAGTTGCCCGATAAAATTGTGAGCAGGACAAACGCAAGATGCCAAACAAGATTCGAGACGACTTGCGTGTTGTGGATTCGACTTTGTTTCCGTACATCTATGAAGAGAATGTTACCATCAAATTGAAGAGCTTCGATGGCATCGTGAGATGCAACATTTATCGACCCAAGACCGAAGAAAAGGTGCCTGTTCTTGTGACATACGGTCCATATGGCAAAGACGTCCATTATAAGGAGTATGTGGCCCTATCGGAGGACTAGTACCTCGCCTGCAGCCTCTTGTGAGGCTAAGCTGACTGCTAATTGTACTCCAGTTTTCATCTCAAATCATATGTCGAGGTCAATCCAAAGCATCAGTCTGCTCATTCCTCGTTTGAAACCCCCGATCCCGGTTTCTGGACTGCTCATAATTACTCAGTGCTTCGGGCAGATGAAGTCGGAACAGGACAGTCGCCAGGTGTTCTGGACACCATGTCAAGGTCCACGTCCGATGCTTTCGCAGATGTCATTGAATGGGCTTCGGAGCAAGCCTGGAGCAATGGGAAGGTGGGCCTACTAGGCATCAGTTATTATGCCGGCAGTCAGTGGCGTGTTGCTGCACGCCAACCAAAGGGCCTCGCTGCCATCGTCCCCGTCGACGGAATGGCCGACTACTACCGAGACCGGTGTCGACACGGTGGCATCCTGACCGGCTTTCTCAAGTGGTGGTTTGACCGTCAAGTACTCTCGAACCAGTACGGTCTAGCCGGGAAAGCCAGCCGAAACTGGGGCCCTGATACTATTGAAGGTGACTTATCTCAGGAGGAATTGACGCGCAACCGTCACGACCAGACTTTAGAAACTGCTCAGCATTATTATCGAGATGACCCTTACTATGTCTCCCGTGACTATAATATCCAGGATGTTGTCACACCTCTGCTCTCTTTCGGGAACTGGGGCAGCATCATGATCCATCTACATGGCAACTACGAGGGGTTCCGTCTTGCAAGCTCAGAGAAAAAGTTCCTACGTATGGTTGTTGGTCGGCATGACCTACCTTTCTATGATGATGAACACGTCGATATAATAAAGGGATTTCTGGATGCCTTTTTGAAAGACGAGGACCGCGACGGCTGGACAGACGGCACACGACCCCCGGTCGACCTAGTCCTTCGCAAGGGAAATGTGGGTTACAATAACCCGAAAGCAGAAAGCGTTTTCAAGCGGCGATTTGAAAACGAGTGGCCCCTCGCCCGTACAGAATACACGAAATTCTACTTAACTCCTGATAAACAAATGACTTTGGAGACTCCCTCCGTTCACTACGATCGAGTCTCGTATCTCGCGTTGGGAAATATCAGCAATCCACAATTCGTGCAATTCACTTCACATCCACTCCCAGCGGAGACAGAGGTCACAGGCTATATTGTAGCTCACTTGAATGTATCAGTCACGCCATTGACGGGAGGAACAATTCCTACTGACATCGATCTCTTCTTGACATTGCGTCACTTTTCAGCCGATGGGACTGAGGTGTACTATACTGGAATTACGGGAGAGCCGGTGCCGCTATGTAAAGGCTGGCAGCGGGTTAGTCTCAGGAAGGTCAATATGGAGCACCCTTTGCATCGCGAGTGGCTGCCATACCGCGACTACTTCTCCACAGATGTATTACCCGTCTTGGTGGGCGAGATTTACCCTGTCGACGTAGAGGTCTGGGCAACGAATGTCATAGCAGAGAAGGGCGATCGCTTCGTTCTGGAAGTTGCCAGTGGAGACACCCAAGGAAGCGGATTGTTTGGACATGACACAACAGAGAGGTAGGCCTTGCACGAACCCCCGCCATGAACAAACTCCAACGTTGCAATGACAAACTACTAATGAGGACTTTCGTTCCACAGGTCTCCTGAAAGACTGGCTGGCATGAACCATATCCATTTCAGTCAGCAGTACGTCAATTGGATTACTTTACCGATCATCCCGGCCTTATAATGGCGGCCTTTACCACGAACTCATTCTCCGAAGCTCTATATTTGTGAAAGTTGATGATCAGGACAGAGCAGGTGGAGACTAGTACAGATATATTTAGATGAAAGAAGGGAAAGGATAAAATGCCAATCGCTATAAATCCATCCTGTCCGAGCTCTGACCCTATACGGCGGAAGCTTTAAGATGCCTTTTTGATAGTTTGTATTACCAATCCAAAGCCTCGAAAGTTCTTTCGACAGGATGAGCATTTCCTAAGCAGGGACACTAGCCTTCATTTGCAGCCTGGGCTCGATCAACCGAACATGAAGAGCTCCTTTTCAGTCTTGATCAACTCTCAGATGATGAACCAACATCTTCTTTACCCTCGCGTACATTCACTATGTCTAATAGTGGTTCTTCCCCTCTTTCTCCGTTGTGGGGATTGTTTTGACCTGACTTCGTCCAAAGGTGATGAATCAACATCTCCTCGGCGTCACGTAGGATGTTGGGCGTGAAATTGTAGTCATGGTATTGTTCAGGGGTAGCTTTGACAAGAGAAAAATCAGTCAGATTGAAGTGATGCAAGTTATCGTGCTAATAAAAGAGACAAAATGCACGCTCTCCAGAGGATATTTGACATGTTTCAAGCAATTAGGAATGTCGGGGGGGATTTAGACTTACTCGGCAAGGAGCCTTTGACGTATGGTTGGGCCAGATGCGTGATTTTGGCGGCCTCATCCTGTCCGACGCTGGAGAAGACCTGCATGGCTGAAACACGATCGAGACGTAGGTTTTCGAATAAGGCAAGGCGCTCTGGAATTTCGTCTTTGGAGCGGAGGTTCGAAAATAGGACGCCCAAGGCAGCCCCATCTTCAATCGCCATGCCACCTCCTTGGCCTTGATGGGGCAGCATTGGGTGAGCAGCGTCGCCGATGAGAACAACCTTGCCCTTTGTCAAGGTAGGAATTGGTTTCTCGCGCTGGCAGAGCCTCCATAACTTCAAGTCTTCCGCTTTTCTGACGTCCTTTACGTTAACGTCCACTGTCATCGTTTCAAGTGTTGAGGATTACCTACGAGCATATGGCTTGCAAATCAGGATGTAACTCACTGCAAGACTTCATAAAGTCTTCGTGCGAGGCTGGTATATTCCATACTAAACCCATGTTGTCAGTGGTTCACGGCCAAATGTCTAGTCTCTGCAGCTTGTCCTACCTTCGTCTTCGTATCCCTCAATTCGGTCTGGGTGGAAAAAGCCATAGTTCTGCAAGATGCCACTTGAATTTTTGACTCAATGTTAGTACTCGGTCTTGAGAGTGCCAGAGACAATTCTTTTGCTCACCCTCGGCATGGATACCACACTAGACGGACATCATTGTGGCGTGCAATATACATAGAGCATTTCCTTCGCTCGTATATGTACCGTGTTTGCTCGTCTTCCAGGAGCTTCTCTGTCGGGATCAGGAAGCGGTACACCGCCGTGCCAGTGGCCTTAGCTCGAACAGAAACATTCTCACCAACAACTTTGGAAGCGAATCTGGTCTTTAATAGATGAGCATGGTTCCAGTCATAAAATAAAGTCTCACTGTGCGAGGGATTGCGAGGCATACTCGGACTCCATCCGCAACCACGATTAGGTCCTTTCTCAGCTGTGAGCCGTTCGCCAGGGTTAAATTTCCGTCCAAATCAAGGTCAACAACCTCCGTAAGGAGATGGACCTTGGCAGCAGCGTCCCTACCCGGTCTGGGCTCTATCGCCATCCGCTTCAGCTCATTGTGTAGGTCAACTCGATGAAATAGTAGCCAAGGGGCACCAAAACGGGCCCCCATGTCGGGTGTATCAGAACGGTGCAGAAGTTCAAAAGTACGGCCATCCGCGAGATTAAGCTGGGGTTTTTCAGTCAAAAACACTTTTGGACATAACTGCGAAACAAGTAAGACTCACCTCTTCGACTGTTGTGGGCATTGCCCGATCAAAATTGAATTCATAATAAGACAATATCCGGGCTGCGTTCGGACACATGTTGATGGCCGCGCCGATTTCATTGGCGAATTTCGACCGTTCATAGAGCTGTTGTCATGCGCCAGTCAGTCAGTGTGGTTTACTATTTGTGGTATAGATTGGTCCTACCTCAACATTGTGACCACTTTGAGCCAATGCCACCGCTGTTAGTAGTCCAGCAATTCCAGCTCCAATGATGGCGATGTCTAGACTCTTATGGCCGGTTTTGGGAGCGAAGTAATCCCGCGGGTACGGCTTGTAGTACTCGTTTCTCAGACGACCATTTGGAAGCTCGCCAGGAGGGTGGGCGTCGGATAATTTATCGCCCAGAGTTACACCGTCGCGCATTTTGATTTACTCAACGCTCGTCCGATACTTTGTTGCAGTCTCAGGAAATCGCTTCGCTATCTCTTACAACCCAAAACATTCCTTGGGACTCATTGTATAGTTGTATCACTACTTAATCCTGTACCCCGGATCTAGGGAGAGGCAGGTGAATAACGGGGCGGGATGTGGAGCTTTTCCGGCATTCTTGATCCTTCGGTAGAGGGGTAGATACATGCGGGACAGAATTCCAACCCCCCTTCTCCTCATTCGCGAGAGAAAGCAAGCTCTTAGCCCTGGTGGTTCGCGGCCATCTACCGTACCCTATATTTGGGTCCTCGAAGACAAGTCAGTGTCTTAACTCCGTAATCACAGACATCTGTATTGTCGTGGGTAGTAGACGAGTCAAGATATCGTTACTTTGAGCATTAACGAGTCGTCGTCGACGGGCGAAGCCTTACTCTTTCCAGATTTTTGATAGCTACCATCGTACTTAGAGTCTCCTGGGATATTGCTAGGGAAATAGAACCATAGACTACTCCTCACGGTTGTCCTTATTCCCGTTCCCATCACTACTGCTCCGTCTTTTATTCTCTACTTACAGACAGCGGAAACTCTTGGTTGTCTATTCTCCGCGTGCACTTTCAGCCCTCTTCGGTTGAGCCTGGTCTGCTCGTACCCTCGAGTCCTGCTCTAAGGGATCAACATGATGATTCCATTTCGTCCTGGCTGGAAAAATAATTGAAGAGCATCCTTGAGCTCTGACAACTTGAACTCCTTGAAAGTGGGCAAAAGCTGACGATTGCGCTGCAGAAATTCCGTCATGATGGCTAGGTCGGCAGCCCGCTGTTCATATGGCAGTAGAGACCAATGAACCATCCCCACGCCGCACACAAGTTTGGCTTCCATTGTAAGAGGCGCCTGCGGGATAATGAGTGGCTCACCAGATAGTATTCCGTAGCTAATCAGTGTCCCTCCGGGTGAAAGGAGTTCAAGCATGTCTGTACTGAGCTCTCCACCCACTGCATCTAAGGCTGCGAAAATGGTACGGTCGCACACCTCCTTACGAATCCGATCTCGCCAGTCTGAGACTTCAGTTGCAAAAGTCGGAATACCGGTTGTGGCACAAAGGTCTACGGCCGCAGCGCGTGAGCGAACCAAACCAATTGGAGTGAACCCCTTCTCCTTTAGCAAACCCGCGATCAGCTTAGCAGTGATGGAGGCAGCTGCAGAGAGAATCACCACGCCGGGCTCGGTGCTGGCCGGTTTCAGCCCTGAAAAGATCGCACTGTTCGCAGAAATGCGCAAGATCCCCGTTCGACGACCAGCCGCATTCACCACTTCCCGCACAATGAGTAAGGCGGCCATGGGATTCACATACAACTGAGAAGCCAGGTCGTCATCAACCCCCTCAGGGACCACAAAGATGGAGTCCGCCTGCAATATCAATTTCTCCTTCCAGGCGCCAACAACGAAGAACGAGACACGAGCTCCAGGCACTAAGCCGCGGGCCACATCAATGTCAGGGCCCAATGCCTCTACAACGCCGACTCCTTCAGCACCTGGAGTGAGACCTCCTTGTGGAACCTCGTATTCTCGGGGATTGTGAAGGCCGGTGACCATCAAGAAATCTCCAGAGTGCATCGGTAGTTTAGTGACTTTCACGAGGACTTCTCCCTTGCCAGGCGAAGGGAGTTCCTCTGCTTTCTCCAGCTCCAAGACTTTTTCTGGATCGCCATGTTGGTGAAAGACGACTTTTTGCATGGTAGCCCTCCAGTTATCGTGTCAGAAGCTTGAGCGGGGGTTTGGTCTGGGTAGGAAAGGATCTTGTTCAGCCAAGAAATGTTTCGAAAGACAACCGTCTATTTTTCTCTACAAAATTCAGGTCTGATCTTGTTGTGATGAAGTCTGAATTTCCGGAGCTAGCTCGAACGAGGTATTCAGCCAGTCAAAGCCTTCCCCAGATGCCAGTCGACTGCTACGGCCAATTGTATGAGTCGACCATGCTCGGCAAGAGTCCAATCTGCTTTTTCAATCGATAGTCTGGCCGACACATTGCTTTAGCTGGTGGTTTGCGGACGCGGAGGAGGTTCCCTCCACTTACCGATGGATTTCACCTAGACGCCCACTTTCCCGGCACCCTCTCGCCCTGCTCAACCACCTCAACCGTGCTCTCGGGGTTTGATATTGTGGGAAAACTAGCTTCCCTCATGCACTGTCCCGCTGATTTTTGACCGTGCCAAGATCAAGGCGAGTATGGTCCGACGCAATGCTAGGACATGGAAATTCCTTCGGAAGACACCTCGACTTAAACTTTTGGATAGATTTGGCATTGAACTAAATATCATCCTTCTTCGCGCTATGCTTCTCCCTATCGTGGCTCATCTTCAGCCTTGTGGTAGACTTTTCAATGGTGCTTTCCTGCACTCCCCGGTTTTGGCTGGCAGTTTGACAGGAATAGACCATTGACAAGAATATCGTCCTTGACACTGCCGCGTTAATCTCAATGTGCATGAAATGATACAGCTCAACTCCATCCAATGTCACGACCCAAGACCTCACGCATTCATATTGATCAGAATAGTTTTAGGCTCAGTGAAAGCCCTCAGATAATATTCGCCCATCTCTCTCCCAAGGCCCGACTGCTTCCTCCCGCCGAACGGGACGAGGACGCTGATGTAGCTGACGCAGTTGACCCCGACGACGCCAGAATCCAGGAGGGCGGAAACCCTGAGGGCACGCGTGATGTCGCGGGTGAAGACTCCGGACATCAAGTCATATTCGGTGTCGTTGGCCATGGCGAGGACTTCTTCTTCGGTGTCGAAGGTCTTGATGATGGAGACGGGGCCGAAGATTTCTTTCTTGTAAATCTCCGCGTCGGCCTTGGGGTTGAGGAACACCGTGGGTTCCATGTAACAGCCTGTATCGCCGTGCTGGACGCCACCGACGACAAGTTCGACCTCTTCACGTCCACGCTATACCATTGCCTTGACGCGTTCGAATTAGGCTTGATCGACTAGAGGACCAAGCTTGACCGACATGTCCTGTGGGTCGCCTAGGTCCGCGGCCGCGGCTTTCATCCTCTCAACATACTTCCCGACGAATTTGTCCGCAATAGTTTTCTTCACGTACAGTCGACTCGCAGCGACGCAGACTTGGCCGGAGCGCGCGAGGATCGCGTTGATGGTCCAGGTCAATGCCTTGTCGAGGTTGCAATCGTCAAAAATCACGGCGGGGCTTTTCCCGCCCAGCTCCAACGTCACGCGTTTGAGGTTGCTTTCTGCGGCGGCGATTTGGATTTTCTTTCCCGTGGGAAGGCTACCCGTGAAGCTGATCTTGCGGATGCGCATGTGGCGGGATAGGACGGCGCCGGTTTCGCCTGGTCCGGTGACGACTTGGACGACGCCTTTCGGAAACCCAGCCTGCTCGAAGAGCGGTGCCAGGGCGAGTGTACCGAGAGGTGTTTTCTCCGAGGGCTTGACGATCAATACATTTCCCGTGACCAGTGCGGCAGCGGCTTTGCCTAGGAACGTTGCTACGGGGGCGTTGAAGGGGCACACAGCGGCACAAACGCCCAAGGGTTCGTGTCTGACGAGTTTAACGAATCCTATCCGCACATGTCAGGGACTCGGAAGCATAAGATTGAGTGTGCGACTCGTCAGTTGGCAGCCTTACCGTCATCGGCAGGAAAGTAATCCCCCTTTTGCTTATCCGTCCAGCCAGCATAGTACAATAATCCGTTTTTGATATAATTCTTCTCCCTGGTAGGGATGAGCGAGACGGGGTTTCCGGAGGTAAGCGAGTCCAGTGTTAGGATTGGAATCAACTTCTCCTCCATGAGAGCAGCCAGCCGGTTGAAACATTCTGTCTTCTGCATCCCGGTGAAATTCCTCCACGGCCCACTGAATGCTTCCTCGGCATATTTTACAGCAAGGTCGATATCCTCTGCTCCGGCGATTGGTATGCCGTCCAGCACAACACTGTTGTCTTTGGGGTTTTTCAGTGAGTAAGTCGCCTTGGACTTGGCATCGACGTATTCTCCATTGAGATAGAGCTTGTTGAACTTGTCAGGAGACAAATCGATGCCTGTGTTTTCACCCATTATGGAGTTATGAAATTGAGACCGCTTCTTTCTCACAAGTTTAAGCCAGGCGACAAGATTACATCTTCCTCCGTCTACTATGCATCATCAAGGACGTCGTAAATGATGCCGGGGAAGTCTGGCGATTTGCCAAGTCGATACCTCCCCCGCCTTCATTCTCAGCTGGAATCGTATTAGTTCCTGACCAAGGCACGAAGAGGTAATCAGCTAGCCTATGGGAATCAATGACTGAAGCCCGAAAATGCTCGGTGATCGGGTAAATCGACTGTTAGAAGTTGCCTGACGTGACGCTACACGAAACCGGAGGGTGTAAGCCAGTTGGATCGTGTGAGGCAATATCAGTGGTGCTAAGGATTGTCTTTCAATTACGTCTTAGCAGTGAGGACTGATATCAGTGGTTAGAGCGTCATTGCGTACCAATGTCTATTGACACCCCAACTTGAGTCACACGCCCCTTCGAGCGCAAGCGCCGATGTCGGAGCCTTCTATGACTTTCCCCTGAGAGTGGCACGACGCTTTCGTTCTACATAGGGTTTATTTAGGCACTGCACACGCGGTGGGTCATCCCAAATTCAGTCATCAATCACTGGGGCGAATTTCGACCTCTTTCTCAGTATAAGACCATATTTCATGAAGAGGAATGGCACAGGAACAAGCGCAGCGCTGACCGCTCCGAGAATGGACATTGCAGGGCCAACACCAAGGGTGTGGAACATGGGTCGAGAAGCCATAGGTAGGCCGGCCGCCATGATGCTTCGAAGGAACGTGTTTGCCGCGGTTGCGCTGGCGGCGTACAGTCCATACACATCTACAAGGTAGTTGATACCTGTGAGTCATGATTGGTTAGTTTTTGAGCTTTCATGAAGTGGTTCCAAGTCCTTACATTGTTGGAAAATAGTATTGAAACCAGCTCCGATCAATACCGCTGCTAGGGCAGGATGCACCCATGAGTGCCTTGGCGCTGCCGTCCATCCGAACCAGAAGAGGCCCGCCACCATGAGAACAGAACCCACTGCTAAAGGTGGAAGCCTTGCTTCAGGGACAGGTTTGCCATTAGCCGCGCGGCACTTCCGGATATAACGTGGTTGATTGCCCAGGTTTATGATGATTGCGAGACTAACCCCGACGAACAAACCCAGAAAGGGCAATGAGGCGATGAGAGGCGAATACCCTCTTTCCTCCTCAAAGACGATTGGGAAGACTGTCAGGGTAAGGTAAAGTATCGTATAGACGAAGGATGCGTAGAAAGCTATACAAGTGACCATCGGTTCGGAGATAAGCATCTTGAGTGGGCGCGAGAGCTGCTTGGTGATGATCGATTTGAGATCGATCTTGATTCTCTCCTGAGGATGATATAGCTTCAGGTTCCCGGTCTCCTTGCGAAGCCTTTGGGCCTTCCATTTCAAGATGACAGGCGGATACATCTCTGGCATACAGAAATATGTGAGCGCTACAACGGCGGCGGTGAGAATCGCAGTGGTGTATTCCGTCCAACGCCATCCAAGATCTGGACTTCTCTCCAATATTGCGGCGCCGAAAACTGGACCGAGACAGGGGCCTCCCACAACTGCGACAGCATAGAAGGTGACAGCAGTTCCCCGTGCTTCTCGCGACCAGATATCTCCTAACGCGGCATTGACATTGCTGACAGCCGCCGAACCGAATAAGCCACTGAAGAATCGGTTGACGAAAATCGACGCTGCATTTTGGCTGGTGGCACAGCCGATTGAAAACAAGACTAGACAAAACATTGCCGGGAGTATTGATATTCTTCTACCCCAAACTTCCGATATGGGAGCCCAGAAGAGAGGGCCGAACGCAAAGCCGACGCTGCAGGCAGTATGTAAGAATGGGGCCAGCCTCCACGACCACAATGGAGACTTACATGTAGAGGGAAACATTCAGGACTACAACATTTTGACTGACATGGACATACTCTGCGATGGTTTTGCTAGCAGGCGAAATGATGCTGGATGCCAAACTGGCAGCAAAAGCCAGCAAGCTAAGTTGGACGGTGAGCCATGTCTTGACTGAGGTTGACCAATTCTGAGGATTCTCTGGGTCGTTGTCGTCATCCCATCCCACCAGGATTTCGTCCTTTCCCTCTGGGTCATTCACTTTGACAGCTTGTTCTAGTACATCCTGGCGCCTGGGGCCCAGTACATGAAGACCAACTTTTTCAGGTGTCGTATTGGAGCTCATGGCGACCGTCTAAGCCATCCTTTGATCAAAGAATCCATCATGGAAGAAGTCAAGAACACCAGCCCGAGCGTTGTGGAAATGAAGATCTTGTACGTTAGAATGGAGCCGAACAACGGAGGTCGTACAATGATTTGCAGTGGATCATTCCGTCGGCAAATCACCGCCGATGCTGCTTTGCCGTGCGGTGAAAATTAAGCAGGCAAGATTTACGTTGGATAACACCCCTGGGGGAATTTTCGACTCGGAGGTGGACAAGTCCAGGAGTTCGGTCGGCTCTGGACTCAAAAATGCTTACGAGTCGTCAACTGGTACGCACCCGACTCGGGCGGAGGTACTCCGCTCTTGTAACTGTTCTGCGGTCAACAGAAAACCAGACATGCCGGGCAAAGTCGGGGTAGTGGAATGATTTTCAGATCCATTGATGAAATCGAATTAAGGAAATGAACTCTATTCCTTTATATCCTTTGTAGCATCAGCTTATAGCCGACTAGAGCGGAAGCGGGAGGATAGAACTCCCAGTTAACGAGGTCGTCGAGGGATGGCACAGATAGGCGTGGCCAATAGAGGCTCTCTCCATACTCAGCCAGCTCATGCTGAATCTGTTTCTCGAAATTTCGTAAATATTCTGGCGCTGAGGGCACCATGGAATGTGCGACGTCCCAGTGCTTGTACTGTATCATCGTCGGGTAGCGTTAGTAGACCGTGGCCATGCTTTCAGAAATTGGGGTCAATTATCAGACAGAAGCAATGACTATTAATTCACCAGGGCATGAACCCCAGGGCCATTCATTATCAACACGGTTATCCTACACCCCTCACGTACTTTTTGTACTCGTACATTGCATTTCTAGGATCGGTCGACGCTGGTGGCTCTGCAAGGCCTAAGCTTCCCACATTGCGTACTCTTTTTGGATCTTGATGTGCATCTATTCCCTCGCCTTCCCGTTGGTACCCGCACTCCTTTCTCGTGCGACTGTCACTCTAGCCCGAGCTTGATCAATCTCAACCGGAGACATTTGCCCAAATTGTATGCTGCCGAATCTTTCCTGGTATCGCTCGAAGATATTTGCGCGATCAAACAGTAAACTTGAGGTGGGTGGAGAGTGTTTGGCTGTCTCAACCCCACCATCCAACTCGTCCGTCCAGGTGTTAGCGGCAACGACATCAATCGAGGCTAAACCGGGTCTGCTATAAAGGTAGGGCTCTCGAATTTGCGGCGATGAACTAAGAGATGCTGATCCCGGGACTGCAGGAGGTGCAGTAGCTAATGAAAGATTCGACTCTCTTGAGGTATCGCGCGACATTGGCTGTGACATGTAGCCCGACGGTAGATCTCGTGCAATTAGTCGATCCATGGTATCTTGCTTTGTGGGAGCCCTTGCACTGCTCGGCCCTGTTGGTACTTGCACTCTGGGCGTAATGGATATATTTTCCTCGATCTGGAGAGGGACGATTCGAGAAGCCGCTTGATTGGCAAGTGCTGCCTGCACCAGCCTTGGGGAGGAGGATGGCTGTCTGCTGTGCCTCCGTGACACTTCTGAGAAGTCAAAACTAGGCAGAGATTGGCTGGGATGAAATTCGGTAGCCAAAGGTGATAGGTTGATGTTTGGAGATCTGTTAGAAAGAGGATATCTCGCTTCGTCGGAACCAGATCTATCCAGTGAGTGTGGTCGACTGGGCGATTTTATCCTTCCTCCCCTGGAAGCCGGAGGGCTTGCACGGTGGACTGCTGCTAGAGCCGCCGATGCTTCAGACGCAGTTGAGGTCGGTCTTGCAACTCGGCTATCAGTTGTACCGCTGGTGAAAGATGAGGCTCTGGATCGAGTCTGTGCCTGTTCATGAGATAGAGTCGGAGGTGCCACCAAAGGTTTCCATCCTCCCAGATCTTTTGGTTTCTTCGTAAGTGATGGTCGTCCTTGAAAAATAGCCTGCAATACCGAGGACCTTCGGGAGCTAGTCTCGACTGGAGAATTCACCGACTCACTCGGACGTCGGGTTGAATTGCCCGATGGAATCAGAACCCTTGAATTTCCCACACCCGATTGAGACCACCTGTCCGTCCAACTGCTATCTGAACCTTCATCACCAAGGTCTCCATCGTGCTTCATTTGTGTTGGTGATTCGGTATGGTTTTCCAGCGTCCATGTCGATGTACGTGTCAAGCCACTGTCACTTTCTGGGCTATCAGAGGAGGTGCTGTTCGCTCTTTCAAATACTGAAGCTTGGACTCGATGATGAATGCTATCCACGGAGTGTGAAGGAGAGCGGCTCTGGATTTCCTTTTTAATAGTGCGGATAGTGTCGTGCAGCTGGTGGCGAATTTTTCGAAGAGCTGGCGATGCGTCCTGGGCTGATTTGGGAAAATGCGACCAAAGTCGTGCGGCCTGTGTCTCGTAGTCGCGATAATCACGCACCAGCCCACGCCCTTCTGAGGACCGAATCTTCTCGTCTGCAACTGCATAGGAGTGACAAAGAAACCTTGAGGCTACACCAAGCCACCACCAGTACTGATCAGGTTGGTCTGCAAAGCGGAATTTCAGCTCATCACGAAGAACACCTTGTACCACACTGTGAATGCGCAGAATATCGATGCTGTAAGTGATGGAATTTTGAGACGACACCTCCCCTCCGCCCTTCGCTTGCTCAAGCATACCCTTAAGACTGCTAGAATCGTCCCTGATCAGTTGCAACTGCCGATTTGACCCGAAGGTACTAGTGGTGGAAGCGCGATGTCTGTACATTTCCGGGGAAGAAGATCGATTCGGAGACGACACCGAGTATTCCAACAGTGTTCGTTCCAATAGGCCATAGCGAATGAGAATTGCTATTGTGTTGTCCAGCTCCTTTTTCATGCTCCCAATACTCTCCACCGATCTAATTTCAACGCCCATGTCCTGCAACGCTGGGATACCGAACCGTAACAACGCCACTGGGATGGCATGAGCGAAGAATCCAAGAATGGTGACTAGATTGACGGCCTCTGGGTGCATATGGTCTCGGAGTGCCGACATAATATCAAGGAAAGGATCGGCTAAGCGATGATCAGAAACACCCGGAGAATACTTCTCCAATGAGGTCCCTCTTGCAATAAGCATATGAGAAGCGGCATGTATCGCAAGAGGGAGACATTCGTAGTGCTTCACCAATTGGGTGGCTTTCTTTGCTTGCGCTGGAGTCGGCTCCTTGATGCCCAGGTTCTTGTAAAGAATGCAGCAGGCATCATACTGCGATAACGGGAAGACTTTGATGCCAGCTGGGTTTAGCAATCGCTGTCGTTTTGCCAATGTGCGATCGACCGAAGTATATATTATACTGTTTCCAGGCCTGTCGGGAATAAAGGACACGAACGCTTGGATGTCATCATCATTATCCGTCGTCACCCCATCGAAAACGAGGAGCCAGCCCTCTTGAGATTCAAACCACCTGCGTACTGAATCAACAAATTTGGAGCACTCATCCCAGGCGGAGTCTCGTGGGTGGTCGATTCCAAGGATGGCAACGGCTTGAGCAATCTCCCAAAAACTCTTCGATCTTGACTCATGACTTTTGCAATCAACCCAGAAACAACCGGCAGGATAGTTATTGCGATGGCGCCACAAATACTCTCGAGCAATCTGACTTTTACCAGAACCTGGCGAACCCCACAACAGGACGGCACATGTCCCTATGACCCTCCTTTTCTGATTGGACAATTTCTGTTCCAATTGGTCCAATTCGAGTTGAAAGCCGTAGAACATCGAATTCGGTCGAAATCCAACAGGAGCAACAAGCAAGAGACCAGTCGAAAGGGACAACGACTGCTGCTTCTCGGCTGTTTGAACGGAACCAGTAGAACTATCTGTGAATAAAATGAGTCAGCGTTAACACACTTAATCTATATCACTGACCAAGGAAGCTGGTTCTATCTTCGTGGTACAGTGACAAAGTCTTCTTCGACTTCTTCTACCTCGTACGTGGGTGAAGCAGGGCCAGAGATCTGTTTGGGAGGAGGATGCGCACTCATTGAACTTGGTTGATTGCTTGAATTAGGAGGCAATGGAGTCACATTGCCGGATGTTCGTGCACTCATCTGAAAAATGCTATCTGATCCAGCTCAGCAAACGTGCTCAGATGGTCAACCGTCATACCTACTCACCACCCAGCAATTCACGTGCAGCTGCTTGACGCTCAAACTCAGAAACTCTTTTTTCTTCTTCCCATCTAGATCTAATCCGTGATTGGGATTCTTCTGAATATCTTCAAAGTAAATTAGCAAGCCTATTCTTGTGAGAAGACTAGATGTCATACCTCTGAACGGCTTCTGCTACGACATCATAGCCCGGGCTTGATTCGTCTTCGAACTTACACATGTGACTAGAGTAATTAGGCCCCAGGTTGATCTAATTCCTCAGGTGGGATGATCTCACCTATGATCCTTTTCAATTCCCATTCGATCGACTCCTTCAATGACCGGTGCTGCTGAATCTTCCTCGACAACAAATTCTCTGGTTCCCTTGAGGTCGGTGGGTTTTGATTCATGGAAAAAGTAGATGTGGAAACGGCCAATGATTTCGATGAACAGCCTGTTGATGTTCTGCAGAGTTTCATTGTTGGTTTTCAAGGCTTTGACGAGCTGGGGTGAGGAATCGAAGAATTTCCTCGGCAGGGCGACAGAGCAGATCTTTTCCAGGAGGGAACCCCATTTCGCCAGGTCAGAGCCGTTGTGTGGTGTTCCTAGAAACAAGATGCCATAAGTTGAGACATATATAGACCTCAGTCGTTCAGTGTGCTGATGATGTCGAATACTATTACAATAAATCAAGCATCTCTTGACGACCAAGCCTCCGAGGGAATGGCAAATGAAAATGATCGGTCTCTCTTGTGCTTTCCTCAACTAAGAATTGTTAGAACATCTTTCTAGGATTGTGGTCCTCTCGTCCTTGTCTCCTCCGTCCGTGCAACTTACCGACCGGTTGGCTACCAATCGGCTTGCCAGATGCTCAGCATGATTGTGTATCTTGTCTTTGGAGACACCATCTGTAAAGGCTGTAACATTCGCATCGTAGCCGTAGGTCAGGATGCGGGGTCTTTGGTCTTCGAGAGCAGCAGGAAGAAGGTCGGCAGGCCAAAAGACATCGGGCTTCGTGGTGGACCAGGTATTGTGGGGATGGCCGTTCAGACCATGGACGAAGACAACGTCAACAAGAGGATTGGTTGCAGAATAGACTTCTGTAAGGCCGTACTGTTGGATTGGTTTGGCCGCGGAGGTACTCATCCTTCCAGCTTACTCGGACTCTGCAAGAGAGGTGGATTCATGGAATCAAGGCCAGGATGCAAGAGGCAGAGGGATGGAAGAAGAGAAGGCTTCAAATACCCAACAGCCAACAGCCAACAGCCTTACCGGAGAAGATGATGGGAGGGATGTGGCATTGTCTCCTAAGCGGTGAAAAGAGACCAGTCACCAATCCAGTCACAGGGTGGGTGCAGGTGATTCGACCTGGGAGCCTGTCCAGTGGACATTATTATTTTTTCTTTGAAACAATGCGTGAGGCAGAAACGCAGAGGGCAGAGACGACGTGTCGCCAGTCGCAGTCACAGGCGCCTCCGCAGTCTCTAACCATCTCGGGAAAGAAGCAAGTGCATCGGGCTTGCAGGCTTGGGTCGATCCCCCCTTCTGCTACCCATTTCTGCTCCAGGAAGCCCGCCGTCCGCCACCAAAGCCACCCCTGCGGCCTGGCACTTTAAAACGCAATTAGGCTATAGCCGAGCCACCCCTTCCGCCCCCAGCCGCAAAATGACAGGCTCTTTAGCCCCGGAAGGGCGTCCTCGTCTGGGGGCTGTTTTGGCCACTGTGGGGAATCCTAGCTCGCCATGGTATTGTACCTAGCGATCCCTTAGGCCTCTGCCTTACTTCCCACAGACTACAAAGGGACTTCCGCGCTTCTTGCGCAGCGCTCAAATCAGTATCCAAATGCGAACTTTGATGTCGGCTGCGGCTTCTTTTTTTAAAAAAAAAAAGGAGCAATGACACATATTTCGAGCAGGCCTCCCAGCTCTTAGGATGCGGTTTTGGTCACAAGGCCAGTATCTGTGCCCACACCATTCGGACCTTTGGGTCAGATGGCACCCACCCTTCGCCCTCACCCACTACCCTTGTACAAGCTAGGCAGCAAGTCTATACGAGGTCCGATTGCACGATGCAAAGGACGAGCAAGCATTACGAGTACTCGATTGGAGGTATTCAATGACTCAGAAGCTAGCCTTATCATATGGCCTCATGTATCAAGTCCTAATAAACAGCCTTGTTCTTCGGTCCACTTCTCCGTACCTGGGTACTTGACTACTTCTAGATGGGTCCTAGGAAAGCCCCTTAATGCATGCTCGGGCCCTTTCCCAACAGCTTCCCGATTATCTGCTTCGCATCCAAAAAGTCTGCGCTCAACGTGACAATGTATAGAAGGCAGCCACTTCTATTACCCACCGGGGTTTTCAAGTCACGCGGCACGGTGCGAAGAAAGTTCCGACACCAGTGGATTTTTGCGGCACAGGGAGATCGCAATACGTTTAAAGGGCTGAATAGCCTCGCTATGCAGTATAGGACCCACCAAACTCACCAATAGATACCCATCAAAGCAAGTCAGCCAACAGAGGCCAATGCCATGCCGATTGTACGAAAGAACCCTACGAAATGTAATGATGTTTCCTATTTGGCCCTTAGGACAGACACAACTTTTCAGAATGGTTTGCCAAATCTTCCCGGAGGAAATATCCCTTCCATGCCACCCTTCCATGCCATTGCCCGGCACCCCTTTAAACTATGCAGCAAATCCTTGTATGGTGGCATGCCATGCCCAGTGGAACCTATTGTCACCCGTCCGATTACCGCGATAGGTTCTGGCGCCTACGGATTGACCTGAAGTTCCTCAGATTAACCTCTCTAACCATCCTTTCTACCATTCAGAAAAGAGGTATATACCGTAGCCTATGAGCCGTTACCCGGGATAGTCTTTTCAACCTCGAAGGACAGGAACTCAGCCTTGCGCTCGGCGATTTGATATCACGTGAGCATCAGCCTTGCCCTACTACAAGGACGTGTTCAGGCATTGAATTGACAGCCTTTAATTTTATTTTTCTTGTCCACCTTCATACGTAGTTCACCTCCCCTTGAAGACGGGCTTTCTCTTCTCCGCAAACGCCTTCAGGGCTTCAACACGATCCTCCGTGTTCAGGATGACCTCGTAAGCCTCATTTTCAGCAGCCTCGCCTCGCTGCCAGCCGTCGACCGCCCGCATGGCCTGGGTGAGAGCGATGGGACCACCTTCGCAGATGTCATTGGCCAGTTGTACACTGGCATCCAGGACTTTTGCTCTCGCTTGCCCTTCTACCTTTTCGTCCTCGGGGAGTATCTCAACCAACCTGTTACACAGCCCTAGAAAGTATGCCTCGGGACCGGAAACTCGGCGTCCTGTGATGATCATATCTCTTGCGCGATTGACTCCGATGAGTGCAGGCAACCTATATGTACCTCCAGCTCCAGGGATGATGGCTAGCTTTGTTTCGGGTTGGCCGACTACGGCGTTGGATCCAAAGACGCGTAATGTTGTACATAGACCTAGTTCCAGCCCTCCTCCCAAGGCAACAGATGAGATCGCCGCAATGGTGGGGATGGGGAGTTTGGACAGGTCGGTAAAAGTGTTCCTCATGTTGGTCAAGAACTCTCTAGTCCTAGACGATGGTGAGCAAAGATGTATATCCCCTTAGCCTTGTAGATTGAGTGCCACGCTTACTGCTCTTGGGTCATGCTCTTTCTCTCTCTTAGATCTGCGCCAGCGCAAAAGGCTTTGTCCGTATTTGACGCGAGGATTAGAGCTCTGGTCCCTCCCTTTCCACCTTCTGCTTGTATTTCATCGACATGACGTCTGAGATCTGTGATCAATCTTCGCGACAGGGCATTCCGTGCTTCAGGCCTGTCGAGCAGGAGGATTCTGATATTACCCGAATGAGGAGCAGGGTGATGCTGGACCTTGATCGGAGATGACTCAGTCGCAGCAGCAAATGTTCGACAGTGAACTCGTGAGGCCTGTAGAGCAGTGAAGCTCTTCCTTAATACACTGCCTCGCATATTGACTGGCCGTTCAAGAAGGACGGTCTAAGTCACATAATGGGAGAATTGATATTGCAGGTTGGGGATAAGAGAACGCGGTTAGCGACGGAACGTTAGCCGTCTGGCCGAGGGTGCAGCGAGAGCCCAAGCTATGTTGGACGGTCGTGGATGGGGGCTAGTTAGGCTAGAATACCATGTTTAGGGGCCCCTGAGCAGCTGATATAGATGAAGGCCATCTAGTTTAGGGGAGGCCAGGTAGCTATGATCTGCATCCATCAGCTATATACCGTTACTATGTCTTGGGCGTAAGATTATAGAGCATGATTCCTCGTTATACCACTGACACCACGTAGATGGTGATTCCTCTACCAGTTCCCATTGACTTATCCATCCAGATCGTCATATATTATCATTAAATCTGCGAAGTCATCAAGATCTCCCACTATATACATCCACCATGAATCCTCTGCTACACGACACCATCCTCGACCTCGAGGACCAAACCTGGACTGCATTGATGGACTCAGGGGCTGCACTACTCCCATTCCTCAGTCAAGACTGCGTCATGTTCTTCCCATTGGGACTCAAAGTGTCGTTGAGATCATCACCCAACATCCACGAAGTTTTGAAAAGCGAAGCATTCGTGCCATGGAGACGCTACCGGCTGTACGACGTCGAAGTGATGGCACTGGGACCCGAGTCGGCTCTGATCAGCTATCGAGTAACAGCGACGAGGCAACATATCACGCATGATGAGGATGAGCGACAAGATGAATTCCGGGCATTGATTTCCAGTACGTGGAAAAAGGATCCAGAAGCTGGGAGATGGTTGATGTATTTCCACCAGCAGACGCCTTATGAGCAGGAATTGGCTGAATTGGCACTGGAATGATGCGGCAACGTATTGATGTCTTTTCTGTCCCACGTTGCCTCCCTCAGTTACACCACTGTGTTGTTATTACTATTCATCCTATATATAGGCACTTAGGTACCTGGTACCTAGGTAGATTCCACCCTTCCTTCAAGATTCAAATGCCCTGGCATGTGAAGATCACAACGTCAATCTCACCATACAGAGCAGTGTGACATCAACCACCCGCGGATTCTATAGCCGAGCCTCTGGGAGACCAGTGGCGTCCACAGGCGAGCCCGATTGCTGTGGTTGGTGTACAGGAAAGTGTGGGGGAGACGGTGATGGTTGGGAGATGATGGCATTGCGAAGCTCATCTTTGCATTGTGACGTCGACGCCATCCACCATTGCCCCTCGGCAGCCCAGGACAACCACTGGCACCACCACATGGGAATCATACAAAACTCAATCTCTTCTCTCTTCTCATTCCCAAAGCTCCCCTTCATCCCAAGCTTAATAGAACAATCATCAACCCAAACTGAGACTATATTATATACAAACACTCCATCTTCTACACCAGCTCTACCAGACTACCACTGTACAACCACCACCACAATGTCGTTTCTCACAAGAACCGCACCTCTCCTCCGCACAACAGTCAGATCTTCTGTCGCCTACTCTTCACCGAGACTCTTCTCCGTCGCAGCCGTTCATCAAAAATCCGCAACAGAGACGGTCAAGGATGGTCTGAAGAAGGTCGACCGCGCCGTATCTGATGTCGCCGTGGCTGGAATCGACAAAGGAGGTAAGCATTGATCCGTCACTCTAGCCTTGGCCACAGCTGACTGGTGCTCTACAGTGGAAGTTAAGGATGCAGTCGCCGGGGCTGCCGGTGTAGAGACTGGCAAGGCTAAGGGCACCGCTGAAGAGGTTGCTGGTGAAGCCAAAGGCAAGGCAGCAGAGCTAAAGGGTCAGGCCAAAGGAAAGGCCGAGGAGATCAAGGGCAAGATGTCCTGATCCCACACCACACAGCTCTTTCGCATTGCTACTGTCATCTCAACTGCATCCGGGCGGGAAAAGCAGGCGTTCATCTTGTATCAATAAATCAAAGATACCCTCCTGGGTCCCCAATTATGTACAGTAATCAGTAAAAGAACTGAAAGCATACTATACCATCAAGAATTCTTCTTCTGCATCGGTATCTTGCAGCTGAGATGTAATGTCGTTTGGACCTCATAATATTGTGCAGAGAGAATGCCAGATATAGAATGGAATGGAAGACGGTTGCTTAATTTTGGTCGTATCTCATATTGAATATTCGCCTCGCCGAGACATCTCAGCCAGCGTCCGAGCTCTTCAGAACTGGACTCGGCTGCAATCCACTATCAAAGTGCTTTCGATAAACTTCCCCTTCTTCAGCCTTCAATCCATACTTGGATGGATCTCTTTTCTGCAGGAAATGTGTGACTCGCCCATCACGGGTGACCTGGTTATCCTTGAAATGGTCGGCTCGGCTGTTGAGAAACCGACTTGTCTCTTCGGTGAAGGCTCTGGCCTTTTCTTCCAATGTTCCTGAGTATTGTCCTGCACGAGTGGCCTGAAGAACTCCAGAGAGAACCGCCAAGAGAATGACAAACGACGCGAATGCATTAGGATGAATATATGTCCCCGAATAAGCCTGCTTTTCCGAGTTATCTTGCCGTCGATACCACCGTTCCCAGTCTTCCCACGTTGCATTTTGAAAGATGCTGGAATCGTGGCCCGCTCCGTAGCCATATGGTTTCCCTTCTGGGTTGGTGAAACCTCTGGAGTGTCTCGACGCATTGTTTCTGGTACCCCATCCTGCACCTGAGGCATCAAAGGCTCGTCTCTTCACTGGGTCCGATAATATCTCGTGTGCTTGTACCACAAGTCTATATCTCTCCAGCCTTTCGATATGACTCAACTCAGTAGCATGCCCGCTCCTATCGGGATGGTATATCTTGACCAGTTCAAGGAACTTGTGTTTGCTATACACTCCATTCTTAGTTATATCGAAGATCTCGTACGGAGTGGGCGTGAAAGGAGTCGCCCTACAGGGCCAATTCATGTTATCTCTAAATTCATGCTGTTTGAAGCTGGCATCTGCGTATGTCCTCGACTGCGAAGGTCCGGGGCCTTCGGACTTGAGCCGCTTGCGGGGGGATGTATTTGCGTGACTGCAAGAGCAGCAGTGCCAGGCATTATAACCAGCTGGCAGCCTTGCCTTCTTCAGCAAAGTAGACGACATGCTGTGCAGTTGAAAATGCATTGGATAAAATTGCCCAGATCATGCGAGCAGCTTGAAGGTGCCGTGCCTGAGTCTTTCGGCTCATGAGACCAAATGGTCGACGTCAATTCATGTCAAACTCGGCAAAGTCGATACCTCGACCCGGGACTGGAGAAACATTGTTCCCTTGGAGCAGCAATCTCCCCGCAATGGCAGCAAGCGAACATTCCCATTCAAAGAACAACTTTGCAACATGCTAATCGTCCTTACACTTCCTACATGCAATGTCTCGATCTCGCTCACGATCGTCCTCTAGGCGGAGAGATCGAATTTCGGATAGACCTCCTCCGCGGTATAGAGACGACTACAGAGAACAGAGAAGAGACAGGTCGCGAAACGGAGAACAAGAGCGAGAGCGCAGAAGGTCGACTAGTCCAAACCGCAACGACGAAAGATACCCTCGCAAAGATCGAGGTAGCGATCGGCGTAGGGACGAAGACTGGACCAGCACCCGAACCAGGGACAGGGACAACACAAGACAACGGCCGAGATCTCGCTCACCCCGCAGACACTCACCGGCGCCCTTCCAGCGATCGAAGCGGCCTCTTCCCTCACAGAACGACGCATTCAAAGGAGGCAATGACATTGGAAGCCCCGGGCCGCCAGCCGTAGAGAAACAGAAGCCAAACTACCGACCGTCCGGCCTCCTTGCAGCCGCAGCCAACACGGTGACAACATCAAGAGGCGGTAGCGTTGTGCTGAAATACCATGAACCAGCCGAAGCTCGCAAACCCTCGGCCTCGCAGACATGGCGACTTTACGTCTTCAAGGGAGACGAGATCCTCGACACGCTCGACCTCTTCTCTCAATCATGCTGGCTGTTTGGCCGCGAGGCTTCCGTCTGCGATTACCTGATTGAGCACCCGAGCTGTTCCAAGCAGCACGCCGTCATTCAATTTCGCTACATGGAAAAGAAGAACGAATTCGGCGACAAGGTCGGCCGAGTCAGGCCATATCTAATCGATTTGGAAAGCGGCAACGGGACAAAGGTCAACAACGAAGCCGCGCCCGCCGGGAGATATTTCGAGCTGAGGGATAAAGATGTCCTTAAGTTTGGGCATTCGACCAGGGAATATGTGGTCCAGCTGCCAAAGCCATGATGCAACGCCCTGATAACGTGGAATCAGTCTTGGGTCTTGGAAACCATCTCAGACAAGCCGGAGGTCTCCCCAGACTCCTCAACTCCCATGGGAGTGCGACCAAATCATTCCAGAAAGCCCAGCATCAGGATTTCCCCTTCCATAAGGAAGTCTGAAGCACTACATGGAAGCGCGAATTCGGCCACTAAGCCAGGCGATTCTCTCCTGCAACAGACCTCCAGCTAGTACGGCAACCACCTATATACTGCGCATAGTCACGCTCAACCTATCCAGAAACCCACCCTGCAGTGACGCGTTGGGTAACTTGAGAACTAGCTGGCCAGCTAGCTGCGTAGCAGCAGCAGCACCTCACCCTCCCATTGCTACATGATTGTCAAGGAGAAAGACAATGCGGGACCCGTCGGCTCGCTCGCCGTGAAGCCACTCGAACGAGAAACCCCCAAAATACGGACAGAGCCTAGAGAGGTAGAACGAGATACCTATGTCATCTATAGTTCAACTGGCTCCGTACCTCTCCCCAAAATTGAAATTGACCTGGGGGAACAAAATCCAAAGCCTTGCGGCGGGCCTGTAGTCAGTCGACGGAAAGCAGAGCTGCATGGAAGTGAACTCCGGCTGAGCTAGGGGTGTAAGAGGAAGCAAGCAAGGATGTGCTGGGCCGGCCTGGCCTGGCCTGACAGACCAGACCAGACCATGATCATAGGACACAAAAATGTCTCCAGTCTGGTCAAGTAGAGGTCAGTCGAGACGTCTGACGAGATCCAGAGTCTAGTTGCAAGAGACATCTCTAGTGGTGTTCGAGAGTTGCACGACTGCGAACCGCCTATAGCTTTCAGAAAAGTGCCCTGGATGCAGATGCACCTCCTACACATAGCGGGATGAATCAATGATTGACCGATCAGGCACAGGGTTCTCAATCATTGTGTCTCTAGATCTGAGTGGGCTGTATGCATTGCATCTATTAGATTTGTCTCTCTCCTCTCTAACCCCCCTAATTCCCATCTTCGCTCTTCGCTCTCTCCGTCGACCATCGGCTGCAATTAAGTGCACCCACCCTCATGTTGCGCTTCTCCTCTCCCCCTTCCCTATTGCTCCCTGTCTCTGCCCCCTGCGTCTCTCGCACGGTGTCCCGTCCCATCCCGTGCCTGTACCGATCCATATTCCACGTTGATCCCTGGCAGCTGTGCTAGCTCGCATACGCATAAGAGGTCTGAAAATGGCAATGAAAACCTGGTAGTGGTACTAATGACTCAAAGGACGACCCCGGTGGTGATGTGGTGGTATCATAACGTAAAAATTCAAATGTTGACGGTGAGAAACAACAGACCTGATTGATTGGCAAACGGCAAAGCAAAAACAGAAAAGAGAAATAAAACAGGCGAGAGAGCCTTCACAGGCTGGCTGGTTCATGAACCCCTGCCTCAGACGACAGCAACAACAACAACCCACGCACAGAAACAAGGCTTCCCAACGCTCATCCGCTGTACCGGCGCAATGCATCGTGTTCTTGATATAATCAGACTGCTGTGCTTGCGCTTCTTATTCTTCTTCTGCTCTAAGTTAGAACCCATTCGGATCCTCTTTTGACAAACTTGTCAATCATTAATGTCAGATCCGCCATTACAAAGCGGATAATATAGAAGGCGAAGAACTCGGCTGCATTCTTCACGCCTAATTCGAGACCCACTTGGGTCTTGCTGCTGCATTTCAAGCCTGGGTCTTCCACTTGACGGGCAATTCCATCCAAAACTTGAGCAGCGTCAAAGAGCCGTGCGAGGCTCGACATGTAACTAGCATGCAGTGGTTGAACATTCGTCAGTGTACTCGGAGTGGGCGGTGGAGCAATTTTCCTGCTCGCATGAGATCGAGATGATGGAACCGATGAAGACGAGGTCATTGGCAGCGATTGCATGTTCGACCCAGACAGTACGTTTGGTCCAGTCTGATTGCCGATTGCTGGTGTACTCGATTTAGAGCGTAGTTTCCTCCAGCTTGAAGCTAAGGATTTAGCAGTAGTGTGGTTCGGTTTGGATGAGGTTGGATCCTGCTCCTCTCCAGTACCTTTGAACAGGCTGGATGAACCCGACAATCCAACCTCATTGCCGATCTTCTTCTGCAGTGTACTCCGGACTTGATCGAGAACCATCTCGAATGATTGTAACTCATCCAAAACGGCATCAGCATCAAATGTATCCACTTTGGCAACTTTTAGTAAAGCTGCCGTCAAAAGATCGCATTGAGAGACCTTATCCTCGAGAGCCCTCAGCTTGATATTTCTCACACGCCAAATATCACGTGGAATGAACAGCCGTGTTGTAAGATACCCCCCTCTCGGGTGAGCCAATGTCTGGTAAAGGCATCGCATTAACCAAAACGGTCTTAGCAATGCTGATTCTGGACAAGGCTCAAGTGGAAGAGCTGGGGGACCCTGAACAGCACCGGTGGGACTGAGAGGTGCTTCAGATGATACGACAGCGCCAGTATGATCTTCAAATAGATAATATCCACCAGTTTGCAGCAAATGAGGCCCAAATGCACCACTGGATGGAGTGGGTAGAGCCGCAGATGGTAAGGGAGGAACAACCTTTTTGCTCTCTCCGGTAAAAGTGGCGCTAAGAGGTGTAACGGGAGATTCCCCTGTGGTATCAGTCGTTGCAACAGACAAATTTCGCATCCTCAGACTCGATGAGGAAAGGTTCTTCTTTACTGCAGGTGGAGGCATCATCCTCCCAGGAAACTGTTTCCCTGGGGACGGTGGCTGAACATTTGTTTCATCAATACTACCCTGGGAACCACCTTGTGTTAAAGCGGGAGTGACAGGTGATTCACTCAGAGCAGAATCCGTCGAGGGTAGCGAAGTCAGTGGCGTTATTGGGAGTAACGATCCCAGCAACATGGCATTGGAACCGTCTAAAGGGGCTGTTTGTGGCAATCTAAGCTGATCATTCGATGAATCGGTGGTTGTCTTTGTTTGTGCTAGTCCAGAAGGTTTTGGAGCTAAAGTGGTAGAGTTTCGTCGAGCAAACGTTTCGATCTTGAGTTGGCTGCTGCTTTGACCTGAGAATCTTCTTTCTCGTATACCTAAACCGGCGTATCTGTCAATGCTCGTGGGTCTACTGCTAGGCTTTGGTAGTGGTAAGCCAGGCGCGGGTGGAAGGGCAACTGTAGGGGGAGCCGTTATTGGAGAGTTCTTAGCAGGTGGGATTGGGCGAGGCGATTGTTCAGATGCAGGTTCAGATGTTTCGGCCAGAGTGCTCAACGTTGTGACGTTGGTGTTTATGGTAGAAGGAATCGAGTCAGACCAGGTTCGGGCAGAAGTGTTGCTCGAATCAGACTGACGAGGAAGTGCCGACTTCGACTTGTTGTCAAAGGAGAAATCATCAAAGACGTAGCCTTTAGTCATCTCTTCTAATAATCTCTCCTCTTCCTCTGATGAATCGCCCTCGTCATATTCTCGGGTCAGTTCCAGGTTGGAGAGAAGACTTCGAGGCGCGGACGACGGATCTACCTGAGGGAGTTGAGGGAGCGTGAAGTCCGGAGGAAAATCATCGCTTTTGTCGGGTCGAGGGGTGGATTCATCAGCAATATTGTCGTCCCAAGCCGCATCTACAGCAGCGTTGAGCGCGGCATCGAATTCGGCCTCAATGTCGTCAACTAGTCCGTGACCATCGCGGAGTCCAAAGTCAATCGAAGATAATCGGGACGATCTCGTCGAAGACTCTCCATCTTCGAATGTATCCAACCACGAGGTAGACTCGGTAGTACTTCCATCACGGGATTGTAGAATGCGATTTGTCACGTCTGCTGGCCTTTGAGTGGCAAGGGGGGTGTCGGTATCTCTATCACCTATTGGAGATAATGGTCTTCGCGGTGATAGAGGTGGAGGCATGTAGTCTGAGTCCATAGGCACAGCCAAACTGGGGATTTGTATCCTCTTGCGCGTGGACTGTTCTGCTAGATAAGTATTTCCTCCGAAGAGTTCGGGTAACAATGACTCCTGTCGCGGAGGGATATGAACGGTCTCCAAGACAGCGGCGGTATCTTGTTCACTCCCGTCATTGGTGAAGAAAGACTGATTTGTGTCATCAAAAGGGGGATCTTCCGGGAGGGCCTTCTCAAGAAGACCAGAGAAGGAGTCATCGAGGTCATGTAGCTCTGCTATTCTGTTGGAATATGTGCTTCGGATGGCCGACAATTTCTTTCGATCATCCATATCTGAACTCCGAACCAAGACCTGCTGTAGAAGTTCACAAGCCTCATGGTATGCTTCGATGGCGCCATCGATGTTCTGTGCATTATCGAGGAGGACAGCTGAGTTCGCCTTGGCTAGTGCCTTGGATAGCATTGTCTTCTGAGTGGGACTTCGATGACTTCTCCCGCGTGCTGGAGCATTAGAGGACGTCAACGAGTCATCAGATGTGCCGGGGCGGCGTTCCCGAGTCCCAGGGCGCACGGATTGTGAGATTGGCTGTGAATCAAACGAGTCATCCCTACTCATTGAGGACTGTGCACCAGACCTCATGTAATGCACCGACATGGCGACCGGCTCACCATTCTTCCCCGTCTTTCGGGTTTGCCATGTTTCACCAAAGTACTCACCAGCAGTAGGATTGAACATGGAGGTCGGAGTCAAGGGAGATACTCCAGCGGGGCTAGCATCGCGTGGGTTCTGTGATCGACCGGGCGGGAGGAGTCCAGAAGCGGAATTTAGTTTCCTGTGGGGACTCTGGCTACCTGCTCTGGAGAAATGGGAAAAGTGATTTCTGTCGGCGGACGGCAGACCCGCCACGAGGGAGGGTCCTATACTCATTCGTCGAGATGTGTTGGCGCGAGTTCGAATGGCGTCTGTGTCGATGGCAGATACGCTGGAGGAAGTGGAATGCGACCAACGATTGATGTTGAGATTGGGGGTTAATGTCTTGGGCTCGTATTGATTTTGATTGTCCGGCCGGCTTCTGGAGCGGCTTCTGTCGTGGCGTGTATAACTGGTGTTGGGCAAGAATCGATCAGGACTGCTGGGCCTGGCATTCAATGCATTTCGAGGTGCCGTCTTGACGGACACAGAGGTGGATTTCTTGACCGGGTGAGCAGCTGAGGAGGTGGAGCTGGACCTGGCAGCTCTCCTGTTGTAAGTGCTGGTAAGGCCAACGGTTGGGCTCATTCTCCTAGAAGGGCTTCGTCAGACACGATCCAAGGCGGGGATGATGCCTGTCACGAGGATAGAACATAGACGTCAGAGGGAGGGCGGGAGGTGGAAGAGGAAGGCCGTATATGAGTTGAGGGTGCACTGCAGATGAAAGCTGGAGGGTTCAACGGCGCTGCGGTCTTGCCGCTAATGGCGGTACCTGCAGATGTCTTGGATCAGTTGTACAGACGATTGGCGAATCGGCGTCGACGGGCGAAATGCAGGTTCGGGCTGGATTGAAATGTGAATCGGCGAGGGTGCGCCTGATGGAGTCACGGCGTTTAACGCTGTTCGGTGATGTTCTGTGATACAATAGATCAAGGCCGCGCGAGCAACAGGGAGCGGAGATCGTGTAGAGTCGAGAGTTGTTCCTGCGCATCAAAGATGGATTTGAAACTCCATTGGTACCAGAGCATGATTTGATTTAAATCATCCTGACATCACGATAGCCATGGTCCGTGACGACGGGTAGCTTAGATGTGTCTTTTTCTATTCTAATCTAACAGCGTTCGTGAGTAAGGGACAGGTGGAAGGATGTCAGCCTGCGCTTTGGAACAGGTTGGCTTGGAGGCTCGGTTGGGGGTCGCTGAGAGGGTGGTTGACCAGGGATGTTGAGTAGGGGCGATCTCGAACAACTCAGGTTCAAGCGGTGTTGTCGAGGGAGAGCCCCCTTGAGTCCAAGTATCAGGCGTTGTACGTATTCAGAGGCACGAGGATAGCATCGAGAGGTGGAGGGAAGGTTGTGGATGAGAGTTCTGGGTTCCGCAAACCTGCAACTGCAATTGCAACTGAATGCAACTGCGAGTGCGAGTCGTCGAGGGGTTGAAGGCGCGGTTGAATGTGTCGAGGAAGGGATGCTAAACCAGGTACGGCATACGGAGGGAAATGGTACGCAGGAGGTGTTCGGTTAACAGGGCCTCCGAGAGAGGAATGCCTTTTGAGGTCAGGCAGGCAATGGGATGAAACGGGGGCGGAGCAGTTGTGACGAGTTTGGGATAAGCTGAAGAATAATAACGAGAAAATAGTAGTAAATTAGATACAAGTGGGTGGTGGTGATGGTGGTGGTAGTTGGCTGCAGTCTCTCTCTTTTTGGTGACTCGTGAGTTGGAGTGTCCAGTGGTGTTGGGCGATGAGCACCAAGAACTAGCAGAGAGTGCTCGTGCGGCTTCAGTCTGCTGGGTGCGGGTGTGGGTGCGGGTGCAAGTGACGGTCGCTCCCCATGACTGCTGCTTAGGAGTATGAGTACGGAGTACCAAGTACCATTGTGACTAGGCTAGGTGGTTAGTACGAGTACTCCCTGCCAGTCCCCGGTGCCGGTGCCAGTGGCTGTGGTGGTGCGTGGTGGTTAACCAGCAGCCTATAAGTGCCCCTGTAGCGGCGGTGCGGATGCCTACGGGTGCCTGTGGGTGCCTGTGGGTGCCAGGAATCACGACTCCAAAGCTGCCTTCATGCCTCTTTCTTGTCTAGCCTGAATTCTACGCGGCCACGCCTTTCCTCATCCAGTCAGCCTCAAGCCACCAGAAAATCATCAGCCCCTGACTATCTGTGTGCTCATCCCCTTGTTCTCATCTTCTCGTGTTTGGTGCCATGCCATTCCTCGTCCGGAACAGGCCGTCAGCCCCCAGCCAGGTGTGTCCGAGGACTCAAGGGTCCAAGGGTGTGGTACTATCAGCAACGAGTCTACGAGAACGAGTAACCTCTTAAACCTCAGTTCTCGTCCCCGTCCCTTGTTTTCCAACCTCTAGCGCGTCCATTAATTTACGCCTCGTGACGAAACCAGTCAATTAAAATGCATTGAATGGACATACAGTATTATCTCAAGGAGGTGTCCGGTAGTTGCAACCATTTGATAGCTTCCAAGTCCTCTGTACGTTCCATCTTGAGAAGTAAGCCTGCAGCAAGTAAGCAGTAGTAGATCCTACGTGAGGAAGGAAGCAAGGAAGCAAGGAAGCGAGCATAAGTTGACCCTGACATCTTTGTAGGAGTAGTCACAGCACTGCAGTCGTGAGTTGTAACCACCCAAACACTCATCCAAGTTTTTGTGGGGAAATCCCAGCATTCTGGAGACTTTGACTTCTTGACCTGCCCAGGTGGGTGTGGGACTCACGGGACTTTATCCACGCTCTCTACTGGCATGATGGCATCTGGGAGCCCGGGCACCTTGTATGTACTGCACAGTAGTAGTACCCCGTACCTGACTTGATCTCTCCTGACCAAAGCCCCTAGATCCCTGCCCACCACGAAAAACCCATGTCACCATGCAGCCCCTTCCGCAGGTCGCAGGTCTGATCTAGATTATGTAATAAACCCAAAAAGTCAACCTCCAGGCATAGGGCGATCAATGAGGGAAAAGGGGGAAATGCTTTAAGAAAGAACAGAAAAGAATCGTTATATATCCGTTCCACCCGTGGAAAGGCAAGACATCATCTCGACAATACGAAGAGCGGTGGTTCCCCATGAAACAATTTTCCACTAGTGCGGTCCTCGTTTCCTTCGAGAGGCTTCCTCGTGGCCTAAACAACACGGTTCGCGGCCCACCAGTATGCGCCGTGGCTTTGGCCAGCGGGTGGTCGGTCGCGCGTACAGAGGATTTTGAAGGCAGAGGTGGTCATTGGCCTGGTCGGTAGTCGTCCCTTTTTGGGCTGATTGTCAAGAACAAGATGAAATACGAGGTAGGCAGACTGCACAGGCCGCAACGGGGCCCGCCTAGAACAGGACGAAGAACAAGATGAGATAACACAGTCGTCACCGTCTCGAGCACGTGGCGGCAAAGAAGAGGGTGGTGCCGGCGCAGACGACTGCGGGAACAAATGACATCTAGAATCTCATGTGTTACCAGACTAATGCTTGCTCCGTGGGCATCAACCTCGCGTTGGTGGGTACACGTCTTCGCCGATGGATGCACAGTGTGTGCATACAAAGTCACTCTGCAAGGTGCACGTACCCAAGACAGAATGACAAATAGAGTTTATTGCCAACTCCAGGATCGAGTTCTAGAATGCCGCTATCTGTTGAAATACACCATCTAGGTAGCGCAGAGATCGCCTGTCCTACACACACCGCTGACACGAAAACAGGAGCAAGAGATACGCAACCATCCTGTGTCCACAAAATGTGAGCGCAAGATTCTGACGTATTCCCGGGTCGTGTACACAGTGAAACCCACAATGCTATTGTTCAAGTCGGGAGCTGCAGTGGCGCGTCTTCTTTGGAGAGACTATCGACGGGCTATAACCCACCCGCCCACAGTAACCATGAATGTGTTCAACGATTCTTGGAGTCTTCAACTGCAGTCCTGCTTCATTCTCCTGAGCTGCTTGCAACAGAGGGTTTTAATCATTACCCGGCGCAAACGACGTAGTCGCTTTACTTCCCAGCTTCCCCCCAACGCCAGGCACAGCTAAGATTTTGGCAATGTGCTCCTGAGTTTGGATCTGAATGAGATCCCTCGTAAGCTCTTGCTGACCAGCTATAAATCACCTCGCCGTAATTCCAAACAATGGCAGTCCATCAATGCCCGCTCCTCAGATCCGCCCAACTACTATCCGGCGTCCTCTCTTTGGTCGGCGTCCTGAACCCACTGGGCGTCTCAGGACGGCTCTTGTCCTGCAAGGTCAAGCTGACATTTTCCCTGAACGCGACATACTCGCTGTCCGCATATCCCAGGACCCCCATAATCTCCGAACTCCGTAGGCCTTTGATGCGTGCGACTTCTCCAGATGAATAGTTCACCAGGGCACGTCCAATCTCCTCGCCGCGAGACACCAGCTGCATGGTCGTCGAGGTCGAGTCGCCCATGGGTGAAAGAGACCCAAGCGGGAGCTTGTCGACCACAACCAGCCGCACAGCTTCTTGCTGTGCAAAGTTTCCTTCGACGTTGACGATGCCCACGGGGAGGAGGCCGGCTTTGTTGATGAGTGCGTTCGAGGCCCCTCGGTCGATGTAGATGGTCCCGTGAGGTGCTAGACCGTGCAGAATCCAGAACGCTCGATTACGGATGGGGCTGGAAGAAGGAACGAACCGTGTGTGTAGAGGGGCCTCCGCTGGTCGTTCAGGGCTGCCTGTATCGGGGTCTATATGCGGGTGGAGATGGCGGATGATAGCGGCAATATTCCCTGGTTTGGAGGATTTAGTGATGATGGTGGAGGTGCCCGCTGCAGTAGCCAGTCGAGCGGCAACGATTTTCGTCGCCATGCCTCCTGTTCCTAATGCTGAGCCCGCAGAAGAGACATCTGCCGTCAGTGAATCGATGTCATCAACCACTAAAATCGGCTGGGCATCCGGGAACTTTCGAGGATTCCGTTCATAGAGAGCTTCAACATCGGTCATGAGGAAGAGATAGTCGGCATGTACCATTGCAGCAGTGATGGCTGAGAGGGTATCGTTGTCGCCAAATTTGATCTCGGAAACAGCGAGCGTGTCGTTCTCGTTGACGATAGGAATGACACCATATGAAAGGGTTTCCGCCAACGTGTTCTGAGCATTGAGAAACTGAGATCGATCGGCGATATCATTCCTCGTGAGTAGGATCTGTGCAACAGGCTGGTTCATATGGGCGAACAGTGAATCCCATATCGACATCAACCTCGATTGGCCGATAGCAGCCAGAGCCTAGTGCACGCCACTCGTCAAATTGCAATCCTGAAGCTCGTGAATGGCCCGAGTCTTACCTGAACCTGCGAGAGATGCTTAGGTCTCTTAGACATATTCATCCTCTGCAAGCCCACACCAATGGCGCCAGAGGAAACAATGACAACTCGATGTCCATCTCGCCGTAGCTTGATAGCCGTCTCGACGATCAACGACAATATAGACAGGATCGGCTCATGTGTCGTCTCGTCGACAATCGAGGAAGTGCCTATCACAACGGTAAGCCTCTTTCTCGGCCGCACTCTGCAGATCAAAGTCGTGATTCAACCCACCGATCTTAATCACGATCGTCAAATGCTTGACGCTTTTCATCTTTGCAATTCTTTGTTACAACAATGTTCTTCTACCAGATGGCACCACTGGGGGATATGCAATGAGGTCAGTCCTACCATTTTGAAGTGAATACAATCCCAAAGAAGTGGGGATCTGGAGACTCATTCAGGCACGCCCTTCGAGGAAGCTCAGGCGCGCATGATCGACTCGTCTCGGATATTTGGACTGACGAGCCTCAGAAGGTGGGCTATCCAGACTACGAATGCGAACGCCCTTAAATTGTCAATGCGAATTTTGACCCTTTCCAGATGTCGGATCCATCCATGGTTGGAGTCACACGGCGCCTTGGCAGGTATATATTCCTCTACAATAAAGCGGCATCGGTTTAGTTCCCAACCAGGAAAGAACCTTTTTGGTAATAACTCGTAATTGCTAGTCGGTAGTTGCTCTATGAGAAGTCTGCAGTGAACGCTTCCACCCAAGCCACTAAACATCCAAAGCTTGCGTCGCTCATTCTCCTCCTACCGTTCTGTTCGTTCATCACATCCCTCCGTCATGGCCCAACCCAGTCCCAATTCCAGCACAAACACCAACCCCTCCTCGACGACACCCGCAGCCGAGCACGGATGGAATGGCTCGAACTTCCTACCCAGTGACAGCTGGCTCAACCGGACGAAGAACTTCTATCGCATGGCAACGAGCCAAATGTCCGCGGAAGGCGCAGAGAAGTACTGGTGGGACGCCGACCAGCGGAACAGCACATTCGACTGCGCGCGGTGCGAGAAGAACCGGGACGAGCTGCTGAAGACATCGCCGATCATTGTCTTCATGCGTCAGAACATCAAGTCCCTGGGCGGTGACATCGGTCCGCATAACATCCGCTGTCGGACCTGCCCCGAAAAGGCCGAGGGCGGGTTCGACCACGAGTATGGAATAAGGATCTGTGCGAACTACGTCGAGACCAAGAAGAAGCTGGAGGACGTGATGGCGCATGAGATGGTGCATGCGTATGATCATTTGCGGTTCAAAACGAATTTGGATCGCGATACGGATCTGCGGCACTCGGCGTGCTCCGAGGTAAGCTGAGATGTCTACGAGTTTGCGTGTGGGGACATGTCAAGCTAATGGATGATGTGAACAGATCAGAGCCAGCAATTTGAGCGGAGAGTGTCGATGGGCGAATGAATTCTTCAAAAATGGTTTCATGAAATTCACCAACCACCATCAAGACTGTGTTCGGCGAAGGGCTGTTCTTTCGGTTATGGCGAGGCCGAATTGTAAGGATGATGTTGAGGCTGTTAAGGTGGTGAACGAAGTATGGGACAGTTGCTTCACGGACACCCGACCCTTCGACGAGATATATCGGTGAGAGGGTTTGGCTCCTTTTGTATAAATCTACTACTAGACAGCATGGCGTTGGCGGCGTTTCATTCTTCGCGGCCGGTCACAAGAGGGCACCTGATATGTGACAACAGCAATCCAAAACTCCATTCCTGAATATCCATTTCTTGTGAGAGGTCACAGAACGCCTGTTTAATGCAATTTCGCCCATCCGAGGCAACAGACAAGCCGATCAATCCTTCCAGCGGTTCATAAACTTTCGCATGGCCGCATCGGATGGTTGGCCATTGGCAGCAATCTGTGGATATTAGACATTGCAAGACTCAGAGGGCTCAGGCTGGAGTACTCACCGTGGGTTCCACGCTTACGGTGGAAAAAGTTATGGCAGCAGTATTGGTGGTGATGGCATTTGGGGTGCCAGCAATCTTCTTGTAGACAGTGTACGCACTGGTTGGGTAGAGTCGTACGGCATTCTTTGCGGTGATCTTGGTCTGAGCCATGGGTGGCATGGGAGCATATCGAATGGTGCCAGTTTGCATAGTATAAGGAACGTCGTAAAGGGGGTCTCCGGCGGCAGGAACAGAGGCAGCAGGATCGGGAGCGACCTGGCCAGCATTGATGTTATTGACATCTGCAGGACCTGCAGTACCGGTGACTGTTCTCAAGCCCTGTACCACAGAGGCGGGAAAGGTACCGGTCATGCTGGACAAGGTAAATCGATCAGAGTAGTTTATAACGGTGCCTCCTGTGGCGGCGGAGATGAATTTTAAGAAGTAGGCATTGGCAGTGGTTCCTCCCCAGCCAGCAGTCAGAGGAACTGTCACTGTATCTCCATCTGCAAAATCGCCGGTGGTTACCAAGGTGGCTAGTTGGATCTGGTGGTTGTCAGCATGGGCACTCTTGACCAATTCTCATATTGAGAGCAGTACAAAGTTTGCATCAGTGTTTCCTCCTGCGCACAAAAATACTTGGTATGATGCGAGGTCTGCGAGCTTGGGGGTTTTGCCATCATCCTTCCACTCTATCTCCAGACTCAGACCGGTGATGATATCGCCAGGTGCAGGCGAAGTGACTTGGACTGAGGCTAGGGTACAGGAGAAGAGGGCGGTGGCGAATAGGTAGATGCTTCGTAAAATCATGGTGTGCGTGTATGTGAGGGAGGTATGAGAGGAGTAGAGGGTTGGAAGAGGAAGCGTGAGAGCGCTTGGGGCGTCTCAATACAACCGCAATCTGGATCTGAGGCTATGGAGGCTCATGCTGAGGCGTCCTCAAGGCTTGGGCAACATTAAGGCCAGAAGGACAGAGTCCTTTCTCCTTATTTGATGCCAATATTCACTAACAAACAACCCTAACTCCTTTGGGACACTACTGCTAATTCCTGCACGATGACGATCTGCTGAGGACTTGGGCGTGGACTCACTCGGAGTACTCGTAACTTGTTCGCGGCATACTCTCAACTTTGTACCTGGCAGTCGGCAAAGCCTTGTCTTCGCCCAAGACTAATTGACTGCCTTCCATCATGGTCTGGTCATCGCCCGATAGCGTCCTCACAAGGCTCTTCTCTGGCGATCCCCTCATCATCGCCATCGCCATCCTCATTACCTTTGGCCTGCCGGTGTGTCTACACCTCTACTTCTACACCCAAGCAACCCGAAGCAGATCCACGCCGACTTTCTTACTCTTAGGCCCCAGCGGTGCCGGAAAGACCTCGCTTGTATCTCTGGTAAATATTGGCAAGCTACCTGTGGTGTCCGCTTCTAATTCTATCAGATACAAAAACAATCAACCAATCCCGAAGACGCGGAACCCGCGACAACTCGTACTTCTCAAGTGACAACCCATGTCAGCTTATTATTACCAGGCACTATTCCCCTCGGCTCCAATAAGTATCGTTCCGAGAACGATGCCTCTCTAAAAGACAAGCAGCCAACCTCATATACCGTGATTGACACCCCCGGGCATGGAAAGCTTAGGCTCGAACATGCCTTGTCCCATCTCAGCGATACCTCCCTGTCCGGGGTTATTTTTGTCGTTGATTCTAGTATCCTCGAATCCAGTGACTCCTCTGGGTCCCGAGACACCGCTGTCTATCTGCACGACACGCTGCTTGCGTTGCAGAGGAGAATAACCGGAAAAGGGTCAAAGAAGCCCAAGTCTGCACTCCCGGTGCTAATTGCGGCTAACAAGCAAGACTTATTTACCGCACTACCAGCTGGCGCAGTCAAAGACCGCTTACAGTCCGAGATTGAAAGAGTCCGAGTGTCGAGAAGCAAGGGTCTTAGTGCGGTAGGTCAGGACACAGATGAAGACACGGGAGAGGATATCCTTGGAGGTGGAGGAGAGGATAAATTCACATTTAAGCTATTTAAAGAAGAGTACGACACCAGGGTCGATGTTATTGGCGGAGCAGTCAAAGGTGAAGAGGCAGGCAAAGGCGTACAGAGATGGCTAGAGTGGATAGGAGGTTGCCTGTAAGTGAAGAGAGTAGTCAAATTATCCCCCTACTGAAAATGGTGTCGGGGTCGGGATCTTGATCTCGATATCTTGAATCACCTTGTGCGCTTGGAGGTAGATCATCGTAGGGATCGTAGTCGGTCGGAATACTACCCACCCCTTGCTTCAGATACAGTAGCAGTCTGTATGCGCTGTTTCCGTTGAGATAGTATCGATGCAATTTCTTGCTCCTTAAAAAGCCCAATCTCTCATATAATTTCATCGCCGCAGTATTTGTCTCCTCCGTCTCAAGTGCAATCTCGTCTGCGTCCTTGTCTATCATCAGATCAATGGCTTTGCTGACCAACGTTGTGGCGATGCCTTTGCCTCTGAATACCTCGTTGGTGGCCAGCATGGCAATATAGCCTCTCAGCGGTCCACCTCGATGTGGTTCTAGCTTGCATATGACCACTCCGGCCAGCTTGTTATTGTCCGTCGTGTCGACCGCCATGAAGCACAGCTCAGCCCATTGGTAGAGGAAGTAACGGTAGACATAGATGCTGTAGGGCTCCGAGAGGTCTTTGGATATCAACTCGCGGATCTGGGGGAGGTACTCGGTTTCTTTGTCCAGCGAGTATTGGACATATTGTATTCCAGCTGGAGTGGATTGGAAATGGGCGCCAGGCAAAACAGACCCGGACTCCAGGTCCTTCAATGGAAGAGGAGCAGCTGCAACATCACTGCTCATCTTCTTTTGTTACCGAGGTCTGCATGCGCCCATCCTCGAAGCAGTACAGAGTAAGGAATAGTGCTAATGGTTAAGGATGCAAAAGTGGATGGTGCCTGAAGATCATTCGCGCGGGATACTTAATTAAGAAAAACTGGCCTATGACGAAATGGGTTGAACTTGTTTGTGCATGTGAAATTTGTATGGTCATAAGTTCACAACACTCCGAGCACTCACTCATCAGACATCAAACTACGTACAATAATTAGCTAATCTAAAGCGGAAGTTTATCCACTCTATCCCAACATCCTGCCTCCCATGCTCCTGATTCCTTGCATGCTATTCCCCAACCTGCATGTTGAAGAGCACCGCTCGCAACAATGTCCGCACTTCGACGTCGCCTGGTCAATCTGGTTCAGGATTCGCCTTCACCCACTCCTAGCCGAGAGAGCACCCCGGATGGCGGCGAAGAAGTCAAACTCATATCAACGAAGAAACTTGAGAAGCTCACCAAACGCAAAAGCAGTAAGAGGAGATCAGGTATCTTCTTTGGTCTCGGTGGCCTCCTTGGATTGGTTCTCGCCCTTCTTTTCGCTCAATCTCAGGATGTCATCAAACTTGAGGCTTTACTCGACGTCAATTTGGACAGTTTGATGGATGTAATCCCAGCCGGTATTGTGAAGGATGTCAAGGATCTCTCCAAGGCTGAACGCGAGGTCGTCAATTACGATTCTTTTTCTGTGGGCCTCTATCTCCAGGCTCAGGGAATAACCGCCCACCACCCGGTCATCATGGTACCTGGTGTCATTTCCACTGGACTTGAGTCATGGTCGACCGGACCTTCTTCGAGGCAATATTTCCGCAAGAGACTCTGGGGCTCTTGGTCAATGATGAGGGCTCTGGTCATGGATCAAGCTGCCTGGAAAAGACATATCATGCTTGACAAGGAGACTGGGCTCGACCCACCGGGTATCAAGTTACGAGCTGCCCAAGGATTTGATGCCACTGATTTCTTCATTACCGGATACTGGATTTGGAACAAGATTCTGGAAAACCTTGCTACCATTGGGTATGACCCGACCAATGCCTTTACTGCTGCCTATGACTGGAGGCTGTCCTACCAAAACTTGGAGCTTCGCGATCAATATTTTACGAAGCTAAAGAATTACATCGAGGTGGCCCATAAGACAAGTGGAAAGAAGGCCGTCGTTGTCTCACATTCTATGGGTAGTCAAGTTCTTTTCTACTTCATGAAATGGGTCGAGCATAAAGACCATGGAAATGGAGGCCCACGATGGGTGAACGATTATATCGATTCGTGGATCAATATTTCCGGTTGCATGCTGGGAACGGCTAAGGATATTCCGGCAGTACTTTCTGGCGAAATGAAAGATACCGCCCAACTGAACTCATTCGCCGTTTATGGATTGGAAAGGTTCTTGTCTAAGGAAGAGAGAGCTGAGATTTTTCGAGCCATGCCTGGGATCTCGTCTATGCTGCCTAAAGGTGGTGAGGCAGTATGGGGGAATAGCTCGTGGGCACCAGATGATCTGCCACCGCCGCGACAAAACCTCACCAATGGTGTCTTTCTCTCCTTCAAACCCAAATCAAATTCGACGCAGATCCCACGCAAGAACCTGACCATGGCCGAGTCCTTCGATTATCTGATGGATCATGCTGAGGATTGGTATCGTGACCAGGTTAAGCATTCCTACTCTCACGGCGTGGCGCACACCAAAGCACAGGTCGAAAAGAATGAGAATATCCCGCAGACCTGGTTGAACCCTCTAGAAGCTCGGCTTCCAAATGCGCCGAACTTAAAGATCTATTGCTTTTACGGAATTGGGAAGCCCACCGAAAGGGCATATTTCTACAAAGAGACCGGCAACCCCTTATACGGGAGCATCAACATCACGATCGACACCTCCGTCACCTCCAACGGCGCGAAACCACAAGAGTTGGGCTCCGTAGATCGAGGCATCATCTTTGGTGAAGGAGATGGAACGGTGAACCTCGTTTCGACGGGGTATATGTGCTCGAAAGGATGGAAAGGCATCAAGCGATACAACCCTGGTGGGGTCAAGATCAAGACTTACGAAATGCCCCATGAACCTGATAGATTCAGTCCTCGCGGCGGACCCAACACCGGCGATCACGTGGATATACTGGGAAGAAGCAGTTTGAATGATTTGATTCTCCGCGTGGCTGGCGGAAAAGGCGATCAGATCGAAGAGCATTACGAAAGTCGAATCAACGAGATCAGCGAGCGGGTCCAGATCTTTGATCACGAGTAATGAAGACATGAAGAAGCAGAGTGAGAGTATATCGATCAAGCGTTTTGGATCTCCAGTGGCCACTAGTTTCATTTTCTTTCTGGCAGGGCGAAAAGGGGTTCGGCAAGACTTCATTAAGATACCCAATAAATAGACAGTGTAGGATCATATAGAAACTGGTATACAATCATGGTATCTAGGCCTCATGGTACACCTTGATTCTCATCGCTGCCAACTTGGCGGCGGAATATCCAGATGTTCGCCGCGGAAGGGGTCAAGGTTGGCTTGCTCTTAGTATGAATCACGGAAGCAAGAGCCTGCCTTCGTCGAAGCTCATCGTTAGCGTAATTCGAAGGATACTAGTTCCGTTTCTGCAGCAAAGTAGGCAGTCACCCAGCTGTGAGTACAGTGTTAGAGAAATATTCTTGCCTAGTTCAGTGTACATCTTGGACCGACAAGGCTGCGGCCTCTACGAGGAGTAATGTGTTCCCAGGGCCAAGCCAGCGTTACTTTTAACCTTACTCAACTATAATTAAATATTCCTCAACCTTTAACCACACCCAGGTGAAAATTTCTTCATGTGGCCATAATATAATGAACGCTCCGAGCGCCGGCACTCAAGATGGTCTAAGTTGTGGAGCGCGGCCATAGCTCACGTATTCATCCACCTTGCTCTGCGTGCAAAGGAGAAAATCGCGATGCAAAACCCATATCAAATGAACACCCTGTGCGATGTGTGCGATGCCTGGGACGGTGTGCACCTTCACAGCCTCTGCACGGCGTGATGCCCGAAGCATTCGCGAGGCGTCAAGCCCGTCGTTAGACTTAGGTAGGCGACAATGGAGAACGAAGACGTATGGTACCAGGGACAATTCTCCCCCTTCTAAAGCAGAGTTAATGGCCTTGTAGCGTGGCTATAGAGGCTCAGAAGGAGTAGATTTGACTGACCCAGCAAACTCCCGCTCGCATGCTGTGCCTAGTCCACGGGTGGAGCAGAGAACCGATGAACTCCATGTCATCGGCCCAACGATCCCAGATGACAGTGAAATTCTCGCGACCTACTTGTCCACGGCTGCAGACACAAGAAAGCTACCACGACCCGTGGAGAAGCAACCCGGCTGCTCAAAAGGCCTATTCGGTTCTCATCGGTTCGGATACGCCCCTTGGGTTTCGATTCAGAGCGAGATCTTGCCTCCTCTAACCTCAACATGATCACCAAACTCATTGAGCCTCACGGAATGACACTCGTAAAAACGTGAACGTAGGAGTCCACTCATCATTCCCTATATCCTAGGCCTTAGCCCGGCTAGATTGCTTCTACACTTGAATTCATATATTCCACTTTTCGACCAGGCATCGTTTCTCAAATTGTTGACTAAACGCCGAGAATTGATATTTTCGGCTCTGCTTTCAAACCTGCATGCAAGTGCAATGGTCTACTGGAATATGTCGCCTGTCCTAGCCGCCCAGAGAAAGCCGGACAGCCATTTTATCTAGGTTCAAGCAGAGCTGGCGCTCCACTCTGAACTTTACGTGGCCCCTGGACTCTCCACGATTGCAGCTCCGATTCTATAATGCTGGCGGGCGACCCAGTACGGCTCCTTATGCCAATGGACCCACGATCGGAGCTGCTCCTGCCTCAGCCAATACTATTGGACTAGACAGAGATCCTTTAGAATTGGACATTCCGTCCGCAGAGAAATTTCTAAGACTCAATATCTGGTGGCAGCTTGTGATTATGGATCGATGGTTTGTGAAATTTTGGATGAGAAACAACTCTCACACGCGTAATGATTCTTGCTTTAGGTACGGCTTGAGCTGTGGTACACCTCTGCTAATATCTTACGAACATTATGATGTTCCGTTGGCCACCTGAGACTTGTCATGATCAAAATACCTCAAGTAGTGAGATCTCTGCCAGAGTAATTTTGTCACTATCAGCAACGCTCACGGAGGTTCTAGGACGCCTCCTTGAGTATGTATACGATTTAAAGAAGCAAAATTTCTCAACAACCAGAGGCTCGAGATCTTCAATCCTTGGAATTGTGTCTGAGTGCTTGGAAAAGCTCACTGCAAGGGCTGGCACGCAATATTGTGTTTTCCTGACTTTCGGCTTGAGTATCTCGTCACGAGCTGTCACTGCACCATATTCAATTGGACATGGAGAAACAATGGTTGAGTGATGAAAATCATTCAGCGTCTCCTCAGACACATATCCAAACGCGGAGAATTGCGGATGACATCGTGTGCCTTGTACAAGGTTTATTAGAGTCTCCAATCCCAGGATTCTAGCTATCTGCCGCCGCGGTGACCATCAGCTTGGTGATCACTTACCTTGCTTCCGAAATGCTCTTAATCGTATCAGCGCAGAGAGACGTACAGAACGAGACGCAGCTCTTGGACTGGCCACAGAGCTCATCGCAGCCTTACGATGGCACCAGGAAACTACCAATGGAATATCGCAGACAACTGTGTCGAGCAGTACGGTGAACTGGTAAATCCCTTGTCAGAGTCAAGATTCCCAGTCGTTGCAAGGCTAGATACCACCGTTGATCGTGAGGAGATGTGGGTCTTGTATTTCGAGCAGTTCAGGATGGAAACTGTGAGATCGACCCTTTCCAAGCGGAACCACTGTTCTCTGCTCCATGGGATGACCATGGGTTTTAGCCTTGCCTTGTGGCGAAACTTTGCATCGAAAGAAAGATTAAAATCTGCCATAACCACGCCCTTCTCGCTGTCTAGGATGATATCGCCCAGTAGTAAGGACCGCGTACAACGGACACGCAGCCTTGTGCGGCATCAACCTGCCCCGCTCAGCTCATGCAGCAATCACTAAAAACAGAACTTGCAGAATACGAGTAGCTTGAGCATCAAGGGTGTAGAAAATACTCTCGTGGTTGGTTGTCTCGACTTTAATGCCCGACCATCCTGCACTTCGCAGCCGCTCGTTCTATCATAACGTGGCAGTTGTTGTATAGGTAGACAACCTTGCTGTCAGACACCGGACGTTCACAGCCTCGTTACACCAGGTGTGGTGCATCTCCCCTTCTCCATGTGGGCGGACGGCAACCAATTCCTTCAATCCTGTCTAACATTTACTTCCTCGCACTGTAGTGAAGGAGAGCCTAAGTTAATAGCCACAATAGACTGGTCCGTGCTCTTTTGTTCGCCTATATCGCGGAAAACAAGAATTATCTTCGCTCAAGTGTTGTGCTACAAAATGGTATTTATAGTAAGAAGCAGATCGCCCCTGGCTGAATAAAAACTTGATCGAGTTTGCTAATATCAGACTACCAGCTTCCCCCCATGGTCGCAAAACGATTAAACAAATCAAATAATAGGTTGGAAGCACACCTAGAACACTTGCGTACACAACTCAATAAACTTCTCAGGGAGACTTGGGCGGGGACCCCTGACCAGCAGCTAGCGAGGGCCGTCGGCCTGCTTCGTCGGGAGAAGAGAGAAATATTCGGAGTGTTCGAGTTTGGATCCGCTCTTGAAGATGATATGTGCCTACTACTCTTTGGGCACGTGGCAATAATACTTTCAAAGGCTTGGCCTACCAGCGGTACATCGTTTTCAAGGACAGGGCCTGTAATTTGTTGCGCCGTTCGAGTAAAGTTGATCGCAAAGCCAATCCAGAGGAATACCTTGAAATCGAGTTATCACTGATCAGGGAAACTCGGTGTCTTTGGAGCCAGGCGCAGACTGCACTCCTGCTCTTGCGACACTACATCCATTCGGACACCTTTAACGATTGTCAAGACTTCATTCGAGAAATCTTTGTGCATCTGAGTCTTTACTCGCGGGGTGCGTGTTATGACCAGAGGGAAAAGGTCCCGACTCTTTTCTTGGTGAAAGCTCTGGCAGGCGGGTATGCTTCGCAGAAATCTCGGGTTGTCGTCAAGAATGAAGAAACAGGTAGTACGCGCAAGCACAGGGAAGGTCAGCAAACATTTTCAGCTAGGTTGAAAGCATACTATAACTGCCAAAATAGAGACAAGATATGGTGTCCGATCATGCAAGACTGGCTTCCATACAAAACTTGCACCGCGGCACATATTCTGCCTTACAGCTTTCCCGACCATCTCTTTGACCACATATTTGTGGCTGATGCTGAGGACAAGAGAAATCTGAAGGAGAGAACCATGACTGTCGCAAACGGAATTTACCTTTATAAACCTGTGGAGCAGGCCTTTGACCGAGGTGATTTGATCATCACGCCTCATTATTGCTCTTCTAACGGAAGAACCGAGTTGCGGGCACACCTGCTCCACGAAGGCATGAAATCCGCCAAAATTGGCGACGATTCCACTCTCTTGTGGAAGGATATCGACAACAGAATGTTGCAATTTCAGAACGCGAATCGACCGGCAAAACGCTTCTGACTGTTATCTGGAAGTGTGTCCAACAACCCCCTGGATGGGCTTTTAGGCTCACAGAGTTTCTCGATCCCGTGGATATGATCTCTGTCACCCCTCGTACCAACCTTATAGACGGCCCGATGATGATTCTGTCCAGGTTCATCACCAATGCTGAGATCTTCAACCAAGTCAAGCGGACAATCCCAGAAGACCGAATACTTTTACCGGGTTCCCTCTCGGGTAAGCAAATAGCTGAGGTTTCCAGCGAGGTTTCGGAGGTCGTCGTCGATATGCATGGGTTGTTGAATGTCAAATGATCAGGAATGCTAAAAGGGAGAAATGAAAGTAGTATATGGCCTAGAACGTAGAACAGACCAATCCAGACGTCAAGAGACATCTTCTTACAATCATCAAAGGCATCAGCAAAGTTTCTCGGGATGATCGACAAGCTTGAAGAAGAATTTACCTATTGGCCAACATCGCAGCTTGAAGCTGTAGTAGAGAAGGCTGAGAGATATTTCCGCTCCGATGTCGCTACTATGCCTGTGGAAAGCATGATGCAAATAGAGTAACTTGTGCCGCAGAAGCGACCTGGACTAACCTCATGCTTTAAGACAGTGGAGGACAAGTTAAAGGATATAACGGGCAAGGAGGCAGCGCTTTGGGCCGTATCTAGAACTCAGGATAACCAGGTCTATCTGCGTACTCACCTCACGCAGCCACCGCACACAGTGTTCCTCGACCATCGAGCACATGTGCATTGCTGGGAGTCAGGAGCCCCTCCAGTCATGTCTCAAGCTTCTGCAATAACAGTTTATGAAAATAACGGTGTCCATTTGATGCTGGAGGATGTGGAAGGAAATATGATCGCTGATGAACAATAATGAGTTTGCCTGACCCTTTCAGTTGACACATGCTGCTGAAACCTGACTACATGGATCAGTTCATTTCCCTCCTACTCTAGTTGTGTCGCTTGAGAATACTCTCTTTTGCATGATACTGCTTTAAAAGACGCCAGGAAATCTCTGAGTACATGCGATCATTCCCCGCACCACAAGGGGAGCGGTCAATTGCTATGCATCTGGACGCAGCACGAGTGTTTGACGGAGTGCTGGAGCACTCATTGCCACTATTTCCCAGGGCGCATGAACCCGCAAAGGCCACTGCTGCAAAGCTAGAAGTTATGGGATACAAATTCACGTCTCAATACAAGATGCTTCCAGTTTTGAGGAATTGCTCCTGGGAATGGGCTGAGAGTCATCTTTGCCTATGGGAAACGGTTGACGTCGCATCATGTGTGATCCTACCTCAGACAGGGATATGCCAAGCCCAGCTTTTCTTGCCAATAATGTTCTGGGCTTCCCTAGCGTCCTTGGCACCCATAAAAGAACTTTCAAGGTGTCGCTCGTTCCTCTCAAGTCACGTGCCTGTCACATGCCAGCGCATCTGGGGTTTTCATCCTCATGGGCATTGGCTGTCACTTATGATTCCCAGTGCTTGGAGATCACTCAATCGACCAAATTTTGAGAACATGCTCGACTTGGTGCGAAACAGTTGGCACGGGCACATAGAGGAACTCCATGGCAGACAGGTGAAAGTGAACGGAATGCAACAACCCCTGATCGCCCCCATAAAGCCTATGCAAGCCGTCGCAGGCCATACTGCGCATCTGTGACTAAAAGGTGTCCTCGTAATTTGCACGACCTGCCACTGTCAACGGCGCCTGCCCCAAACCAGGATCAATAAGATTCTCCGCCCGCACCTGCTGAAATCCCACCGCCGCGCTTGAAAACTAACAGGTGACAAGATCATCACGTTTCCTTCATATTAAGTTCCTCTGGTGCGTCAGGCTGTGCAACTCCTTCTACGCATTCATTCTTCGAGGGGTCACAGGCGGATTTTTGTTCGAAATACTCACACCGCTGGTATAACTCCCAAGACCTCACGATACTGTACAACTCATCCAGCTTTCCTTGATTTACTCCCCACGAACCAGACGCTTCGAGACGAGAGCAGTTCAAGTTAATTGACATCGCCTTTGCAATTGAAGATCTTGGGAGCCGCCTTCTCTTCTGTTCCACGACCAAACCGGACATCATGGCCAAACTGGGATCCATTATTCCTTTGATCATCCTCTTCATCGTCCTCGCAATTCTCACAGCAGTTGGATTTGTGGCATACTCGATCGCACATGACGTAGGTCACAAGACGAGGCAAAAGCTGGAACGAAAGAACGTCTCGTTCGGTCGAGATGGCATGAAGGTCGGCGTGAAGGAACTCTCAGTGGAGCAACAGGAGGATAAGACACAGAGGTATGGATATACCAATGAGCACCCCCAAAGAATCCGCCTTGATCCATATGGTAGCATTTCGGCTAACAGGCGGGTGGTTTTTTAACCAATACAGCGTGCTCATGAAAGTGTGGAACAATGCATCCGGATCATTAAATGATCCCAAAGTCGTCTGGAGTAAAGGGTCGGCAGCCACTCCTCCTGCGGTTGATAAACGCAACCCGTAAGTTACTGTTTTACTCAAGGCTGCACACGACCAACCTTCATTACTTACTTTCCGTGTCATGGTAGATTCGTTCGACAATCATCTGGTTCACAAACACCCAACCTCTCGAGGACGTCTTCTGGAAGAGCCAAATGATTCCTTGCAACAAGACATTGATGATTTGAGAGTTACATCCGTGGAAAGATGAATGGGTGAATTACTGAACGAAAAGGGTTACACTCAAACCCTTGAAGTCCTTCATCCACGATCCTTGAAATCGACACGGAGCATTTTGTGGTACTATTGCTTGCGAGGGCTCGCACATTCAGGACGTTTTCAAGCTTCGAAAGTGGCCCAGGAGTCTCAGCACGAACGAAACAACGAGCGACAGTCATTCATAGCGATGGAGATTCGATGCAATTCTTTCTCAGCGACATGAACGAGCTAAAAGGGCTTGAAGTGACCATGAAATGAAGATAGATGATGCCGAGCTTGGACTCGCGCTACGAGCTTATGACATGTTACAACGTACCAACTTGTAAATGTGAAGCTGTCAATCAATCAATCAATATATCGCATGATTCCCCGGGAAGCTCGGGCTCCATGTTTGTGTATCAAACATTTCGCGCGAACTGACAGCTCTCAGCGTTCAGGCCCCAGGAGCGGAGGGCCGTTCACCTCGTACGAGGTAACCACATCCAGGGATTCTCATCCCCGCCTCTTTAATAGAAGTCGCTTTACCCAGAATTCGATATTGTGCCATGTCTGCCAGAGTATGGTGCACCATTTTGGGTCAAACCACGTCTGCGAGGAGCACGGCGATCGCCCTGCACTATCCTCCCCGTCAGCCCAAATTTTCCACAAAAGTGGTTGCCGAACCCAGCTGATCTGATTATGCCATACCAGTGGCGTGAAAAGGCTGGAGCCTCGCATCGCACTGCTGGCTATCCGAAGCAGCAACAGCGCCTTACGAGCACCAACTCTGTTTCAAACGGAGAACTCTACTTGATTACCTGAGGGCGCGTGACTCCACACTTCATACTCCAGACCCATATGGTCGTCTGGATCCTTTGATTTGAGGTGCGAGGGAAGTACGCTCACGGAATACTCGTGAACAGGGATACGTCAACAAATGGAACTCAAGGCACTGGATCCAAGTGATGATTATGGGAGAGTGCCCGACGACTCGAACGAGGCGGCAGGATGTCGAATCAGCGTCTAGGTCTCGTCTTTTCATGCATGATGACAATGGGTGGGACGAAGAAGCTCACACCAGCTCCGACCCACTACTCCGTACTTGGCTGGGCGGTCAGCATACCGACAGGGCACCAAGGGAGTTATTTTGGGGCCGCACGGCAGAAACGAGGCTAAGGGATCTCGCGAAGGAACGAAGCTGGAAAAGCGGTAGTCAGGAGGACTGTCCTCAGGACGACAGATGCCAGCAGGGCTGGTCGTCTGCTGCTGCCAGTCTACCCGTACTACATACGAGTACGCATCGACCGAGTCAGCATGTGACTGGGACTGGGCGCTCGGCTTCAGGCGGATGCACAAGGTCCGGATCCCGGCTTTGTGAACGATTGCAGTTGAGATGTCCCGGAACAGCAATGCATGAGCACAAGCACAAGCACAAGCACAAGGATGAACATGAAAAAGGAAAAGGGACGAGGGAAAATTCTCACGTGCTTTCTCTCTTGTTCCCCCACCTGCGGCTCATCTGGATCTACGAGTACAGTACAAGGACACCATTTGGGGTGGGCAGGGACTGCAGACCCAGAGCACTGGAGATGCGAATTCGAAGTATCGCATTCGGTTGGATATCAATAATCACGAAGCGATATGGATAGACTGCTCGGGTACGGAGTCCTCTGGAGTGATGGAGCTGGGCCACAAAGGGGAGATTGATGGTGGGCGAAATAAGAGATTTTCCGAGATAGGGAAATTTGAATGGGGAGGATAAGGAGCATGGATGAAGGCGTGAGGCCGGGGCTGTTGGGCAGGGGTGGGTTTGGGAAATTGGCTGATGTTTGGGTGAGAAGCCGTGACTAGCTGTGGCTTTACTCGTACAACACCGATTAGCAGGGCCAGCCACCCCTTGGAGGATTGTTTTAACAGAGTACGAGTAGTGATCAGGTGGAGCCATTTGAGGATAGGCGAACGAGGCTAGAGGTGAATAACTTGTAGTGAGCTTCCACCGAGCTCCTACGAGTAAGGTTCACAAGGCACTCCAACTGCTTTTGCTCTGTGGCGTGTGCGGTTTCTCTTCTCGGGTTGTGTCATTGACAACGCCGTACATGTTAGAAGCTGGAGAAAGGAAGAGTCTATGATGATGCCTAGGCCAATACCAACCACCAAGAGCTTGGTGATGGAAAGACGGTGGGCACAGAACGCAATCGGAATGTGTGTTTTTTGGATCATGGCGGAAATCCACATCATGGTGACGTCGAGGTGCACAGGGACGGAAGACCCGTACAGCACTCGGTACCTGGGCTGTTTGCCTCTAACACCTACAGTATCTATGTACGGAGGGTGTACAGGAAGGTGAATTTTTCACGTTGGAGCCGTTTGCAGGTACTCCATGCGCATGCTTGGATCTCGTTGGTTGGGCCAAAGGACTCAGCCGGGGGCACCTAAACTTTGAATTGAAGAATTCACCTGGTTTGGGCAGCGTGTGAGGCATAGAAGAGCCCCTGTGGATGCGCCATGGAGAGTGAAAAGTTTAGGCTGCACCTTCGCCTAGAAATTTGATGAACAAAGGCCGATGGGCCAGAATATGAGGTGCTCGGGTTTCTGTAGGTACCAAGATAGTAGCCAGGCCGCCTAAGTTGCGCCCGGACTGGGGAGGGCCAACAAGAGTGTTTCATGGCCTAGGTTTTTCGCGTGTGTTCTTCTCATCCAACCGCCACCCGCACAAAGAAGAAGAATCAGGAGTCGAAGCACGCACAGTGTCGAGGACTATCTACTCCTTGCCCTACTCTTCTCGCACGAGTCTTGAGGCTTCCACGGCCAATGGCCATTCCGTCTTCTGAAGATCACAGCTCAGGCTTACCATTTCATTTCAAGGCCCAGCTTGCAGCCGAACCGAAGCAGCCGTGGAACACAGCTCCACCACCGCGACGGTCCACAGCCCAGAGGCCTACAGACTCGGTGCTGGCAGCTAACCCATGCGACTACCTCCTCTAGCGCTTCCGTGGACATCCACATCCACTCCAAACACTAGTCCTCTCTTCTGCCTGCTCACCTAAGCCTCCTCTGCTGTCTTGTGCTGTGCAGTGGGTTGGCTTGTGCCTGTCTTCCCTTTCTATCTCATTATCACGCCCCATTGCTCTCACTCGCATTGTGCTATACTCTCTCCTTCTCCTTCCACCTCGCTCTCGACCTCCTTCCCTCTCGCCAGTCGTCGGCCTGTTCGGATCAAGGAATCCCCTCTTCTCATCCTCCTCCCCGTCGACTCCCTACCCTTTCTGCTACTCGCCGTCACCATCGCCATCATCCCTAGGCCACCATTCCAATACTACTTACACACCACCCATTCGACGCCCGCTCCCAGCTTCAACTGCGCACAACCCGCCGGCAATGCAGTCCAACCTTCCATCCTGGAAGGACTCTCCATTCTCTAAGAAGCATATCCAGATCCCCTGGCGCTCAATACAGCTCTTGGTACCTCACCGATTGCGCCGCAGGCTGCGGTCCAAGCTACGGAATCGGGGGTCGCCTGCGTCCTCCATCTCTGCTCTACAGACTTCATTCTCTCCTGCAGACACGCTCCGGTCGCTGCAGAACCACAAATGGACCGTCTATGACTTCCAGTGGCTGTTTCTCGCCATCGTCGGCATTTTCTCTCTGTCCATCATCGAGTCCCCGGGTCCTCTGGTCAAGATCGCGGTTGCCACCACTCTCCTCACTTCAATGATCTTCCCTATCACACGACAATTCTTCCGACCGTTTATGCCCATCGCTGCATATTTAATCTGGTTCTACGCCTGCAGGTAAGTCATTGTCGGACCTGGTCGTCTACTCTCAATCAACCCAACTGACTCCGCCCCCAGATTCATTCCCGCCGAATGGCGACCACCTATCTGGGTCAAAGTCCTACCTGCCCTCGAGAATATCCTCTATGGCGCCAATCTATCCAACATCCTCTCGGCCCATAAGAGCACTGCTCTCGATCTGTTGGCCTGGTTCCCTTACGGTCTGGGTCATTTCGGAGCTCCCTTTGTTTGCTCCGCAATCATGTTTGTCTACGCTCCTCCCACCACAGTCACCGTTTTCGGCTTCAGTTTCGGATACTTGAACTTGATCGGAGTTATTACCCAAGTCTTGTTCCCTTGTTCCCCGCCGTGGTACGAGAACATGTACGGGTTGGCTCCTGCAAATTACTCGATGAAGGGATCCCCAGCTGGCCTGGCCCGCATCGATGCTCTGCTCGGTTTCGACATGTATACTTCAGGTTTCACCGCGTCTCCTATGGTCTTCGGCGCGTTTCCATCCCTTCATGCTGCCACTTCCACCCTTGAAGCGCTCTTCATGAGCCATTGCTTCCCCAAGCTCACTCCTTTGTTTGCCTTCTACGCCATGTGGTTGTGGTGGGCTACCATGTACTTGTCCCACCATTACGCAGTGGATCTGGTCGCTGGCAGCTTGTTGGCCGGTATCATCTTCTACTTTGCGAAGGCTAACTTCCTTCCCCGTCTGCAACCGGACAAGAACTACCGATGGGATTATGACTTTATCGAGGTTGGCGAACGTCACGATGATTATGAATATGGAATTGCTGGCCTCAATGGTGACGGACCCGATAGTGATGAGTGGACCATTGGCTCCTCATCTTCCGTCTCTTCTGGTTCATTAAGTCCCACTGAGGAAAGTCAACACGCCTGGACTGAAGCATATTCCAACCACGAAAGATGAGTTTAACACCACGACTCTCGCAAACATCCTCCAATATTCAGCCTACAACCTACATTTCCTTGCTCCTCAGCATTAACGGCCTGGCGTTCTCCGCATGACCTGCCTAACGCTTTACGGATGAGATTTACTTGTGAGCGACTTTTGATTTTTCTGCAGATAGAAGCACGACCATTGTACTAAACTGCGTGCGATCACGACCTCCATTTCTCCCACCAACCATCTTCGACAGCGCGGCTTTCGATTGGACCCGCCAATCATCACGGTGGACATTCTGATCCAGTATCCTCACGGGGTGTTAACATGTCATAGGATCGGAGTGAGAAATTTCCATTCTGGCACAAATTTATTTCCTTTGGAGTGGTTTCCAGTTTTTATTAACGGGGTAATCCTTCGCACTACAGCACGTTATCAGTACAGAGCAAGGATTCGGGTACGAGGGACAAGCACATCATTATTTGGATGTTTATGCGGAAACCAGAGGGGGTGGGAGGAGTTCTATTCTCAAAAGGATTATGATCAATCAGCGGCTACTGTTTACCGCTTAGGTTGAAATCGATTACACTCGCTTTGCAAGAACAATTGTACAAATATCGAGGGGCCATTCTTGGGACCGATATGCCATTCGCTTGGCCTGATCATTGAAAGCGGGAGTTTGTCTGGACTGGAATCGTTATCGTTCCTTGGCATGAGAGTGGTGTATCCCAGCCTGAGACGTTACTCGGGCACGTTGTCGTCGGAACTAGAGAAGCAGTTGAATTCGCAATCGAGAAGGATAGCTGCAGGCGGGCCAGCCGTTGTGAAAGGCTTCATGCCGACGGGCACAACCAATCACACCAACTGAGAAAGATTACGACCAAGCAGAGCGCTGCATAAAACGCATTCAGCGTGGCTTCCCGCTCTTTCACATCCTAGACGCCAGCCTGGCTAAGCACGTTGGTTCAGATCCACGTTTTATTCCTACGGCATATCTCCGACCCGCCAGGCTATACTCCGGTGGGACTTGGAAGGCTTTGACTTCTAGGGGACCAGGCAGCTACTCTCATGTGCGACTTGAGAATTGTGGGGAACCGGTACGGAATGGCTGGGACCAGAAGAGGCGCTGAGCATGATTACTTGTTGCAATTTGTGCATTGCATTGCCGGATTGGCGCTGCCTTATCAAGAGGACTTGATGCAACGCCTTCATTCAGTCACTCGCATTCGCTCGCACATCTGTCCGCCTGAGTTCTTCGGCAAGGAAGATAGCGTGCGACGAGATAATCTAATACCTAATTCTAATGACCTATTCAAACATGTTGTCGTTCTTACTTTAATTGGAATTCCATGCTAGGTGTAAATTACGCACAGGTCAAGGCGGAAGTGACCAGCAACTCCTGGCATTTATGGCTAAGGCACGCTCGAGAGTCGAGACTTACAGATGTATCCGCCGCACACGGTGATGTTCTCAGCGCTAGCTCGCATCAATTCGGCGTCGTGCAAAAGCAAACGCTTTCTACACCAGAGAAAGACCCCTTGATCACTGGGTAAACGGTGCTTGCGTACGGGCTTGTGCTCTCATCCGTGATGCCTGTCAGTCCATCCTGCATACAATCAACTGACGAGGAACATGTGGAAGTCATCGAGCGCCCAAGAAGTCCACTGCCATCAAGGAAGAGCCCGGGACAGAAACCAGGGCTCGAAGCATCGAGTGTTTCAAGTCTGTTTGGCGAGGTGCGAGAGAAGACCGCGTACCGCGTGCTGGTCGTGCTGACCGATCTGGTATTTAGCTTGCATTAGCTTGTGGCTTAAACTAACGCTAGTGAGCTAGTGTTCGGCGAGTGAGTAAGTCGGAGAGGGCAGCCGCACCATGGAGTACGCGTATGTCCTCGGCGAGGCTGAGAAACACTCTATACGTAGTACGGAGTACAGAGTACACAATCACTCGAGTCCTGGCAGAAGAAAATGACCGACTCTAGTGCATGCTCTCTGGGCTAAGTCCGCGCCGGTACATGCGGTCAGTCACGCATGGCTCCGTTACAACCTCGAAGGAGGGTCGACGGGGCTAGAGGTGCCAGCAACTGGTCATCCAAACAGCTCCGTCTTGTGGCTTCATAGGATTGTACGCGCAGAACATATCAGGGGCGTCCCATTCGAAATGTCGTCAAGCAACGCGGTCTACTTCTCAGGATCTAGAACAGTTCGGTCGTGGTCTGACTCACCCTACAGACGGTTCTATTCAAGCCGCCTCAAGACGCCATCCAAGCCCATCCTGGCCACACAACTTCTGTTGATCTCCTTGACAGAACTACAACCACAAAGCGCCATACACCGACGGAAATCCTCATACAGGATATCCAACATCTTCTCGACGCCTGCCTGGCCATTATATGCCAGACCCCAGAATGCAGGGCGGCCGACCCAGACGTAGTCCGCACCGAGAGCCAGGGCAATGAAGATGTCGGTGCCTTTCCGGACCCCACCGTCCATGTGGATCGGAATTCGACCTTTCGCGGCGTCGACACATTCGATCAGCGCGTCAATTGTCGCAGGCACTCCGTCAAGCTGTCTCCCGCCGTGATTGCTTACCAGGATGCCATCGCAGCCATGTTGGATGGCCAGCTCTGTGTCCTCGGCGGTCAAGATGCCTTTGATCCAGATCTGCATCTTTGTCTTGGACCGCAGCCAGGCAATGTCGCGCACCCAGTTGTGCGAGTCGTCGTTGAAAGCCATGAATCCTGTGTCGTGCTTGGTGTTGCGGATGTCTTCCGAGGTCCGCTCCAGAATCGGCCAGTAGAGCCCTTCTGGCGTACGAAAATCATTTCGCCATTCGTTGTACCGCACCCCGAGCACCGGCGAGTCGCCTGTCAGGTATATCGCCTTGCAACCGGCTGCCTCGGCTCGCTCGATAATCCGCTCCTGCAGTGCTCGATCGCGCATCATGTACAGCTGCTGTGCGTATGAGACAGGCCCGTCACCACCCTTGCATCCTCCAGCGCTGGTGATTTCCTCAAAAGTGAAGTTCGCGAAACTCGAAACGATCATATTGACGCCTGTGGCTGCCGCGGCGCGGCTCGTGGCCAGCTCGCCTTCCGCGTTCGCGATGCCGTGCAAGCCCCCGGGGGCTATGCCCAGCGGAAACTTGACTTTACGGTCCAGGCAGACGGTTGAGGGGTCGAGCTTGGAGACATCGACCATGACGCGGCCCCGCAGTCGGTACTTGCCAAAGGCGCTGGAGTTCTCGGCGATCGTCGTTTGATATGTCGAGCCATCGTTGATGAAATCTACGCAAAAGGGGGCAAGAGGTTAGTACCGGATGAAGCAATATCTTGATGTTCTCGTGATCGCAACCAACTTTACCGCCACTCACCTCTGACGACAGGGTTGAATCTTTCATTCGCTATCTTCTGGATATCTTCCATACAGAGGACCATGGCATCTTTGCCCTGCACCGGGATCGGAACGGGTGCGCCCCCTGCCATTCTGCTGGCTGTGCGTTTACCGATTATTCGCTGTTCGGGCGAGTCAAGTTTTGGATAGCAACTTTCTGATTCTGACGCCCAAAAGCCGTGAAAGCGGTGGAAGAGATGATTGAATAAGCGTTCTGGCTCCTTTTTATCACTTCTCATACGCCATCTTCCGTTTCACAGGAGAGAAGCAGAGCCGACTTACCTCCGACAATCCAAGTCTGAATCAGTCAAATTAAATCCCGCCAACACATCCACATCCACATCGATGCAAATCCGGGTACATGTATCAATCAATCAATCAATTCAATTCAATTCATTCACTTTCGCACCCTTATCTGTCGCGAACCTCCCAACACCCTGCCTTTACACAGCTAGCCCCAACAAAGCACTTGTAACCGCCTGTAGCACAGCGTGTATCAAGCACGCAACCAGTGAACGAGGGAAGTGGAACGGAAACGATGCCCAGCTACCAATCAACAGCGAGGGAAGCGTGCTTGAGTTACACAAACGAAAGGGAGGCAGACAAGCGAAGATGAAGTTTCCCTCGCATAGCCACCACGCCCTTTCGAGTACATGATGAGGTAGGCTTTCTTATCTCGCGCGAGGAGTAAAGGCCTTTTTTGGGGAACCTCCGAACCCGGTTGGTGAGGAGGTCCAACCAAACGTAGCGCAAGTTGGAGCAATGCCGTTTGTTAGCCCTTTGGGTGCCTGACTGACTTGGCCTGACTTGACTTGCCTGACTTCGGGGTAAATAAGTGAGAGGAGAGCTTGCGGGGCTCCAGCGCCTGCTACAGATACAGCTACATAGTACTCCGTACCTACTTACCCAACCTTCCTGAGTTCAACCTCCTGGGAGCCTTGGCTGGACGAAGTACCGAAGTTTCCTCCCTCACTAAGCAACTACCAGTAGCTACTTCAAAATAGAAAAAAAGAAGCTACCCACGGGTCTCGGCTCTCGGACTCGGGGCGCGCAATGCGAATGCCGTGACATCACCGTGATGGTCGGGCTATTCTGACTACAATGATACTGTGCGACAACAATGCACGTCCGCATGATGGTGACAGAAGAACCTTCAAAAATGGCTGAGTTGACGGGCCAAAGACGACATACACATCGAATTTTGTTATACGCAACGATCACTCTGGAGTTGAAAAGTGTTTGCAAGTTTGGTGCTGTGCACTAACATATCTCATCTCACCTCATCCCACTCACGACAAACAGTGGCCATTGGATCTCGTGGCGATGGATAGCGCCAGGCGAAAGACCACAGGACATTGCACTTGATTATCATAAAGTGGCCAAGTCGGTTTGAAGACGGTGAAGACAGTGAATGTAGTTCTAGGCGACCGAGGACCGCGAAAGAGGGTCAATACGTGCTGCTCCTGCCACTTTGATGATTCCGAGGATTGACTCGGAGGCTCTGGCCGGGCTGGTTTTTCTGGTGTTGAGATACTTGTGGCTGCAGCGGCTCGGAATTTGTGGTGGAAACGACAGGTTCTTCACTGGTATGCTGGCCTCTGCTGCTCTTATCTGACATCGTGAGGCGCTGGGAAGACGTCTTCTCAAATACATGACTGCCATCTCCAGCGTGCACGACGACGACTCTCGCGCCATCATGATTTCTTTGGTGATACTCTGCAAAGACACCTTCAATACCGCTGTCACTTCGCTTGGAATGTGGCGTGCCTGCACCTGTGTGGTGGGGTTCGAATAACGCAGCGACCAGCCCGGCAATGCTCAAGCGCGCCTGTAAATCGCGTGTTTTGCGTGGCTGGCTTGCAATTGCCAGTACAGCCAACAGTACCCCGAGCGCCGCATACAGGAGATTGAGCACGATCAAGGCGAAGAACGGCGCTTTCGGTAACCGTGCCACCAGTAAGTGCTGGCGTGTCCGCTCTGCCAGATTGGACGCCGGCTCCGTCATGCCAACGACCATACCCAGTGCCGTCTCACTGAATCGCAGTGCGAAGAAATCCGCCAGCTCCTGTGAGGTGTTCGACTGTTGTGCACCACTGATCCAAGCCGATTCGAGCGAATTTTGCGAGTAAGCCTGAACATTGGTAAGTGTCCAGCGAATGTTGGCGGGTAATGTGCCATTCGTGACGGTGTATGTTCCATTGACCACGCTGCCATTGACGAAGTTATACGTCAATTCGTACACAGTGCTGGTGCACGAGAGAATGAATCCCGAGCTCTGCCGGTCAGAAACCTGAGCAGCCTCTGGGTCGTCGGCCAGGGCTTCCGTCGTGGCTATTTGGGCGCCGGTCGCGAAATAGAATGGATTGCTTATCGTGATTTCGTTGTGGCCGTACCTCGCAACGGGGTCGATGAAGTTGTCTTTGCCAAATAACTGCAGGAAGAAGCCGGTGCTGCTTGGGCTTTGAGATATACCAGTGCTTGAATTGAACGGCGTGCCGGTATTATTCAGCATGTCCCCATGTAAATTGGGACCGCAGTTATACGTCACAGCCGGAGTCACCATATCCGCTATACACCCTCCTGCATACGTGCAATACGAGTCCCACTGCAGATTGCACGCGCGTGTGCTCGGTTTGCACGTCGTGCCCAGCGCGTATGTGCTTGCCTGGAAGTCGAGGCTTGGATCTCGTTGCGCGGTGGTGATGTAAGCGAGCGGTTTCTCGTCCAGCCTGCAGCTCAGAACCGCGTTGACGCTGGAGAGATTCGTCAGGGTCCGAGCCGTCTCAGACGCGGTGGGGAAGTTGATGCTGTTGCCGGGTGGATTGATGGCGCCGATACATTGCCCGCTAGATGCAGGATCGTATGTCGTGTTCCAGCAGTAGGGGTCGAGGATTCGGCTGTATGAGGCGCTGGGCTGAGCGAGAATTGGTGACAGCCTGTCGTAGGGAACAGTCGACGTGGTTACGTGTAGCCATGTGTCAACGGCGAGGATTGCGAGGCTGGAGAGATGATAGTTCTTGAGATCAGTATTTAGGTCATTGCCTGGAAAACGTACTGAAACCGTGGTGCCGTGGTGTGTAGGCGTATGATACATACCTCAGGAATACCGAAACTAGAAGAGCAGTGGCGGTCACCCACAAAAGCTTCGTCTGTCTGGTGCGTTTCCTCCAGAGCGAATAATCCAACCACGACCACAAGGAGCCCAAGCTCCCACCGAGAAGGCCGATGATCAGCCTGAACTGATACGTCGTGGGCAGCTCGTTAGCCGTCCCGGCTTCCGATTTACTCAGATAGGATTTGGCGAGCGGATACGAGACGAGAGCCATTACGAACGTGGACGTGAAGGATGTGACGGTGCTGGTCCACGAAGACACCGTGATTAACCGCGTCGCGCTGTAGTTGATATAGTAGTACACAGATTGATCGTAGGATTCAGGTCGCTCGCCGAAAATTGCTTCGTCGTTGGAGGTCAAGGGGTCCTCGGAAACAAGATAACCATACACAAGACCGATGAATATTCCCGTCAGGACGATCATTGGCACGCTGAGGCAGGTGAGTGACCAGATGATTTCTCCGAGGGCTCCTGTGATCCTGTGTAGAGATGGGTTGGCAGCAGGGGTCTTAGCTTCGAGGGCGGTCTGCGAAGCTGGTCCTGTTGTCACGCTTGGGGGTTTGGTCTGACCGGCTGGAGAAGCATTCTGGCCATTTTGTAAGATAGTCGCGTTGCCTTGCGCCGGCGTTGGCGGTGGCGCTGCACGATGTCGTTTCATCGATGATATCCTCGTAGGCTGGTTTTGAAAGCACGATGTGGCTGAAGCTATTTAGGATGCGAGTCTATTTCAAGCAGAATGACATTGCGGGTGGACGCGAGGCTGAGGCTGAGGGATTGAGATTGGAGAATTGAGAAGAGGTCTAGAACCAAGGAATTGATAAAGTACTTTCCTTCTTTATGTTCAGCCTGATCGAAGGTCCCATCGCTGTTCGAGCACTGAAGCCCGGGAGGGCCACGCTAAAGATGGGCAAAAGGCTCCTCGACGGTAGGGAAGATCATGACTGGCCCTTTTGCTGCAAGCGATGGGCATCGTAGCGACGGCTTGAGTGCAAAATCATCGGTGCGAGTCGCTCACCTGTAGAATCGGGGCTGGAAGGACCCTTAGTGTTAGCTAGCTTGGAACGATTGTACGGAGTACTCCGTGGTGTCTATCATTCCCATGCTACTTCTGCTATAATAGTGCAGTTACTTTCGCGCAACATAACTTGGAGGTGAGTCTAGGTTTATGAGGTCCAGAAGAAGGCTGCCATGCGCGAGGCGGAATGAATCAAGAATATCAATGAATAGCGTCTGGGGCATCAGGATCCAGGAATCGTTGCTGGACGTGAATGTGAGGACTGACACTCAATGCAACCCTGGGATCAGGGGCGTTGAGGAACATCATTCTGGTAGAGTAAAAGCGGTCTTACTCTTCTTTAATTGTGCCTTTTCCAGTCTTTCGACCCTCGGAGGAATAATATGAGGGCAGCGCAGGAGAGGTTTCTATAGCACATTAGGACCGTTAGAAGGTGGAGAGTATGCCAGGTCGCGGGTCGCGGAAAAACAAAAGGCCCGAAAGTTCTTTCGAGGAAGGCATGGGCCGCAAGGCCAAGGAAAACAGGGCAGGGCCGAGGGACCCGAGGAGCCGCAGTTCCACTGTTGCGCCATCCCTACGTCATCGCCTTGTGTCGATAGTGATCCTAGAATAGTCTTTCTAGATGGGTGCCAGAGCCGACGACGACTCTCCCTCGTACTCTCGTAGCTTGTATGGTCTGATTCCACAAAGCTTAGGTACCTTTCTAGTCAGCCACTACTGGACCTGGCGACCTCGAATAGCCGCTCTGGCAGAATATACGATGTGTCGCGGTGTCCGAGGCCACTCAACAATCGTTCTATCTCGCACCAATTAGCCTGGTTTAACCCTAGTTCAGCTCGCGGATTCTTGTACGGTGCGTATCCTGTGTTTCTCATTACCCGTCCCATTGAAAGATTGATGAAGTCAAGGAGGAGCCGTAATTCCCGAGCGGGAACCAGAACCCGTTCTCGTATGGATTAAACTTCAAGCTATGCCTTGATCATCACGCTTCCGTAATCATGTGAGCCCGTGAGAGATTCACTAGTTTCTCTAATTATACGAAGTATATATACATGACGGGAGTGTGCGAATGCCTCTCAGACCTTCTCTTCAAAAGAAGGGTGCACTTACGTCTTCATCAACTGTCATAGTTCTTTGACCGGGAATATACTCAAATACACCAAACACCGACAATTCGGTTGTCGTCAATCTATCAACACCAAAACCGCAAACATGAGCAAACCACCATCTTCAACTGTACATTCTCCCGTTCCCTACAGTCGCCGCCAGTTTCCAGTCTGAAGCTAACATGAACCCGCTTCTAGAGCGATGTACTTCTGTACTTTCTCGCGCTCTTCCTCCCACCACTTGCCGTATTCCTCAAGACAGGTTGCGACTCGAATTTCTTCATCAACATCCTGCTGTCGATCTTGGGCTGGCTGCCAGGTGTGATTCGTGAGTCATTCCTAACGCCCCTAGGCTCAAGATTCTATGACAGGCTTGGAAAGTTCCGTTCGCCGCTTCGGTTTACTGACGTGTGACGCTCCAGATGCCTGGTGGGTGATTTCCAAGTTCGAGCGTCCCGCTCCTGCGCATACCCACGTGCACTAGAAGCCCCCTCGGTCCCCAGCCTCAGGCGGATCATTTGTCTATTGGGTCGTGGTTATAGATTCGTCGGGATACCATCGAGCGATTTCAATTCTGGGTAGCAGGTTTTCTGCTCGCGACGGAGTCTAGTTTTAATATCAGGCGGTTGTGGTGGTTTAAGGTCACCTCTATATACTCACAATATAATGCCCTTGAGTCGAGGCAGCCTGTACAACATTCGGGCCCATCCCTTAAAAAAGGCTTTACTTCAATGCTCAGAGTTCCTCCAAATCGTTCTGTCCTCTACGAGGATCGGGCCTGGCACGGTAGACCTTGGAAGGTTGTCAGAGATTGTATTCGTTCTCAACGATTGGATGCCAAGGAGGAGGATCTGGTCCACAGTGACTATTCTGCCTGTACTTTCTCACATCCTGAGGAGATCCCTACGCCATTGTCTGGCCAATTTGATCGCAAAGCTTTCCAAGTCAATCTGGCTCACTCGAGGCGCGAGCGACTGCACAATCAAGAAACGACTCTCTCTGCTACAGATGCGTCTATATTATTTGCTTCACAACAACCTTCGCTTAATCTCAAACCCACTCATTCCTGACCCATTAAGGATGACAGTCTGTACACTTCCCATGTTGAAAGTCGTCAACCAGCCCCCTGCGACATCGTTGGCAAGAATATTGATACTCATTCGAATCTCTTCATCGGCGATCGGAACAGACAAGCTGCTCTTGATATCATGAATGACTTGATTCATACCAAACGACACCCTGCTCCGAGCCTTGCCAGGACTAGCAAGCGATGATCCTAGAGTAGATCCCAGCTTTTGTTGTTGTTTCATTCGCAGGATATCAACCACGTCATCGATACGGCCAATGGCTCTGGAACGTAAGATAGATTCTGGCGTTGGCCCACTGGCGATGGAATTGGCCAATTGTTTGGCTCTGACCCTGTCAAACAAGGAAAGTGTGCGAGCTTTTAGTGCCTGAGAATGAGTATTCTCTTCACTGCGAGCTTGGTCTGTTTCTCGAACGGAAGGTTGTGGCTTTGCTAGACGTTGGTTGGCTGGTGCAATTCCCAGTATGTGCTTCCGAGCCACCGAGGCTTTCTCTCTCCGAAGCTGAGTCTGAACTCCCATCTGGAATTCAAGGCGTGGAAGCAGGGAAATCTCGTCACAAAGCCAGCTGGTTTTTTGGCCCTTTTGAGCGCTAAAAGCATCCAGTAGTTGCTGTTCATACAACTCTTGTAGCTTTTGCTCCTCATAGGACGACTGACTCGAAAGTTGCGTACCACAGAACTCAATGTGGTATCGAAGATTATCTCCAAGTCCAGCCATGTTGAGTTTAAAGGGGCTGTTCCTGAATTTCAACGTCTTTGATGTGACCTTAGTGCTAGCGCCTATCTCATATATTGCCAGCATGCGTTGAATATCTTCTCGTGAGGCTGCGTGCTTTTTCCATATTCGGGTGACTATGCTCAGCAGTGAACACAAATCTGCTGGTGCGGATGGGCCATTATGAGCGACATGGATTGTGAAGGCTTTGAGGAATGATTTGTGCAATGACTTCAAGTCTTGTAACACCAAAGGAAGTTCTTGTGGAGGTGATGCGTTACTAGTCGGTTTTCCACTGAGAGATAGCTCAGCGAAGTGAATGGGGGTCGAAAACTCGGTGTCAATTAAAATTTCCTCACCACTCTGCGAACAGGGTGGACTCGGCAGAGAAATCTTTGCCTTTGGCGATCAGTATCGATAATATTTGACATTTGGGATGAACCATACCTTCTTTGTCTTCACATCTAGAAATGGCTTTTCTGATTCTGTCTCATTGTCGTGCCCGACCAGGGAGCGCTTTCGTTTTGCATCGTTCTTGGTCGGTGGTAGTACCTCCACAATTGGGCTAATAAAGGCTTCGCATGCAAGGGCTTTGGTTATCCTTTGACTTGTTGCTTTAGACACCTTGGTAAAGGCTCGGAGTGGTGTTTGCCGCTTGCTGACACGAGCTGCTCGAGTGGAAGGTGCCATGGTGATTTAGGGAAGGTGCGACCAAAAGATCGAATCGAGCTCGATTATATCCTGGAGAAGTTGCAAGGAAACACAACTTGTGACCGACCGACAGTGCACAGGGACAGGTAGTCAAGTAAGTCTCAGCTTTTGGTGTTGTATGGAATTCCAATATGGCTGACTGAGACCATGCCGAGTCAGTCGAGGAAGGCGCGACGCGTCTCGACTCTCAGCGCGACCGCGACACGCTAAACCCAATTCGGCCATAATTGATTTCCCAGCCTCGCCCGGAGGATATGCTCATTGTTTCCACAAATAATAATGATTATACTAGTATTCTCAAGTCCACTTCCGCCCAAATGGTTGTGTTCGATGCCCTCCAACGCCTGCGCTAATATAAAATACACCGAGAGGATCCCTAGTCCTCGTCAGGAATCAAGACCTGATCCACTCCCAACCGTAATTCCGAATTATCCTCGACCTGATCGTCTTCGCTATCATGTACTCTTGCCTTCCCCTTGTCCGGCTCCTCCTCGCCTCCCTCCGCTTGCGTACGGTGTTGTGACAATTTGACGCGCATGGGTGATTTTTCTGCTTTGATTTCTGCATCCGCTGAAATACCTTTGATCTCTTTCACTGGATCGTCCTCGGGTATCGGCTTGGGCCCAGGCTTATCGAAAATGGTTGCGATGGCTTGAGTTGCCATGCTGTCGTCATCCACAGTCTTCAAGATATCCTTTCTATCACTCCAGTATTCCAGTCCCGCTATTTGAGCGTTGGCCGCATCAACAGCTGCCAGGATGTTATCAATTCTTCGACTTTCTGCGTCATTCTCTGGCTTTTGTTCATCTTCGTGCTTCTGACGATGCTGCCGAGCCCCAACTGCACTTTCCTTGAGAAATGATAGTAGCTGTCGCCTTGAGTTTTGAAAGACAAGAAAAGACATGATGTCATGGATGTGATCCTTGAGATAGGCCAGTTCTTCGCCACCCTGATCCACAAACTTCTTGACGACTTCAATCTTTTCTCGGTCAATGGTAGCAAAGCGGAGAGCTTTGAGTAGACTAGCGATATCCTTCACATCTTCAGGTGGCTCATCAATTTCGAGAGTACTTTGATAGCTCAAGTAGCTAGTAGGTCGGGCGGTTTTACCTGGCCCATCGACCGCACTCATAGGGCTTCGGTCTCTTTTGGAGTGAATGGTAAAATAGTCGCCCGTCAGGTTATGTGCGGCACCTAGCGAGCCTGGTTTTCTGGTACCATGGTCATGATCCTTCTTTGCTCTTTTCCGTAGCCAACGGCGTTGTCTCACAAAAGAATGGAACCAAGGATGTGTGCCATGCCAGGCAAACTTTCCACCAAAAGCAAAAGAGTATTGCCAGCCTTCTTCATCAACGTCATGGCTCATATCAACATACCAGGATTTCCATGTCCATTCCCAGCTTGGGTCCGGAACTTGTGCATTGGTGATGTTGACGGGAGAATCCTTGAAATCCTTGTTCACCCAGGGGCTAGGATCGATTGGCATGAGAGACGAATGGGAATACAGAGGAATGCCACAGAAGAAAGCACCTCGCTGATTCTCGTAAAGGATATCATACTCGTAGACACGATCTTTGTGATGCTTCGACCTTGGACCTTTCTGAGTTGGCCGCTGTCTACCTCGTTCAGTGGGTTCATCTGGGGCAAAATCGAAGGTGTGAGTCGCTCGGGGGGTGTCTAGCTCAGGTTCGTCGACCACAGGCGTCGGGTTGGTTGCAGAATTTGAGGGACGATCTTCTTCTGTCGCAATACTGCTCGGTTTGGAGGATTGTCGGTCCTCTTGCCATTTTGCATATCTCCTCCGTTGAAGATGGTCTTTGAGAGAGTTCCTGGTAGGTTTTTTTGCCAAGTGTCTCCAACTTGGACTGGGCGAGGCAGACCTTTGCTCTTCTTGGTTTGAGGACCTAGTGGCATCGATCAGAGAGATTTCATGGTCGTAAGGGTCGGAAGCACCATCGAGAGTGGCAACGCGTGTGGTAGTCTGGTTAACATTGACGGACATGCCTCGAAAGGGGAGATGGGGTTTATTAAAAGGCTAGATGGAAAGGTAGGAGTGTTCAACAAAGAGTCAAGTCATGATCAGGAAGACTCTATGTGCTCACTGATGCGGCAGAGCACCGGATGGAGACAGTCTCGGGGTGGATCTTGAAAGCGCCACAAAATCTTAAAGTTATTTAGGATATAATAGATTGAAGCTGAGTTGGAGTCTATTACTATTAATTTCGAAGAGTGTGTACAGTAGGTGAAAGTAAAAGAGAATTTAGCAGTTAGAGAGTAGCGTGGTCTGGGAGAATATTCTGGCTGTTGCGAGCCGTTGGCCTTGAAAAAAAGCAAGAATTATCAGGAATGGCGCAGTTGACGAGGCCAAGTTGCCGGCGGCAGGTGCAGGTAGGTCATGGTGCAGGCGCAGTCTCCAGGCCAGGCAGGAAGCGAGAAAAACTGATGCGGGGGAGGTGCCTCTGAGAGGCTGGGCGGGAGCAGAAAGTGCAGGTGCCATGGCAATGTTGTCATTACGCCAATGATGTCACTGTCTTCGGTCACACTCCCGCCAAACCTCGGACGCTCTTGCACTCCTCAGGCACCTTCCACCACTCATTGATTGACGAGTACAAAGCGACTGCGTCTGCAATCATACCACCACCCTCCTCCCACCACCATTCTAGCTGAACCTCCCCTTCCGTGCATCCTCACAATCCCGGTATTGGTCTATTGCAATCAACATTGATCGATTCTCTTCCAGACACCCACCCTTCCTCACCCACTTCAGGCATACATCCCTGATCATGTCGAGACGAGGATTGACCATTGGTGGTCTGGCTGTTGCTGGTGGTGTTGGCTACTACCTCTATGGCGCTGGCGGCGATCCAAAGGTGGCCCAGAAAAAGTTCGAAGGTACTATCCATTCCCTCCAGCACTACTTCTTCTGACTGATGGATCCTATCAGCCGATGCCTCCAAGGTCTCATCACAAATCAAGAGCGAGCTCCCTGGGAAAGAGAAAGAAGCCGAGAAGAAGGGCGAAGAACTTGCACAACAGGCTGGCCAGAAGTTTGACCAAGCGGTAATCTAGCCTTCCCTCCGTCACTTCTTGTTAGCAAGTTCTTACTCTCACTAGACCGCCGATGCCAAATCCAAACTCGCCGACGCCGAGGCGAAAGCAAAGGAATATCGCCAGAAGACAGGCAAGGAGCTCAACAGCGCCATTGACAAGTTTGACAAGACTGTGGAAGACCAGGCAGCAAAGGCAAAGAGCGGCATCAGCAGCTGGTTTGGCGGCGGCAAGTAAGATGATGGCGATGGCCCAGAATGCCTGTATATTTAATGCTACCGGCGTTGGACCCCTCAACTTTGTGTATAGTTCTGCGCTCAGTCCGACTCGAGATCAAAGTTGTGTCCAGTTAATGGTTGAAATATCCTCACCAGAGAAATATGGGGTCCTCTCTTGGTCAGGAGTTTGAATATGTGTCTGGGAAACACGTCGTGTTCAAGTATATCGGATCGTCATGCTGAGCAACGAGGTTCGCTCATCTTAGGTACCTACCTAGCCATGATTCGCAGGCAATGGATCTCCGAGGCGATCTTCGGCCAATAACTTATCCCATTCATCCTCCCTTTGTTCATGATGGATGTCCTCACTTACCAACTTTGTTGAATTTCTCATCTTTCATCGAATGTCCCCAATGACGATCTCTACCCTATCAAAACTTTCCATGAGCTCTCGCAACGGTCCGAGTCTTATCGACTCGTTCGAGGACCAAGATATTTGTTCATTTCTGAAGGCTCAAATCGCTGTTTTCATTATCTGGCATCCGTTCAACGCCAACGCTATTACGCGTCTTGCATGAAGAAAACCCACTGCCAAGTGAAATTGCAGCAATTTGCTTGGAGGGTCCCCTTCTGGGGCCAAGCCATGGTTGTACAACTCGCATGACAGAGGGCCTGCACCGGCTTCAAGCGTCAGTCGAGTTTCACTCGATTCACTTGTTGCTCGATGGCCTGCGTTCGCTTAGTGCTAAAAGCAACCCGCTTTTATGTGTTGGCCTTCTGACTGTGCTATGGCGGTACATGAGGCAAGCACGCACTCTGACACGCATGAACTGGTGGTGACAGATGGTGCCCGATGCACCTTCCGATTTCTCAAAAAGGTGATCAAGCTCTAGAGAAGGCCCATGTGGAAGCTTTCCTTTTGTTCCTCACTTTTCCTTTCTGCATCTGATTCGAGGTGGAAAAGAAAGGCCTCTCATCCGACGTCCGTCGCGATGGATTTTTTCAAGAAACTCAAGGATGAAGTCAAAGATCTTCTGAATGATGACGACGACAAGAACAAAAAGGAGAATGACAAGAAGAAGGAAGACGAACACACCAAATGTGGGAAACTCCCAGGAAATTTATATTCCTTTAATGTTCAAGAGACAGCTGACGCGTCCTGTCTAGCGCAATCAACCGATCCCAATCTTTACCAGTCTCCTAACCCTTACCCTCAGCAGCATCAATATGATGGCCAACCGCAGTACCCCCATGGTCATCCGCAAGATCCTTATGGTCAACCACAAGACCAGCAACAGCCTTACGGTCAGTATGGTGCTCCGCTTCCGCCCCAACCGGGATATGGTCAGCCTCCATCCGGCCCACAGCTCCCGCACGGCTGGATCTCACAATGGGACCCCAACAGCCAACGCTACTACTACCTCGAACAAGCCACTGGTCGCACACAGTGGGAGCCTCCCGCTCCTCAATGGGGGGTACCTAGTCCACCCCCCGGTCCACCCGGAGCAGCATCTGGCTTCTATCAGAACTACGGCCAGGCTATGCCTGTCGTTCCACCCGTAGCTGGCCATGATGAGCATGCTAGGGACTTCTATGGTGTTGATCCCGGCAAGGAAAAGGGTAAGGATAAGGACAAGAAGGACAAGAAGGACAAGGGTTCGGATACTGGCAAGCTCGTGGCGGCAGGGGTTGGTGGTGCTGCACTTGGAGCTCTTGCAGCTTCCGCTTTGTCAGACAGCGACGACGGTATGATTCCATCGATGCTCTTGTCTCAAACAAATTCTTCGTAGACGAAAGACTAACCTTGTCACAGACCACCACGGTGCAAGCGCTGCCCCGTATGGTGCACCACCCGCAGGTGGTAGCTATGGGGGCTATGGTGCCCCACCACCGGCTGCTGCACCGCCGACGGAACCTCCGCTCGAGTATAATCCCGAACTCTCATCGAGTCAGCGTTCTTCGCTGCAAGAAGCTCGTGAGGACCTCGAAGAAGCCAGGGCCGACGCTGCCGACTCCGATGCCTCGAGCAGTGACCTGGAGGAGCTTCGTGAAGCTGAGGAGGAGTATGCCAGTGAAGTCGAAAGTGCGCATTCTGAGTTGGAGGATGACTGACCTCCCTTTCTGCTCTCTTGTTGTCGTGGTGAGGCGCGTTCAAGCCCTACCTGCAACTGTTATGGGCTGCACTCGAATCGACTTCAAGCCAATTCGAGGCAGCTAGCCGTTCCTTGAACAGGAAGCTTGTGACCCTGGGCTTCCGCATGCAGCAAGTTGGGATGATGCATTCCAGAGTGTTCACATTGCACTTTTAGCATTCTGTAGAGCTATTGAGCACAACCGAAGCATTAAGCACTTCAAACTTCATCTTTCCTTTCCAATCCGCATTTTCCGTCAGGGGGTGTGAGTTCGAGTCAGATGACTGACCTGGACATGACACTGATTCTGATTACAATCCTCAATCAGATTGGCTTCATCATAAGCACTTTCCTGCCACGTTCCGTCCACTCCCTTTCTTCCCAGCCCTGCTTCTGTAGGATAGTATACATCTTCTCATACTTGGCAGGAAATGTTGCGACACTGAGTGCCCCAATACTCAACGACCGAGCATGGTCTTCCACCTTGCTCATAAGGGCAGCAAAGACGCCGGTACCTCGTGTGTCTTCAGAGACTCCTGCCAGCCAAATGTGCAGTGTTGGATGCGGCAATGTCCTGTCGGATTTCATATGGGCAAATACGAAGCCAAGGACCACGGGCGCTGGATCTGTACTTATCGATGTTGACAGTCGCGGCGGCGAGTATTGGCTACTACTAGACGTGCTGTAGACTAGGATTGAGTCTGGCCTGCTCAGGCGAATGGACCATTCTTCCAGCGAGGAATGGTGCGTTGGTCGTGATGATTGAGTGTCGAAGATCAAGTTGGATAAATTGAGCACTGGTTCGAGGTTTGAGGCAAGCGCAGTGCTGTCGAGTTTGTGGATGGTGAACGATGGCGCCGCAACTGTCATCATGCGGGTTTGAATTGGCAGGACGCTGTTATTGTATCCGCAGGCGTTTTTAGACAGGAGCGACATTATGTGACGGAGACGGGCTACATAAGGCTCTGAATACGTCCAACCCCTGAAATGCCAAGCTTCCCTAGCTTCCTCCCTCTCCTCGTTGCAGTCTTTTTCCCTTCTTGCAAGACACTGGTGCATGATGTCAGTTTGAGAGGCCTAGCTCCATGCTGGGTTTTAAATTAGGGGTTGTATTGATCCAACATGTCTGAAGATCGTGAATGGAGCAAGCGAGAAAGAAAGTCAGCCAGGCAAAATAAAAGGCATGTGTCGGAGAAATCATATTCCGTTTCCGGCCAAATTTCAAATGACGACACCCCCTCAGCAAGGAAACATGCTGATCGCCACGAATTAACCTGGTTATTCGCTCTCTCACTCCTTAAATAAATCAAAGATGTCTGCTTCATTGGCTCCCGAATGCAATGAGGCCAAAGAGTAAGTCTTCCGGTCTTCACTTTCGACAAACTCTGACTGCAACTAGAAAATATGACACATGCTTCCTGAAATGGTATTCGGAAAGTACGTTTATCCAGGCATCAGGGTTCTTTATCCATGTTGGCATGTTCTCACATTGTTTTGCAGAATACATTCGGGGCAACTCAGCAACAGATGAATGCGAACCCTTATTCAAGCAATACAAGAGCTGTTTGACGGTAAGTTTTGACTGCCTCAATTGATCACAACGTGGCTAACCTCGTGGTAGAAAGCTCTCAAGGAGCGAGGCATTGATTCTATGCTGTCCGATGCGCGAGAGAGCACCAACGAGACTGATGCCGAACATTTGCGTCGATGATCCTGGCTTGGTTAAGAACAGGACGTCCCTCACCACCAGATTGTGCTCATCTTTGCACGACCAGATCACTCCTCAACACCCATTTTTCGCCACTCTTGACCTCTTTTCCTTCATGGAGCATGCAGTCATCGCCATGCTTATGGAGAAGAGCCATTCCAGCTTCCAGACCTACGACTATTGGGTCTGGCGTCTTCAAGCCTTTGCCCAGTGATTCGGGATAGAAAGCAGTCTCTCCGCCCTCGCAGGTTGTAAGATAGATCAAAAGAGTCCATGTTGTTTTGGCGGGGATGTTAGCCTCGCCAAATTGTAATTTATTGCTTTCATCGTAATGCTTGTCGAAAAATTGGCCGGGCCGATACCTATAAACTCGGATGTTCGGGTTTAAACCCAGGACTTTCCCACTGAAAGTACTCTCCTCTTCAAATGAGGCTATTAGATGCTGCAAGCCACTCTGTTCCCAGAGACTTTTGGCGAATATAGGGTCTTGGATCTGAAAGCGGTCGTTGACCCTAGTTGCCTCACCACGCTTAGGTTTTCCAGGAGTGGTGGTTAGTGGTAGAGATGATAAGAAGGACACGAAGGTCTTGCACAGGTTAGAAGTGAATAGGTTTCGAATGACCAGGATCTGATCAGCTGCAACGGTCTCAATGAAAAGATGTTCTGCAGGGATGATGGGGCTCAAAGCTGGCCAGTTGGGTAGTGGAGTTTGTGGTGAGGCTACAGGCCTGGACTTTTGTTGTTTCCCTCGAGGAGCCATGTTTTTGTTTCCTTTATACAACGGCTTGCTGCGTGACAGCACTTACAAGCAGTCAATACCTAGGTATCTAAATGTGGTCTCAGAGCAACAATAACAGCCCTGAACCAGCAGATCTTGCATGTGAACGGGAGCCCCCACCACGCAAATCTCCCGTCTGCCGATTGGACGTCTCTACAGCTCTTGGCATTCGGGGGAGGAAAGGAAAGAGCGATGAGTGGTAGCGTGCTTGCCAGCGCTGCCACTCGCCGCCTTTAGGATGATCCGCTCCGCTTCTTCGAGAACTTCTGATCTTTTTGTCCTGACCAACTGCCCAACTCTCAACGGACCACAACCCTTCTGCGCGCTCCCATTCTTCATTCGCAGACCTCCGAATGTCGTCGCAGGCAATTGCGGCGCCAGCAAGAGGTCTGCCGGATCTCCCATCCCCCGTCGACATCGACATCGACCTCCATTCTCCGGCATGGTCTGACCGCGACATCTCTATTTCCCACGCCCATTCTCACTCCCACGACTCGGGCGCATCTAACAAAAATGACTTGAACCTCACTCACAACTCTTCTGAACCCCGACAACCCCACCCTTCTTGGACGGCCATGGATGTCCAACAGCGCAACCAGGCTGTTGGGAATCTGCTGGCTGCCTTGATACCCGCTGGCCCAACCCAGACCGCAACTAACGGTCCACTGACAAACCAGCTTTCCCCTACAAACGGGAAGGTAGAAAACATTGAACCTGCGCAAGAGAAACAGGAGGATGATTCGTTCACTCAAACCGCCACTGAGAGTATTTCCAATCCACCCTTACCCACCGACCCTGATCTTTCGCTTCCACCGCTCCCTCCGCTCTTGCACAACGACTTCATCGACTCGAGCATGGGTCCTTCCTTGCACTCAATTATTCCAGATGATGGGCAGGACGACCAACAGCACTTCGCGCATCTTGGTGATCTTCCAATGGACATCTCTGGCCACCCCGAAGCGCAACAGCCCTTCCCCAACTTGTCACACGAGATGGCGCCAGAACGCAGAGAAATAGAGGCTTTCGCAAAAATCGAATTCGAAGATGGAAACTACTATATTACTACCTACGCATGCGAATTGGGAAGAGACGCTTTCGCCTACCGCGCGGCCCTTCAGCGTGCCGAGGAGTCACGACAAGCGGAGCAAAACCAGGCCCAAAGTTCTAGTGGAAGGAGGTCAGAGGCTATTCCCAGGCCAGAAAATAGCCAGGTCCAAGGTAGTGTTGTCAGTGAAGCTGGTGGTTTTGGAGGGGTTGACGAGCGACCGGGTCCAAATGGACGTGACAAAGATGAGGTGCATCACATGCATTCTCATTCCTCTGAGCCATCTGCTGGCAGTGTTGTCAAGCCTCAGGAAGTTCTCATTAATCCGCCACTGATCCCTTTCGACTACCATAAGATGGCAGAGCTGCAAGCCCAGGCCGAAAACGAAAACGCTTTGGTAAATGACACTGAACAGCCCGCTCCAGTCACTGCAGATCATATCCCCGACGCCCACAATTGTCCTCTGATACCAATTCATGCTATGCGCAATTTTCAAAAATCAGAAGTTGAAAACCACAGGAGTATCTCGCGTCGTCACGTGAAGATTCAGTGGGATTTCGACAAAGACTGCTTTATGCTGAAAGTTTTGGGAAGAAATGGTGCTTTCTTGGACGACCAATACCTCCAGCGTGCCGCAGTCAAGCGGCTCCGCGATGGCTCCAGAATCCAAATTTCCAATGTATGGATGACATTCCGCCTGCCCAACCAGAAGGCATCCCCCATCAGCGACGAGTCTGAACGAGAAGACAAAGATCGGAACTCTCCGCTGTTAAGGAGCACCTCTCCCACTTCAAATGAACAGGATAGGAGTATCTCTCCTTCACGCACTGGAAAGACCAGGACCAAAATCACTCTGACCACAGGCTCGAGATCAGCTCCTGTCATGCCTGACCCTCTAGTAGGTCCTGATGGTCAACCTCTTCCTCCTCGCAAACGTGGACCAGGTCGTCCACCCAAAGATGGAATTATGTCCACACGTGAACGAAGGGAGAGGGAAAAAGCCCTCAAGCTCGCCGAGGCCAAGGCTGCAAATGGAGGTACAACCCCACCGCCAAATCTAAAGGGCAAATTTCCCAAGCCCATCATCAAGGAGGAGGTTGTCAAGGAGGAGCCAAAAGCGGAGAGAAGAAAATATAAAAAGCGAAAACGACCGGGCGAGGATGGTGATATTGTTCAATCGATTGAGGGCGGTGAAGTTGATATCCCTAGTGAAGCCGAGAAGCCACCAGTTAAAAAGGCCCGTGCTTCAAAATCACCCTCCCCAGAATATCCTCCTGCGGACAGCCTAACAGAAGAACAATTGGCAAGACCATCAGAACCATATGCCCGATTGATCTACGATATTCTGTTAGACATCCACCCCAAAGCTCTCCCGTTGAAGCAGATCTACCGGGCCTTGAAGCTCAAATTCCCATTCTTTGTCCACAGGGTGGACTCGGAGGGATGGCAGAGCAGCGTGCGGCACAATCTGAACCAGGAGTGGAACAAATTGTTTGAGAAGGGAGAGAAAGAAGGCAAAGGCTTTGCTTGGAAAGCTATACCTGGAGCCCTACAACCACAAGCAGAGCGAAGACGAGCTGCCCAGCAAGCTGCGGCCGCCAAACCTAAACCTGCACCTGCGCCACGCCAACACCCTCAAGGTCCTCCTCCTCCGCTCAATTGGCAGAATAGCACACCCTATTCTCAGCCTAATGGTATGCCTCCGAGGGGTCCACCTCCACCTTTCTTTATTCAAGGTCCACATGGCCCAGTTCCACCGCCTCCTAATGGTATGCCCTGGCCTCCTCCGCCTCCTGGATCAGTACCACCTCCAGCGTCATCACATGGGAATCCGCCGCCACGGGCCCCAAACTCAACTTCTCAGCCATTCTATGCCCCAACCCAATCTGGAATTGCTCCCTTCCCTCCCCAACAGGCTTCGCAACAAGCAGGTCAACAGACTGGGCCTCCAAGGTCTACTCCTTCGGTAAATCAGCCCACAGCCCCGGGACCATCCTCTGCGCTGCCCCCGACTAGCTCAGTACCTCCACCATCCACCAGTTCATCAGCCTCACGAAACATGCCCTGTACCTTGGATGGTATCGTGGCCATTGGAAGGTTCGAGTCTGCTATGTATGAACAAGTCGGCGACCCTGAGAAGATCGCGCGGTGGCGGGGAATCTTTCAGTCTGTGAAACGTCGTCTACTCCATGGTGCCCCTCACTCCCTGATGCCAGAAGGGGACACAAGAGAGGAAGAAACTATCATGAGTCATGTGAGAACTTTCATCAATCGGTTTAAGAATCCTGCATTTATTGGCTTTTCCATCGATCCGGGGAGCTCGAACGCGTCTCCTGCACCTAATCCACCGGCAAATGCTGCACCCGTATCTGACAAAAATGCGACACCACAGGCTGCATTAACAGTTCAGCCAGTGAATGGGTCACAAGAAAGTCCAAAAGAGTCTTCTTCAGATTCGAAGTCATCAATAGAGGCATTGACAACCCAGCCAGCACCAGCCAAAGCAAATACAAGCGACTTTGTGCAGGACTCGGAGACAGCCAAGATTGATTCGGCCCAAACTATGGACATGGAGGGAGCAGGTCAAGGCTTATCGGAATCCCAAGACGCTGATAAGAAAACCGAGAGCCTGCCTCCTACATCTGCCACGTCTGCTTAGAAAGCAAGAGTCCCGTCCTAGTTGGATTCGATTTTGCAGATAACAACCGAATAACTTCATTGCAATAGACCGCAGGTAGTCCCATTATTTTGATTTACGCTGGCCGTTGAAAAGTTCAAGCTGGATCTCCCGAGCTCAAGATCACATCATTATTTCTACACAATTCCTTTTCCCCAGCAGTATGTCTTTGCCAAAACCTGAGTCGTTTCATCATCGCTTGATACACAACAAGAAGCACGGCGTTAAGAGAAATGGGCCCAAAAGTTATTTTATTCACACTTGGTTGTTAAGGCAACTATTGCAGGGCACGCGGCGCAGGAGACGTGACGGGTGGATGTTTATGAGCACACGTCATCGGCATTGGTACCGAGTGGCTACGAACTGGACGCTGAATGTGCTGGCTGGACCATTTGGAATTTGGCATATATCTCATTGGGGACGAGTTGCTTATCATCCAATGGGTGTGAGCTGTCGCTGCTTGGTTTGTTTGGTCCATGCAACTCGGCTTCAGCGAGTGGAGAGCCCAGCAATTGTTCTTGCTTATTCGGGCTCTTCGCATCAAGAGACAGATTGATGAAATCTATATTGCGATTGGTGCGATCCGGGGATACGTGTTCGTGCCACTTAGATAACGAATATCGTACGCATTGTGCGTACCACTGAGCGATTGCCTACATACATGTCTAGAGCTAGAAACTCACGAACCTGCCAGATTTTCTTCTCCCGCCCTGTTTTCGCGCGGTTTCTCTCGGCGATTGTGACGTGATGTGATGTGATGTGATGTGATGTGAGTCATGTAATGGTCATGCATGGATTGCGGGTCCTATGCTGATCGAGTGTCCTTGTGCCAATTTCAAATCTGGGAGTAAAGTAGACATTGCATCGCTGCTTCTGAGAATCTGCATGAATGCCAGGTGTGTGTACTCTTGTATTTAGAGACATCCACAGGCTCTCCTAAGACATGATATATTTTTGTGTTACAATGCAGCTGCACTCGCGCGCGGACCCTCTTCATTGCCCTACTACTCTGAGTTTATCTGTCTAGAGACATGCACAACCACCAATTCACAACTCCTTGGGCGCACGTGCCATTTCTCGCCTCACCTCCGCCTCGAGCCGATCGACAATCAACCTGGCCACGTTCCTCCCCGCGAGTGCCGACGTCTCCATCGTGGAGATGAAGCTCTCGATCCCGCTGGTGTACCATAAGCCGGAAGACCCGTCGTGGCTGTCGGGATGGTCTACGAAGGGCAGCGAGAAATTCTCGAACGTCGCGGTCGGCGTCTCGTACGGGTATGCGGCCCATGTTTTCTCGTATGACCATGTTATCACAGAGCGCGGGAGCATGCTTATTGGGTCGTCTTTGGCCGGGAGGGTCTTGTGGGAGGAGCTGGTGGTGGTTGTGGGTGTGTACGGGATGTCGAATAGCTGGGCTAGAAAGCCCGCGGTGAGTGGTGCGGCGGAGAAGATTTTATACAGGTACTGTGGTTCCGAGGAGATGGGGTTGGTGACGAGGGTGCGGAGAGTGCTGATGCTCCAGAAGCCGGTAGGCCCGACGGCCTGGCGGCCACGTTGGGAACCGAGTTTGTCATTGAGATCTTTGGTCAGGGTCGTCAGGATGGAGGATGGGACCTCCGATTGAGACTCCAGGCCAAAGAACGATGGCGAGAGGCGCCGTGGTGAGGTGAAAAGTGTCACGTATTTGGTGTTGTAGGGAATTTCCTTGGGCGGGTAGGCTAGAAGTGGGGAGAACGTGATCTCTGCGAATTGATAAGGGGCAGCGAGGATGACCGCGTCGTACTCGTCGTTGAATTGTTCGTGGACGACGACGTTGGAGGTTCGGACATTGAATGTCCCTTTAGCTGTGTCCTTGACGATGTCTGTCACGGTAGTGTTCAACCAGATCTTGTGGGCGGATGTCTTCACCATTTCAGCAAAGATCTGCCAGTTCCCTCCGTCGACGGCGACGGCGCCCTCGATCGCCATGCAGACTAAGGTCTCTAGCCCGTGAATGCTGCCTAGGTTTGAGGCGTAGTTGACCCGTGTAGCCGCTTGGATGATCTCTCGAGTGAAAAGCTCACCAACACCGACGTCCTTGAGAAGTTCACTGCCTGACGTGTTCGTGTATCGCACCAGGCCTGAACGGTGGACTACCTCTTGCAGGGAGGTGAAAGGGAACCACGGTTCATGATAGAATTCGAGGAATTTCCCTACCGCATCCTTGGTTGTTCTCTGGGTCCTGATGGGTGCCCAGCCGTATTTCCACAATAGTTTTGCGATATCCCACCACCCACGCCACGATGCTCTGTTTCCATCGTCGTCGTCGTCGTCGTCGTCGTCGTTCTCCGCCTTGTAAACGAACGTTGTCCCGTCCCATATACCCAAATCGTACTTTGAGTCTTCCACCGCTTCGTAGATTTTTGCAGCGGTACTGAGGCCGAAGTCTCTCGTGGCATTGTATAAAATATGGTTTACCTTGACGAATATACTCGCACCGAGCTCGACAGGGTAGCTTTCGTCGTCAAACGCATCAACCGTGGTGGTTCGGCCACCGATGTATGTATTCGAGTCGAAGACGGTGATTTCGAGCGGGATATCATGCTGGGAGGACTCGGCGAATCGGGTCAAGAAATACGAAGTGGATGAACCACCGGCGCCTGCGCCTATGATGGCTATCCGTTTGGCCTTGGGTTGAGTGTCGTGGAGAGGACTCTGGAGATCATCTGCAAGGGTAATGGACAAGCACGAAAGAAGCAGGACTGAAAGGTAGACAATGCTATGCATCATTTCGATTGCTTACCTTGGATAAGGCAGCAAGTGTATGTCTAGGTCATAGTATCGACATTTAATGCCATGCAGTTTGAGAAGAGGACGTAAGAGTAAGGGCTTAGTCGAGGTCGATGAGGTGAGCATTGGCAGGTCAGACCAATACCCTGATTGGGAAGGCTAGCCGTGCTCAGCCTTGCCAAGACCATGTGCATCACAAACGAGGCTGCAACAGAAGTCGTAAATATCTCAAATAAAAATCGTCGTGACGAATACTGGAGGCTAAACAAGGACATGGAACAGGCAAATTCGATGGTAGCAACAGGCTGCTGAGCGGTGCAAGGATGTGCGCATCTCCCCGTAGATAAGCTGTGGAATCTTTATGTAGGATGACTCAGCCTGTCTTTTTCGTCAATCGAACAGACCCAAGATCTAGGCAGTGGTAGGGCGAGTGATGGCCCGTGTGGCTGTCCAATTAGCATGCCTTGGACTCTTCTCATACTCGTTGTGGTGCTTAAATGAGGCCTATCTCCAAGCTACATGCTTTGAAGCGTATCTCAAGCACACACTCTGAATGTACCTCTCGCAAGCCTCACGGAATCATCGAGTGACCAAGTTGCGAGGCGGTATGAGTCAACCATTGCTACAAGGTTGGATCTGACCATATTATATTCCCGTTCAAGTTTGGCCGGGTTGTTCTTTGGGTTGAACGGACCACTACCCCGCTTCAACAGAATGTCCTTCCACTGTTATAACAGTCCTTTTGATTGCTTCTCCTCACACAGCTTGGCAAGAGTATCAATATTCTGTGTATCTCCTCCATCCTTGAATCCCGGCATGAGAGCAAGCCACTGATAGACACTCTGCCTTAAATCCTTTGGAAGTCGGGGCGGGGTACTGAGTACTTTCTCGAAACCATCCACCACTTTCTGGGCGATTTCATCGATCATGTAGTCTCCTGAGTTGGTGCCACTTTCACTTTCCAGTGCCTTGGCAAGACCACTCTTATATTCGACCATTGCGTTGACGGTAACACTGACGGTGCGAGGCCAACATGAGCTCATTAAATTCCACGAGTCCCCCTTCCCAGCTTGATCACCTGCTCCACGGAAATCGGTGCGCAAGATGACAGCAGGGATGTCAGCGGTTTTAGCCATCATGTACTCGACAACTGTTCCCGCATCTAATTCACTACCGTCATAAGTGAAGAGGGCCAAGTCGCAAGACACTAGTGCCCGGAGATCTTCATCTCGGATCGCGTGCGGCGAGAAGTCCCGTTGCTCTAAGTCTTGCGGTAGAACAGGTATAAATTTCCCAGATGACTTCTGCGAGATCGCCCTTGAAAGCAGCACATTGTTGTGCAATTCTGCAAGAGTAAAGAGAGGTCCTGCATGATAGTAGGTGTATGTCAGAGGAGGATGGCTTGGCGCCGCTGTGGTATGCGTGTGCAGAACCGATGCTGTGTTGTCATCTGATGCCATGTCCAGGGAGTGAGTGGCTATTATCTGCGAGACAGAAGTGCGAAATGAAAGGTGGAAGGGATTGTAGAAAGTTGGTGATATGTAATGGACACCACGACGAGGCTGAAGGTTGTCCTTAGTTCTCGGCAGGCGGTGATCGCCGTGATCACTGTAGGCAATTGAATGGCTGCTATTAATTAATTTCGGAGTCGGCAGAAGCCAACCTGGGCACTACGTTCAAACCATCGACTCGCTCTCTGTCCCCGAGTCCTAATGAAGCGATTTACCCACCCTCACTGTTACCTACTCCATTCGTGCGACGCCAAAAGCCAAAACTGTACCTTTTTTGGCTCTTGAGCATTTCAACATGCTCTCACTAAGACCGACATCCTACTCGGTCATAAGTAGAACATTCCTCTTCCCTACCCTTTTAAGCCAGGAGCGTCTCTCCTCGCAAATGCGACCCTCCCTTACGAGAGGACTCACAATTACCGACAATCTGTTCTAGGGCCTAGGTAGAAAACAGGGTATCTTACTTAACGGCGCAATCGAACATCTGAACGGGAGGGGGTGATCTTGCCAACATATTTCAGAGTTTGAATGAAAAGCCATCCGCTCGCCATTACAGTTGATGGCCTGTAAGAGGCGAAACTCTTATTCATTACCCCAAGAGCCTCATCAAAGGAAGGACTTGCATATTCTCATAGAGACGAGTGAAGTGCTCTCGTCCCTAACGCCAGTCGCAAGGCCCCCTGCAGGATGATATTCCGGTAGGCAGCAATTATTTATCCGACGCATCATCACTGAATGTATCCATGTCGCATGCTCAACCGAAGGATTACGAGCTATTTGCGAAGTATTTCTTCGAATTTCTTGAACCTCGGCTCACTGAAGTACCCTAGAGAGCAGACGTGGTAAGATTGGCTGGCTCGGAGTTGAATTGTTCCACTCTTATGAGAACAACGCCTAACTCCATGTTGGGGTGCATTCCTAAAGCATTGCTGAGAAATACGGGAATCAAAGTGGGGAAATCATTTCAAACAAGGCCATCAATACGTTGAATTCTGTTTCTTAACAGATGGACGGAACTCGGATGCTGGCGCATATCTGTTCCCCTGAACGGGGCACTGCGCCATCCAGATCCGAGAGCGTTGCGCCCCGGCTTATTACCATATCAAGGCTGCTAAGGTCAACTGCTCTATACTACAAATGGGAGAATCCTCCCATTCGTTTTCCATTTTGTCTATCCTTTTGAACCAACATCGCAGTCAAGACAAGGAAGGGACAATGGCACCTCGGAGTAAACAAGAACTTGATGCCCTCGCTGTCATTGATCCCGAGATCGATGCCGTAGGAGACATCCAGAAATCCTCGAAGCTCATTGCGAACTAACGTATCCAAGGCTCTTAAATCAGGCAAACTTCCCATCCCGTCCTTCGACTATTCAGACCGTACAAATGTGATATCCCAACTTCGTGCTCTCGAAGCCTCCTTCCCAATACCACCAGCCATTGAGCCTGTCTTGGAAACGGCAACGAAGTATACAACACGAGACAATCAAGAGCTGAACCTGTTCGTCTTCCAACCTGCTCAGAGTTCCAACAAACCCAAGCCATTGATCATCTTCTACCATGGCGGCGGCGGCTCCTTGGGCTTTGCTTACAGTGCGGCGCCATTGGCACGCAACCTGGTACTTCTCCATGACGCTGTGGTCATCAGCCCCCAATATCGACTTGCACCCGAGCATCCATTCCCGACAGGACCCAACGATGCTTGGGATGCCTTCGCATACATTGCCACTAACGCTGCCACCTTCTCAGCTGATCTAAGCGTCGGGTTCATCGTCGGCGGAGTCAGTAACGGCGCCGCCTTGACCAGTGGAATCGCGCTTCGAGCTCAAGAAGATCCGGCTTTGCCGAGGATCACAGGCCTGCTTTACTCTGCACCTGGCTTCGTCGGCTCTGCAGACTCTGTGCCTGCAGAGTACAGAGATAGATATCTCTCACGCACGGATCCGCGCTGTCTGACTGCCCCTATCCTGTCTGAAGATTTGAAAGCGGTTTTCAATGCCGTCTATGGCGCTCCGGAAGATCACCCGCTGTACCGAGCATTCAACGTCCAACCGTTCTCAAAGCATGCGGAAACCGCGCCCAAAGCCTACTTTCAGGTGTGTGGAATGGATATCCTACGTGATGATGCATTCGTCTATGCGAACATATTGGAGGGATTAGGCGTGCAGACGAAAGTAGACGTGTATCCCGGCACGCCGCATGTTTTCTGGGCCGTCTTCTCGTGGATCTCGCAGGCCCAGAAATGGAAAGAGGATACCGGGAAAGGCGTGGGCTGGTTGCTGGGGAGAGCTTGAGGTAGGGTTGTTGTAAGAATCAATGTCAGTGAGCTTCGCTTCGATCTGTCTATGGGTGTACTCCTTCCTTATACCTACAGTGGTCATCAGCCTCAACCCACATCCAGTCTGAAAGTCTGCTCCTGTACCAGTGCAGAAACCCTTTGGCCGAGAACCCTACAACAGAAACGTACCGCCATCGCTCCTGATCACCGTGCCCGTGACATTTTTATCCTTCATGACGTACAGGAAGCTCTCTACCACGTCTTCTACACTTCCCACCTTCCCAGTAGCAACCTTGCCAGCCATAGACTGCAGAGCTCTTTCAACTATTTCTCGATCCCCGAAACTTGCCTCCCATAGCTCTGTTTCGACCGGCCCAGGGCTGATCAAATTGACGCGGACGGGTTTCAGTTCGAGCGCCAGCGCACGCGTCATACCATGTAATCCAGCAGCATATGAAGCAATAACGCTCCAACCTTTATTTGGCTTCTCGGACACCGAACCCGTGGTGAGCGTGATAGAACTCGCGGGCCTCGGCGTCAAACACTTTGCTCCGTACTTGGTCACAAAGTATGGGGCAAGGAAGCGGACCACGCCCGCATTTCTCATGAATTCAAGGCCGACTTCTGCGAGAGGCTTCGGACTCAGTGGGCCGCCGGCAGTGAAGATGATGTGGTCGATTTTTCGGTCGATCTGAGTGAAGAGCTTCTCAGCGTTGCTTTCAAGAGTGGCTTCATCGCCTAGATCACACGAAATGCCTGTGATCTTGGTTTTCGATTCGGGGTACGAAGCTTTTAGGCGAGAGACGGCCGAGTCCACTTTTGAGGAGCTTGAAGATGATACGTATAGATGTGCTACATCATGTTCGATGCTTGCTTCTGCGAGTCCGAATCCAAGTCCTGAAGTGCCGCCGATAACAAGGACGGTGGTGTTGGCTAGCTTAGAAGTGTATTTGAGCTGCGCTGCCATTTTGAATATCTGTGTAGCTGGTTTTGTCTCTGGCGTTTGGAGACAGGTTAAAGATCTGTGGGCGCCGTATAAATACCTCGATGGAGGCGGATATTGATAGACGAGATTATCATCGCTATTATGGCATCATCATGATGTGGGGCGCGTACACCTTTCCATCAAGGCTATCTAGATCCCCTCAGAATGGAAATAATAGCAATTTCACCTTATGTCCGGGTTACTTCTAGGAAGTTAGAAGAGAGCGACATCGGCCCGTGACCATCGCATTAAGCTTAATAAACAAAAGCTTTTGACAAATGTCCGCACGGAAACAGCCTCATTGCGGATCTTGCAGAGAGGAGCCGGAGAGACACGCTGGATGACAGTGTGGATGATCGAGCGGATATGGACTTTTGCACCGGAGATAGAATTGATTGTTCCCGACAAGCGCTCAACGCCTACCGTCGAATTACCAATCCTGCACTGACGATTGTACGTGGGTGGACTGTCAATTCATGATTCAGTTGAGATGGCGACATGTTTGCTTTTTGAAGCATAGCCACACTCCTTGAGAAGACGGCGAACAACGAGAGCGAAGGCCCCGGCCCCTTGACCTGCTTGTTCTTACCGAAATTGGATGCTGGGAGGTTCTGTCTCCCCTACAATGAACAAGGATTCTCAAGCATTCGTATTGTAATTCCAGTGTACATCTCGATATAGACAGAGTCAAAGAAATTCAAAGTCCTCTGAGGGTGCCACTTCCTGCAATCAAGTACGAGTGTCGAGCCCACTCGCAAGTCGTTATGTAAAGATGTGCAAAGTTTTATGCCACTGTCGGTCTGTCAGCGATCGGAGGCAGTAAAACCCCAGCACAACAACCTCCAAGTCCAAATGATGGTTCTACTTGGGCGAACGCTGTCTAAAGAACCGATCCTGGCTAATTAACCAGCTAGTTGGTCTACTCGCTACGGTGTGTTCTCGTTTGGTCAAATTCAATCGCTAATCCCACGGTTGCCTCTTTCAAATCGTCGAGCGTGAAGACTTGGGAGGCTCGGCATGGGCAGTTCGTGTTCCTCCCGAGGAGCGGACCCAACCAAGGTCATCGACATGTCATTCTGCTAAGACCATGCCGCCCTGGCATTCGCGGGGTTCGATTCAATCAGAATCGCAGTCTGTACAGCTATTCATAACCAAGTACTGGGCATCGCCCTAACTAGAGGCTGAAACGGAGTCTCGAATGAGACCGGGCTTTCTTTTTGGAAAGAGACTCCAACGGTTCCGCAGTAGCTCCTCCACTCCGAGATCACCTGTTCCCTGCATTCTTATTATTGCATTGGCGGTCAACGACCTCCCCATCAAACCCCCTCCTCTCGACGACCTGACCAGTCCTCAGATGACACACACTTCGCTTAGAAGACATTTTCTCAAAAAATGCGAATCGAAGGAGAGTGGTGGCTGGGGCCCCATGCCATCCTATTCCTCATCTGGATCTCATCCCCAGCTTCAACTTCCTCGATCGTTGGTTAGGCTTGCGGGGAAGACTCTTCTCTGCCATCTGATCCACCGGGGACTACGTACTCGATATTCCGCGTCAAGAGACCAGAAGCAAACCCACCGTGTCCCAAGCCTCATCCATGTCTTCGTGGATGTCATCGGCTTTAGCTCCACCTACAGCCAGTGCTCCACATGCTTCTGATTTCGAAGGATGAATCCGCCTGTGAGCCAATGCGGAGGATGCATCCGTCTTGAACCAGGCTCTGAAGCCGCTTCCAAGTGTTATGTTAGGATTGATGACGGGCCACACTGCTTGCGGGGTCCATCCGCCTGCTTGACTGCTTATGATGGTCCAATCGTGCCTGACGATCGAATCCTGAGGCTGTCCCGGAGACGCCACAGGACCTAACCATTGGCTTTCTTCCCAGGCTCCTACCGGATACATCTCCTCTTCTTGGAGCCTGGCACCTATGCCACACGATTCCAGGATCTCGTGCGAGAGGTGAATTAAATGGAATTATTTTTGTGACCGATGGGTTATGCCAGTGTCGTCGGTGTCAGGCTCGGCAGTTGACCAGGGCCACTCCCTGAGATGCATGCTGCCATGGACTTCCTTACAGGGCCCTGTCGCTTCAAGGTCAGGTAGTCCACCGCCCCGGAAGCCCCACGTGGATGGCCTCAAATTGTCGAATGTTGTGTTGACGGCTTGAGATGGGATAAAAGACAAGTGGCACGGGGAAGAAAACCCAGGTGGCCCTGGGTGTCTTTTGGCTCTCTAGTTCTTTCGACTAGAGTCTTCTGCACGACCAGGCTCGTCCAGCAAACAACCTATTTGAAAGTTCACTCGCGCCAGGTGTCTCTGTTTTGTTCAGGAAGTGATCCTCCGATTGTTCTTTCACAATGGCGACCCTAGAACATCACCACCACACCCCACCGTCGGAGGCAGATATGATCTCCGGCGAGAAACCAGGCTTGTCGCACACGGTTTCTGCGGGCGCCATTTCCATCAGTCCAGAGCTTTTTGAAAAGGTGTGTCAAGCCAGCGTCAACTCTAGAAGAAGTCGGGACATAGAACAGCTGGTCCCATCCTTGCCAAAGCACTCATTGACTCCAAGATCGATCTAGCTATACTTGACTCCTAAAGTTCCTCACGCCGGCGACAACATCAAACGTTTCGCTAATCCAACACCTCTCGGGTTTGTCGGGTAAGCTCTTGGATGAGCCCGAATGACATGTAGAGATTGTGCTAAAGTCAGGCCAGCTTCGTCATTTCCACCATGACATTTTCGATGGTAATGATGGGTTGGGGCGGAGCCGCTGGACTTTCGCCTGTCGTGTAGGTTCTTCACTGCCCCGGGCTTTTAGAGATGCACGTCGACGAAGCAAAGTACACACAGTCCATTTACTGACATTTGACTTTAACAAGTGGGATATTCTTCTTCACGGGCCCAGTCCTCCTGATCCTGACGACGATCTTCGAATGGATCATGGGTAATTTCTTCCCGATGATGGTATGCGGCCTGTTCGCGGTCTTCTGGCTCTCGTTCGGTGTGCTCCAGCTCCCGACACTGGGCCTGGCCACCCCGTACTCCGCCGATGGCACCGACGCCATCACGGGCGGCGCGTCCAAGGAATACAACGCCGTGATCGCCTTGTACCTCCTCGTGTGGGGCTTCGCGCTCTTCACCTTCTGGATTTTCACGCTCAAGACCAACACCGTCTTCGCGCTGATTTTCCTCTTCGTCACCCTCGGTGCATGGGTCCTCTCCGGTGCATACTGGAAAGTCAGCACCGGCGACTACGACCAGGCCCAGAGACTGCAGAAGGTGAGTGCTGTCTTGTAATGCCGACAGAGAACCTCAAAAGAGGTTTCAGTTTTCGTTCTTCTTCTGACCAAATCCGTGACTCACAGGCCGGAGGAGCGCTACTGTTCATAGTCGGGTGTTTAGGTTGGTACATGACGTTCGTGATGATGGCTGCCGAGATGCGCCTCGCCATCACTCTTCCTGTCGGCGATCTCAGTCACTTCTGGCCCCGAACTGATGTCGAAATGGGCAAGGCTGAGAAGGAGTCCTAAGCCATCTCTTCACGACTCAGAGACCCGTTTCATCGATCCGGGGAGAATAAGGGGCTGTGTCGTGGAAAAATGCAGTATCTTACCGGGATAATGGAGAGATGGAAAGTCTGATAGTGTGAATTTTCAGATTGGAGATGTTGGCACATTTGTGAAGGTCGAAGGAGGAGAGAACAAAACATTGCAAACAACCCAAAGCCCCCAGAATCATCTTTATTAATACCTTGGACGACGATACCCAGATTAGTCAGTGGAATTCGAAGCGTTATCATGAGGCGACACCAGTCAAAGTGGGTCTGGGATCATCCTCCGATTTTGCATTAATTACTCTATAGTTTCCACGGCATCATAATACCGATTTGAATCATCTGTTTTCGTGCTTCATTCAGACCATTCGATAACTTTGTGAAGGTCATCCGACATTCGTGGGGGTGCTTGTCACATTACAGTTTCCTCTTCATGCGTTGCCCGGTCATTGCAATTACTGACATACACCAGCATTGCAAGATTTTGACTCTGACATGAGCCGTTCTTCTTTCATTTCCCACCACACACACACAGGGATCTGCACATGTGGCAGCAGTTTCGGTGAGTTTCGGGCGTAATACCAAGGAGAACGGCATGATAATGCGCCATCCTCCTTCCGTTTTGTCAATCCTCCGGTACATGTCTCCACGAAGTTGAGTGCACCAGCGTCAAGCAATAGCCCTGGTAACGTTTGCGAGGATGATTGCTCCAGTGTAACTTCCACATTCAGCTTGAGACAAGTTACACTGGTAATGTTTGGTGCCAGGATACGTGACATTCAGCGGAGCGAACTTGGTCAGCACGTTGTATGGATACTGGCCAACGCTTTGACAGACGTCAGTCAAACTCGAACAGTTAGGGTCTGTTATTCAATCCGCACCTTTCATCAATGTACGTATGTTTCAAGTCAAGGGAGAAGTTCTGTACACCGTACCACGAGATCACTCGAACACCAAATGTGCTGTTATCACAGGTGTTCTGCCACATGACAGGGGGCGATAGCCCGACAGCCCATTCGACACCACACCGATTGGAGCCAAGCTCTGGGGTGTCTTGATCTTGAAAATCAACTAAGTCTTGTCAGCGACAGGGGCTACAAAGTGGCAGTGAGAAGTAGAAGTCAATGCTCACATGAGATGAGAGTGCTCTGTGTGGAGGTCGGGTCTGCTTGGAAGGGTGAAGAAGCAATCACATTGGATATCTCGAAGTCGCCCGAGAAAGCCGAGGCAACGCAGAAGCACAATGAGGCCGCCAGCATGAAGAGAGCGGCGAGGTGAGGCATAGTGGCAACGTCGTGCCCTTCCACCGGCAACTTTCTCCCGGTCACTACTGGAAGCTAGAAGCGAAGCCCAGCCCTGTGGTTATGATGAGCAGAAGTAGGAGGATCCTACGAATTCGAAGAGGCCAGAAGGGAGAGGTGAGAGAAGTGAGGACACAATGGCCACCAGAATTTGAACCATGTGCGAGAAAGGTTGGGAAAGAGGAAGGAACGACCCTCATATATATATGTCGCTTCTCTGTCCCACAACTTCTGAGCGATCGGCATAGTCTTTGCTCGCTTCGTGTTCTCTTTGTAGCAGTTTCACCAGCTATTCGGGGCCACAAACATCCATGATCCTAAGTCAGTTGGTGTTTCTCTTTCTTTGCTCCCGCCATCCATGGAATGAGGAACCCTGGACGACAAACAAGGACCAAGGGACAAGGCTTGGCAATCGAGGAAAGTCCATTTGTCCAACTTGACTTTGCTTGGTTTGATCTAAATCCATGTTTCCAGAATCCTATCTTGCTGGATCTGCAACTGAGACACTGCATGAGAGAGGTAGCTGGGTTAGCAATGAGATCTCCCTGGTATGGGACTGAGAACGCTGCGAGTGGCGGAAAGCATTGAATCGCGATCATACTGCATGTTTCCCACTCCTCGTCCAGGTCCTTGGTTAGATGAATAAATCATGGGGTTGGGGTGCCAGCGCTCCGGAGAATACGGACTGCAAGAAAGTGTCTCCTTGGGTCACACAGCCTCACAGTGTTGTATGTCACCTCAAATCCAAGACCAAGACATGCAATCAGAACACTGACTGGATCATCGAGGAACCAGCTCTCCATGGGTTTTTGTCTTGTTAGACCTTGTCCCCCTGTATCGAATGCTGGCTCCGAGACAATATCTTCACAATGAGGCCAGACGGTGGAAGACGTAGCATGGAAGTAGTACGCACTTTCTCCGTCCTGGCCCCGACTCACACAACCATCGCTAGCTAATTCGGGTGTGATCTACTGCGGAACTAATACCCTGTTTGATTGATTGAACGGTAAAGGAAAGGCCCGCTTGAGCACAGACTTGAGGTCAAGAAGTCCAATACTCACCAGGCTTCGTGTGGGATGCCTTGCAGCCCTGATCATTGCATCGCAATAACATCGTTACAAGAAGAAATACCCCTCCTCACGTGCCCCGGTGGCTTGCTTGGAAAGAATCTGTGGGTGTCTTGTTGTCATCACGCCGCATGAAACGATCAAAGGCGATGCAAACAGTTCCTACGCACATCAGGTGGGCCACAAAGCGGATAGTGTAGATGGGATGAAAAGTAATGTGTTTGAACTTTCGCCATGCAATTGCCCTGGAAGCCTTCTAAATGTCGACTCCCATCAGTATGTGTGGAATCGTATCACCATCATCATCAACCCCCAGCCATGTCGATTTTGATTGTTAATCGCCACGCAGGGCTTGGACTGTATTTTTGTGATCGACCGAAGACCGCAACACCACCATCAGAAGTGAGACCAATCGTTTAACCCTTCTTTTTGCTGACACCAACAGTGCGACCTCTTCGGCCAGTGGTCTTGGAATGTTGACCTCTAACACGCAGGCCCCAGTAGTGTCGCAGACCACGATGGGCTCGGATCTTCTTCAGGCGCTCCAAATCCTCACGCAGCTTGCTCTCCATGCCGTTGGCCAGTACCTGGGTGTTTTTGCCGTCGACAATATCGCGTTGTCTGTTAAGGAACCACTCGGGAATTTTGTATTGTGTAGGGCTTTGGATGATGGTGACAATTCGCTCGAGTTCTTCGGTGGTGATTTCTCCAGCACTGTATTTAATCATCAGCCTCGTTTTCCAGATCAATTCCTTTCGTTCGGCCCTACCGCTTGTTCAAATCAACATCGGCTTTCTTGCAGACCAAGTTGGAATATCGACGACCGACACCCTTGATTCGGGTCAAGGCGTACATGATCTTTTGCTTTCCATCGACGTTGGTGTTGAGGAGACGGAGGATGAACTGGACTGTGATTCAGATGTCAATACCGGGATCCTACACGAGGGGTTTGGTGGTTCGCACAGTTCGACTTCTCTCCGCTGACGAGAGCTATTGACAAAGTTAGCAAATTGAAGTTCTCAATTCAAGATTCACAGGGAGATGAGGCGCAATATCGTTCAGGTGCGATCTTGTAGACTTCCGAGCGTCTATCACAGCTTTCATCGTTCGAGGGAGACTTACACATGATGGGCGAGTCTCTCTTTTTCTCGAGGTTGTCGACAATTGAGATGCTTGATGTGTCAAATGCCCTCAGAAGTTCTTTCAGCGATTTGCACTGCGAATTGTGGGAGACGAAAATGACCTAGTCCGCAAGTGGGATAGCATGCTAGACGTCTAGCTCTTGGCATTTGAGTCCTCACGTGAATAAGCGCCGTCACGTGGACTCTGACATCACTACTTGAACCATCTCGCTGAAACCTCCGACTCACCGAGTGGTCGCCGTTGCCGTAGCAAGCAGGCATCTCCGTTTACGCCTCCAGATCCTCAATCGTCTTCCTCCTCCTTCGACCTCCCTCTTGTCGCCTCTCCTCTTCCAATATCATCTATCTCCTTTATCAAATCATTTTTCAGCTTGAAGCTGAACTCAACATCTTCTGTTGGCTTTTGGTACAGGGCGAGTCCCCCGTCAATCCCCCGTCCATCCTTATCGCTGCTGCCTTGACTGGTTGAGCAGTCGAACTCGTCTCACTCTCCCGATTCATTCGATCATGAGGGCTCTATCCACAGCGTTGCTGGCCGGTGTGGCCACGGCTGCCATTGCACCCCAGCAACAACCTCTCCAATTCCCCAAGACATTTCCTGTAGAAGCCAAAAATGTCCTTGACAAGCAACTCCACAATCTGAAGGATGCTCTGAAGGGACTTACTGCGGAGGCGGCCGCCATTTGGGATGAAGTCGCTATGATGTATCCGGAAGATATGTCTGCTGCCAGCTTCTTTTCTTCACCCAAGAAACATAACCGCCGACCCGACCATGAATGGGATCATATTGTTCGGGGGGCAGACATTCAAAAGATTTGGGTTGAGAATGCTGATGGTGAGAAAGAGCGCCACATTGATGGCAAGCTTGACACCTATGATCTCCGCGTCAAGTCAGTTGATCCTAGCGTGTTGGGCGTTGACCCAGGTGTGAAACAATACTCGGGGTATCTGGATGACAATGAGGACGACAAGCATCTCTTTTATTGGTTCTTTGAATCAAGAAACGATCCCAAGAACGATCCTGTGGTTCTTTGGTTGAACGGCGGCCCTGGTTGCTCCTCGCTGACCGGTCTCTTCCTTGAACTCGGCCCATCTCGCCTTACTGAGAAACTTGAATTGGTGCATAACCCTTATTCATGGAATGACAACGCCAGCGTCATCTTCCTCGACCAGCCTGTCAATGTTGGTTATTCGTACTCGAGCTCCAGTGTGTCCAACACGGTGGCAGCTGGCAAAGACGTCTACGCTCTGCTAACTCTATTCTTCGAGCAATTCCCCGAGTACGCACAGCAGGACTTCCACATTGCAGGAGAGTCATATGCGGGCCATTACATCCCCGTATTTGCTTCTGAAATCGCATCACACAAGAAAACCAATATCAACCTGAAGTCAGTTTTGATTGGCAATGGTCTTACCGATGGGTTGACTCAATATGAATATTACCGACCAATGGCTTGCGGTGACGGTGGCTGGCCCGCCGTACTTGACAAGCAGTCATGCCAAGCTATGGATAACGCCCTCCCCCGCTGCCAGTCGCTGATCCAGAACTGCTATGACAGCGAAAGCGTGTGGTCTTGTGTCCCTGCCAGCATCTACTGCAACAACGCTCTCCTTGCGCCTTATCAGCGTACTGGCCAAAACGTCTACGATGTGCGTGGAAAATGCAAGGATAGCAGCAACTTGTGCTACCCTGAACTCGGATGGATCAGCAAGTGGCTTAATGACAAGAGTGTGATGAAGGCTCTGGGAGTCGAGGTTGATAGCTACGACTCTTGCAACTTTGACATTAACCGCAACTTCCTATTCCAAGGCGACTGGATGCAACCCTTCCACCGACTAGTGCCAGGCCTTATCGAGAAGTTCCCAGTTTTGATCTATGCAGGTGATGCGGATTTCATCTGCAATTGGCTTGGCAACAAGGCCTGGGCTGAAGCCCTTGAGTATCCTGGCCACAAGGAATTCAAGGCTGCTGAGACCAAGGATCTCCGGATCGACGGCAGCAAGAAAGGACGAAAAATCGGAGAGGTCAAGTCTCATGGAAACTTTACTTTCATGCGGATCCATGCAGGTGGTCATATGGTTCCCCTTGACCAGCCAGAAGCCAGCTTGGAGTTCTTCAATCGATGGCTCGCAAAGGAATGGTTCTAGATCAGTCAGGGACCATTTGATATGATGCTTGGAGGTGGGGAAGCATATTATCGAGTCATGGGTGGACATGTCTTCGTTCGTTGGACTACTGTATTGGACCCGGCGGATGTACTCTGGCTGGGCAAGGCATGCATGGCTCAGTCAAGACTGGCGGTTATTACACAATTGTATGTGCTGTGGGTCGCTGTAGGTTCAGTCATGATGCGTGTATTTGCAGAATCAATCTACTAGATTTCCCTTCGAGATTTGAATCCCGATGACATGGTGAAAGACCTGGCTCGGTCAGGGCTCTCTTCTCGTCGTTTTGTTCCTGTGTGTGCCAGTGCGAGCGCAAAGAGAACAATAGTCTGATGTGCCATGGCGCCCACAGTAGCTATTCTGGGCCAGGCATGAGATAGGATGGGCCGATGGAGTTGGTTTGGTGATTACGCCGCAGCAGCAGCGCTTCGAGTGTGGATGATGCAGGGCTCTATACAAATGCTATTACTCGTACTGTTGTCCAGTGTCCACACGCGCACTGACAAGTCCAGCGGGAGCCAGAGAGAAAGAATGCCACCCATGTCCATCTCTATTCTTAGGTGTAGGTCGTCTCGTAGGCCATTGGGCCAACCTGCAGGTCGTTGTTCAATAGCCTGAATCCCATGCGTCCAATCACGCCAATGAGCACCTGCATAAGCGCCCAGTCTCTCATCCTCTCCATCCTGTTTCCTGGGCTTGTCCTTTCTCATCATCGCTCCCCATTGCTCTCTCTATCGCTCACTCTCTCTACGCGCCCGACCCATCTGTCCGCCTCCACACCATGGACCTATCTTGTCTCTGCAAACAAACTGTGCTGCAGCACCGTATCACACAGTCGAAGGCCGATCTGGCCAACCCGCTCCTCTCTGCTTCCACCACAACACCCTCCATGGCCAATACGGTCACTCTTGGATCATGCATCTGCCTTGGCCATGGCATTTCTCGTTCAGTGCTCCACCAGGTCTGTTCCATCTAAATATTGCCATCCCCAGTCTGCCCGTTGCCATGATTCTTTTCCTCTCTTCACACAAGCAAGCCTTGTTAATTCTGGTCGTGCGGTAACGAGCTATTCCCGAGATTCTTTTTGTGCTTCATCTGCGAAAGATAGTGTCTGGTACACTATTGATAATTATCCCAACACCAATTCAAACCACCATAATATCAATATCGCCTTACCTTGTTGCCTTGTTTACGAGCTGTGCTCATAATCTTGCCTCAAGACCAACAACTCGTTTTTGGCAGAAAAACCACTTCAGACCCCTAAAGAATCTTACACCATCTTTTGACGAAACCTTCATCGTTGCTGGCCAACGATCATTTTCCGAAAATTAATAGCTCAATACCTCGTCGCACCTGACTTGCTGTGCACTCTCAACAACTAGTCCTTTCAAGCCTGATACTTTTTGTTGTTTGTTTCCCCATACTCTTGCATAATACTTTCCCTGTCGATTCAAGCCAACAAGACCAAGTCGCCTCCGAAGAAGCTGGTTCGTTGATCTAGAAGGAAGAGCGTCAGTTCATTGCACCGCTCTCGTCCAACAAATCAAGCCTTGTCAAGAGCAACCTCAGACAGTTGCTCTTGACTTCAACAGCGCCTCAAAAACGCTGTCCTCGCATATCAACACCATCTTCTTCGCCTCAGCCCTCTGTTCAACCCAGTGTTCCTGGCCGTTTGTCGTCGTGATTGCAGGTCAATCTGAGCAACATAACAGCACCTTTCACAATCTTCCTAGATATCCCAACTATCTGTTGAGGAAGCTCTGCCGATCATCACGGCCATCTCCTGGTCGTAACCTGTCAATCACATCGCTACTTCATCCGCCAGTCAGGGACTCTGATTTTTACGGGACTTCGGCTTGGTCCAATCGCCTTTTTACTGCACCGCAAAATATACTTTTATTCTCAACGATTGCATACGACCCCCCCAGCTCTTCAGCATCTTTGACGATATCAACGCACAAGAATAGTCTCTACGACAAGCATTTCCTTCTTTACGACAACCTGAACTAATAGTCAACTTCAAAAACTAAAACAGTCAACAGAAAATCCCTCGAGATTAAAACATCATGTCTTCCCCCGCTGTTCAGCTTTCATTCACCCTTCGCACCTCTGCCAATGTTCGCACCGTGCATCTTCTAGGCTCATGGGACAATTATAAATCACAACTCCCGCTGTCCGTGGTCAAAGACGCATCTGCCAAGCCAGGAAGCTGGAAAGGAACCTTCCGTTTCCAGGGATCTAACGCACTCAAGCTCGGCAGCAGATACTGGTATTACTACATCGTCGACGGATACCACGTCTCTCACGATCCAGCCAAAGAGTTTGTCACTGAGAAGACCACTGGTCGCAAACTCAACGTCATCGACGTGCCTGGAGGCGACAAGAAGGCCGCTCGCCCAACAGTTGATACTCAAAATCTCTCCAAGCGACACTCTCGTGACATCCCAACAGGCCGTGCTTTGAGCCCTGGCAAGATCCAGCACCCGAAACCGACCAAATCGTATGCTAGTCGCGGGCTCCGAGAAGCAGACTACGACACATCTCCCGTGGACGACCTTGAAGAACGCTTTGCTGGTTACCGCATCAGCTCGGCGGGCGGCTCTTCGGCTTCGCCATCTGACCTGTCTGACTCCAGCTCCAGCTCCGGCACGGCTTTCAGCAGATCGTCACCCTCGAGCATGTCAAGCGCTTCTGACCACTCATGCCGCTGCGAACGCTACGGAGTGACCAAGTCAGGACAACGGGTCAAGATCGACTGCGGCGGGAAACGCTGCGGTTCATGGTCTTCTAGCTCAAGCGAGTGTGAGAGCCAAGAAAGCGACGACTCGTCCGAGGATGAACGCGAATATCGAGCTCGTGTGCGACGCGAGCAGGAGAAGAAATCATCGTCTCACGCCAGCCACGGCCACGGCCACAGCAGTCGCGAAACCAGACGCCCTGAGGAACCCCGACGAACCGTCGTTGTCGAGAGGAGACGGAGATGAGCCCAGGGGCCAGGCGGGGCCATCGAGCCGGATCTCATCCGGTGCAATTTGTGTTTTATTCACTCTCTAAATGCGAATCGTTACGTTTCGTTTTTTTCCTGTTGACGCCCTCCAAAAAAACAGACAGATTGTGTGGTGATGGTAATAGTCCCACCTTCTCTCCAAAAGAACGGCAAATATCCTTGACGTCGGACTGAGTCACGATCAGATCCCCCAAAAAGACTAACCTCAAAATCTTGAACAGGCCAAAAAGTGTGTCTTTGCCAACCACCCCAACCACTTCGACTGCTTCAGGAGGATCAACGGGATGATTCGGCCCCTTTGGGCTGTGACATGACCATCAGACCTGCGTCTTCTGCAGAGAAGGTCGAGCAAACCTGTGTGTGAGCGAGGCAGAGTGAAAGTCTACGAGATTGTGGCATGGTGACTGCGTGTGCGGGCGGCGGGCAAGTGCTTGAGACGGCACGGCAGATAGGGAGATAGGGAGGGAGGGAGGATGGCGAAGCCGCAGTCGATTCAACGAAGCCTGAGGGAAGAGGACGGAGGGCATAGGCATATACCGTACGAGGAAGAGGAGGATATCCCCCAAGGGTCAACGATGTCCATGGCCAGAGTGCTCTGATTTCTAGTTAGACATCTCTTTGTCAATTGTCGAAGTCTTGTTGACTTCACCCTGCCTCGCTACATGGGTAGTTAGGCGGGCCCGTAGAGAGAGGTCGCTGAATGCCAGACGACAACACGTCCATGCTTGCATCAACAAATATTCATGCTACTGGTCCCCCCCCCCC